CCACTTTTTCCGGGTGTTGTTTGGGTTTCTGCCGGGCTCTTCACGGACCCGCGTGGCGGCTCTTTGGTGTCCTGGTAGGTTGGTCCACTTTTTCCGGGTGTTGTTTGGGTTTCTGCCGGGCTCTTCACGGACCCGCGTGGCGGCTCTTTGGTGTCCTGGTAGGTTGGTCCACTTTTTCCGGGTGTTGTTTGGGTTTCTGCCGGGCTCTTCACGGACCCGCGTGGCGGCTCTTTGGTGTCCTGGTAGGTTGGTCCACTTTTTCCGGGTGTTGTTTGGGTTTCTGCCGGGCTCTTCACGGACCCGCGTGGCGGCTCTTTGGTGTCCTGGTAGGTTGGTCCACTTTTTCCGGGTGTTGTTTGGGTTTCTGCCGGGCTCTTCACGGACCCGCGTGGCGGCTCTTTGGTGTCCTGGTAGGTTGGTCCACTTTTTCCGGGTGTTGTTTGGGTTTCTGCCGGGCTCTTCACGGACCCGCGTGGCGGCTCTTTGGTGTCCTGGTAGGTTGGTCCACTTTTTCCGGGTGTTGTTTGGGTTTCTGCCGGGCTCTTCACGGACCCGCGTGGCGGCTCTTTGGTGTCCTGGTAGGTTGGTCCACTTTTTCCGGGTGTTGTTTGGGTTTCTGCCGGGCTCTTCACGGACCCGCGTGGCGGCTCTTTGGTGTCCTGGTAGGTTGGTCCACTTTTTCCGGGTGTTGTTTGGGTTTCTGCCGGGCTCTTCACGGACCCGCGTGGCGGCTCTTTGGTGTCCTGGTAGGTTGGTCCACTTTTTCCGGGTGTTGTTTGGGTTTCTGCCGGGCTCTTCACGGACCCGCGTGGCGGCTCTTTGGTGTCCTGGTAGGTTGGTCCACTTTTTCCGGGTGTTGTTTGGGTTTCTGCCGGGCTCTTCACGGACCCGCGTGGCGGCTCTTTGGTGTCCTGGTAGGTTGGTCCACTTTTTCCGGGTGTTGTTTGGGTTTCTGCCGGGCTCTTCACGGACCCGCGTGGCGGCTCTTTGGTGTCCTGGTAGGTTGGTCCACTTTTTCCGGGTGTTGTTTGGGTTTCTGCCGGGCTCTTCACGGACCCGCGTGGCGGCTCTTTGGTGTCCTGGTAGGTTGGTCCACTTTTTCCGGGTGTTGTTTGGGTTTCTGCCGGGCTCTTCACGGACCCGCGTGGCGGCTCTTTGGTGTCCTGGTAGGTTGGTCCACTTTTTCCGGGTGTTGTTTGGGTTTCTGCCGGGCTCTTCACGGACCCGCGTGGCGGCTCTTTGGTGTCCTGGTAGGTTGGTCCACTTTTTCCGGGTGTTGTTTGGGTTTCTGCCGGGCTCTTCACGGACCCGCGTGGCGGCTCTTTGGTGTCCTGGTAGGTTGGTCCACTTTTTCCGGGTGTTGTTTGGGTTTCTGCCGGGCTCTTCACGGACCCGCGTGGCGGCTCTTTGGTGTCCTGGTAGGTTGGTCCACTTTTTCCGGGTGTTGTTTGGGTTTCTGCCGGGCTCTTCACGGACCCGCGTGGCGGCTCTTTGGTGTCCTGGTAGGTTGGTCCACTTTTTCCGGGTGTTGTTTGGGTTTCTGCCGGGCTCTTCACGGACCCGCGTGGCGGCTCTTTGGTGTCCTGGTAGGTTGGTCCACTTTTTCCGGGTGTTGTTTGGGTTTCTGCCGGGCTCTTCACGGACCCGCGTGGCGGCTCTTTGGTGTCCTGGTAGGTTGGTCCACTTTTTCCGGGTGTTGTTTGGGTTTCTGCCGGGCTCTTCACGGACCCGCGTGGCGGCTCTTTGGTGTCCTGGTAGGTTGGTCCACTTTTTCCGGGTGTTGTTTGGGTTTCTGCCGGGCTCTTCACGGACCCGCGTGGCGGCTCTTTGGTGTCCTGGTAGGTTGGTCCACTTTTTCCGGGTGTTGTTTGGGTTTCTGCCGGGCTCTTCACGGACCCGCGTGGCGGCTCTTTGGTGTCCTGGTAGGTTGGTCCACTTTTTCCGGGTGTTGTTTGGGTTTCTGCCGGGCTCTTCACGGACCCGCGTGGCGGCTCTTTGGTGTCCTGGTAGGTTGGTCCACTTTTTCCGGGTGTTGTTTGGGATTCTGCCGGGCTCTTCACGGACCCGCGTGGCGGCTCTTTGGTGTCTTGGTAGGCTGGTCCACTTTTTCCGGGTGTTGTTGGGGCTTCTGCCGGGCTCTTCACGGACCCGCGTGGCGGCTCTTTGGTGTCCTGGTAGGTTGGTCCACTTTTTCCGGGTGTTGTTTAGGTTTCTGCCGGGCTCTTTACGGACCCGCGTGGCGGCTCTTTGGTGTCTTGGTAGGTTGGTCCACTTTTTCCGGGTTTTGTTTGGGTTTCTGCCGGGCCCTTCATGGACCCGCGTGGCGGCTCTTTGGTGTTCTGGTAGGTGGGCCCACTTTTTCCGGGTGTTGTTTGGGTTTCTGCCGGGCTCTTCGCGGACCCGCGTGGCGCCGCGGCTTTTGGCTGTCTTGGTCTTGCTTTTGTGGGCGACGTGAAGTGCGGCAGTGGCGGCGCGGGTGGGGTAGTTGGATCGGCGTGCGCGTCGAACTCAAATACTAGATGTGTGCAGGGAGGCTGGCTTCGGGTGGGGTGTAGGGGGAAGGGGTTCAGAAGAGAGCGATAGGCGATGCGAGAAATTGCACTCGGGGACGGTAGCTCCCCCAATGCTTACGGGGTCAGTTCTTAAGGCGATGGACAGCTACACATAGGCGCGGGAAGGATAGACAGGCCTGCAAAATCACTATACATAGATGAAAGGTGGCACGCATCTGACGAGTGTGTGCGTCGGTCGGCAATCGTGGCGGGCGAAGATCCTGCAGCAGAGACGAGTCGCTTGCCCAGAGACAAGCAAGGGCGACTGCGTATGTCTTTGTAAGTGTTCTGGTTAAGGCTTTTCTTTGCGATGGTGTTTGTAGTATTCTTCCGCTCTTGTCATCGTCTCATAGATTTCTATTAGAATTTAAGACTTCATTCTATTGAGAAATCACAACCGTGTAGGCAGTCAGCGTAGTTACCCGCGCTTACTATTCAAGTATCCGCAAACGCTTCTCGTCGAGCTCTAACACATTCAATTGGGCGTCTTCTGCAGGCGAAGAGATAAGGAGAGGTGGATGGTTGAGAATAGGGCTGTGGCTGTGTGAGGTTAGATCGGGGAAAAAAACAAGGACGGACATACCCTCGGTTCGCTGATGTTCTACTAAAAAGAAGGGTGAATGGTAGAGGTCGAACTTAAAAAAATAGATGTAGGAAGTGAAGCGAGGCTGGTGGGGAAAGAGGCAATCAAGAAGGTAGAAGGATGACGCATTTGATTTTTGCCATGTTTTTCAGAGTACATGATCACTATCTATGGGGAGGCACCGTAATGGCAGTAACTCAGAAACTGAGAGTGACACTTGCCGTCTACAAGCTTGTTAAGACCCTTCCTCTTTTGGGATCTTTGAATCTCTTGGGGAGCATGTAGTGTCAGGAGGCGCGGCTTCCTCGGGAAATCTTTCAAGGAGGTACATTCTGGGCGACAAGGTGTTACCTCACATGGATCATCCTCGAGAATGGAAATCTGTCAAGTCTGTGCAGTAGAAGCAACTTCCTTGTTGATGGTTCGTGCATCGTGATCGAGCAAAAAGATTGGTAAAAGACATAGACTGAAAACAAAGAGTGAGGAAATCGTCGAAGGATTCGCTTGTTTATCCGGTGAGTGTGTAGTCCCCATTGTCGTGAGAGATCATGGAGTCAAAAGGACTTTGACGAACCGCGTGGAGGGTCTTCGAGTGAGGCATCCAAGAGTTTGAATATCGGCGCTTCGTTTTCTGCGTGTGTCGTCTCGGTAGCTCAGCTTGAGCCGTATCTGCATAATCCTGCTGGCTGATGTTGAGCGCGCCTTTCTCCCTCGTCGTCCAACTTTCTTAAGACCTTGCCAAATTCAGTTTAGGTTTTTTTTGCTGCAAGAGTGGGCATTTATTCCAAGAAGGTAGCGCTTGCGCTTGGTAGACTTCAAGCATTTTTCAGACTGAGAGGCTAGCTTATAGTTAGTCGTACTAGAGGTTACAAATACAACTACTTGCATGGCAAAGATTTAGCTACTTTCCGACTCAGTTAGTCTGGTTTACTTAATGTGAGTAAAGAGTGCGACGCTATTACTTTTCGATTGACTCTAATATTTACCGCAAAAAAGAAGGGTCCTTGATGCTGAACTGCAGGTAGCAACATACTCTACTGGGAAAAGGAGATCCAAGATATTTCATGAACTTTATTTGCAGAGACTACGGTCAATGGCTACTAAATAGCAATAAGTAATTTGGTGCGATTGTGATAATTGTAAGGAGAAGCGTTGTATCCAGGGATACTGTGGCGACTTATTGAGAAAGTTAATGAAGGTAATTCCAAGGGTTTTTCAATTATTTCTATGTGCTATGCGTTCTGAACTGATGGATGTTGGAAACGCCGTGAAAGCATCGCCAAAGTGAAGTCTGGAAGCTGTCTCCTAATACTGACACGAAGCTGAACTTGCGTAGTTGTAGTTGGGTAAGTCTGCTGATTGAATGACTGAAAAAAAAAGTGCTGTTTAATTTTGTACTCGATAGAGTTAGAGCTAGAGCTAAAGAAAAAGTTCAAGAGTACTATACGTCACAAGGTATAAGTCTGGATTTGGTTTGCTATTCGTCTCAAGGCCTATGAAATAGCCATTCTTCTCAGTGGGTCCACTAAGTTGCTAGTAGCACTTGTTTGTAGCCGTTAGTATACATCAGTATAGATTTAAGTCAAGTAAGGGCTGGCGCAGTGGGTGCCAAGTTGTTTGATGAAGTTGAAGATCATTGAGGTTGTAGTATAAGTCAGTCCTTGAGGTAAAGTTCAAGTCCAAACAATTTTTGAGCACTTAGTCTTAAGGCAACACCTAACTTAATGCCGCGAGGAATTGCGCCGCAGAAGTACTACAACATGCCGAAGAATTTATTTGCTACCACGACGAGAGAAGTGGCCTCGGGCAGGCTGTTCGGGGATGCTTCTCCGGCTAAGGTAAAGGAGCCTTCGCCACAAGCTGAGATGGAAGTAGAATCTAAAGAGAATATCCGCTACGCCTCCTCGCCCGGCAAAGGGACAAGTTAAGGGCGTTGTGGGAATATAGTGAATAGGGTGTCTATCGAAGAATTGACTAAAAGAAAGGGCTCAGGAGGAAATTGGTCTACTGTAGTGGGCACAGGTGGCGTCTTGTGATGGTGGTGTGTGTACGTTTGAAAGGCAGAGATTAGAAATTGTATCTAGCATCGTCCTGTTCTCGTCTCTAAATTTCATTTGGATTGCCGGAGGAGCCGATTTTTACGCCCTCGCCGGCAAAAGCAAAAGTTCCTTATTCGGATGGAATACCAAGCGGGTACTTATCAAAAGTTCTTAAGGTCATTCGTGTTTTTCTGGTGAGCTGGGTGTAGTCTAGGTAGAAGCTAAGGGTAAGTGCACTATGCACGAAATACTTTCTCGCAAGTCATCTCAGTCTTACGTCACCTGCGTCATCTTTGACGTGAGTCATGACGTGAGCCATAACCGACCATGTCATAGTCTATAGTTATAGCTCCTAGTAGTGCCAATCTAATGAATTATTATAGTGAGATGGAAAATGTCAGATCATATGCGGCTGGCACCTTATGAAACAATAAAACTGAATCTGAACAAACAGGATGCGGCTATGTCAGGAGGATGGGAAGTATTACGTTTATGGCTGTCGTTCCTTGTCGATGTTGCCATCCATCTTTTTCAGTGCGTGGGGACTTTTTATAGACAAATGAAAGATTGTATAAAAAAGGGAAAATGGCACTAGGATGGATCAATGGCATGCAAGATCTTAGCTCCATGACGTTCTCTAATCAGGCATGCAACGGAGAGACGGAAAAGACACCGTTTACATCCCAAAAAGGGAAAATAACGCAAAGTCCCCTGATCAAGTTTATGGCTCGTTGTCGCTTCTCTATGTCTACTTCTTGGAGGTGAGAAATTTGTTGAGTAAAGTTAAAAATGTAGCTAAGCGAGGAGGTTCCAATGCCTTTCTGGTTCCTTATGGTGAAAGCAAGATATATCAGTCTATATGTGAAGGCAAGGGCCTGACTTCCTCTAAGAGTCCTTGTGGTCCGAACAAGGTGGAGGCTCAAAGGCAAAAAGGATTAAGGTCGATCACAGTTATGGATAGGATGCGCTGTTTTTCCATGAAAGGGCATCTTCGAGACTTATCCGGAAGGCTTACTTACATGTTCAGGGTGTCAGGGGTAGTCTCGGTTGTATGCAAGATGGAGAATATCATGATCCATAACCATGAAACGATTGCGGCGCATTTCGAAAAGCCAGTGCACGTGCTTAAGGATTGAGGTTTAGCTGTGCAGTAGTCTTCTCTTATCACTTGATCAGCATGGTGGTCAATGTCAGTTTTTGAGTGTGTGACAATTGATAGAAATCAATGGGATTAGAATACAGCCCCCTGATAGGGGCCAGCGTTTATTTCCAACGAGGTTGAATTAATATGGTGAAGGTTCTATGGGTAGCATGTGAAGCAAGACTCTTGAAGAGCTGAATGAAAGGTAAGTGGAGGCGTTTGGTAATAGGTGGCGCAAAACTGATGAAGAGCCTTAGGCAATAGGATTTATCTAAGAATTTTGATCCGGTGATCCGGGAAAAGGCTGTTCAAGAGCTTAATCAAAAAAAGTCAAAAGCTGAAATTGAAGAGTCGATGAAAGCAGCGCGCGCGTTATGGTCACTGTTGCGTTTGTTAGTAAAAAAAAGCTTTAGCTTTGTAAGACCTCTGACTGTTGGAAACTGTACGAAAATAGAGGTACTCCAAATTTTCGTGCGCATACATAAATACTTACCCCGGTGCACTGCCAATTCCATTGGTGTTTCCTACATTGTGGGCAGTGCCGTAAACACAATAGAAAATGCTTGATGGTGAAAAGGGGCAAGAGGGTAAGGCGCGTAAGGTCTCCCGGTTACACGCAGGACTCGCTCTAACTTTCAAGGTCATAGCTGACGTGGAAAGTCTTGGGAAAAAAACGAGGCGCTTTGAGGAGCTGCAAAAATTAAGAGTGATATTGATGTGGTGCAGTAGTATCTGCTAAGTCTCATAGTAGAGGTCTCCATGGTATTATTTGACTTCCGGGATTACCTATTGTCTTGGGATTGGCACTAGAAAAGGCTGTAGCAAGCTAGTAGGACTGTAAAAAAAAATTATTCAATCGGGGGGAAAGTGCTGATCTAGTTTGATGGCTTCTAAGAAAGCGCTATCGCCGTAACAAGCTACGCGAAGTCCTCGAGCGCTCCGTTGGTACCTGCACGGAAGAGAAATATACAGGATTATGGCAAAGGGTCTTATTCGTTGTAGAGGACTGCGCGCGTAAAAGTGCTGAGTTGAGAGTGAAAGACGTGGAAGTCTACTGAATGTTATTAGAAGCAGAGCTGTTCCCGCAATGATATTCGTCATCTATCATTTCTAAGTACCTTGAACGTGCCGCCGCTGCCTGAGCCAACCATGAAAATGAAGGACCAAAAAAAGAGTATTGCGGGATCGGTACTCTTTTTTCTATCTAAGTAGCTACAGTCCTTGCATAATCTGAAAATTGGCAAGCATTCGTTACTGCAGTTGTGAAGATTAAAGAAGAAAGGATACCTTTGAAGAAAGTTAATAGGGTTATCACGTTGTAAAACATAGCATGGCAACAGGGCTACATGTCATACCCCATGATTTTCTGATTGATGGCTTTTGGCCTTCTTTACCTAAAGCTGCCACTTTCTTTCTGATTCAGGTGTCCTCGAGCGAGTGAACCGGCGGTGGCTGAAAGATTTGGCGCCGAGGCAAGCCAAAAAAATGAGAGCTGCGTCGACCTCTTCCCTTGCAGTGAAAATGGTGGACAATGAGCTTTGTTTTGTTAATAAGGAAACGTGTTGATATAAAATAAGAGGGTGCCTAGGCAGGTGCGAAGATAGCTGACCTTCTATTTTTGCTCGTATATATCGCAATTAACGGGCACAGAGATGAGCTTACTTTCAGCACGGGATCGCGCGAGAATATGCGCCTGTACTTCCTACCTTGGTTTTCAGAAGCAGAAGATGAAGGGGGTGCATCAGCATGATGAGAATTTGAACTGGACGGGGATGTAGAAACTCTACCGGTCCTATCATCTTTACTTGGCTGATAATCTATCTCCAATAGCTTCTTCGAAAAAGGCAACATGCAACGGAGTCTATTCGCAAAAAAATTCCTGGAGTTAGCGTGTTGTTTCTGTCATAGTAATCCATGCGAAGATTACTGAGGGTAAGCAACATAAAAACAGAATTCAGTTGGAGCAAGGGAAATCAAGGGATGCGCAAATCCGTTTCGAGATGAGAAACAATTCCGGAGAGCCCCGGGAGCAAAGCCGCTGACGCCTACTGATCGATGATAAGAGAGCATCGGACACTGTTCGTTTGTCGTAGCACCCTCGAAAGATATCGTTGGGTAAGAGAATCAGTGAAGGATGAGGAGCACGCGTGTGCATCTAACTGCATGAAAATACTGAAGTCTCTGCTGAAAAACATTTTTGCTTTCAGATTTTTTTTATCTCCTTGTATGTACGCTGAGAAGAATGGCTCAACAGGTTGGTCTTGTTAAGCAGAAAGACTAGCGAAGCGGACGTTGACACACGCTCACAGAGAGTGGCGAGCGTTATCTTTGCAAGCCTTGGGTAGCCATCAACCCGCGCAAGGTAGAGAAGGAGTCTCCAAGGCAATGTCAGAGGCAAGTCGCGGCACGTCTCGTTCGAGGTCGCGGAGTCGGCGGCGCAAGCAGGATAAGGAAGACCCTTATGGTGCAGCAAGGTGTTGCTGGCTGTAATAGAGGAAGGCGGGATGAAAAGCCGACTAGCATTGTGAATGATGGTAGAGTGTGTTAGTTGCTCGACCGTTAGAAAAAATCTGAGTGGTAAGCGCATGGCTGTTGCGTGGATGTTTAGCAGATATCTCAACTATTAGTCTATGGGCCAGGTAATTGAACAAAAGGAGCTGGCACCCGGGTCACTTCGTTTTCTATCCATGATTCTAATCTGATGAGAGGATTAAAATCGAGGAGCTTGATCGCGTGCCGATTTCCAACAAAAAGCACCGGGCTGTGCAGGTGCTAAGAGAGGAGAGCAACAAACTTCTATTCATGGGACTGAAAATAGCAAGGATGCGTCGTGAGCCCCTCATCCTGTACACGGAGACAGACGGAAAAGAAGTCCGCGTGAGTGCGGAAAAGTCTACGTTCGCGTCAGGTCTGCTGGTAAAGCCAAATCCTGAGTTAAGGCTTTAGTTTGGCAAGTAGAAACTTCTTGAACAAAGCGTGTTATCTGAAAGGGCCTCAGACTTGGTTTGTATGATTTCGATCTAAACGAAGCTACGCACGCGTTCCCGATTACTTTGTCCTACAGCGTGTTCGCAGACTGGGGCATTTATCGTGCTCGCGTTCATCGCCAGGCAAGCGACGGCGCGGAAAATCCCACGTCGTCTAGCTGTAGCAGCGCTGCCACAAGGAGAGACGTTGTTCGCCTAGACGACCATGAGGGGAAGGGCATAACCGAGCTGGAGCCTCGAACTGCTCAATTCAATCTTCCACTGATTTGGTCAGGGTGCTCGCATACAGCATTCGACATCTTTGTTATGATTCATTGGGATACTAAAAATAATTGAGTTGGGCTGACTACAAGAGAAAGGGTAGGCGAGGACCGACAGCGCAGCTGTTGAGATGTGGGCATGATTACCTACGGCTGGAGGGCTCTCGCTCGGTCTGCAGGGACGCAGCCTGACTGGCTGGATTTGCCGTCGCAGGGGTGAGCGCGTGAATCTCTGCGCGTCGGCCACGCTCAGGGTATCTGACAGGCCGGGCGACGCTTCGTTTTCCGAAGAGTCTTGCGCGGGACGGGTCAGGCAGTCAGAGGCAGACTCTTGTAGGATTTGCTCAGGGATTGCTCGCGGGTGGTCTGCTCATTTCTTTGTGATAAGTGTCGCTGGGGAATAGGCATGTTGTGTTTGTTCTTGTTAATGAGTTACTATTTCTCTCAGCTATGAATACGTATGCGCAGGCGATAAAAGGCCTAGACGGCGTATGGAATAGGCTTTATGAAAAGAGTCATGAGTATGTACTAGGTTCTTCTAATAACGATCTGGAGATGCAGACGTCGGGGCGCGTGGTTGCAGAAATCCAAAAAGCTAGCAGAGAGAGGCCCGCTCTGCTATATTCTAACGCTGACAGTGCGGGCACGATGGCGCGGCGTAACCTGTTGTGGACTGGATTCCTTCGCGGATCGAAAACTGTCCTAGACATGGCGTTAAAATTATGAGAGAAGGAGTAACAACCACTTAGAAACTAAATTGCTGACACTTCGGAGAGAAGTCACTGCTGCAACTAATTTCGAATAGCACTAGCGCGAGCTATTGCGGCCAAGGGGTGCGCGCTTGGCTCCTTAGAATGTTTGCGACGTTGCATATCCATAGAAGCAAGAAAGTGTGTATAAGTCTTCTGTTTGTGGGTGCCGCGTAATTTGTTCAGACCGTGTCTCCGCGTCTAGTGGTTCTAATATAATGCATGCAGCACCAGTTATCGCTGTCCGGGATTTCAGCTGCGGAAGCATACTTGCATGCAAGGGGGCTGTTTGGAGGAAGCGATCAAGGAAGCACCCAACAGAAAGGAGATAAGAGGCATCTGCAGCTCGGGACGATGCTTTACACCCTGGCGCAGACTTATCGGCTATGCCTGGTAACGTTGATTGTATGCGCGACGCGGATACTTTGCACAACTAGAAAGTGGGGGCACTTCCGAGGGATCTCAGTGTTGGCTTTGTGTGTATTTTTCTACTTGGTAATAATTTGGGAATGGTCATGAAGAGGTATTGCTGATTCTGACTACTGACCAATCTTCTAGCTCTAATTCTACGTCGGACAGCGGACGTTCTTGGACAGCTAGACAAATTACAAGTAGAGTATGCTCCCGCAGGCGCAGAGGAAATCTGGTCAGCACGTGCGGAAAAGTACGCAAGGGTGCTCACGTTTTTGGAGCTAGACTCGGCGGGTGGCGCGGTGGACTTCGATGAAGATTGGGGATTGGTATTTGCCAAAACGGTAGAAGAAGTAGAGGGACGAGAAAAAGTAGTTGCCAAGTTTTATATCACTGGAGTGGCAAGGCTGCGGGAAGACCGGGATGAACATTTGCCAACGATCAAGAAGGCGATCCTACACATGTTGGAGAAAGTCTCGGTTAAATATTTCGCCTTGCCGTCGTTCAACAGGTGGTTCACAACAGAAGCGCTTATGCATTATGAGGAGTAGGAGGCTTAGTTACTGCCTTATTTTCTTTACCAATATTCGTCAGGAGCTACTGAGTGCTATGTTGGGGCTTACAGTGTAACGCGTAAAGAAAGAAGAAATCGCTGACAAGACAGATCAAGAAAGCGCATCTTAGTGATTTCTTTGAACCTGGCTAACAAATGCGCTTGCTGCTTTTGGATTGTTTGGGCATAACGTGGGTTTTTGCGTATTTCGTGCTTCCTAGGCGATCCGGGTTGGAAGGAACCGAGCCCGAGATATGGTCCGGCACGTGTTGGATCAACGCAGCGAATTGGGATCGATGCTGGCGGGCAGTAAAATTGGTAACGTGGGACCTGCTGCTTATATGTGGGCATTATGAGACAAATGTAGCTTTGCGTAGACGTTATCCAATAAGTAAATTGTTCTTTTTGGCATTTTTTCAGGTAACGTTGTACTCGTAGTTGTTTATTCTCTTCAACAAAGATCCTGGCACTAGGCTGTAGTCGATGGCGTGGATTAATAGAAGTCATCAGAGGAGGAGCCGTCCATTTTCTGAGTGGATGACGCTGTCTAAATGCTGCTTCTTCCGAGTAACGCGCGGATGTACGCTGGGCAGTATCTAGAAGCGTTCGAAAAGCATCCACAGACAGCCGAAGAGCTAAAGTTGAGTGTCGAGCTATACCCTGTTGGCGTAGAAGTTCTTTCGTACTGGAGTGTGGATCACGTGGTGCACGCAGATGGATGCGTTATCATCGGTCTGCTTGCTGCATTTTTTGGCGGTTGGGAGCGCATGTTAGTGGAGGGAGCTCGATACCCGTTTTTGTTTCTGCCTCATGTGCATTCTCGTGAAGCTTTTGAGGCAGCTTTACGGGAGTTCATGGAGCTCCCCGAAGAGTCAGAGTTGCTAAGGATCCAAGGCGGATTCAATTCCAAGCTGCGGGAGCTCGTTCGAGAGGGCGTGCTAGATGTCGACTACTTCAGAAGCCTCATGATCTTGTGGAAGAAGACTCTGCTGCGAACTTCCAACAGAAGCGAGAATAGTCATTCGATCACTAGTAGAGTCGCTCGCAAGGCAGCTGGGCCTGCGTTACGATCTACGATTTGCACGGATTTTGGAGCGGAAATGATGGCAAGGCAAGCTCGGCAAAAAAAACCGGCTCCACGAGTCAAACGGCAAAAAAACGAGAGGTACATCTCCGAGCGCAATGCTTTTATTGGTGCAGCTATGGAGATGCAGGGCGCAGCGGGATCAAAGCTGCAGGGGGTGGCAAATTTTCGACGAGCGCAGAAACTTTACAAGGAGTCTGCCGAATTGCGACAAGAAGGTGGAGAGGTGGAATGGGTGACGCAGGTGATGCAGCAAGATGTTCATAGACGACGCGTCGAGACCGTCAAATCAAACGTTGAAATGACCGAGGACTATTTGGGTCGCCTGCGCGAATGGAATAAAGACCCGGACGTGCAAGAGCGCAAGGCGCAGGCAGCGCGGCTTCAACACATCCTAGATGCTACTCATGAAACGCGTGCACCATATGCATCTTTGCGGCAACCTGTCGATCAGCAGGGGGAGGGAGAGTGGCAGCCAGATCACTTCAAATCGCTTCCAGGTGCTCACGATGATCAAGTGCTGGCGCCTTCTTTGGCAATGCACAAACCAAACGGCGACTTCTTGGCGAAAGCAGGGACTCAGCGGGCACGTGCGCGCGCATCGTCGGAGCTGGAAGTAGCAAGATTTCACGATCCCGGTTCTTTAGATTTCTATCGAAGTGCGGGCAGTGCCATCTTTGCTATAGTTGGAGCAACAAAAAAGCCATTGGGGGCGAATGCTATCCAAGTTGCTGTTCTCGAGCTGGGTTCCAATTTGTTCTCCGGAGAAGACGCAGAAGAAGCGCTCTGCGTGGAGATTAAGCTATCGGCGATGCCAGTGCCAGTCACGCAGTTACTACAAGAGGAAGCAGGCGCAGGGCCAATCAACAACGAGCTGTGGACATTTACTGATGTGGAGCACGTGTTAGGGACTCTGCGTTTTTTCTTGTCAAAAGCACAGCCTTTTGCTCAGGTGCTAGCGATGAAAGGGAAAGCCTCCAAGGAAGAGGCAGCTGCAAAGGATGAAGAAATGATGGCTGCAGCGGCAGTAGAAGATCCAGAATTGCAAAAGCAGATGAAGCATCGCAAAAAGATAGAAGATAATCTGGAAAAGCTTCGCAGTTCAAGTGATTCCGTTGTTGCATGGCGGCAGCCAGCTGTAGACCTCATCCCAAGGGAAGGAGCCAAAACTAATCAACCTCCCCTAAGTATTCTTCCAGACGAGGTAAAGCAGACAGATATTCCGAATCTAGTATCCTCCAAAGAGCGCATACTCGACGCGGCGGCTGAGCTAGCTCCTGAAGACCGCACACTCGACAAGATGCTGGAGCTGTCTCGAGAGATAGTCTTCGAGCAATCTGCAGAGCGAGCACGTCGAAGAGCTACTCGACAAAAAATCTTCAACAGGTATTTCGTGTTACAGTGGAAGGCTGAGGAGTGCCCGAGTCTCATATGCGTTTTTTACTTCCATGGAGTCTATGAGTTGGTCTTTGAAGTAGTATGGTGCTGCGTTGTGTATCTTTTTATCTCTTTCGTTCTTACTCTCAGCGCGGGAAAACATAGCGAGCATCAATGGGTCAATCCTCTTGCTCCGCTCAATGAGGAAGAGCTGTGTGAGCATCAAAAACAGCTGCAGGCGAACCGACTAGCCCTCCTGACAGACGAATCTCTTTTGGAGTTTGCTCCGGGGTTTTCTGTGAGAGTTCGCGCGTACAATCAATTGGTGCAGTGTACCACTATGGCAATGTAGATTGATGGCAGAATAAATGGCAGATGGCTCTGCGTAGATTTTAGTTTGTGTAGGAAGTCAGTTGCCCCTTCTTTTTCAGATAATGAGGGGAGTAAGTTATTTACGAGCTTAGCTTCACTAGCCTACACTGTGTTTCTGGGTCTAATCATTTGCCGCGCAAAGACGGTTTTGCGGAGAAAATGTCGAAGTTGGATGGCATTCACGCGACTAGGCAAGTGACCATCGGCAGCTACGGTCTGAAAGGCTCGAGGGCCGTCTGCGCCATTTGGTCGTGGATGGTGTACTATCTCCACAGCGTTGGCGCTGAAGACAAAAGCGAGGAGGAGGAGGAGTTAGCCGCAAGAAATAAGGCAGAGGAAAGTCGCGCATATGAGCGGCATAACAAAGACTACAGTCGCAAAATGGCGCCGCGAATTGAGGCAGCTTGTCGAATTATACGAAGCGACAGCAACAAGGAGGAGGCATCTAACTGGCAAGGAGCAGTGACTCTGGTGCAAGGCCAGTCATGTTTACCAAAAAAGTATCGTTACCTGACGCGAGCGGATGAAGAGGACGCAGCGGCAGCTACAGCAACATCGTGAAAAAAGACTCTCGCTGTCGAGGATAGAAAGTCAACTAGGGTGGAAGTTAGTAAGGAAAGATAATCTACGTTTATCAGTAAAGAAGTAGTAGGAATCCAAGGTAGAAGCGTAGGCGTATATAAGGAAGAGCTTTTGTGGTATAGTCAAGCAGATGGAAAGCAGGTTGGACTGAATAAGCCTTGCTCAGCTGTGTGGAGTCTTGCTCACTCAGTGTCACCCAGCTGACGAAGCTGAAGATGTCCGCTTCTTACCAGCTGATTACCAGCTGACGGACCTGAGGCTACCAGCTGATTACCAGCTGACGGACCTGAGGCTACCAGCTGACAACCAGCTGATTACCAGCTGGCCAATCCGCTGCTGTTCAAGTACTGGGTTTCCTGTGTGAAAACCCATAGGATTGAGCAGCTGGTAATCAGCTGGTAATCAGCTGGTAATCAGCTGGTGAGACAGCTGGTTGGCAGCTGGGAGCGTCAGTTCCGTCAGCTGGTAAGCAGCTGGTAGCCTGAGGTCCGTCAGCTGGTAATCAGCTGGTTGACTAAGCGTTCACGCACTCTGTTCAGCTGAGTGGCTAGCGAAGCCTTCCATTTCCTGAGTAATTAAGAAGTCTAGCTGAGCTGTGTCAGTCACCAACGTACGGCAACGCCACTTGCATCAGGCGATTGTGTAGTCTAATTACCATGATTTATACAATCTCTTTCACGCACTATGAAGGACCTTGTTACAAAAATGAAGAAGCAAGCCGTGGTAGTAGCCTCGGAGTGAAGCAACATGACTAAAAGTCAAAGTTAGTCGTTGACCTTGCAAAATTGTAGGATGCATGCAAATATCGAGAATCACTTGCAAAGTAGCTACTGAAGTGTCCATCAGGACTGAGAGTCAGTCCTCTTGCCTCCGATTTTGTTGCTGTGTGTTGAGAGAATCAAGGTCCTTACTTTTTCTTCTCGGCATCCATCGGTTGCTTCGGTTGGTTCAGGTACAATGAAATGTCGACTCGGTTTCGCAGCATCTAGACTTGAAGTTGGCCTGTCGCTGCAATTCAGACCCGTCCTCGGCTCGTTGTCGTTTTTTACGTATGGGAAAAGAAAAAATACTGATCGACAAGCTGCGAATGCAATCCAAAGTCCTTCCCTCTTCAATTCAAAGCGCTAGGTTTGTTTTTTTACCACAGTTGTATGAGGAATATATATCCTCATCTTCAACAGTAAGAAACTAGTCTTCACCATCTTAACGAAGTGGCATCTCTTATAAACCATCGGTAACACCTGTGCCCCTTCATTTACACGACAGTTGTAATTGTTGAACAATCGATCCCCCCTGAGCTTAAGTCTTATTTTGAACTTTGATCTCTACAAGTTAGTAGTAGCTGTTTTCGTGACGCACTATCTTCTTCAGTGTTGTAGTATATATCCCTCAGCGTGAAATTGTAAGAAGCTTTCGCTTGTAAGTATAAATAGTGTCTCTTGAATTAAGTAATCCCAATGAATGTATTTACCTACCAAGCACTCTGAACTTTGTGAAAAAGATTGTACTGCGAAAATCAAAATAAGTATAGATCACAAACTAAGTAAGTGTGGCTTTGGCTATGTCTCTCTGCTGATTCTTCTCTTTTGAAGTGCTACTCCATATTAAAATGTTTAGCGTTTGCGTATCGAATGGCAACAGTTCTTCCCGTATTGTCCTAGTTGGTATCCCTGCTTACTCCTTCCGTTTCTGTAATCGTGCCTCTTTGAGTTTGTAGCTCGCGAAATACAGTCTATTTGATCTTAAAGGAGTTGCTGAATCTAAAATATTTGAAGACAACGAGACAGCCCTTGGTGAATCTCAAATATTTGAAGACAACGAGCCAGCCCATTATCTATCTTAAATCAGAATACCCTAAAGTCACGCCGATCGCATAGTCCTAAAAATTCGTTTTGTTGGTTCATGATTCTAGGTCGACAACCTGTCATAACCGATTCTAACAACAAAAACTGAGAAAAGCTTTTGGACTAACAAGCAAGCATAAAAAAGACTAACAAAATGCCATCGTCGTCCTCCTCCTCCGGGTCCGGACTACCGCGTTCGCGATCCGTGCCCGCCAAGGAAAAAATCTCCATTGAAAAGCTCGAAATCTTGGCAGGAGGATCGCTGGGCGGGCCGAGCAAGATTTTCAAGGGCAAGCCGAAGCTTCAATCACTTATTATGGATTATTCATTGCTCCTCATTTACTTTTACATGTTATCCTTAAGAGATCCATCGCTATGCATATCACACCTCTCCCCTAGATATCGATGGGCTTGAAAGAAGCAGCTGCCATCTTCTGGCTCGTAGTTCATTTTGCAGTTGTGCGTCGATGCACTCTTAAATTTTGACTAGCCCTCAAACGACGCACTTCTCTCTTTCTCTAACCTCTAGGAGAAACACGAAGGTAATGGACCAGGACCCAAAACCAGAAACCGAACTCCCGCTACGAGTCATAGCAGCAATCCTAAGTTAAGGCCAAGGATTTAAGTCAGTGTTATCAAGGTCATAATATTTTGCAACTGAGTCGTGACGCTACTTTTTATATGTGCCCTAGTGTTTCACGGATGTGCACGAATATGCCTACTACTCATATTCAGCATAACATGCTGCCACCTGGGACCTGCAGACCATATTGAGTCCGATTCTAATAGCCATGAATGCGACAGGCCGCAGAGACGTCAAAGAGTACATCTTATGGCACACAAGTCCCGTTGTCTATTCAGTGGCTGCCTAATTGAAATAGATACTGAGCTGATTTCTGACGGCTTCACTTCTCTTCGTCTTTCATCTGAACTAAGTATGTGACCTACCTAGGAGACAGACTGGAGGGCGAGGCGCTGACTTAAGGGGCCTGGGAGGAGGGCCAAAAGGCTAAGCCAAGCCTCTTTTTCAAATGAAGCCACACTCAAGGAAGTTAGCAAAGGCGCTTTGCTTGCAGTGTGACATATTATCAGAGTAGTTGATGTTGATGTAGTACTAGTATATTTAACAGCCAGAGCCCAATTTCTTAAGTTCTTTGGTCACCTACTTGAGACGACTCCTTCCACGTGCATCACTAAAACTAAGAGTCCGTCCTTGTTCTTCTGATCTGTCTCTTTAGCGATCAACTTCGTTCACAGTCAGTTTCCAGATGTGCGTTGATTCTCACCCCTCACCTCGCCTCCTTGCGTGTGAGCCTCTGTATGTTCCCTTTCATTGATCAACGACAAAGTCCGCACGTTTCCTTGGCTGCAGCATAATATAGAGACGAGTCCTGCGCTCAAAATATGGCCTCATACATGATATTTATCTATGGAGAAAAAACCTTGCACAAGAAGCACGGCAGTGCCGTAAGTATCCTCTTCTTGTGCAAGACACACGCTCAGAAGAAGCATCAACAAAAAAGAAAGGCCTCGTCTCTAACATTCAAAGAAGTGGTCCGGATGTGCACCCAGGCGTACTTTGTTATGGCTACAATCAAGAAAAATTGCGAGGAGCAACACAAATGGAATTTTCATACACCCCATCCTCATCACGACCCGTTTTATGCCCTTTAGTTACTAATCTTGATCAGCACTTGCAACATGAGTCACACATGTCAACTCAAGATACATATGAGCATGAGCAAAATAACTGATAATCTCAAGCAGTGTTCCATACTTACTGCTATTATGTTATCACACATCCCTACACATCGACGCTCAAAAAGACTCATAGACTCGCCTAGATACTATGTTTTAGTTTGCGGATGGTATCAGCTCAAGGTGCAAATTTCTAATGCCGCAGGAAAGCAACTACGCAAAGCTGAATTCCAAACAGGCATGTTTGATTATGGCTCGAGTCGCTTTTAGTTGAGCTTTTGGCTCGTTGCGCGCGCGGCGTGTCAGCTGTGCATCTCTCTCCTTCAAGAGACCCGAGCATCACTGCTTTTGAGTCTCTCCGTTGATTTTGGGTTCTAGAGTGATATCTTGAATGCAAAAGTGAAGATATCATCCCTATGCCTGGCGCAACCGCATTCGAAGCAATTGAACAAACTAAAAGCAGGAAGCAATCCTACCCTTCATCTGTAACCGTTTTACCTCGCTTTAAGGCTTATTGCTACCTCTCTTGCAGGGTTGCATAAGGCTGGTTTTATCATGAGTAAGCATCTGACTGCCTTATGTAATCAGCAAAGTCTTGAGGTGGGACAAAAAAACCGCTAAGCAACCATGTGGAAAGCGAAGCCGAAAAACTGGGCATTATTAAGGCTTACCTAAGTCAATCACACTAACCATAAACTTCCTCTGCTTGTGTACTTTCTTTGGCGCCCCCTTAATTATTGATTAATGGGGGATACTATGACCCCCGCAGTCAAAATTCATCTGTCCCATGGCGACCTATTCTAAAGCAGCCAAAACGCTCAACTACACAGACACGGACGGCAACTTGCAGACCCGGGTGTTCTTATGGATCTCCAGTGAATAGTTTTTTAGCATCCTTTACTTTGCTCACCTATAGACTAGTCCTTCTCATTCGATCAGAGTTGTTCCTAACTTGTCGAGGAGTGTTGGCCTTCAGTTGAACCAGTTTTCTAGTGCATATTTTAGCATATTTTTTTCAGGAAAAAAAGCAACCTAGATAGTGCTCTTGTAAGCTTCCTTCACACATGGCGTTTGAGTCGCAATAAATCCACCCTTCCCGGATTAAACTGCTACACTCTCACCAGCCTGCAAGTATACCCTAGATTCACTTTCATTTTTTCGAGGGACGAAGCCCCAGCCGGTGCCGCGTACAGAGGAGGAGTTGGAAAAACTTGGGCAGGTCCGTGAAGAGCTTTAAGGTAGATGCTGGACTGTGTCGCCGTGCTATCCGTGATCGCGTAAAAACTTGCCTGTAGTGAGAGACTCACGCCGACAAATTTCTATTTCTCATAGAGATAGCATGAGCGCGTAGCCAGGAAGGCTTGTTTCTGTTTATCGTTACTTTTGATTTTCCCGCAATCTCAAGTACGAATCTCTAATGCTGCCGAATGTTTTTGGGACAACAAGCTTCCAACAGCAAGGGCCCAATGGTTATGCATGTGTGAATTACAAATGACCAAGCGCATCAGGCTGTCTCTACGTACTGCTAGAAGCACTCCTCGTTTTGACATATAGAAGCCACGTGTCCCCTTCAGCTTCATAAATTGAGATCAACAGCAGCCGTCTTCTCACTCTTAGCATCCCTTTCCTTTTTCATTGCTTAAGTCCGTAAAATTTTGGGCTTCCAGTATGATCAACCGACGAAGGAAGAGCTGCAAGTTATGCAGGTAAGTATCGTGCTTACCTACAGATATTATTCCTCATTATCCGTTAGTGCCTAAGTCTTCTTAAGGAGTCCTTTGTTTTAGATTTCTGCAGGCCTTGGCAGGACTGGATGAGACCTCGTTTGTGCACGATCATCAAGTCATATAGCTTTCCTTACTGTTCCCAACTAAAGTTTATTTCTGCTCATTAGAGAAAAAGGGGGCGCAAGTAGATACTTTCTCAGACTTTTGATAACTCAAAAATACTTCCCCCAACTCAGCAAATCATGAAAGCACCGAAGAGCTACGCTGTGGACATTAAGGCTGCCAATTTTGCTTCGTCTGGCTGGTCTTGCTTGTCTCTTTTAAAAACTTCACCCTATCTATTTAGTACTGGTATAGCTATACGCAAGGCCCGACCCCGACGCATGCGAATCGATGCCACGCCTCTAATCAACTGGGAGTGGAATTTATGGAAAACAAAGACTATTTCCCAGCTATTTGCTCAAATCTGCTTTATGAATCCGTCCGGGGAAAGCTTCTTTGATTAATACATATATGCTATGCTTTTCACTTTCTTGCACCGTCGTCATCACTTACCTGTGATGGAAATTTTACAACATCTCGCATTCCGTGGTCCTACAGACTCAGCGCAAAACTTTTCTCGATCATCAATCTCTCTTCTCGAATTCAAGGCTTAATGCTGCGTGTCTGGTCCCGGAGCTCAGCAGATATCTCAGCGACCTACTCTTAAGAGTCAATTGGTGCTCAAGTACATGAAGGAGCCTATACTTCTTTGTCTGCGGGTTTTTTATAAGTAGGCAGCCCCGCCCATACTAATAGAGCCCCGCAAAGGGATACTCTAAGACAAATTATTGCTGCTATTCTAAGCTTCTACTAGAGCACTCATTTTTATAGACCTCTAATAGCAGCAGGCTCTATCGGAAAGACGGGAGAGGACTGGGTGGAGACGTATCGCATATTTATCTCTATTTATATCTACTTATATACTATAACTATTTCTGGACGCAACCAGAAGGATAGCCAATTCTCACTGAAATACCCAGCCAAACCTGGCTTCCATCCTTACTTAGAAGTCTACCTCGTTCTGTACTACTTAGTTCATGTCCATTGAATATTATTGATGCTATCTATTTACTGCTATGCATGGGCTATTTGTCTTTCCTTCTTAGACTTTAGAAAGTAGAAGAAAGGAGTTGCTTGCTGGGACCTAACTCATGGATCCATATCAGAAACTGGGGCTTTGTGCAGATGCTGAAGAGAGTTGAAGAGCAACGATTCATGGACTTCAAGGATAAGGCTCCTTGTCTTGCGTCTCCGCTTGCGGCATCTTGGTACTGCTCCCGTTTCTTGAACTATAAGAAACACGCACCCAAGTGCTACAAGACGACGCGTGGACTTCTCTCTGTCTAATCAACAGGAGCTTGGCCTCGATTATACATACGACGTCCCGCGGGACCGCATCGCAAGCCTCTGCAGTTACGTGACGAATTAATTTTGGGGATGTGCGCAAACTTCTAGTGGCATGATTTACAGTAACATCTATAACTAAAACTAACCGCTCGCTTCTTTAATCTAAGGGGGCGTTGATGTCAGTGAATGCTTCCAAAAAAAAACCTGTGTTCTAAATATAGACAAAAACTATATCTATGTATACATGCTCCCTCCGATGCTTATCTCTACGGGGCAATACCCAACATGTGGGCCTCGTTGACTTAAGAAATCATATGCAGCACGATGCTGCTCCCGCCGACTTCCCTCTAACGCAATTGGTTCGAGTACGTGATGGAGATCCGCAAATATTTGCGCTTATGGCAATTAAAGTCCCAAAACCAAACTTGACCAAGCTAAAGCTTCCACTTGTTCTTCTAGGTGACCTTTCAGCAAGACTCTGCGTGTTCTGGTGTACAATGTGGATTAACCAGATTGATAACTTCAGACCTATATGGCTTACCTTACCTACGAGTTTCCCAAAGTCCTCTAACATAGAAGGGCGGCAGCTTGGACGATATCGATGAAGAGAATCCAATTTATGACAAGCTGAGTTTGACACTTTCTTATACACAGTCATGGTCTATCCTTTGTAGTTGCAGCTATTCCTGCTTCTAGTTACTTCTCCAAGTTGACGCGCGTGCCCCTTCTGCCCTGTCTCTTCTGTGACTGACACATCCCTGCTGTGATTATCACCGGACATGGAGCAGGAGTACTATGTCTCTCTTCGATGGAATATCCTTTCCAGAGAGAGACACGTTTGGGATTTCACTATGCATATTACCCTTTATCCACGCTCTAAGATCTCACTCTGTTCGCAAGCATGGCATCCGGCAACAGCACAGCCAACGGGAGTCGTTTTATGATGATTGATAACGATTCCTAAAAATGAAGTAACATAAGACAGGCGCTTGATAAAGCGCGTCGTGGCTCTTGGGGCGTGTAACTGACAAGCAGGCTCCTAGCAGCGTAATCCTAGCCCCTAGTCATGGAGAGAGTCTCTCTTTCTTTATCCTTCGTTCTCTATGCGTTTCCTCAATAAAAAAAGAGTCGTCTTATTTATGACTGGCAAAGGACTTCTTGATGCCCCATTTAGCTCACTGCTTCTAGACGTATCCGAAATATGTTATGCGAAGTGAGCCTCAACCTTCTGCCTTCACTCTTGAAGATAGTTATCCCTTCACATAATAGCGCACACAATGCCTTGGGACTCTCCCTCGTGTTCTAATCCCACAGGTCGTGGAAAAAAGGCCGCAATGAACCTCCTGCCCGCTGGCCCAGATGACCGATGCATTGAGGATATGGAAACGCATTGGGGGTCGATCTTTGCTTGTTTCAATTAAGGCCTCATAGAAAATTAATTCCTATCTACTTTCTTGTCTTGTTTTTAGTCGTTGCTCAGGAAAAACGCGGAGTAGAATGCTTCCGCTCGGCAGCATCGCGGTGCATCTAGTTCGAGACACAATCTAAGTTGCAGCGATTGGAGATAAAGTGAAGTTATGGCTATGCTTTTTCGCTATCGTTGAGGCCACTGAAGGGCAAAAGCTGCATTTACAAAGTTGCCTGTTAACTATTTCACTGACTGAACGTCTACGTCTTGTACCGTTTGCGAGTGCTTCTCTCCAACAGATCCGCGTATATTAGTTACTGTTCCACGAGGAATATCCATGCGCGATCGTAGGATGGGACGACATCTACTGTCCTTCAAGTATAATGGTGAAAAAAAACTTCGTTGGTCATCTTCGGTCTACCCTTTCTAGGCTGCAAACTATGTAGACGACAGCCTGAGTAATTCGCATGGTTGTAAGCACTCCTATACTTCGAAGAAAGCTTTATTTCTAACACCTACTCGCAGTTCGGTGAACGAAGTTGCCGATCGACTGAAAATCACCCTCCACAAGATGGTCAACGCGTTCAGTGTGCATTAAGGTTGATGGGTAGTAGCGCTCTGTCTTCTGTCATATTTATCCTCTCTCTTGATTCCCAAGGAAATCAAGGACATCCAAAGCCACCCTTCGTTCCGCACGAAGTCTGGAGTACTTCTCTCTAACATGCGCAAACGTTTGCAACCAGCCTTGGACAGGATCCAAATTAAGAAAGCTCTCTGCTTCGTAATTCTGATCATAGAGCGATGCATAGCGCTAGAGATTGATACCCATTTCATTAGTCTTAACTAGCACTAGCTTGTCCAAGATGGATTGTTTCAAACAATCCATCCCTCGACTTAAAAAACTTACCAAATCTTTTTTTCTTGAAGAGTAGGTGTCAAGTGTATTAGTCCATGCATCTACTAGTACTAATTATTATCCTCCTCAGAAATTCACGCATAAGCATGATTAGCGCGCTATCCTGGCGCGTATAGCTACTTCTAGGCGAAGACCTCGCACTTCTAAGCCCCAGGGGAGAAGGACGCGGAAACTAACCTCAAGCACTGGGTTACCGCGATTTACGGCTGCCGCTAACGTGTCTTCACTGCTATCCCCGCTTGGCACTTTTTCAACTTGAAAAAGTATATATGGGTAGCGTGAAGCAGAGGTACCAAGGCGGCTCCTCTAAAAAATGAATACCGAATTGGTCGGGTTATTTTTATGGCATTGGAGTAGTAGCTAATTATCTTGCTAGACAGCATGCACATCTATGCACAAGAAGGCACGGCTAGAAAATGCACGACGAAGCAACTTTCCTGACTCTAATATCCAAACTGAAGGACAGCAAGAAAATGCACGACGAAGCCATGGAGTGGATTTATGACGCGTACCTACCTAGAGTGCTGACTTCCTTACCTTCTCTTCCCCTTCTTGTTTGCAATCCATGGTTGGTAGCTAGAGGCTGTCAGTCTTAGTCATTACGATACTATACACACTCATCTATCATGACTTTCATCAGCGTGGTAATGTGACTCTAGGTCTCTGTCTCCCTCCTTACAGGTCGTGGCGAGATTGACTTGTGTTGTTGCCCTAGGTCTTACTGTCTTCTTTTACAAAAAAATACAGGTGGGACGGAGACCCTTCCTTCATGCCTGACGACCTCATGCCAAAAGCCAACCTGTTGAAGTACTATTTCGCGACGCGCCAGCTGGAAGAGAGAAGCACTTTTGGTTAAGAAGTTTTGTAATACATAGTAGTCAGCATCTGACAAAAACAAAATCTCACAGACAAGAATATCCAACATCATGACAGGATGACTCCGTTGGTGATCATCCCATTTTTGATCATCTCATCAACGTGACACAAAACTACTGGCTAACGCTGAGTCTACCTGTCATTCTATACATAGCTGAGCATAGACCCTCCATAGTCCAACGTCCTTCCACTTCTTCGCTTTTAGTCAGTCTTTCTAATTTTCCCGAGTGAAGTGGCTGTCTGAAAAAGAAGGAAGGAAGGATCTTCTGATGACTTGCTTGCCGATTCGTGGCAAGAAATTGATCAAATAAGGCAGCTAGTAGCTAGTTCATCTCCATCCTACGCAGCATCATAAGAAAAGCTAATGGCGTTTGTGTATGAGCAAACGAATCACAGAGAGGACGAGACGCTTTTCTTTGAGTATAGAGATGAACTCGTGTAGACGCAAAGACCAGGAGATTACTGACGGGGCCCACTTACGGCTGAGTAATATAATTCATGCTTCCAAAGTAATCATGCTTCCACAGTCTGGCTTCCTCTGTCATGGGCTTCAAGTCAGAAAGCATGCCAACTCGGGTGTCGCGTGAGTTATCAGCTTTCCCTGCTAATAATACGATGGGAAGAAGAGCTTTTGGACTGGATGCAAGATTAAGGCTCGAGCAATCTTTTTGGATACTACAGCAATGCAAGTTGTAGCTTTCTTCGTGAGTTTTCTCCTCCCCATCAATAATTAAATTTGTCCAGAAATCCTCCTGCTTCCTGAACATGAGGTGGGAAAAGCAGCAGCTCTGTCATCGCTCCATCTAAAACGCATTTGACCAACCGTGGACTCCCGAAATTGTGGACTACTTCACTTATGCATGGTTCGTCGATTGTAGATAAGCCGAAGCTATCCCTCCGCAGGAGCATCAAGTGGGCACACAAGAGCGACGCGCCTGCCTGTTCTCTCAACAATTATTTAATATCCAAAGCTTCGAGCTACAGAGATACAGGGGATAGCTTCTATTTCCCATCCGCACCTAGGTAGCAAGTTCTTAGTCTAATACAGTGACGAGCTGACGAATGACTGGGACATTACGAACTTCACCCCCAACAAATTGGAAAAAAGGATGGTGGCGGTACTAACTATATAGCAGTGCTTTTTTGCACTCTCTTTCTGTCTTTAAATTTCACTTTCGACTGAATGGGAAAAGTGCTGTTCTCTCCTGTGCAGTTTGCCGGTGGCCTCTACTATCTTCTTCGTCAGCATCTTCCTACCGAATTACAAGCTTCATTCGCTGCATCTTGTCTCTTAATATCTTCCAACCAGATACAAAACTTCTTGCACAAAGAGCACTGCGAGAATAACTATCATTCGGCGACAGGGATTCGCTGCCTCCAGTATTTCAATTATGGCTGGCGATTTCTATGTATCCAGAATTTCTTGCTAGTAGTAGAGCTGAAGGTGGTACTTCAGTGCTCGAGTCTGGCGAGGTGATAACTCGATTAGACTCTTTAGTAACTTGTGCACTTTTTTCGTATGTTTCCCGGCAGGCACTATCTATCAGTAACTAGTCACTGAATAAAACCTCAAGACCATGCAAAAAGCCCGAGACTGACAAGTCTCGGCCCTGCTCGCACGAGCATTCTCTAATGTTGCAAAAACAATTGGTCCGCGAAAGTTAAGAAAGTGCATCTTCTGGAAGCCCTGGCCACTCTGGTGTCCGAGCTTAGCCATCGTTTTTCCAAGGCATGAAAGAAAAGAAATGGCGAGGTCCGAGACGCAGACCCATGCAGAAGATGCTCGCTGCACGTGTCTAATGCCATGAAAGAAGTCAAGAGCTTTTATGGCGACAGTGAATTCTTTTCCAAAAGTCGTCTTTCTCCACATCTGCATCTTTCATTGCGTTTGGAGAAAGCTCGCTTACTAATTAGAATCAATATGAATTCCCTAGTAACCACTCTAAGACCAGCTGAATGCTTTCAAGAATCGTTTGGGTACAACGCAAATTACTCTTATGGAGCAGCCCCTTTCCCCTTCTTCAAGCTTCTATATCAAAAATTAGGTGAGCCCCGCACCTGACCCGTTTCCCTTTGTATACGCTGTCTCCTACTCCTTTTCTGTATCACGTAGCCAACCCATCAGCATCCTAGTATGATTGTGGTTCTAGTAATATCGTTAATGATTCTCCCATACATATCTTGGCCCTACTTGTGGCTGTTCATTTTCGAAAAAACATCCCTCACCTCTGATGATAACCATTTAGTAGGGAAGGACGTGTGTGATAGCATATGCACCTCCTCTGATTTATCCATCCTCAGTTTTCTCGTTGTCAATGACCCCAAACAACAAATTACATAGACGACGCGGCGCTATTCGATCGTGCGGCCACAGCGTGGCTAGCAATTTATGGCTGGGATATACATGAGCTTCCAACTTGATTCCTCCTTATCCATTCGAACGGGCTTGGTTCAGTGCAATCGAGTTCCATACTTGCAGGCTACAAGCGATTTCCAAATACAAGATTACAAGTCCTTCGGGCCTCCATCCATCCTTCTCATTTTCTGTGGAGTTTCTTCATCCATTGTGCTACCCGTCACACGCAACTTAAACCCACGAGAGTATCCCTTTCTAATCACCTAAGCCGTGGGTTACAGAGGGGAAGCCGCCGCTCCTGGAGGAGAAGTTATGGATTGAGGTCATTTCTCGTCTATCATCAAAATTGTCTCGATTTGCTTCCCCCGGTAGACTGATACATAAGCCATCAGAAGTGCAGCCTCCTTGTCAAGAAATTACTTCCATCGCTCTCATTCAGTCGCGCTTTGTGTCATAAAACAATGTCTACCTTCTAATGCCGGACTCAATGGAAATCGATAAACTGATTGAAGAGGTGGATGAATTATGGAAGTCCCACAAGAAGATGGTGGACGAGCAAGACGAGGCCCAAGAGATCAATGTTATGGAGCTGGATGCATTGTAATCCAATTGTATTACCATTCTTTCGATTTACTAGCTCGTCGAGTAAAACTAATTAGTGTGGACTTAGCGAGGTAGCCCAATAGATACCCTCGTGCCCAGATACAAGAAGACGCATGACAGTTACACAGTTGGAAGCAAGACCTCCCAGGAGAGTGTCTTAGTGGCCCTGCGGTAGTATATACTACATCATGCATCATCTACCTAAAGTAGACGGATGTGCTACGATGCGCCGCACAGACTTGCCTCAATTAACGTAGAGCCTTCGCTCTGTCTCGTATGATCTATCTATCGCGCATTGACCGTCTCCGCAGTAAGAAAAAAAAAGGCTTGCTGCATTTCAATAGACTTGTAACTAGTAGAAGTGAGTCTCTTTTTTTATATCTTGGTCTAGTTTGGTCTCCCAAAATTCTTTCCGAACCCACGCTAATTCCCGCGACGATCAAGTTCTGGCTGCGTTGGAAAAATTAAGGCTACCTACGCTACTGCAGTTGCATCCATTTTGACTATCATGCTCATACCCTACATCTTTTTTGCTTCTCGGAAGGAAAGACTCAGGATCATGGGCGCGTAACCTAAAGATGCGACTGTGGTAGCAAACTCTAAAAATCGGAGAGAAGCAGATGCAAAAAGCGGAGAAGGTTCCTCATTCAATGTGTTACACAGACTGACTTTATCATGCATCTTCATTCATCTAGTGAGGCAGTTTCATGCTCTTACTCTTTGATGCGCAACTTGCTCTATCCTGCAACTTCTAGTCGTCTCATCTGTCAGCTTTTTTGATGTACGTTGAGTCACTAGGTTGTTGGTAAAAAATGCATTGCCCTCCTGGTCCTGATATTGATTCTCGCTACTTCAACAACGACGGGCGAATTCATGATCTGACTTCGGTGAATGCGTGACTTACTCTCATTTCCCCGGCAATGCGATTAAAAAGCAAAAAAGACAAGCACGCAGCCATCAGATGGCAGCTTGCATTGACTTGTGGCTTGGGACTGGATGAGGCTTGCTCATGCTTACTGGACCTTCAGGGGGCTTGGCGGAGCTTGGGGCTTGTTCACATCAGATTCATTTGCGTCGAACTTTCATCATCGTTTCTTTCATCAAACTTTTATCAACCTTTCTTCTCCAGGTTGGCGCCGTAGCAAAGAAGAAGTTGAAGAAGAAAAACCAGGCGCAAGCAATGATGGACGACTTTTTCGGTCCTCTGGAAAATGGTGCAGAAGAGGCAGGCGACAACGAAGACGACGTTAAGCTTACCCTAATCCTTCTTCGGAGGCTTTGCAGGCCTGTTCCATGAAAAACTTGATGCCTATTAGGCCTCAGCTTTTTCATGATGTTCAGCTTCAGTCTCACTCTATCATCGATCACACTCTAACGTCAGCAATGCCACTCTGTTGCCACAAGCGGGAGGCAGAGTCTTGCCCAAAAAGCGCAGCAGACAGGCCAGCAACATCACTTACGCGATTTAACATAAGTTCGCCCTCTACCCAGTATTGTTGACCATGGTGAATGAGTGAATTACTCTTGAATAAACAGTAGCTGGCTCTGTGCGTAGTAGTAAGTAAGTATGACCATCTTGGACGCCCACGATTGTCGGCTATCGACACAACAGTTGTTGGCTATAGTTATGGAGCCCAAAACCTCTCTCATTCTCAAATCATCGAAAAAATTTTCAGTCCACTCACCATAGTCGCCACGCACCAGCGGACTTTGCTAGCTACTTTGGAAAGCGGCGAGCAAGGTGCAGCGGTCATAAGTAGGGGCACAAGTGGAGGCAAGGGCGCTGGGTCATGTCGGGCCAGAGATGTGCACTCGAAGACGCGGCGCCCAGACGCGGGTGGCGTGCCTCTGTGATTTGGGACGCCGTCGCCTGCTTCTATTTTCAGGGAAGTTCTGCTACGCAAGTACCAGCACACACTCGGAACCGGGTGTCGCGCTGGGTGCAGCTTTGCTCCCTGCTTATCTTGCGCCTGCGTTGTTTCGTTGCGTTTGCTCTTACACTGGGGCCAAGGGCTCACCTTGTGGCACAGCAGGGAGCAAGCTGCCATCTGTGTCAGCAGCTGGCGCGGTAAGAACCCACCAGCACCAACAGCCAGCCCGCCAGTTTCTTCGACTCCAGCCGCGTCACATGCCGCGGCCTCTGCTGGATCTGCATAGAGCCGCGGAACCCTCTCGGTGGCTGAATGGCGCAAGACCAGGAGCACAGGCAGCCCAAGGCGAGCCACTCACGCTCCCACACAATACGCACCAATCTGCCACTTCTAAGCCATCTGGGTGAGGCGGTAAGCTGTGCGGTGGCAACGCCACGCACCTGCTGAGTTTTTGCCGCTGGTCTTGAAGGCTGCCTGGTTCGGTCTGCCGGCTCCTTGGCTTGGGCCCTTGGCTCTCGACGAAGTCAACGGCAAAGAAATCGACTTGAGAACGCTGGGCTCGCACGGTATGGCTGACGAAGGCAACACCTGCAGCCAACCTGCCCGGCATGATGAGGGCAGCCCACGAAACAGGCAAAAAAGTGAGACTTATCGGCCATACAGTGGGGCCAAGCTTTCTGGGGCTTGCCTTCTTGCGCGTTCTCAACCCCAGATCGGCGACCCCAACCGAAGAGGCAAAGGCGCGGAGTTGAGAACGGCAGAAGGTGGCCATGGATGGCGCCCTTTCTCGCATAGTATGACGCTCCAAAAGGGTGCCAAAAGTGTCGACTTCTACTGGAAAAGTGAGACTTGGGGTCCAAAATGCGACAAGGTCTGACGGCTGAACGCACTAGAAACAAGCCCCAGACCTCTCTCCAGCGTTTCCAAGGTCGCGGGTCTTGCCTCGCGTTTCCCATCTCGGTCGACCAGCGACCAAGGCTCTGCCAGCTTGAACCGCCTAGCGAGGCTGCGGCCATATGGACCACAGAACAGCCCGCGGGCAAGGTTGCTACCACTAAAATCCCGAGGGGTAGCCTGGCGGCGGGTCGCGCCAGTTCCTTGCCCAGGTGGTTCCGCAATCGGTGGCGCAACTTGAGCAAACACACGGACAAGAGGACGGCCGCGGGCGGTAGGCTAGGCAACATGGGAAACGGCCTAGATGTTTTTCCAGTTTTCAACTGTTGCGGCCACAGCCAAAGATGGCAGACTATTCGTGGCGGAGTCACATCGCCGGAAGCTGCGGGCGAGGCGGCGAGGCAGGGCGGCTGCGGTCAGTAGGTTGGCCTTGGGGAGAAGCTGGCCCATTTGTGAGGCGGGGGCAGCCGGGGCGGGGGCTTAAGCCCCTGGAGTTGGCTAGTTAGCTTCTCTCTTTCAGTCGCTAGCCATCCAGTAACTTCAAAAATTTTCGCTAATATGAGAATGAGAGAGGTTTTCGGTTCCATAATAGTTATCGACGTCTTATCTCTAATGCGGCGCTGGTGTTACCATGGAAACGGATCAGGAGAGTGAACCTGGTGCCAGCAGTTCATCTGTCGCAGCCGCGCGATCTACTGCAACCTTCTCGGGTGCGAGTCCTAATGAGCCTGTGGATGCGGCGCCTGCCTTATGTCTCGGATTCACTAAGCGACCTCTGTTGAGTCAGGTCCCCGAAGACTAACCTTACTTCTTGTTCTTGCTAGTATACTTTATCTACCTGCTTTTATTCTATATTGAAAGAGCGAGGAGCAAGACCAAGGCTAATTATACGAATCTCCCTCACAATGATGACTAGAGGCGCAGGCATTTGTAGACTGAGTATCTACGCATCTAGTTGCACTTACATACTTTTCTTCAAATTTTCATGTCTATGAGATTATATTTGCTTTACTTTATATTTCCTACAACTTACGACTCTTAGTTAGAGCTGTCATGTAAAGTGCATACTAGCTTTTGCTTTTTTCATTAATATGAGGCTACATCTACATGACTCGGCATAGATTCTAGTACAGCTAGTTTATTAAAAATTTTTGCTAATTCGCGCTCCCGCAGACTGGGCGATAGGCAAACGAACCATCCGCGTCAGCACGAATGCCAGACATGTTTCCTTAAGCTTTCCTTTCTTCCATCTCACAAGGAATCCCTCAACCGTATGCGCGCCATTCAATACAGCGGGTCGCGGGAGTGAACCATGTCGGCGTAGGTACGAGGGAGTTCTCAACGAGATTCCGTAGATATCTAATATTCATCGCAGAGCTGAACGGCAGGGATGAGGACCCTCCTGTAGCAGTTCAGCCTGTAGCAGCCCCTGCTGTAGGAGCTCCTTCTGCTGCAGCCCCTCCTGTAGGAGAAACTAGTAGTTGCAGGACCTTCTTCAACCCCTTCGCAAAGAAAGGAGACTCCACTTCTACTTCCTACGTCTGCAAACCTAATGGTACGCCCGACTGATTCAGAGACCAAACCAAAGAGGTGAAGAGCTTGCTACTTGGGTTCGCGTAGCCCTAGCGCGATCCTTAACTACTGAGTAGCTCCTTATTAGCATCGGCAGCTTCTTTTACTAGCAGCGTGAGTACTTCTATTCGAATCTAGCATGAGTAGCGCTTGCTTCCATCTTTGTAAATGGTTTCTGAATCATATCTGGAAGCCTTCATTAGATAAGAAGGAAAACGCGTCTGGCATCCTGGTCAGCCTTCACAGGAGTGGGTGAGCGCGCAGATCGCGGAATTTTTTACGAACGGTAGCGTAGCAATCTCTCTCAGTTGGTTGACATACTAGAAATCGTCCCTCGCTTACTTTTTAGATAGTATGCTGCGATAGATGGAGACGTCCGTCTACAGCTACGCCGTTCCGTCCCATCAACAGAAGCTTGCTACTCTGCTAACAAAAGTAAACTTCTTCTAATCTTTCCTGGATGACAAGCGAATGGTGGGAGGATACCACGTGGCAATACGCTTATGAGCTTGGTGAGTCTGTTTTTCTTCATTGATTCGGGAAAGGCATTTCTCAATAATCTTACGCGCCATGAGTTCAGGATCCTCCATAGCGCGGGAATATAGAATGCTTCCATATTCGATCCTGAACTACATGGTGTTGGTTGTGGTGCCTCGCGGTTCCCTCTTATGGTAGTGCAAGAGGCTTCTCTCTTTCTAATTTGGGATTTCCCAAGTGGAGGTGGTTCACGTCGCCGACTACCAACTGTTCCTCAGCGACCCGGTTGCGTTTCCCCTTGTTCCAGTTATGTTGCAGAGAGTTGCAGTTTATTTTAACTTCACATCAGAAGACACACTTACTAGGTATAGATACTTAGGCAGGCCCTCCCTTGAACAGAAAGCAAACTAATGAACCTCGCAGGCGTAATTCATTGAGTCAGTATCGTTCTTGGCGCTCCCTCGTATCAACGCTGCTGCAGACGCTTCGCCTGCAAATAGCAAGGAAACGAAGCAGATAACTCGCTGGTTCTTACGATTTAAGATTTCTTTTTCTAATATCAAGGATATCCAGAGAGCAACAAACCGGAATCCTGGCGTGGAATTTTCCGAGTGGATGATGCAAGCAATGCGCGCACGTTATGCTCGTAAGTCATAATCTAAATGACGTAAGTGATTAATAAAGTAACTTAGTTTATTACTGTCTTGAAGACCAATCAATGCGCATGAACCAATAGGGAATATTCTGATAGATGGGTACGTAAGAGTTTCCTGACATTGACTGGGCTCCTGCCTCTCCTGAGTATGCCTGTTTTCTTTTCTAATCCTCTGCTGAAGTTGCCCAGAGCATCGCGGACAACACTTTTCACGCAGACAAGCATCTTTTAAGCATACAGGAAGCGCCTCTCTCCATGGCAGCATTCTCGCTTTTGATTGTGGCTTTCTAATGCCGCAATTGTGGGGAATGCTGAGAAAGAGAGACGGACTCGTGACGGTTCTAAGAAGGCAAGCCTTTGTATCGACTTGGCGCGGGGATCTGTTTTTATGTCTATCAATCAAGATAATTGAACTTCGTACAAGATTAACATTGCAAATGTAGAAGCTCCTGTAGAGAGACTACGCACTAGCAAAGACAGAGACTAGAAGTACACTGTTACAAACAAACTGAAGTCGCTATGCTTGATTCATCATTGTCCAATTATGGGGCCTTCTTCTTAAACAAGTTCCTCACCCACCGCGGGTTCGTTCTAATCCGGTTCCGAGAGTGGTCCCTTCAACCGCGCGACACGGTGGAGAAGATCGAATTTTTATGAGTGTGGAAGTTGTGACGCTAGCTCTCCTTATTTTGGTCTCTCACTTATCCAAATCCAACAGCATAGTATGCATATCTCTTGCTGCTTGGATTCAGCAGCGGGTAAGACGCTGGTTGGTAGATGCAGACTCATTTATTTTAGTAGGTGCTCATGAAAGTGAAACAGACTCCGCCTTCGCGGATACTCCACCCGGATGAAGGCTTGTTTGACTTACGGTCGTTGAATTTCAAGTGCGTCAGTCTCCTCTAACTCGCACGCACGACTGGTTTCACGTGGATCCCATTCAGCGGAATTCTTTGGCGCGCCAGGTTATGCAATGACTACTACTCGGCAGCCAAGCTTTTAACTGTTTTCAGTATTGCAAAGTCGATTCATTGTGAGATAAGTAGTACTGCTAGACGTGGTTTTCATTATCCACCTTCAGGTATTGCTTTTTTCTCTCAGTTATGTAGAGAACGGAGAGACTTCTGCTCTGCTTAGCCATCTCATTCTGATTCTCGTCGTTCTCCCGTCATGTTCTTCTCTCACTCTAATACTTTCTTCGATAAGATGTTCGGCGTTTATCTCCAACGGCTCTACTGGCGTGCGCACGTGGAGGAAGATCAATCTATGGCGCATGGATAAGGATCTACTAGCGCAATCATATCTGTAAGCAAGTCGTGTGAATTCATGAAGGTATGGTACACACGCGGGCAACCAGGGAAATTGTCTGAAGAGGTAGTATAGGTTCGAACAACGTGCTGACCATAAGAATGGCGCGCAAATTCAATCTATGACGGAGTAGTGCGCTCGTTTCCTATTTATGGCACATTTTGCCTCTGCAAAGACTCTCAAATCTACAGGCACTCAGGCTCATCCCTCTAATTTCCTCCGCTCGCTCATTCCTGGGGACAAAAAAATGACTAAGGCAAAACCAATTGACATGGCATCTTTTTGAAACGTGACTTTTTTCAAAGAAAAAAAGTGCGTCGTGAACTCCATGCAAGTGCCAATTGGAATACTCTAAGACGCTGGAATTGGGCGGCCACCCTTTGGTTATGATGAAGCACTAAGTCATACTTACGCGGTCTCCCGTTACTTTATTTTTATTTTGTTGCACCGCCTGCGCCACGATGTTCTGCGCTTTGATCGCTTAATTAGGTGTCCCCAGCACGACCTGGGGTCAGCTAGTATCCTCAAGCTCAACCCTGACTCATGCGCCAGCTGAATATTATAAACAACTCATACACCCGTCATTATGATACTTACTCGGTTTTCTTTGGTATCTGCCAGAATGGACCAGCAAGAAGCAAATCAATAGTCATTTGAAGGATCGAATCTCAACTATTCACGAAATAGCTGTGCACATGTGTAATAGATAATAGATGCTAGCTCTAAACTTTTGGGAAACTCCTTCCAGTACAGTCAAGAATGTTATGACTATTTGCAAGACGCTTGGCTGCGCCGCCAGGCGCTCATACAACAAGCAGAAAAGAATGCAGACCAACAGAAGGCAGAGGAGGAGAAAGACGCTGCCCCGTCTCCGGACCCGAAGATCAGGAGACGTTATGGTCTTGGATTAGTTACCAGCATCAGTGTGAAACCATGTTCCCTTGCATACTCTTACACACAAACGCGCTACTCTAGACCTAGCAGAAGACTAGTTTTTTCTCTCCGCTGATTAAATAGCAGTACCTCCACATCACGGCGGACACAGCTTGGGGTGCTAGAATAGCGGAGCCAATGTTGCTTGCCTTGTTGCTTCTAGCGAAAGCATTAGTTCTTTAAAATGGCTCCTCTATGCGCGTTTTCGCTGTCCGAACTTGCGTATTCACTTAGTGAATGCGCGAGCCTACTTCCATGGCGTATCAACCGCAGCCTTCATTGTCATTATTGAATATCTCTTTTCCTCTCATGATCTTGATGGAGGGCCGGAGCTGGGATTGTACACGATCCAGGAAGGAAGTCAAGAAGGCGAAGAACAAGCAGGTGAAAACGAGGAAGCCCAACAAGGCCCGGCGTCGCTCGAAGACTTCAACTTCGATAACCAAAACAACCTCCAGGGACAGCAACAACAAGATCAACAACAGCCAACTCCTATTGTTCCGTCTGCAGACGTAGGTCAAATTCCGGAGGGAGATCAACAACAACATCAAGAACAGCTGACTCCTATGGTTTTTCCTGCACACGAAGGTCAAAATCCGGAGGGAAATCAACAACAACATCAAGAACAGCCGACTCCTATGGTTTTGCCTGCACACGAAGGTCAAAATCCGGAGGGAGATCAGCAACAACATCAAGAACAGCCGACTCCTATGGTTTTGCCTGCACACGAAGGTCAAAATCCGGACGGAGATCAACAACAACATCAGCTAGAGCATCCAGCAGAAGGCACTGAAGGTCTACAAAAGCAATTGAATCAAGATGCTACTCCAGGAGAAACTAGTCAAGCGGCTGAAACCCTGAACAGGGAAGCCACTCACGAGCAAGGAGACAATGGCATACGAGCCGGACAAGCAGAGTCTCTGGTGGAAGGAGAGGATGGCACAGCCGTGGGATCTCTGGCAAGCGGAAATCCGACGGGCTCTTCCTTGGAAGAGGACGAAGAAGAAGAGGATGACGAAGGGACAGGAGAAGAGGACCAGGGGGAGACCGATGGGAAACCAGCAAAGCGCGGCCGCCCTCGCAAGATGAGCAAGAAGATGGCTGCAAAGTCGCAGTCGCAGACAGGCAGGAAGAAGGCTGCTCAACCGAAGAAGAAGACGAATGCAACGCGAGGAGCACGCAAAAGCACTCCCGAGAAGGGAGCCAAGAAGAAGAAGGTGGCACCCGTCAGCTCGAAAGCAGCAGAGAAGATGTGGCAATTCGTAGTGGACGAGGAAGGTGGTCTTTATAATGGAGACAGAAACATCAGTAGGGGTTGATAGTTAGTCACTAACTACCTAGTGGCACTGGTACCATGCAGGAATAAGGTTAATGAAAAGTGTCTCGTTGTATCCCAAGGGATAAATTTCTCCATGGCCCAGCATAAGCATTCCCCTTACTTAGTTACTATTAGTGCTAAGACTCTTAAAGAGTAAGAAGACACTAGATAAATGTGACGCCTCCTCATAAAGCATTGCAACAAGGAGCTATCGTATATGTATAATGTTCATCATACTGTGCGAAGATTGATTGTTATTGTTCAGTAAAATCGCATTAGTCAGCAACTTCTCGCGTTGCTTTCGCATGCTAGAGCAATCTTCAACAAAGCTGATCTCAGGAGTCCCCCGGGATGAAGGGTTTCGTTCAGTTTTCTAGTGAAGTGAAAGCAGCAACTTCGCGAAGAAAGAAGTACTCAACTAATAAGGGCTGGCGTGCTAACCATGCAGTCCTTCCTTTGTAGATTTCAAGTCTCGCGCTCATTCCTAGGTAGAGTGAAAGCTTGCTGCATTTGAATGACCCTAAGTGTGTATCGACGTGATAGATTGGGGATGCGATCACGTCGCTTGCAACCGACTTCGTTTATTTTGTGAACTTGATGCTGTATGTAGCTGACGTTTTCACTCACACACTGCCAACAGAAGAAGAAGCTCGTCCTGACTCTTCTGAGGTAAGTGCAAAGAAATATGGAAGAAGAAGAACGAAAGGCACAGACAGCCGTCATTTTGAACCCCCTATTGCTGGTTTAAATTTGTTAATAAAAGTGTGCTATAAAGAAGGTTTGAGTTCTGGGAAAAAATATCTACCCCATGAAGCCGCCCCCATCTTCCTTCTGTACATTGATTAGTGCTTTTTTTCTATAACATGAATGACGGCTAAAGCTAATAAGGATAAGGCATGTGCATTCTGCATACGGGGTATGTCGTCCTATGCCCATGTCTCTCCTTCTTACGTCCTGGTCGTCGCTGAGCTGAGCTGCGTGTAAGTAAGGTCTTGTGGTCTTATTTACTCCGTAAACCTGAATTTTAGAAGGAAGAAAATTGAAGTACCACGCGGGAACATCCTTGACGGAGTGAATCAATCATGCCGCCCATGAGTAAGAGTAGCACTCCAACTTGCCTAGAAGCATAGGTGAAACTTCAAGTCGCTAGTTGATTCCACTCTTCACGTTGACTGACTGAATTATATTGATAAAAATAGTTTACGGTGTCGTTGCTTCTGTGGATGTAGCAACGAAGAAGGACACGATGGACTTGGACAGGCATCTCAATATAAAAACGCCCCCTGAGATCACTCCCTCGCCCTTTTGATCTGTCATTGTGTAACTATAGCTCCAAGGTAGAGATAAAGTCGCTCTTTGATTTGATTCAAGAGACGCCCGACCTGCAAGTAAAAGCGTGGGTGAAGCTATCTTACTCCAAAAGCGGCGGAGGATTGCTTCCTCTTGTCCAAATTTGCATGCTCCACGGCATGCGTATGCACATAAATATCAGATGCATCGGCAGAAATAATTCCCAACCCATCCTAATACTAATTTATTATGTATGAACATGATCATGATACAAGTACTACTTAGTAGTCACGTCTTCCCTCCCCCTACTCGGTCTCTTACTTAGTGCCATCAATTTGCATAGCAAATCATGAGTCACTTCATGCACTAACTAGTAAGTTCCGACTCGTTCCTTCTGACTGAGCATGAGCATGGCCAATCAGTATAGGTTAACACGCTAGGAAGTAACCATCATGGCCAGAAGAGTACTTGCATGGTTCTGTCATAGAGAGGCCTTAACTTCTTGAGGCGGTTCCCATTGATCGATACGCAAACAATCGCGGTCCGCGTCTGTCCCGGGGGCGTCTTCCTGTCCGCTGGATCTCCCGACATAGTTATTTGAGCTTCAGCGTTAAATGACTCCTGAGCATGAAAATGCGTTATGTAAAGTCGACGTATTTACTTGAGCTTCGTTCAACGTTAAATAAATGACTCCTGAGCATGAAGATGCGTTATGTAAAAGTCGACGTATTTACTTGAGCTTCGTTCAACGTTAAATGACTCCTGAGCATGAAAATGCGTTGTGTAAAATAGAAGATAGAGAGCAATATAACTGAAAGCGGACACGAAGCAGATGCACTTCTATTCGTTCATTGTAAAAATGTCAATGAGTCAAGATCTTCGGTCAGTAATAAGCGTAGCGCTTGTTTTAGTAGTAGGGGTTTGCTTCATGGAGCGTGAGGGCACATTGAGTAGGGCTCCTTGAGTAGGGCTCATTCATTGAGTAGCACGCTGCTTAGCCCTATTTGATTTTGGTTATATATACACTCATAGGAAAACCTTTGTAGCTACGTACTTTGATTTCGTCTCTCGTCGTAGCTCTCTTCCTCCCTCTCGGTCCTTCATAAAGGTTTATAGTTTCTCCTGTTCCCTCATAAACATTTATAGGAAAAGCTCCTTGCGAAGTTTTTCAATTTACGACGGTCGAAGAATTTACTCAAGGCACTTCGTTCTCTCTGTTGACTGCACTCTCTTGAGCTATATGCATTCTGTCTCTGACTCTCCAAAGCAAAGGGCGACTATCTATCATTCATCCATAGGCAAATAATCTCAACACGAGACAACCACAGCGCTCTAATCTTTGAGTGATTTCTTGGCCGTCTAATGAACACCGATTGAGTGACTTCTTCACTTGCAGTCTTACTTTCAGCAGGCCTATACATAGATACCGATGCCCGCTTTCCGAGCTAGAAGAAGCAACTGCTTTGTTTCTGCAATAAAAAAGCGCATGCTCGAACTCCATAGTAAGAAACAGAATCCACCCGCCGCATACTAGTTCGCCAAGAGGAACACACATGAGTAAAGAATACGCACTTACCTGATTGATTCTCTGTCTAGTCTGGAATCTCGGACGAAGCATAGATAGGAGTAGCTGTGATAAATGTGGCACTTCTTGCTATGAAAGGTAAGACCTTTACAGGCATCAACTTCCTTAAACAAGTACAGAGTTTCCTTTTGACATAAGAGATTGATTCATTGATAGTGGAGACAGACACCAGGAGAAATTCAATCGAGTGTTAGTTTACTTACTTAGATTCATTCTACGACCCCAAGCTCAAGCAAACTAGTTTTGCATTGTTGAGCGACAGACATTAATAATAATGATAATAATAATGACGAATCAAGTCCCTCATCACGAGCAAGGAAATCAAAAACCATGGATGACAAGATGCAAGGAAGACTTCCCATCTCTCACCAGAAAAACCAAGCATGAAAATGCAAAAGGGAATATGAAAACTATTCAGACATCTGAGTGCGTATAAGTATCAGCTATTCCAAGTTGCTCAAGGGTAAAGAGGATAAAAGGCCTTAACTTTCTGTAGGGATGCGCTGCTTCGTTGTCCGTGGGTGTGTTCAGTTCAGTACTGACTCATTGCGCCGTCAGTGAGTTTCTATTTTATCAGGCGATCCAAACGATCCCGACAGAGCCGCGCTATCTCTCTGTCGAAAATACTGACAGCGTCGATCGAATTCGAGTCGTTGACTGAATGAGTGTGACAACCCACGCGCGCATCGTTCTGATAGATTCACTAATTCGACTTTGACTCGTTAGAGCGAAAAAATAAAGCCTATCTATCAAATTCATTGTTCAGACGTCTACTTCTTAAAGCAATGCCACGAATCAAATGATACAAACATAGACATCCGATATGAACTAAGATCAGAAGCTACGGGCTGAGAAAGCGGGCATGAGTGTAGCTAGAGTTCTCTCCAGAGTGATGCTCCTCGGCTCCCTCCCCTTCCAGAAGGGTCGACAGTGCGTGAGGGAGTACGTATGGGAAAACATGCACACCGTGCTCGATCCTAGGTAGTTCAATTACTCGAAAGAAACAGCGAACTGCTCGCAACGTCGCATCGACCTAGCAATAGTGAGCATAAATATCCACTCCAATCATAATACTAATAAGACAACTCATATAGAAGCAGTGAGGCTCTTCTTATGGAACAACGGCCATCCCGTTGGTAGATTCATTGGTTCTTCTAGTTTACTTCCTTGAGACTGACGGGCGCAGTCCAGTTGTAGTCTGTCAGCTAATAACTTGTCAAATTTTGATGTTTCAGGAACTTACTTAGGGCTACTTCATCCATAACCTTCCATAATCGACTATCAAGCTTGTTTATTACTTCAGCTCCACCAACATCATGAGGACGCTTCGCCCATCAGTCAGATGAAGCTGCTTTCTGTGTCATCGAGCCAGCGGTCTATCTTCCTCGCCCGGTGGATCGTACCTCCCCACCACTACGTACCTACCTACGTACGAGATCACGAAGGCCACCACCGACCTGGGCTCGCCTCGTTGCAGCTTCTTTGGCGCAAGACCTCAGAGCGGCTTACCGCCGCCCGAGAGCATGCCGCGCCGCTCACATACTGCGGCGCACATTCTATCTTTGCCACCTATCAGCAGCTGTGTGCCAAAGAAATACCTACGAGCATACCGACCTCGCATCCGAGGGAGCTTCCCTTGGCGTGACTGCGTGGTCTACCTAGTGCGTCACCCCTGCGCGGGGCCACTGACTTGCTTTGGCTACTTCGTTCTTGGCTTAGTTACTAGCTATTTAATTCACCACTAAGAAAGTGGACGTATCTGATTGGCACTGTCTGTCAGTCTGCGAGCGCGTGGATCCGTGTCGCGTAGGCATCCGCCAAGAAGGCTAAGGCAGACCAAGAGGCGGCCACACGCTGCAAGCTTTGACGAAGCAAGCAGAAACAAAGCAGGAGACGCATGCCTCTCGGGAACTTGGTAGCGACCGCGGCACTCGATGCGGGCTGCATCGAGTGCCGTTGGACATGTCTGGGCTTGCGCGCTCAGTCCAACTTTCGCAGAACTTAGCAAAAGACCTGAACAACCACCGAGCCGCAGGAAATTTGGTAGCGTTGGCGCGTTTGCGTTTCGGCTATTTGCTGGCAACACACAAAAAACGCATCTACTGTTTTCCTTTTCTTCAGTTTTTGCCTTTTCACTTTGTAAAAAATAAGGTTTTTTGTAAGTTTGTTTTTCTTGGATTCAGCTGGGAGCGGGAGCGCGTCCCTTTGTGGTAGTTTTCCCTTACAACGATCGCTTCGACATCCTCAACGAGCTTGTATCTCAAGATTCCATGATTAGTGAGTTAGGTCGACCTCTGCGACCGTAACATGGCTAGGATTTCTCCAGACGCAACTCTCTCTCGAAGCGTTGCTCTCCTCTCATTTTCCTTGATGCCTCTTGTTCGCCTGTGGTCCAACTGTCGATCAGAGTCTTGTCTTGTGCTGAGAGATTGAGGCTCGGGTATCCTCTTGGTTTTCCTGTCTAGGTGATCCCACGTTCTTTTCAGACCCTTGGAGGATGAGTTACTTTCACTTCCCCATAAATAAGTTGTGGCAACCCCGAATTGCTTAACTACATGATTTTTTAACGATGGTTTTCTTGTCGTGTCGTAATTGTATCGTACAAGCACATGATCCATCGTGATCAAAAGATCTTTATGATCATGAAGATGCCGTGCGTTCGATTACGCACCTCCACATGCACAAGATTGTGTAAAAATGGTATTGTTCGTAATCGATTAGGTAGACGTAGAAGAGAACATTCGTTCTTGGATCTTCTTTTACGATGAACACACGACATGACACCTAGGCCTACAAGAACATGACATGGCAAGAAGAACTACCTATCTACTACCCAGTATTGGCTTTATTATTATTATCTTAGCAAGAACTACAAGCGTTCGCTTACCTCAAGGTTATTTGTCCAGAGCTGCCAGTATCACAGAAATACTGTCAGACCACGTCTCTACGGGCACCATGAACGGCGATAACAGGGACAACAGCATGCGCGAAGTAGTAGACGTTGTAAGGACGACGATGCAGCACTCTTGTTACCCTGCCTCTGACCCTGCTGATCATCTTCGTCACGATTGACGATGATGAACATCAAGTTTGTAATTGATGTTGAAGGCCAACGGCAAGGTAGATGATGGTCCAGCTCGTGAAGGTCTTTTAAAGCTACTTATTTGGAATTAGTGCTGGGGATTCTTCAAAGATGGCCACATGAAACCTCTCTCGTATGAGTGAACGTTTTCTTTTATCCATCGGAAGAAAATATAAAATCTGAAAGCCACGGCGAAAAAAGCTGATGATGCCTTCCGACAGTGACGAGGGTGCGGAGAAGGTGCATATAACTGCGTACGTGTTCGGAAGTACGTGGTCGTATTTATCTGTACTTTCGTGTTGCGCCACCTGATCAGGAATGAGGAATCACGAAAGAAGATGCAACAAAAAGAAGTGCAGCAGAGAGTAGAAGGAATAGCACTACAAACCTGCACACTTTATTAAAAAAGCTCTACCCCATGAGTGGGTACATCAATCAATCAATCAACTGCTACACGGAGATGATCAGGAGCATGGAGATCCTCTCGATGATCTTGATCCAGTATGTAGTCAAAAAAAGTTTTCTGATCATCAAAACAAGATCATTTCGTACTATGGATCAACGATCAAAACCTCCACTCTCACATCTGATCTGATCATCAGCGGATGGTATTGATGAAGATCAATGCCTGAAGATCCACGTCATCTAGGTCTGCTGTTTCTGCGTCTAACTTCATCAAGCACAACAACTCATGCAATCATTTAACATAAGTTGAGCCTGCTTCCGCACCATAATTACTGCCTCACCATGATTGAAGATGGTCTCTTTTTTTGCTAAGAAGAACGACCAACAAGAATGTCTAGCACCACATGAAGACAAATGGAATAAGTAATAAGCACATAGTATGAAGAAGATAACAAGAAGAGTCGCATCTTCGATCTACTTGTTTCATGCTATCATTTAACTTTTACTTGATGCACATGCAGGCCTCTTTTTTATCCTGCTGAGGAGACGCCCATTCTCATTTCTGGATGTGTAGTTTATGATCCATATAAATATTACGAAGATTACACCCACTTCTAGACCACGACTTTTGTTATCTGGTGTCTTCAACAGTTGTAGCTAGTCTCATCAACGTCTCATCAACAGGAAGAGCTAGGATCCAGGAAAAAACAAGATGTCAGCACCCTCTTCTGCAGCTTCTTCGCGAAAATGGGCTGCTTTGGAGCAGAAGGTGGCCCTAAGCGATGGGAGCAAGGAGTTTATTCGCACTCTGGGTTTCCGAAAGATGACGCCTGTACAAGCGATCGCGATTCCCCTTTTCCTCAGCAACAAAGACGTGCTAGTCCAGGCGTGCACCGGAAGCGGAAAAACCTTAGCTTTTCTGATCCCGATGGTGGAACTCAGTCTACGAGCAGTGCGGGAAGCGAAGAAAGACTTACTGGATTTGGATGACGAAACAGGAGGAACGGGAACAAGTAGTGCAAGAACTTCTCTTGAACAACAACAAGAACAAGAGGAACATAACTATACCAGAAGCAAAAAGGCAGCTACATTAGGAGGACTAGTAGTTGCACCAACGCGCGAATTGGCGATGCAGACACATGATATTTTAGCGAAGTTTTTGACTCACTTCGAAGGGCCTCAAAAGGTGAAGGAGTTGCGTCCCGCGCTTTTTGTCGGAGGTAAAGAGACACAAGCAGAAAAGAAAATGTGGCAAGCGGCAACGCGAATAGAAGTTCTTGGAGAAACAGGATCCCCAGGAGCAGCTACCTCAAATATCTCCTACTCCATTGCTCGCGTTTTAGCCGTTGCTACTCCGGGACGTTTTTTGCATTTTCTTCGCGAACAACATGATCAACATAGTTCGACAACGAATGTGAAGCTGTTTGCCAAAGATCTTGAAGTGTTGGTGTTTGACGAGGCCGATCGACTGTTAGAAATGGGATTTGAGAAGGACATCCGCGAAATCGTTTCTTTCTTGCCCAGACAAAGACGAACAGGCTTATTCTCCGCGACGTTGCAAAATTCAGAGCTGCATACCTTGGTGAAGCTTGGGTTCGCAGGACGAAACCCCGTACAGGTCAAAGTCGAAATCAACCAGCAACAAGACCACACTGAGGTGGCCAAGAAGAGAAAGACCACGACTCCCTCATCAGACGTGAAAGAAGCGGACCACGAGAAGAAAGAAAATACCACTGAAGCAGCAGGAGGGAGCAGCTGCAAGCAGTTGGAGATTCTGCCTGAGCGTCTCGAAAACCAATTCGTCGAAGTGCCGTTTCAACAGAAGCTACCTCTTCTGTACCACCTGTTGCAGAAGGAATGTCGACAGCAGAAGACCATAATCTTTTTTCTGACTTGCGCCGCTGTGGATTTCTATCATAAAGCGCTTCTGCACTTGGGCGTTAGAGGAGTCGAGAAGATTCATGGTCAAATGGACCAAAAGGCGCGAGAAAAAAACTGGAAAGCATTCAAAGAAAGCACGATTTCAACACCAGGAGGTGGCTCTTGTGAAACTGCAGCGGGAACAGGTTCAGGTTCTACTGCCGCATCTTCCTCAGCCAAGAGCAACAAAAAGAAGAACTCCAAGAAGAATCAACAACAGAACAAGAAAAACCAAGAACAGTGTCGTGTCTTATTGGCGACTGACGTTGTCGCCAGAGGTGTGGACGTGCCTGATGTCGATCTAATCATCCAATTCGACCCTCCGTGCGACCCAGCTGCTTTTATCCATCGCATCGGAAGAACCGCACGAGCAGGAGCCGGTGGACGATCGTTGCTCTTCCTAATGCCGCATGAGACGGCCTACGTGGACTTCTTGCGCAATCGCGATGTGAAGTTGAGGGATTTGGGCCATGAGCTTGTGGGGAAAATCAGAAAACAGGAGAACGGAACAACTTGTACAACAGCGAGAGTAGACAAGAGGAACGAGAAAGAGGACGCCAGAAAAGAACGAGTAAACCTTCTAGAGCAAGGCGATTCACGTCTCCCTCTCGAAGTTGCTTTACAGGATTCAAATATTTCTCAACCCGTATTGGAAAAGATGAAAAAGCTCACTGAAACCGACCGCGCAGCGATGCTGAAAGCCAGTGCGTGCTTTGTCTCCTTCATCCGTGCGTACCAGGAACATCAACTGCGGTTCCTATTTCAGCTGGAAGACTTGCCTTTAGGCAATGTGGCAACGGGAATGGCCTTACTGAGGCTACCACGGATGCGCGAAATTCTTGGAAAGAAAATCCTAAACTTCACGCAATCAACTGTGAAGCCAGACGACGTGCCATTTTTGGACAAGACAAGAGAAAAACAACGACAACTCAAGTTGGAAAAACAAAAGTATTTAAAACTTACTTTTAGTATTAGTTTTGGTGCTTGTTCTTTCGTCTCGACGGATGGTTCTTCTTCTACTTTCTGTTTTATTCACCATCTGTGTAAGTAGTTCTGTTTCACCTCTAGAAAGAGGTCTTCGACATTTAGTACTCTCCTGACTCTCGCAACAATTGATAAATAGTCGTCCTTGATGTCCTACTTTTTCCAATTATGCTTACTGTTACTGTTGTACAGCACTTATTTCTCCCAACCCCAACAGGCAAGAAGCCCTCATCTCGCGTGAAGAACGCGCTGCGGAGGAGCGCGCGAAGAAAAAGGAAGAGGAGAAGAAGAAGAAGGCCAATGACAAAGTGAGAACGAGGACCGAAAAGCGACAGGCAGGCAGACGCACGCGTTTAGCAGAGTGGAAAGCTCTCCAGATGGAAGAATGCTTAGCCAAAAAGCTGAAGAAAGGAAAGATTTCACAAAAAGAATTTAATCGCGAAGTCAAGAAGATTCGAGCCATGGAGGAAGATGGGGACGAAAATTCTGATATGGGAAGCGACAGCGACGATGACTCAGATTCCGATAGCAGTGATGATGATGCTGGGGATAGCAGTGATGATGAAGAGGTCGCAGCTGGGAAGAACAAGAAGAAGCAAGCAGGCGATTCAAATTCTGCTACTGCACAAAGTGCTAAGAAAGCAGGTGGTAAAAAAGATGCAGATGACTCTAGTGACGAGGACGAGGACGCAGAATCACATGTTGCAGGCTCTGATTCCGAAGCAGCGGCTCCCAGCAAGAAGCGATCTCGATCAGACGACATGTCAGAGGACAATGACAGCGATGCCTCTTTGGGCATTAGCGACGAAGATTCTGAGGATAGCGAAAAGGCAAAACCATTGAAGAAACGAAAAAAACGCGTTGTCAAAAAGAAGAATAGAAAGCGCTAAATGTTCTGCCGCGTGTAATTTTCGATTTGAATTCTATGATTCATCCCGTCCCTTTCTTGGATGACCCCCTCCAAAACAGGATAATGAAGATGACCATGCATGATATCTCTCCCACATCAACCTATGAACAACGAGATGAAGGTCATTCTCTGACTAAGAGGCTTTAGAAGCGAGGCTGTCAATTACAGAAAAACTTTTCAAGTGGAGCGAAGTCAATCGGTCACACTCACAGGGATTCTTGCGCGAGAAGAGTTAGCGGATTATAATGAAGAAAAGTAGCCTACAAGTAGGATATCGGTAAAAAAGGCAAACGATATGACTTAAGATCGGTTGTATTGTTCGACGAAGAACAAGAAGGAACTAGTACGCAAAATCTTAAATGATGTAAAGACAAAATGACTAGTAAACGACATTTGGTCGTGGATCTTGATCTCGTAAAGAGTCTATTGTAAGTGTCACTTGACTTCGAGACCTACTTACAAGTCGTCCAACAACAACATGTCGAAAAAGGCAGCGCTCGTTGCAGCAGCAGCGATCGTTGCAGAAGCTATAGAAAGTGGTAGCAAACACCGAAGCTCCATCGGACGAGAAGACGTGATTATCGACGCAGGCTCAGGGTCGTCGTCTACTGGAGTGAGGTCATATCAATGGGAAGAATCATCGAACCTATTGCTGCGACGTGGCAGAGAAGATGAAAGCGGTACAACTAGCAGCTCCGATGCTACCGTGGAGGTGACCTCTTCAGGTTCTGCCCTTCAGGTCGAGCAGAGGTGGAACCAAAGGCAGATCCAGGAGAGGTCCAGTCGTCGAAAGGCAGACCCAGCTGAAGTGTGGATAACACATAAGGCGAGCGTTTCTGTCACTTCGTCTAGAACAGACACAGAGAGTTGGTCACCTTTATGCAGCAAAAGTCGAGTGGTGGCCCCTTGGGGGTGTAAATGTTATGATGTTATGGTTGTTCTAGTTCTTCTTCTTTGTTCTTTAGGGTAGTTTATCATTTTTATGAAGATCAAGATGTCAGATCACTGACTTGTTGTTCTTCATCAATTGAATTCATGCAGATTATAATTTCACGAAAAAACCATGAAAACCCCAATAAAGGAATTTTTATGGATTCGCAGAAGCACGACCTCCTCTGACTGAAGCAGAACTACTTCTAATACCTTCTTACCTCATGATCCCAAGGACAGACCTTGCTCTAAAATCTCGCCAAGCGTCCGTCACAAACTGCCGGTCAAGGCGCAACTGCTTTGTTAGATGAACACACTCATCCTGTAGCTTTCAGTGTTGTACCTAGTGGAACTGGAGCAAATCAGACCACAGTCGAGACAGCTGCACGTGCATGGCGAGCACGCATCGCAACCAATGAGACGGATAGAATCGTACGGGGAGACCTTCTCGTGAATGGTGGTCTTCTTATAGAAAGCCCGATTATGTCATCGTCAACTCTTCCTGGCACAAGCAATCAGCAGGTGTCTTATTTTTTCTTCATCATGGATAAGGTTATGGTTAAAGAACTGATGAAACACACGCAACAGTTACATCAGTCTCAGTCGCACGAGAAGGAGAAGGCATGTCCTTCAGCTTCTTGCTCTAAGCCTTACCAACATGAACAACGACACTGACGATATGCACCCCATGGCTTTTTTCGAGTTTCCCGAGGAGATGCGTGTCACCGAAGTTGAGATAGGGAGTGCTTTGAGTTACGATTGCGAAGACCAATTCTACCAGCAGAACTTTTGGGCCCCAAACAGGGCAAATGCCGCATTTCACAGGAACCAGACTTTCACCGACCCCTCAGACGACGCAGCACTTCCAAGAAGGCGACTGCAGTTTAATGTCGGGATGTTATGGGAACATTTACTTCGGAATCGGATTGTAATCGTGTTCGTGGTAGTAAAAGAACTACAAGTTAGTAAATTATAAACAATTTAGTAGTGAACCACCTGTACCTGAGCATCTTCATCTCTCTACTGCTTTAGACTTCCGTTTTCTTCTGCTCATCTTATCTCTAACCCCCATTTCTTCCGGTGGCAAATGCCAATCCTCCGATGTTACGCCGCACACACCCCGCTCTCTCGCATCGTGCAAGAAAATCGATAAATGGTGCTACAAAGAGAGGACTGGGTTTGACCAAGATGCAAATCCTGCCATCCCAGACGATAAGCAGACCAAAACAACGAACGCAACTGGCCACGAGTTCATTGTATCCGAAAGAGGTGAAGACTTTAGGACGATTTAATTTCTCTCTCTCTCTCATCACTACACAACGAGCTTCATCTCCAGACACACCATCACGATCTTCACAAGACGCACTGCACTTGCTACCTTCAATGTAATGGTGCCTACTTCTTATGCTATTATAGTGGAGTTGGAGTTGGACGTAAACGTACTATTTCGATTTTTCTTCTTTGTATTCTCTACAGTAGAGTTGGACGTAAACGTACTATAGATTTTTCTTCCTCCTCGTTCATCCCTCACGTCGACGTATCGATCAAGCGTTGTCCACGCGCCTTTACTGGGAAAACTCTCGTAATAGAATGGCCCTATTGGGGTGCACTGCCGCAACGCTATACGATACGGGAGATTCGGGTTAGAGGTTACGTTTTACCAGATAACTACGATTCCAACGCGGATGATATGCCTTATGAAGGACAAGAACTCATTTTGCTCTACCCTTTCACAACTGGGAGTGCATGTACTGGACAGCTAGGACAACTCTCTCACTTCCAACGATGATGTGGCAGGTCTACTTTGAATACTCAACAACGTGCTGATGTTGATGACGCAACATTGCGTTTTTAGCGTTCATGTAGTTTCTGACTGTGATTCATTATGTCGTGGAAGATCATCAGTTTCTTGAGTCGTGTTCTTGTTGTCTTCTAGAGCACAGCTACTTCTAGACGTCACAAACTTCTCTTCTAATCCCCCAACGAAGGCGAACAAGATGACACCGACCCTTCTGTGGACAGCGACCCTTCAGCTGTCACCGGTGACTCAGATAGCACAACAGCTAAGGATGAGGCCGCGAAAAAGACAAGTACCCTGGGAACTGACATTGCCCGTTTTCTATTCATCATGATAGCTTCATTTGCGGTTGGAGGACTCGGAAGTTTCCTATTTTTTTCATCACAGACGAGTTGTACTTCTTCTTCTGGTACAACAGAGGAAACGACTGTAGCTGCACCAACATCAAGACCTCCCAATTATGCAGCACCAGCGGATGGACTAGCAGAGCCGTTGATAGAATTAGAAGCAGACTCAAGTCCTCTCGTAGATGATCCACCGCTAGCTGTCGACGAGTTGTCAGGTGAGGCAGCAGTGTCAGAGTCAGCGGAGCCAGGAGAAGCAGCTGACGTCCAACCCGCTGCAGAGGCCTCTGGAGCAGAAGAATCAGCTGGAAGTGATGCGCCGGCCTCTGGAGCGGAGGAGTCAACTGGAGGTGAATATGCACCAGGAGAAGCTGCTGACGCACCAGGAGCTTCAGGAGGTGAACAAGAAGCCCAGCAGCAGGTGCCTGAATCTGGTGGAGACCCAGGAGAAAATGCTTCTCCTGAAGCATGATACATGAAGTAATACTTCTCCAAGAGCAAAACTTTGTTGATTTTCGAGTTGGAGATTCGTTTACGCATGAGAACATCATTTGCATGGTGATAATACTCTCAATCTAGCGCGGGAGGTGGAGGTGCCCTTATATCTAGTTACGTCTTCAAGAAAACTGCGGGAGCGGGTCGTCCGAAACGTGTTTTCCTCCTCGTGACAACATTATGCGCCACAAAGATACTCCTATTGTTAGATGCGAATGAGAGATTGCAAAAACGATTCAAAAAGATTATGGGCAACAAAAAATGTTATGTTTATGTCAACAATGTCTATGGTGTATGTGCTATTTTTTTTTGGCGGGTAGTTGAATAAAGGCCTCAAGATCGTTTGGATAACGGAAAAAGAGGCTCCATGACGTGACATGACGCCACCACATGCACAGGATCTCATGATGTACAAGAATTAGTATCTTCTGGGGATATGGGAACTCGTCCCCGCGATAAAACAAGATGAGCTCTCCTCTCGCGGGGAAGCCGAAGAAGAGTACAATCAACTACGGCGCTACACGAGCAGGATTCGCTGGGAGCTCATCTAGCTCCTCGTTTTTTCCTCTTGTACCTCCACAGGAGCATGTTGTTCGTGGAGTTGGGGACGAGATGCAAGCGTCGTCCTCCACCTTTCGCATGACATATCCGATCCCGCCTCCGAGAGGGCCGCCAGGAGAGCGCGGAGCAGATGTTTCTACGTACTATACTAGAAACACAAGAACGACCACATTCTCGTCGAGGCTGCCTTCCTCATCGCCTTTGAAGCGAAGGCGGAGGACGCGACCAGCCTGGGACTACACAAAGCTTCTGCACGAAGCAGCACAGCTGTTGTCGAATATCGTTCGAGGACAGGTGAGCGCGAGCGGGAGAACGGGAGCGGGATCATCTACAACTAGTTCTACTTCTCCGGTAGTTCTTCTGGAGAGTAACACGACGCGAACTGACCGTGTTGACGCTCCTGACGCGCAGGGAGTAGCCGTCGAAGAATCGACTGACGGGAAACGACAAAGCAAGAACTACTACATCAAGCAGCGAAGCGAGCAGAATCACGACCATGCCGATCTCGAGAGCATTGTCTTCAAAAGTGGTTCGCAAGCAGAGACGTGGCAGCGTTTGCGAAAGTGTCCAGATCCCAGAGTACAGCACTTCTGCGCGCTTATTGCGAAAGCTAAGGGGAAAGAAAATGATGCAGCGCGAGGTAGTACTTAATTGGTGTTAGTTAAGTGTTTTGGATTTGGCTGTTCCTGTTGCGAAAGAAAAAATAACCTTCCTCGTTCGATTTCGAAACGTTTCTCTAATACTCTGTTCATTCACTGACACAGGTACTAGTACTCAAAACTCAAAAGGCCCGCGAGAAACAGAGCAAACCTATTTAACGGGAATTGGAACTACAGAAATCCAACATGACCATGCCCAAGGGGACGACATGCAGCAAGACGACAACACACACACGTTCATAGACAAAGACGATTTGCCCTTCCTGTTGGAGGAGCGTGAAGCGCTTTCACAGGCACTACGGCATGCACAGAAACGTGCGGAACTAGATCAACGACAAAAGGAACTTAACGCTCGGTGGCGTCGACTGGAGGCAAGATGTGAGTCGTGTGAGAAGATTTCATCAACAGGAGATGGTCGACTGGAAGAGAGGTCGTGTGAGAAATTTTCCTCAAAAACAGATGGAGGTGGTACTCCTGGTCCTGCTGACGACTTTCGTGGTTGTGCGGTAGAAGTAGAGGGTGTCGTGTCATCTTCTGCTGCATTAGCTTTAGATAATGATGCCCAAAGGAGAAGAGCAGTTGATGCACAACTACCAGAGGAGCAGCGTGAAGGTCAAGGAGAAGACCAAGACACAACTGGCGTACTAGATGAAGCTAAAGTCGACCAGGACCACGACTTTGATATCCGCAAGCTAGTAAGTGCCGAGCTTCTCAAGGTTTCGCTCGAAGTGGAGCGCCGATGTCTAGAACAGGACATTCTCCATCTGAATACCGAATTAGATCGTGAGGATGTACCGGACCCGGTCGTGCAGCCGGAACTTAGTACAGACGGCCTTCAAGTGGGTGATGTACATCAACATGTTGCGGTTGAAGATGCTCTACTTGATCCAGCTGCAACAAAGGACATTGAGGCCATCAATGTCGAGGACGAGATGCAGAAGCTGAAAGACAACTACGGAAAAAACGAACAAGAAGAAGCCAATGACATTGACAACAAGCCAGAAGTGAAGGCTTCAACTTCACCTGCTATCGCACCTCCTACATTGTTGCAGCATGAAGACGGTTGTAACCCCGAGAAGCAAGAAGAGTTCGCTTCCAAAATAAGTCAGGGGCTGCCAGTGTCGGTGTCCTCTGAAACGAACCCAGACGCAGAGGCGCGAGACAAGATACGAAGAAGTGAAAGCGCGGAACAACCTTCAGTCCTAGGGGACGAAATAAAATCTTTAGTCACCCTCGGCGCATCTCCTGAGAAACTAACTAAGCATGATGAGCTGAAGGCTTCAACCGAGGAAGATCATGTCGATTCGTCCCAGCGAGTGAAGTCGTTAGACCAGAAAGTACCTTCAAACCAAAATGAAGGTGCAGGGAATGGAACCCTCTCATCAAAACGAGCACGCTGTAAACAACGCAGGAGAAAGAGAACAAGAAAAGAGCCGCCTCTTGAGCCGTTGTTACAGACTTTCTTTACCATTGCGATTGCCGTCGATCGTCGCGGCGCATTGTTGGCGTTCTACGAAGAGCTCTGCAGTTTGCTGGTTGTACAGGAAGAGGCAGACCACAAGCGCACAAGTGGTACGCCACGTCCCATGGTACGTTCCGCATATCGGAATAGTCGGCTACTCACATTGAGGCTAGGTTTGGAACTTCAAGGGCATACTCAAGCTTCCCCAGCATCTCTGGTGGGGCTTGATGAAGCGGAAGAAGAAGTCAAGTCAAAGGTACTTGCACAAGTGGAAGAAGAACACGACGTCACAACCCAGCATCTAGAGCCTTTCCAACGCCTCTGCAGTGCTGCGTTGCAGCTTCTCCACAGAGACAAACATGGTTGTGACCAGACGACTAGTACAACTAGCTGCTCAGCCGCTTCCTCTTTCAAACTCATCGACCTCTATCTTCCACGAGGGTTGAGTCGGTGTTGGGGTACCCGTCGTCCACCTGGATGGACAGCTGCGGATTCATTTTTCCATATCGAGGGAGTCTGCTTTTTCAATCAGGACGAAAACTTTGTGATGAGGACGGGTGTACGTGTAGATGAAGAGGAGGTTGCAGGTCACGATCATGATCTGCCTCTTCCTGTTGTTGCTGAAGATGAGGAACAGGATGCTGCAAGACATGTGGTCAACGGGGAGCACCAGCAGCAAAGCACAAGCGATGGGCTTACTGAGCAACAAACATCTTCATCTACTTCATCAAGCGGCGCATCATCTTCTTCTAGCGCCAGAAGGTGTAGTTACACTCACACGCTTTTTTTCCATCACCAGAAGGCACGAAGAAGATCTGCGGACAAGGCATCAATCGCAATCGAAAGTACTTCATCCAGAGGTCATGAATATGACCTCCCCAATCATGCGCAACATGCCGATCAAGAACATGAAGATGATGAAGAAACACTCCGCATAGTTGCCGTTCCGTGGCAAGACGCTGCGCAGACAACATGGAGATCTGAAAACTGTAGTCATCCTTTAGTTCCTACACACGATGACTGGGACCTATTACAACGACGCGCTGCACTAATTGTACCTAGGAGACACGCCCACGAAGAAGTAGAACGAGGCCCATTGAAGACGAAGACAAAGAGCGGAGGGGTACGATCAGAATCAAAAAGTAGTGAGATGAAGAAAACTCACGCAACATCTTCCAGCTCTTCTAGCAAAGGGGGCTCAAAACACGAAGGTGGCAGAGGACGACGCACTGGAAGAAGTTGTACGTCGAGGAAAAGCACAAGCAGTAAGCGGAGGAAGAAAGAGCAAAGACAGCTGGCTACTTCGACATCACTCTTACCAGCAATCTACGACCTGGAATTGTCGACGGATGAAGTTTTGTCTCTCATAGGACGAAGTGCATCTTCCGCTTTCTCTCCTAGTGCAGCGACCGCCGTTGCAAGCCGTCTTGCTGTTTTGGATGGGAGGATGTACGCGTTCCAACATCTTGAAAGTGGTGGCGGGGCGGGGAACACAAGTCAACAGCGCCGTTGTGACGAGAAGGATGATGACAGGGAAGCGTCATCACCAGCACATTCCTCTTCGATAATCGAAATCAAGACTCCACCCGCTGTTGTACCTTCAACTTCCCCTTTCCCGGCTGCTACTACCAATAAAGCGCCGCAGGCGAAAAATGAACAAAGGAGTCCCACCTATCAATTCTTCGTGCGTGCAATACAATCTAATGGAACAGCGCATAGTACCGAAACACAAGACAGAGACCACGTTTTCGAGGTCTACCTGACGAAACCGACTACGGCATCTTCATTGTTGCAATCCCCGCAAGCAGCATTTTCAAGTGTCGACTGGTATCTGACACTACAGCGGGTTGCAGACACGAGCAGCACGTCGAGGACGAGAAGAACTTCTACGCCTAGCTGTGGTGTCTTCGAACAAGTCCCCAATAGTCCCCATGCAACAAGTATCACTACAATCAACGACGAAGCAATCGGAAAAATCGAAATCATTCTAGTCAATGTAGAGAATGCAGGAGTGCGGGTCAGTCTTGTTCCGACAACGCTTAGCACGTTTCTTTTTGGAGAAGACGCAGAGGTCAGTTTGAAAAAATCATTGGTATCGCCACGGGAGGTGTTGATTCCCTTTCGTACTGCTGCGACTTCTGAAGAGCAGTCAGTACTATATGCGGTGGACGAGGCAACTTCTGCTACTCATCTAGCTGTTCCAGTAAAAGGTTCCGTGTTTGCCTTTCCGGACCAGAAGATTCAAGAACGCTCACATCATCATCAACAGCAGCAGCAGCAGCAGCAGCTAGAAACACTGTATCAATGTTCAGAGTTGGGCATTGTCCTTGCGTCTTCGACTTCCTCTACTGGAAGAAGACAGAACAAGAATTGCAACTCCGCAGCGCCAGGTGTGCTTGAAACAACGTCAACGAGTATAGCTGGGGAATTAGCTGCTGTTCTTCAGCTCAGTCAGAGTGCAACTCGTCCTATCGAGAAGAGAAAAGCTTCGTCCAGCAGTCTTCGCAAACGGGACGATGCTAAGGCAACACTAAAATATCTCGAACACCTCCAGAAACGGTGCTATCAAATGTGTCTACGACCGAGATTCAAAATGCCGATCTGCTGCTCCTCAGGGCTGCTATCTTCATCTTCACCTAGTCAACAGGAACATCTCTCTGGTAGTCTCCACATCTTGAGTGATCCAGGCATTGCGTCTGCCCTCTGGAGCGTCTACAATCTGCATGTGATCTTTGTTGTAGAAGTACAAGAAGAACATTTTGAACAAGAACATCTTCAACACTACAAGTACAACAGCCCCCAAGAACTACCTCCTCCACGCGAGAACCACGTCGACGGACGACTGTTCTCCCTCTTCCTCGAAGACCGTTCCCTAGTCCACCTGTTGCCGGCAGAACTGCATTGCCTAGTGCACGATCCCAGTCGCCGATGGGACTTGGTGGAAGCAATTCTCGACAGATTGGAGCTAGTACAACAGGATATGAGGCTCCGTCGCGATGCGATTCGAGGTAGTGCTGGTACACAATTAAGGCTCAATACAATTCATTTCTATAAGGCCTTTTTCCCTATTTCCTTCTTGGACTCGGGAGAAATGTACGCAAGAAATGAATCGTTTTGAACTCTAACACAAGAAGCAGCTCTTCTGGAGGCTGTGGCTGACGCTGAGGCTGGTGCGACTAGTAAGATGACTCCACTCATCGACGACGCGGCAACTTCGGCAGGAGACCATCATAGAAGCGACGTTGAACAAAAGGAACCCGTTCTGCTTCATCGCGCATTCTACAGAGCGGAGAATCCTCGTCTTGGAACTATACTCTTCCCACAATGCGAATTGTCAATTTACAAACTGGTCTTCATATCAGGAGCGTCGAACAAATCGGTCATGTACAGGGTACAAATCAAAATAGCACAGGAGCAGAGGCGGGAGGATCAAGAACAACACCTATCAACGCTACATTTCGAACTTCCCTCTCTAGACATCAAGAAAGATCAGGAAGCAGACACTGTGACCCAGCACGTCCTCACTCACTTGGTCGTGTCTAAAGACTCTAGTACTAGTACTAGTATGACCTTCCTGCAACTACGTCCACCAGACGAAGACGATATTTTGGATCCTACATGTACTGGCAGACTAGCAGTGGTGAAGGACGAGGAAGGAGAAGCAGGAGACGAGAAGCCAGATTCTACTGTCGACGTTGCAGTAGATGAGATCACGGCGATGCTGGATAGCCTTGTCGCGTCGGATTCACCAACAACACCCGATGACCCTGTTGTTGATCACCAGTTTGCGTTTGTCACTGAATGTGATAAAGTCGTGGCCGCACGGGCTACTTTCATGGAGACTCTCACCACCTCATCAAAAGCGGCTTCGAGTTCACACATTGCCGAAGAACCTGATCTTCAGACGCCAATGCTGTACTGTAAAACATTCGACTCAACACGCAACGACGACAAGAACTCATCCTCATCTTCTTTCTCTTCGCCTGACGAAGGAGCCTCGTCATTTCGGACCGTAGAAATTTTCGATTTGCCGGCTGCTCCTGCCGCATCAAAGAAAGAAGTTGTAGACCAGCACTTGTTGGTACAAAATCGGGCTTCCTACCGTGTCCGCGTTGTCTCACTACTAGAAACCAGGGAGAAGATCGTCACAACGAAGGAATTAGAGGCATGGCTGTCGAACTCTCCAGAGGAGGCGGACCTTTTAGAACCGTGTCGTGAAGCAGAGCTTTTGAGTCTTGTTGCAGAAAGAGCGCGCTTGACACCGGATCGCTCAGCTGTGCGCCTACTGCCGCATTGCTGGATGAAGGGGGGCTAGTCGTTTAGGGTAAAACGGAAAGAAATTTGCTGTTGTTCAGCTTGTTCGATGAATACTTTCATTTATTTCAAGTTCAATTGTATAAATGCTTGGACGATTCAGATTCTCACTTTCAGATTCATCAGGAGTAGTTCAAATCTCGTAGCAGCTGTATTCACTGGTTGTTCAATTTCAATGTCTGTTCTTTTCCAAATGCAATTCTAACATCAGTAAACATCGAAATCCATTAAGCTTTTTCTAGTTCGTATCCGTCTAGGTAAAGTCCGTGAGTCGAGTATATGCAACCATTTTTAATCTAAGTCGTGCAATTGCAAAAAACAGGTGTTACATCTGTAGTGCATAAAAACCTTTTGAAGTCAAGAAAAGTGTCCTCGTCAGTTAGAAGTACCTAGCTGATGTGTTGCATGCATTTCTCTTGATAAAGCTGATCCTGATCGATACAGCAACATTTCTCGCTCCATTTATTTTATGTTTATTGACGTTTGTCTTTATCTTTTCCTAAGCGTGAGCAATATCCAAAACTGACCTACCTCAAAGCGCAACTAGCGGGCACTGCGGGCGAGCCTGCAATGGATTACGCTCATGTGACTTGTAGTGGTGACAAGGAGATGACTATCTTCGTCTTCATACACAGTCACAAGACTCACTGACGGTTACATTCGTGAAATCAAAACTGGTGTGGTTCCTGGTATGAAATAACGAACCGAAACGGGAAACAGAAAATTTGGCAGTCTCGGGATTCAAAATTAGTGAGAAGCAAAGCATCTTCATGATCAAATTAGAGCAGATCTAAGATTTTTGTTGAGAAAAATAGGACTCTTTGATGTAAAACAATCGCCTCATCCAACTACATCAAAGGCTCATGTTTAGGCATAGGCCGGGAAGGAGGTGTCTGCCTCCCCGACGGTCGGCAGCTGTGTCGGGGCGCTGACGAGCAGGAATTTCTCGAACTCGATACGAGGAAAAGCCTACGGAAGCACCAGTATCAGACCCTAACATCGCACGTCGCAGGCAATCCTCCAAGGCCAGGAACAAGAAGATGACGGTAATCTACAAGGAGCACCAGGAGAGCGATCTAGGGAGATGCATCCCTTGCATTCCCCTCCGCAGAGGTGTGCTCTACGTGGTGTACATCGAACTTCTGTGGAATCTTCTAGCGGTCACAGGACTCGTCTCCGACGATTTTAGAGCAGTATCGGGAGGATATCAATAGTATTCTTATGAAATGTTTCTCAGTTAGAATTTTGGGCTCTTCCTCCTGGTTTGTCATCTTAACTCGTCTCGTCTCCTTCGCATTCGTCCTATCTTAATCATTCTCAGCGACATCAGCATTCTGCTCTTGTCACAAAATCTTCATGTCTCACTTCCATCAGCTACAGTCGCATCGGTGTGACCATCCTCGCGGTTATTGGAACACTAGTCACCTACGTCTATGGCGTCATGGGGGTCTACGACGCTTGCTGGGAACGACTAGACGTTTTTCACACGTTCTTGTACGTCAAGATGGTTCTCATTTTTGGTTTCGTAGCAATGGACTTTCAAGTTCTGATAATGTGCGAATCTATACCTGAGGATTATCCGACTGTCCGTGAGATCGCGAAGCGCGGACAGTGCAGTGGCCATACGATGGGGTAAATTACTATTACATTTAATACTTAAAGTGCCTTTTTATCTTCAATGCCGTGTCCTCCCAGAAGCAGAAAGTAAAGTCGAAAGTAACACTGCAACCAACATTTCAGGACCATCATCTTCTTCCTCGTCCGCGAATTGTCGCTTATAATTTGCGCTTACTTCGTCAAAATCCTGAGTGACAAGTGGAGGGAAGGCATCCGGTACAAGATCAACTTCAATCGGGATTCATTTTTTGTCACCGACAAAAGTTTCGAGGATCGAGAGTCTTACATGGCCTTAGACCGTGGGCGACCGCCAGCGCAGACCCCTATGCCTCATGGAGGAGGACAAGTGCCGGCTGTGTAGGGGGTTGTGGCGCAAATACCGATGCCTGATGGAGGGGGACAAGTGCCAGCTGTTTAAGGCTGGGGACAAGTGCCGGCTGGGCAAGGGGTTCCGGGTGGTCTAGGCGTGAAGATCACACGAAACGCTAACGAATCTTCATCGTCCAAGAACTGTGTGATCTTCATCCTCCTGATGGACATATTTTGCATCTTGGCTTCCCATGTTGTGCATGAAACGATAATCATTTTGTTTTCCCACGTTTTTGTCTTCACCGGGACGAGAGCGAGACGGTCATCTCGTCTTACTATTATCTCAAAATGGGCACGTGCAGCAAGAAGAAGTCGGACGGTGCTCAACAGGCCAGAGAAGAGAAATCGGATGATATAAAGAAAAAGAGAATGGAAAGGATCAAAAGTCGTGATTTGATCTTTTTTAAAATATGAGGATAAGTACTTTAACTTTTTTAACCTCCTGGTCCTTTTATCGTAATGCGCTACTTGTACTTCCTCCACCCTACCTGAGTCAACACCTGCTTCATCCGTCCCTCCACCTAGTAAGTGCTTGAGAATAGTAGAAACCAAACATGGACAACTTAGGTGGAGGCCGACATTTCGGGACGCGGCCTGCGGTCGGATTCTCCCAACATTTGGAGGACACTGGTGCGAACCCACGTATCTCCGGCTACTTGGGTAGCGTTGAATCTACGACGCAATCCATTGATGCAACGGGACCTGGTGGGATGACTATGCCAATGTCGATGGGAGGAGTCCGTAAGCCATCGGCATATAACCCAGGGAGCAAGCATGGAATTGGAAAGAAGAAACAAGCACCTCCTCCATCAGCTCTTGGACATCAACCTACATTTGCGGTGCCTAGTCCAGACGTAGTTGAGGATGATCTAAGCAGAACGCGGGAGGTGGACCCCAGTCGGGTTCTAGGAGGTGCAGACCTAGATAAAACGCAGCAAGTGCCGAGGTCGAGATTACTTGGGAACAACAAAAAGCAAGGGTCGGTGTTGAAGTTATGAGAAGTAAAAAGGTTCTTGTTCCACAGTCCGAAAACTAAACTTCTAGAAGTGGTGCTAGGAGCTTTCCCCGATGATTGATGTTTGTTCTATCTGTAAGATGATACCGCCTTTTTCTTTTGTGCTCTAACACTCGAAAAACTCAACTTCGCCTTTCCCACTGACAAAGCCGAAATGCGAAGTTCAGCGGCTGCACGTAGCACATCTTCTATGCAAGGTGGAGGTGTTGTGCGGAGCAAATTGCGATTCGCATCTACGGTGTCCATGTCCTCGAGTGATAATGCGGGAGGTGAACAAAAAGTGGGAGAATTTGAGCCGCCACAACGCAATAATACTAAAGACTCCAGATTACAACGAGGACAGCCGCAGGAGAGGGAGAAATACAAGACGACAGATGTTCGAATGTCGAAGTCGCTAGGAGCAGGAGCTTCTGCTGGTTGTACAAGGTCAGGCAAGAGCAGCAAACATCATAGTCAAACAGGAAGAGAAACAGTAGACGCCGGACGCGGACATAGGGAGAAGAAGAATAACGCTAGCAAGTCCTCCAAAAGCCGTAGCTCCAAGAACAAAACTACCGGTCCCGGAGGCCTAGAACAGTTGCTATTCGGCGCACGGGGTTATGCGGATGCACAACATCTCAGTTGGACGCCAGGTGCAATAAGGGACGATGATATGGAATCAACTCAGCAGACTAGCAGAACTGTTAGTCAACATGCAGAAGATCATTCGAGATCTTTCAACCATGGAGGAAATACAACCTCGTTTACTCGAGAAGAAGACATGCTTGACGCTCTGAATCTGACACGTCCGACGTTCGGCAGACACATCGAGCTTTTTCCGGAACTGCCTCCAAGAGCAACATCAGCAACACCTGGTGGAATGAATGCGAGTAGTGCAGATGATAGTTGTCGTGATTACCAAGCCTACAAGTCAGGAACAAACTCTGGAAACAGCAGGTCTAAATCAGCAGGAGGCGGAGGCACGATTCCCTTCAGAGCACCAGACGGCTCAGTAGGCAACAGACCGATGCGGTGTCCGGGTAGTGTGCCGTTCAACGATGCGATCTTCAGTGCCGGAGACGACGATCAGGGCGCACCTGTTGTGAATATTCCAGGACACACTGTGGGGACTGGCGCGCATAAGAACAACGCGTCCAATGTTGAGGGAAACAATGTTGATAATGACGTTTCTTTTTTGAATTTGGGAAGTAAAGCGTCAACGAGCGTGAGTGCAGACGATAACCATAACAGTGTGCCGCCATGGGCAATGCCGCCGAGACGACCGACAGTTGCAAGAAGGACGAGCACGGTACTTCTATTGGTCTACTTGTGTCTTCATACAAGCACAACGACTATTGTAAAAATAAAGGTCTTGCACATGTGGTCAAAAATATTGCCAAGTAGAAAAGAACACTCCACGACTTGTTTACTCATCAACACTCTCTTTCAATTACACGCTACTTCCCTCTCATTCACAAACACAATCAGTCCTCCTCAAGTTCCTTATACCTCGAATGGCTCGCTCCCGGAACCCAAGACCGGCGACTCGAACGACTCGTCTTTCATAAGCATCCGTTACAGGAAAATGCTCCTCCTGCTGGTTTCTTTGGGGGAGGCTCTAAGAATAGTGGTGATGTACCTGGAGGCGTACCAGAACAGGGAGATAACCTGCAAGTGACTGATCCAAGTGCAGCACAACGACCTCACGGAGATGGAAGTAGCACGCCGCACACAGTGAGCAATACAGAACGAGACCAAGTCTACTCTGAAAAACTTCGATCTAAGACTTCTAGTGCATCGGGTTCTCATCCTCGTCTTCCTCCTTCTTTGCCACAGTCCTGTGTTTCTGATGCGCCCAGCTCTTTGGTGATTCCACTAGATCGGAGTCAAGGTCCTGGAAGCACTTCCACAGTCGCACAGATGGTTGGGAGCTTGCTCCATAAGGGCAAAAAGACAGCCTCTTCATGGATCAATGGCATTACGGGTCGTGCACCGCCGCCACCTCCTGACGTAGCGTTTGGGAATGTGTTTGTTGTTCCAGAGGAGAAGAAAAACGAAGGGGAACAAGAGGAGGACGAGGAAGGAAAGGACAGAGCACAAGAACAACCTCGACCGGAGCACAAGGCTTGCCCCACGACCACAGATCGAGACGACTTGCTACTCGAAACTATCCCATTGCACAGTGACATAGATTCTGCTGAAGCAGATCGTTTAAAAGCACACACGGTAAACGCAGAATCAGCTACAACACCAGTTGAGTCCCCGTTACCTAGTCCCATGGAGTTGAGGCCGATTTCATGGATGCCTCTAGACCTCGCACAACTGAGTGCTAGACTGGCCAAGAACAAACATGGATGTGTGTATCCCTTGTTCATTGGCGGAGTAGGCTGCGATCACGTTTTGCGGAAGTTGGGAGTCACGGAAGCAGGTGCTATTCGAGCTGGTCTTCTAGAACGATAATCTGAAGATGGAGGTTCTTCTATTGTTGTGAATTCTTCATTTAGTTATTAGTTCACACTTATAGATACAAATGATTTTCTTTTTCATATCAGACCGTCCATGATCAACAAAAAAAACCCACAGATCTCCTCAACCATGGTCGTTCCTCCGCTTACGTCCACGAAGACGGTGTCCACATCCTTCTCACTGCTCATCCTGAACTCGCCTCTCGTACATTGTATTGCGATGGTCTCGCTGGCACCTTAACGCAGGAACGAGTCCAGATGGCCGAGAGCTACTACCCCTATCTCGATGCCGACCGGTTTGATTTCATTGCTCTACGAGATTGTCCGAAACTAGTCGACGTGGAATCCGCTAGGAAACTGGCCAGACAGCATTTGATATTGTTGTCACGAACAGCTTCTGCAGATTCCCAGGTGGTGAAATACGAAGATCTCGATGAAGACGATCGCAAAGATCAAGAAAATATTCTCTTGCATGAGATGCTTGCTGCAGCTAGACAACATAGTGGCACGAGTGATCAGTCTCCTGTACCGGAACTGGATATAACCGAATACGCCATCCATCGTTGTTTTGAGGCCTCCACAGGTAGAGCTTTCCGCTTAGAAGACGTGACAGACCTCAAACGCATGCTCTTTACGTTGCCGGCCTACGTGCGTGACGGAACAATCGTAACGCCACCAGATTTTGCAAGACAACTGCCGACAAGACGTGGTGCTGTGAAGAACAAGACCACAGGAGTAAACGACCAAGGTGAAGAAGCCGAGGAAGAGAATATGCGAGATTGCAAGATCGGTGCTGCTTCACAACTACAAGACGCTACATCCCCTGTCGATGAAGTAGACCTACTAGCAGATGAACTAAACCTTCCTAGACCTAGAAAGGAGAAGAAAGACCGAACATCTTCTCGGAAGAGCTCTAAGGACACTTCTTCGAGGAGTCGCAGTTCCTCGAAGGAGGCTCGTCGCTTAGCACGAGCAACAAAACGTGGTGGTAACTCTGTGGTTTTCGTCAGGGACAAGGTGATGAATCTGATGAACGCGGCTGGCGGTGTGCCTGGTTGGGAGGAGCAGCTGGGCGAAAGAGAGACGCAGCTACTTGACGATGGTCAGGCTGAGGACGAGGTTTTCCCGGAGCAGAGTGAAAGCAACGCGCCACTAGAACTAGCAGAAGACAAATCTCTTTCTCCTTCCTCAAAGAAACTAAAAGAGAAGAAGAGTAAGCGTAAAAAAAGCAAAGACCGCCAATCCAGTAAAGCATCGAAGAAGAAAAAGGATAAGAACAATTATGAAGACCAAGACGTAGAGGACGAGAGTAACGACCGGAGTTGTGCAATTTCACCAGGAGAACAGAATCCACCAGTTTTCCTCAGTCAAAGCGGCTCTTCGCCATCCGACAGACAGCGTGTCTCCGATGGCGGGTCTTCCTCGAACAAACTTGAGGATATTCTGCAAGCTCGTCGCAGTGGCGGGCGCTCATCTTCATATTTGGCGCGTTTGTCGCAAGATCTCAACTTTTTGGACGAGGAGAACAGCAAATCGAAAGAGCAGGGTGGAGATGAAGACAAAGAGGCAAGCATCAGCAAGAGTAATCTTCAGCAAGCATCAAACGAAGAGGTATTAAGGGAACAAGACGACGATGCTACAGAGCAGGAAGGTCGAGCACGTTCCTGTTCGGGTGGAGATCCAACTGATAGTGTGCTTGGAGTCGGAGATTTGCAGTCTTTTTCTGTCTACTTACTCGACTCTCAACCTTCTGTCGCTGGCGGCCATCGGAAGTCTGGAGATTCTCTCTCTTCTGCTGGTGATGCTGGTGGCGGAGCTAGTAAGATCAACAAGACCGATATCAAGCAACAACTCCGCCCCGGTGAAGATCGACCTATTCCCCTAGAAGAAGTAGAAAATACCCAGAACAATCAACTGCGATCCTACTCTCAAGCAGATGCGGCTAAACGACGGAGCCTCGCGAGTCCGGACATGCTAAGCAAAAACTCATCTTTCTCATCGTCTTTGATGCCTCCTGGAAGAAACAAGTCGGATCCGAAATACAAGAAGTTGATGATCTCAAAAAATGTACTGCTTGTGCAGCTTGTACTGCATGGTTGGTTCTTTTAGGTCGCCTTAGACTGTTCGGAGCTTGAGTTTGGTGTATTCGTGCTTTTTATTTTTTTATATATCCAGAACAAACTCTTGATGGTTGCATCGAACAGCATGGTTGGTTTTAGGTCGCCTTAGACTGTTGAGTTTGGTGTAGTCGTGCTATATCATATATATAAGTAATCGTCCATGTCGAGCTCGAAGATGTCTAGAGTAGTTGTACGTGCAAATAGAAATTACCAACTACTGTTGACAACAAATCACACCACGACACATCCAGAACAAACTCTTGATGGTTGCATCGAACAGCGATTTGATATTTCCACCGAACCACGATGCCTTGGCCGGGACTCACCCGGACCCATCCCGTAACCCACTCGCTAAGCCACCTGGGACGAGGAGGATCAGCACAGGCAAGAAGATTGTGGTCACAGACGGTCGTGATCAGAATCCACGAGGACGTGGTACGATTATCATGGACCACCAAGGACAAGAAGGTAGTCGTGCTGATAGCAGTGCGGGTTGTGGATCATCGTCCTCTTCTTCAGCTTCGGGATCAAACAACAATAGTTCGTCAAGCTCTTCGACGAGTAATGATCCAGAACTTTTCCAGACCGGAAACTCGAAATTCGTTGACAATACGAACAATGGCTCTTTCTCGTCTTCTTCTTCTAGTAGCTCCTCGTCTTCTGGATCTTCATCTTCCTCTTCTTCATCCTCAGCTCATCGCAGTTGTACAGCCAGTGACGGGACCAGCGGCTTTGGCCCTGGTGCGGCAGCGGAGATGCGTGCACTGACGCAGGATGACGAAGCTGCACCACTTGAGAAAGACGACAGGAGCATGAAGCAGAAGAAAGAACGCAAATCTAAGTCGAGGAGGCGCAGCAGCAGTGCAGCTGTACATGGAGACCTGGCGCTCAGTAAGAAGTCCTTTGCAGAAGATCGAGTAGCGTTAGCTGATAGTGCCTACTCTTTTGGAGGTCCATCCAATGCGATGAAAGACAGTTTGGACACGCCAGTTCCGCTTTACTCGTTAATCCAAGCACCGGCTGCTTCACCACCTTCACCTCCAGCAGCGGATGTTGAGGACACAAGTAAAAACAACAAGAAGACGAGGAACACTTCTAGTAAGCTGCGTCGTCAAAAAGGGATAGACCCTGACAATTTGTATCACGAGCCTCGTGTAGCGACAGGAGCTAAGAAATCGTCTTCAAAGTTGAAGAAGAGTAGCAAAAATGATGCTCTAGCAGGAACACCAACATCTTGTTCAACTGCAATGGCGACAGCTCTAGAAAGAGCGATCTCTCCATCACCTGCTAAAGAAAAGAAGGCATCGCGGATTCGCAAACTACTTTCTAGTATCAGCCCAAAGAAAGTTCTGACGTCTAGCATAAGAAAATCTGCTTCTGCTAAGAGGAAGAATCAAGACGTTCTAGATCATGAAGGTCAACGGCTTGTAGAGGCTGAGGCAGAGCCAGAAGCTAAGAGTAAAAAGAAAAAGAAGAGCAAGCACAAGATGAAGGATGATGGTGAAGTCTTGTCTTCTCGTGCACCATCGCCGAGTAGCCCGATTGACGGCGCGGACGGAGACGACCCTACTACTTCTGGAGCTGCAGCACCTGCACATGATTCATCTTCGCCCGATGTAGACGCCGCAGCAACTTCTAGCATCAAACGAGGACAATCCAGTACTTGGTGGGACGAAAATGTCCGTCGTGCATCCCTGACCGAAGACAACAAGAAGGAAGAGAGCGCGAACAACCAGAACAATCAACGTCATAGTGATACATCTCCTTCTGAAAATAAAGTGCAAGTACTAGTAGACGCCAGTAAATCAAAAGATTTCAAGAACGGTACTAAGGCGCCGCCAGCCGCGGCAACTACAGAGCAGGAGAACAAACAGGCTGCGGGATGCATGCAAATGTGAAGCTAGATAAAAAAAAAAGAAGGACAAATTTAGAGCTATTGAAGAACGAAAAATTTAAAGAAAGACTACACGTACACATAAAGGCTACAAGAACCTCAATGCTGTTATTACTCTTGCCTCCATACATTCGTTAATTATAGTTGTAAGCACTTTCTAAAGGTAAAGATTCGAATTCGATCTCCATTTCTCACTTCGCAAGAGGTACCGATGAACTTCCTAGCGCTAGCAAGAACAATACTGATGACGTCCAATAAGCTTTTTCCGACACCGAATTTTCAACTAATAGATATTCGATTTAGCTCCTATTCCACAGATTTAGATAATACTTTGAACTTCGTCCTCCAAACTTATTCTTTTTTACCCACCTCCTGCAGCATTTCAATTTGGTATTTACATCAACGAACGATAATCATCCAAAATAGACATCAGTTCTTACCTGACCTTTTCTCCTCCTGATTTCGTAGTCCTCGTACTTTTAATTTACCATTACGACCCCAGCGGCCCTTTCTGAACCTGAAACGCACTACTAGCAACGGTCAAACTGCAGCGTAGCTTTCAAGTATTCTTGACTCGCACGAAAGAACTGCTCAAAAAGTTCAAAAAAAGAAAGCACAGCAAGAACATCATCTTCAGTATAATGAGTAGAATTAAGTACTAGAAATCTCAGATTACACAGTCATATCTTCAAGGATCCGGTACTACTTTGATTCATTGCATCACTTTTTTTGCATCTTCATCTTGTCGATACGGTACGTGTTTGGCCTTCAGGAAGACAAACATGAGTTTTCTAATTCTGAAGATCATTTTGATCATGCACATAAAAATGAACAGCGACAACGAAATAGAAATCGTTTTTAGATGTCAGTGAAGGGGACTGCATCCATCCATAGGCAGAGGCATAAATAAAGTCCGGGTGTCATTGGATTCGTCTGACGCACGTTCATAGCTAACTTGTGGAAAAACTGTCCACAATCTGCTGGGCTGAAGATTGGCTAAAAGTTCTACTTCTAGAACTGGAACTGTTATTCCTCGCCACATGGTCATGATCATACTTCTCGTACATGACCCCGAGAAAATCGACACAAGTACGTGGTGACTGACACAGAAAAACCACACGAAATGGGATTTATATGTGATGGATGAAACACCAATCGAATGAACCACGCTAAATATGATCCACAGACGCTGAAAGCCTGAAATAACAATAAGAACTAAGTACGTTCTATGCGGCCAATCTTTCATCTCCATTCCTGCATTCAGGAAGTTGTATTTGGTAGTCAGTTGATTGACTGCATTCCACACGAAAATTTGCGTCTTTTTGTGGTCGTTGTTCAGAAGTCATGGCTATGCTTGTCCTGCTCTTGCACAGTTGTGTGCATGTTTCAATTTTGATTCAGTGCACAAGAATAAAAAGCACATATCAATGAAAGAAATCAATTTGCTGTATGATCGGTACAACTTCCGAGAGCCTAGTAGTACAACCAAAGAACAAGATGAAGTTGAAGTAGTAGAAGAATGAAAATATGTAGATTGCAGGAAGGCGTCCTCTGCCAAGATGAAAGATCACGCGAAGCAAACGATGCGGCACATGTTAAATAGCATACAGTACTACTGAACCACAAGCTGAGTTGTACTGCTGCAGTAGCAGTACCGACAGTTGTAAAGAAAGAAGTAATCCACCTTGACATATTAACGAAAATCTAAATCTTCAAGTCTAAACCAGCAACGGGTATCTGTATCTATCAAGTAGCGACTCTTATTCATCATAGCGAAAAAACCATTAGATTTTGTACTAAGTAGCTAGGGAAGACTAAGTGCTCGTAAAGTAGGAGTCACAAAAAGGAAAAAAATGGCAGGCACTGGTCAGGGATACGATCTGTCGACGACGACCTATTCTCCGGATGGAAGGATATTTCAGATCGATTATGCGCAAAAATGCGTCGACAATTCGCCGACGTGCATGGCGATGATCTGTATATGATTACTACTCGTTCATGCTTCTACTTACTACTTAGTTTGAACTTGAAGCTGGTTCAAGAACAAATACAACTGCTGCAAGTTTCATTTCATTTCATTTCACCACACCACACCACTCATTTCACCTTCGCACTCTTTTCTTATTCCTCACCACAGGTAAAGACGGTATCGTCCTTGCATCGCAGAAAACGAAATTGTCAAAAATGCTCGTCCACGGAACAAATAAGCGAGTATATGCCCTTAGCAGAACAGCAGGCTCAGTTGTTTGTGGACTGGTACAACAACTCTGCTCTAGAAGATATTAACTAATTTATTGAACAAGTTTATTTTCGAATCAACAACCATTCAACTATAATATTAACTGTAACTTATTGAACAAGAAGTAGCTCGCCGTTTATTTTCGAAGTCGAAGTCGTGAAGGATCCGTTATCCCTATCGCGTTTTTCGAATAATCAGTTTTATTTCAAGATAAATTGTTTCAATCGAAGGAACAACCATTGTTGAACACCATCAAAAGGTCCCGGAAGGACGAAGTGTCGTTGGAAGAGCGCGACAAGAGGCACAGAGCTACAAGAAAAACTACGGAGAAGTGGTATTGTGTTATATTTTAAATTCTTTGCTAGTACCGTGTTGTCTGTTGATGAAGACCAAGTTTTAAGTTGTGTGAGTCCGAGCCGAACATAAAACTCAAGCATTATGGAGGAAACCCTAGTATAAAAATAGGCATGAGATGCGTCTTATTGTATAAACCGAACACCAGATTCCTGGCTACCTCCTAGCAGAGCGAGTGGGATATTACATGCATTTGCATACGCGTTACAGTGGCCTCCGACCGAAGGGGTCGACGATACTAATCGGCTCCTATGACGCAGAGACGAAAGAGCCCTCATTATTCTCCTGCGACACGAGTGGCCTCGTTCAGAAGTACCTTGATGTTACCTCAGTATGCTCGTTGTTTTAAAAGTAGAAGATGAAATTGTGGCTTTTCTTTCCCGAGAAAGTAAGTAGGAGTTTTATTTCTCAAGACATGTTTACCTATGATCCTGAATAAACCGTTTTCACACGACTGAAGTATCTTTTCAACAACTGCTCCTACACCTCCTTCTATTCACCAGGTGGTTCGGAAAAGCAGTGGGCAAGGGAAGACAGCTCGCTAACACGGAGATAGAAAAGTTGGATTTGAAGACTCTGACTGTGAAGGAATCTCTGTTCCATATAGCCAGAATCTTCCACAAGGAGCACAGCACAGGCGACAGCAAGACGTTCGAGATCGAGGTACTGCTACCACTAGACACACGAACTGTTACTCTCAACTAATACGTAGTTCCTAGAAGTTGCATCTTGAAGCAATTGATAAATAAGTACTTCTTCTTCTTGCGAAGATGACTACGGACTTGCTCCTTCGCACCGGAGAATATTCAATTGATTAAATTCAATAAAATTTTTACGAATTCCTCGCAGAGTCAGTCTCCTTATTGATTCCTCCTTAGGTCAACTGGATCTGCGAGGAGAGTGGATGGGAGCATGGTATTGTGCCCGCCGCACTTATCGCAGAAGCCGAAGCCAAGGCGAAGAAAGCCATCGAGGATGAGGATGAGGATTAAGCGGCTACTTCCGCTAACAAATAACAGAAGATATTTATATGTCAGACGCTGATACCCTTCTCTAGTTTTTTAAGTGTGACAAAGAGTCCTCGAAGTTACCTCTCCCAAACTTCAAAAACCCGAGGAACTAGACGTTGATTCCATCTCTCGTTATCCCAAGGTTTTTTCATATCTCGTTATCCCCACCACACCACGAGTTTCCTCCAATACGGATCGTGATTTTGGTTCCCAAAGATCTCATATCCAGCACAATATGGCTCTGCGACATTCACGACCACACCAGACTGTTGCCGACGATTCGTCATAAACACCTTTGATGACCTATGTTGAATCCTAAGAAAGCCAATAGAAGACTCTCCCATGACCTTTTTCGTACTGGTCCTGCGGAGATGAGTAAATAAGTGGGCATATAAAGCACCCTGCAAGTGGATGGAAGTGAATCATCGAGCTCCTTCGAGTTTTCTGAGATTTATTACTAGCAACAAGTGTGTTGAGTGCGAGTGAAAATATACATTTGATTATAGAGCGTCAAGCAAAGGAGCGACTAATTTCTAGAAGAAGTACCTAGCATGTGCTACCTAGCATATGCTACAAAAACTGTAGATTGGGAAACCTCGACTTCTCGACGGAAAAATAAGACTACATAATTCATATCCACAAGAACGAAGTACATCATCATTAATTTAACAGAACGAAAAGATGGCCTTCCGTTTTCGTCGTGAGGGCAACTATGTGAAACATCGGATTCATATGGATCGGATGGGCATGCAGCCGTGGCTAGAGGACTTCAAATGGCGCGTCACAGACTTCCAATATCACTGGTACATGGGTCCGAAAGCAACCGCAGCAATCCGACAAAATACGAAATTGAGCATATTTGGCGCAAGTGGAGAGATTGGGCCGTCGTCTAGTTCTCGATCGTTTGAGGAGAAGGACTGTGAAGAAGATAGAACTTCCTCTGTCATCTCAACGAGGAGACCAGAAGCAAATACCCCACGACATGGTCCTCGACGTGAGTGGCTAGGCAGAAACATAGCTCTGCGAGCATTCATTCCTAACATCGTACCACAGCGAAGACAAACCAATCCCTTTTGCCTATCATCGAGCAATACAACGGGATGGGTCGAAGCTCGGTCGAAAATAAGTCTCTTAAATGAAACAAAACCACGTACGAAACATGAGATATCGGGTACTGATGATAAGATACCTGAAATGCCTAAATACAGGTAGATGAAACAGACGTTTGGATTTGTCAATATCATACACCTCCTCTTCCGATATTTTGATGATATGGTCTCCTTTACAAGATACCTGCGTCTAGGTGAAATGATTGAGACTGAAGATGCAAAAAGTTGATCTGGGTGTTGATGATGCAGCAAATTTCATAGCAAGACCACGGGGTGAGCGGAGCTCTTTCAGAATCGAGTGCACAAAAGCAACATCAGTCGTTGAGTATTCCGCATAACGCTAAGTCAAAATGTTGAGCTTGGTTTTGCAGGGTGAGTAGAAAATCAAAAAGCGTTTTATCTTTCATCCTTGTTCTTGTCTATCTCTATTGTCTACTTGTCTATAATCTCTATTTTCTATTCTCATTCATTGTTTTTTTTTCATGGTGTGGTTATCATCAACTTGAAAGAGGACTAGCGCTAGATGAAATCTTCAGAAGATAGGACTAGGGCAAGAGCGACGTTTTGGAGATCTCGAACTTGTCTAAGAAATTCAAATTGTTCATTTCGTGAGGCACTCATCAAAGCAGAAAAATAGCTACAACAATGTCCGGCAACGCATCCGGTGACTCGTCCAGTAGGGCGGGCCTTCCGCCAGGTACCACGGTATCTTCAGGCGATAGCGCCTCTTCGGGACTCCTCGGGGGCCATCCTTCACTCTGGGGTGGTGCTAATTTTCTGGCGCCAATGCCAGGAGGTGTCCCAGGTGTGCAGGGACCCCCTTTCAATCCTGGTTTCAACATGATGATGCCGCCCGACCTCAACATGCTGCAACAAGCAGCACCCCCTCAATTCCAGCCATCAGCTCCAGGGGCATCTTCCAGTAGTAGTGCTATCCCTCCTCCAGCTCCAGGATCATACCCCCATCTTCCCTTTCTTGATACTGCACAACTTCTGCAACAGATACAACAAGGAGCTTCAGTATCCTCCAGTTCTAGCTCTGCCAAAGCCAATCCAACAGCGGTACAGCAACAGCAGCAATTGCTTGCACAATTACAGCAGCAAATGCAAGCGCTACAACTTCAACAATTGCAGTTCGCACAACAACAAGGACTACTTGGTGGTCAGCCGGGAGGACCATTGCTCGGACAGCCGCAACCAGCAGGAGGGTTACCTGCAACAAGTGGCCTCGTACAACCTACCACTACTACCACTCCTCCAGCAATGAACAAGAACACAGGAGCGTCATCCTCTTCCTCAGCTGCACCAGTAACGACACTCGTTGTGCCACCAAAATCTAAGGTGAATGATGCTACCAGCACAATACCAGGGATGGACAATGTCGCATTCACAGGAGACCTCTGTTATCGCGTAGTTATGCCAGATGGCTTTGAGATGGCAGCAAATGCTCAGCAGGCAGAAGCCATGCGCGCTCGTGGCTTCACAGTGATAGCTCCAGTCCCAAAAAAGATCCCAAAGAAACGCGGAAGGCCTTTTAAAAATCCACCCAAAGTTGTAGAAGAAGACGTAGGTGAAGATGTTGCACAACAAGAAATGGAGGTTGCACAACAAGAAATGGAGGTTGCACAACCAGAAATGGTTGCACAACAAGAAATGATGGCTCTTCCTGTTGTCATGGGTGGAACAGCGAGTGAGACAGGTAAAAAAATTATTATTATACATAGATACATAGAGTTAAACTTTCTACTGAAGGCAGCCTTTTTTGGACATCCTTTTAGCCTTCTTGATGACCTCCTTTCACACCCTGACATAACTTTCAGGTTTTTCGAGTGATCCATACCGCCGCAAGACATTTGATGTGACGAGGACCATAGAAGGGAACTCGATCCAGATAAACTTCGTGAAGGAAGGGAAGAGAAGAGGTGGGAGAAAGCCAAAGGATGCTGGGCCGACTTGTCTTCGACTTATTATGGCTGGTGACTTTTTTTCTGAATAGAAGAAATTGGAATGCTAAAAAACAGTGATTAAGTATATTTCCATATACATAGGCTGTAATTGAGTAGACCTTGTTATTTCAAAATTCACTAGGAGAAGAACAAGTTACAATTGTGCTAACTATGTTCATCTGAAAAACAGTAAACGCAGTACTACTACTACTACAGTGTATAATTCCAATAAAGCCAAACAAGTAGAAAAAATCCAGTGAAGATCATTCTCTCCCCCAAGCTCCACAATCCTCCTTTTATACTGTCTCATCTAAAATACAAAAGATAAGAAGCAAAGAAGACGGGGATGATGAAGGGGATGGTACGAAGATGAATTCCTCGAGCGCTTCATCAAGGGTTCTTGCAGTGAAGCCCTTTTCACGTGACAACTTTCCTGTCAAACGGGTTAACTTATGATGAGACGGGTTAACTTACTCCGCTTCGGCTTCCCACAATCTAGATTAATCCAACTCCATATCTACTCTTTCAATTAGCAAGACCTGTGATGATGAGTATGGTTGCTGCTATCTTGGGTCCATCACTAAGTACATTACAACTCCATCCTTCTCTTCATGATGCCAGAAGTTTGATGGGAGGCCTAGTACTACCTCTTGTAGTACTCACACCTAGAAGTTACCACTACTCCTCTAATTCAAAAAAACGACGTGAATGCAATCTTGGCCCCACCACGTGCAATGGCAACGAAAGAAGACAGACAAGCCCCCGGAAGCCTGGTCCAGCTTCGCAGGCGTATGATTATTGTCCTATTGATTTTGATACGCATTCAGGATCCTCGTACTAGAAGTACTACTAAAACGTAAACGTACAGCTAATGGTAAAAACGTCCAATCTGAATCCATATCAGCGTCGTTTAAAGGTATTGCAACTTCTGCTCAAATTTATCTTTAGTTTCTCCATTCAGATCCATTTACGCTAGTTCTTGATTTCATGATCTACCGCCCTCCCTGCTCATCCTGTCCGTCTCCTTCTATGTTAGTTGATTTCATGATCTACACCTTGGTTGGCACCACGGTCAACGACACTCGGCAACGGTGGAGACCGGCTGTGCATAGGCATTACCGGCAGAGGCTGAAGCACGAGCAAGTCGAATACAGGAAGATCCGATATATGTACACAACCTTGATTTTATGACGAGATTTGTCACGGCATCAAATAAGTTGTAACACAAGGTCCTCTTCAACTTCAAGACTTTTACACAAAGGGAGTTTTAGGATTACATTTTTCACGCACGAACTCCCCATGATCCTAGACGCAACCGCCGTAACATTTTACACGCACGAACTCCCCATGATCCTAGACGCACCCTCCTCTCCTCGCTCTCGTCTTCATATTCCCGTCGTCCTGCATGGAAACTTCGGCTGTGGATCCGGATGCAGTTGAAGAAACACGCCAAGAAGATTCAACAAGAACTTGCTGAAAATGCACTAAAGGACCGAGAAGGCAAAGGAAAAGAACAGGACGGAGAAGGCAAAGAAAAAGAAGATGATGATGCTAAGGCTAAGAGACAGAAAGTGGAGAAAGAAGACGATGCAGGAAGCGATGAGAAGAACAAGAAGACGAAGAAAGGCAAGGACGCAAAAGAGAAAAAAGAAGATGACGAGGAAGGCGATGAGGATGGCATGGACCAGACGCCATCTTTTGCAGTTAAGAATCCACAATTTTTATCAGTTGCATTTTAATTTTAATCTTGTTCCCCTTCGCCTTCCCTCCGCTCCTACTTAGAAATAAAGTGACCAATGTTGTTGTACTAAATGTTGTAAATGTCCATGACTGTGGCATCACCTGATGTACTTGTACTACAATTCCAAAATACATCATCCTTTAGCTAATTATAGATACCTCTAAAATCCAAAGCCGGTGTCCATCCAAGACCTCATCAATAGGCAGTAAGGTCTTCAGATTCGGTGGGCAAAAAGAGGAGAGGCAACAACCCATAGGGCGTCTACAAAAGCAGAGGATGGAGGAGGCAATGCGCAAAAAGATGGGCTTGGTGATGCCAGATCAAGTCGTCATATCCAAATTTTGTGTACTTGTTATATATACTTTTTGTTCTTTGTTGAAGTTGATTCTTCTAATCTAGATTGTACTTGAAGTTGACGAAGTGGAAATCGTAGTTGAACTTGCAGTCGCTATTCAGATAATAAGAGCTTCGTTTCGAGCAATAAAGAAGACGGAGAAGTTGTACTCCTACCAATACACGGTCATCAATCATCCATCAAGAACACAACTTCTATCAGGATTACACCGATGATGCGCAAGTTCTGGAGGCAAGACAATTATGGAAGAAACCTCCTTTGCGGAAAACGACGACTGCAAGCACTAGTTTCGAGATCGCGGATAGTCGTTGCTACGGAGATATCGACTACTGTCCTCCACGGTTGTTAAACAGTGGTCAGAAGATCCATCTCCCTAGAACTGAAGACTTGCAGGAAATGGCCTACTGCATGCAGACAAGGGATCCGCTGTTTGGGATGAAGTGGTTGTCGACGTACAAAAACGGCAAACCGGTGTTCGGCCGCGTCTGCCGCATCTTGCAGGAACAAAAGACAGGTGCCAAATTTTACCAAGTTCATTGGCTGACGACGGATACCTACGAAGTCCATCTACAGTCCAGAATCCTGATGTTTTTGGGTCCCCAGGATCGGAAGAACTTGCTGGGCAGGGTAAAAGTGCGGCAGCAATGATCGACGAACACTTTTGATGGTTGTCTAGTAGTTTTGAGCGATGTCAACATGATGCATGGTTGAATATTGTCGTTGATTCGCGCCAAATTATCATACCACGGAGCACTTCCACTTGCGTTTCAGCAGACCAGAGATGTAGATCCCCTGCAACAGGTTTAGTCTTCTCGCACTTTTATTCATGGTGGAAACCACTATTCACACTCCGCTACATGATTAGTATGACTTTTCCACACGACGCACACTACGCAAAAATGCACTGGCTTGATCGACGAAGGTAGACGCTGTCCCTATTCCGTGGAATTGAAAACGAAGAAAGTGGTCAACCTCATGAAAGATGCAATAGACGATGCCAAATATAGCGAGTGTGCTCAATATCAGATGAGCATGAAGTTGCGATCGGGATCATCAGTTTCAATCTTCTCGTAGTGACAAGATTGGTCCACCAAACCTCCGGTGTCGTCATTAGATCCAGTTGCATCAGAGGGTCTTTGTGACGAGTGCAGGTGATCGATCATCATGGGTTCATTCTTATCGGGGACATTCATGTACAACACGAGGTTCACAGGGACGGGATTTCGTCTACTTTAAGAATAGTCTTACCATGCGGAGGACTCTCTGCTCAGGCTCACAGGTCTTGCTACAACTGTTTAATGTTGACTCCGTTAGTTTATTGTACTCTGTTCTACAACTGTTTAATGTTGTTGACTCCGTTAGTTTATTGTACTCTGTTCTGCCAGTTCCACCTGATTTGAGTTTCTAAAAGACAAACTCCTGAAAAAGATGTCGTCGTCTGCCTTGAAGAGCACTTCTACAGTGGCGCTCCGTCTTCCCAAGGATAGTTCCGACAAGGACTATTCTTTTTTCGAAAAACTTTTCGATCAGAATGCTCACTTTCACAAGATCTGTGATTGGGGTCTCTACCTCGGAGATGCAGTGGGTGCTCAAGATCATAGCGCTTTGATGCGCGAAGGCATCACCCATGTGGTCGTCTGTCATCCAAGTTTGCCCTTTGCCTTCGAGCGAAGGGGCATAACGTACCACAGATGCCCAGTGCTGGATACGCCGACGTTTGAATTAAAGCCAATCTATGATCCAGCTTTGGAGTTCATCCACGAAACACAGAGGAAGAAGAAGAAGGTACTAGATTATCTTTAGTTGTTGATGACGTATCAGTTATTTATTGTAGCCCAAGAAGGCCTTATTTCTACGAGTACGTACAAGATCATCTGATGTCATCCATGATTGTGACCACACGACTAAAAAACGTTTTAAATCGCCCACCTCTACTCAGGTCCTCGTCCACTGCCAGAAGGGTATTTCGCGTTCTACCGCTCTAGTCGTCGCCTACATCATGAAGCATGGTTGGGATGGACGTGGTGGCAATGGTGGTGCCGCGGATCGTGCTTTTGAAACTGTTTTCGCCCAAGTCGAAAAACGACGGCCAGTTGCTTTCCCCAACATCGGTTTCCAAGAACAGCTACGTCTCTACTTCTCTGGGCAGTTTTCGCAAACGACTATTGTGGGCAACGTGAAGCGGCTGATCGAGTTGAAGTTTGATGAAGCAGAAGACCGAGTCGAGGCACTGATGGATCCGACTAGTAATACTTCCGAAACCGGTGCAAGGACTCAGAAAACCAAGTTCGAAGCTTTGATGGATACGGTGGTGTGGAAACGGATTGGTCTTTTCTTTGAGAACTTGCACAAGTACGAATTTGTCGATGAATTCGTCGAAGTCGACAAAGAGAACATGGATGTGGCCAAGCTACTGATGCTCCGAACCGAGCAATGGCAGCGTGTCCGCTTACACGACAAAAACGCTCCAAATCCGTTTGACCAGTACGAATCGCCTCTGATCGTCAGAGGAAATGCTGCTGTGAAAAAGTTGTTGGCTGTGGAGAAGGTCTTGGCACCAACGTTGGATGGTGTCAAAATGGCGAAGGCTTTGGCTAACGAGATCAATTCGTGGTTGAAGTTGTTGTCGGATGAGGAAAGAATGCAGAAACGGGTTCGTCAAAAGAAGTTCGAAGATATGGAGAAGCGACGCCAAAGCGAAGAACGAAGAGATGAGAAACGGAAATTGAAGAAGGTAGTTCTATCTTTACTTCTGGTGCTTGTGGATGTTGTTGATCATCCATAATATTATTGTCTACTTAGTTTAACTAGAATCAAGCGCGCGCGAGAGTGTGTTTGCTAATAACTGTGCGAGATTTATTGTATTGTACTGTAGAAGCTATGGGAAAAAAAAAACATGGGTGTCGAGAATGACGCATCTTGCGTTGTTGGGCCGACGGTAGCGAACTAATGAACTTCGAAGTTCTCGATGGTTGTCACTCATCGAGTTTGCGATGATACGAAAACGCTCTTCACCTTTTGACGAGGTCGCTTCATCGCTAACGCCAACGGCTAGCCATCCGAAACATCAATACTAGTCCCCCTCCCACTACTAGGAGCAAAGTTTCTTGTCTGTAGCCGCATATTGTTGATTATCATGGTATAGCTTTAGAATCCCTACCCCAAAACTGAACAAGCAAGGAGTGCGATCGCACGTGGCGAGAGCTGGGGCGGGAGCAGTTTGGGCCCCCTGCGATTCCTGGTCTTTGCCTTGACGTGGGAGCCACTCGTAATTTCGCGAACATCCTTGAGCAGCTACGACTATCTATCCACGGCATTAAACAAAGCGCGGCCTTTCCTTCGAATACAACGATGCGGGCAGTCCATTTTTGAAAGGTAACTTCAATCCGCGACGATGACCCAGCAGGCGCAGCGTTCTAGCTCATCATGGATACGGGGCGCGTTCTCGGTTTAATGGATTTAGACGTGGTGGAACTATCACAGCGCAGCTCAGTGTCTGATTTTGTACGCGCTGCGCGGGAGCACGCCTCGAGACACGCAGGAGCTCATACCCCTAACACCAATAAGAGGCTTGCAGAGGAGGTGACCGGTGGCCCTTCAACGAAACGCATTCCTTCGATAGGTCACGGACGTCCTACTGTAGTTGAACTTCCGCCGAAGGTTTTGCCTAGTGTCTCTGTGCTGGGGGGCCACGTTGCGCTGACTGCCTTTCAGCCGTCACGTTCTTACCTCTGTTCTAACTCTAATCGTCGTAAGACAGCGGAGCCTTTGCCGATAGATAATATGACGTTTGGTGGATCCACATCTTCTACGTCGTTCTCGGCTTTAGGCCGTGGAGCAGTCATGCAGCCAGACCCAGGCCCTACTAGGGGTGGAAAGTCAGCATATGCGATGTGGTACGAAAACGCTCCTTATCATCCAGCTAAGCCAAAGGTCTCGAGTAGTGGCCATCTAACTGGCAGGGTAATGCGGAAGTTTTGGGGAGATGCGACAGAAGGATATCAGCAGCGTCACTTCGGTTTCATCAGAGCTGATAAGCAGAATACCTTTGAGGAGTGGAAGAGGATAAACAACGTCAGTGAAGGGTCCACATCTTCATCCTCTACATCCTCAGGAGTGGAGACCAAGTCCAATGACTACCTAGCAGCATACTACAATGGTCAGGACATCCACTTCTCTAGAGATGCTTGCGTAGGTGCCAAGGAAGTTCACGAGGGCTCACTAGTTCGCTTCAAGATGGCGACTAGTACTAAGGGCAAGGGAAAGGGCCGCACTACGGCTGTGGAGATAGAGGTGACGGGATACGATCTTCCAACCTCGGTAGATAGTAGAATGAACGACTTCGAAACGCAGCTGGATAACATGTCACGTCAACACAGTAAAGATCTCCAACAAGTAAACCAGGCGGTTGGTGTGTTAAGCCAGAAGGTGAGCAAAGTAGAGGATCGTCTAGAGGGGTACGCCAAGTCCTCTGCAAATTCTGTAACGAGGTGCGAGGAGATGTTTGCTGCACTTCATAAGCAGATCGGCATGATGAGTCAACAGCAGGGCCAAAAGCATAGTGGAGGCGGTGTAGTGGACGGCGGAGATGTAGCCATGAGCGCTGCACCGGGTGGCAATAATGGTAGTGATGATACAGTCATTGGAGGGATGTCTTCTAGTACAACTTCCACTAGTCCAAGTAGTGGTGTAGTATCGTTATCAGTCGGCGGCCAATCGCTTTACAAAGCCCCAGTTTTGGAGCAATCGCTGGAGGATGCGCCCGCCTTGCCTCAGGAGAGACGTCCCCGTGGTTTGGTCAGTTCAGTCTGTCCCCCCCCGGGCTTGGAGTTGCCTGCTGAGGGGGACCCAGTGGGACAGGGAGCGCGCTTTTGTCCAGACGGGGGCTGTCCATGCCATGCGCTTGGCCCTATCGCTGGCGCGGTGTCCCATAGCTCGGCGTGGGCGTGCTTGGAGGTCGTAACTGAGTCTGGTAGTAGTATTGCCGCGGCTGGTTATAGCGCAGTTGCGAGCCCGCCTCCCGCGGGTGGGGTTCCTGTTCTTTCTCGCAGTAGGTTTGGTGATCAGCCGCCTCTTCTACTTAGTTCTCGCGTCGATGCGATCTCTCTCTCTGGTCCTAGTAGTGTTGACCATGAGAACAAAAGCGCTGTAGTACGTCAGGAGGGTCGACCGACTGCGAGTTGTTCCACTACCAGGCGACCGTGCTCCTTGTGTAAATCATGCCCAACGTCAACTAGTAAACTTAGCCGTGACATCTTCAATCATATCAGGTGGCTGCTGATTGCTATATGTTGGATCTGGTCGGCGTTTTTGTTAGGACCGGCGGGAGCAGGCAATGCCCAGAACAAGGCTGCGCAAGAGTTTGATGACGTTGCCTCAAACCTGTCTAGGGGGGAAGCTAGTCCTGACATCAGGTACGCGGACACGGAGCCGTCTAGTAGTCCTGGAAGAACTAAAGTAAATCAGGGAGATGGATTCTTTGACAGTGAGATCGGAGAAATTAAACAACAACATAACGCTCGTGACAATTTTGAACAAAGGATTGGTGTGCAGCAAGATGCCCCACAATATGGAGAGTCGAGATGTGGCGCCTCAGAGCAGTCTTCTTTTTTTGAAGGAACTTCTTCTATTTCTGGCATCAGAAACACAAATCAACCGCATGAAGATAATCCCCGAGCTAGTCTAGATGTTGGCGCACAGTCAGGCAGTTTTAGGCCTCATGCTGATGGAGGTTACAACCAACCGCGTCCATTTCAGTATGAGACGGGACCACGTCGCAACCCTGTCGATGTTGCCAATAGTGGGGAAGTATTTGACTATGGTCGAGCTGAAAACGTTCGTCCACAGCTAGTTGAAGCTGAGACTGAGGCAGATCTCTTTCACCTTGATGAAGTTGCTGACGTTTTGGATGATCAGATAGTGGAGCGCATGAATATTGCTGAGTACAACTTTGAGGATAATGAGGGAGTTGGAGACGCGATTTCGCTCTTTGAGGGAGGCAGTGGCTCTTCATCTTCCTCATCTTCTTCGTACGATGACCACACAGGGGAGGAGCAACATCGAAACGGAACGCAGTCTGATGATTGGTGGTCTGATAGTACAACTAGGAACAACTCGAGTGAGATGTTAGGCAGAACCAGCTCAGCAATTGGTCGGGCTGGCCGCTGGGTCGGGAGGCGAAGATCATACCCGATCACTCTAGTAGCCATGAATAATAGGAGTGCAGAGAACTCCAACGACACTGATGTCCGTTTGCGCTTCTTCTGTGATCCTCTCCTAGTAGAGCAGGGGGGCGCGTTCGATGCGTTGTTCGTCTCGGAGACACATTATAATAAGTCTGACTGTGTAGCTGGTAACCAGACCTATCCTATCACTGCGAGGGCGCCTGGTGTGTGTGATGACCTGCATGGGAGGTATATGTTCCGCTTTGCGAATGGTGCTGGCATTGCGATCTACAACAAGCATTGGATGAAGCAGATCAGGCGCGGCAACTGCCGGTGGTTTTGGAGAAACCGCGTCATCGGAGTCAGGCTCCCAGGAGTTGCGTTAATTTCCGCCTATGGGCCGGCCGGTGGCACTGACGTTGAATGGCGTGAGTTCCAATCGTCGACTGCTGCTGCTGTAGTTGAGCTGCGCAAGCCTTTGCGGGTTAGCATTGCTGGGCGTAGTGGTGACAAGTGGACTGACAGGGGATGTGCGGTCTACTTTGCTGGTGACAACTTAGGACTTTGCGGCGACCCGGACTCGCGAGCCTCGAGAGGATACCGAGGAAAGACGACTGGCAAGTTTGGCCTTGGCGAGCGTCTGGACACGAATGCCAGGGGGGTTGACTTTCTACGTAATGCAGACGACTTGGGGCTCGTCAGTGCTAATGTACTCTTCCAGCAGCCACCGGCTGGCGCCACGACATCTGTGTGGGGCGATGACCTGAAGCTAGCACCGGACAGAGCGACGTTCAGGAGCACCTTACCGAGGTGTTCGGGGTGGCGGGAGCTAGATCAGTTCTATGTGTCTGCAGTTGAGGCCGGGAACTGTCACGCGTGTGCGTCGTTCGAGTCTTCCTTGCCAAGGTTGGACCACCGTCATAAGATCCTCCGCGCAAAGGTCGAGATATCTCACCAACGTCGTTCGCGATTCCGTCATGCAGTCAAGACCAAGAGGGAGAGGGCGAACCGGGCTAGGGGCATCCAGGGCGAGGATGAGATACTTGAGCTATACGGGGGCCAGATACCGCTACGGCGCGCGACCATCCAGGCCCGGCAGGAGTATTCGCAGCGTGTTGTCCGGTCGTTGGGCTTGGGGTCAGTTAGTGGCAGTAGTGCGACCCTAGCAGACATGCCAAGGGTGTTAGTTGGTTCGAGCAGAATCTTGAAGCAGAGCGCGACGGAGGAGCTTCGTCGGTACCATTTGTCCCACGACTTTGTTACCAGAAGGCAGCTTGATGATCACATAAACAGGCTTAGGGCGAGGGTGGAGGCAGTCTCCGCAAGAGCTCTAGGTGATACAGGAGATGGTAGTGAGGAAGTTCAGAAGCTTAGCAGGGAGCTCGCGACAGCGATAACGCGAAGGCAAGAGTTTCAGAGGACACAGGCGCGGGGGAACTTCAGTGCTGGTTTGTATCCGTTCAAGGTTTACCGCGCTAGGGCATCGGCGAAGGTCGGAGCAGCGGCTGAGGTTTTTGATCCGGATGCAGCAGCAGCTCACTTTGCGAAGGTCGGCGCGAGTGGTCAGCTCAAGCCACTGCTCGGGTTGGTCAGGGAGGCTGTTGGTGGAGCCCTGCCGAGTAGGATCCGCGCTTCACTCTCTGCGGAAGTTACTGGTAAGGAGCTACGTGAGGCAGTATTACTGCGGAGAAACTCGAAGCAGACGGATGGCTTTGATGATCTAATACAGTATTACAAAGCTTTAGACGGCGATGGATGGAGTGCGATTGCTAGCATTATCAACGCTGACTGGGAGAGTGGACTTCGATCCCTTGACGAGCACCCGGATTGTGCCCGCATCTTGGACGCGACAGTAAACCTGCTGCACAAGGGCCGGGGAGAACGTGGCGACCTTGACTCGTACAGGGGAATAGTTAACACGTCCATACTGGTGAAGGTGCTGAGCTCCCTCCTTCTATATAGGTTCGGGCGAGCGGTGGAGGAGGTTGGCTTCCTGCCGCCAAACCAGGGCGGTTTCCGGTCCGGGTTTCAGACAAGTGAATGCATCTTCACCATGAGGCGGATGTGTGAGGACGCGCAGGAGTTAGCCGGGCTGGGCACGGAGGTGTCATCCCTTAGCGCGGTGCTACTTCTTGACATTAAGAAGGCATACCCGAGCTTTCCTCGCCTAGTTTTTGTCGAGTTTCTGCAGGCGTGGGGGATCTATGACTCGCCATCCGGGAAGATTGTCGAGCGCATTCACAGAAACACTACGTACCGGGTCGCGGTGGGTTCGTCGAGGTCAAGGGAGTTCCGCCTCCCGTCAGGGTTTGGCGAGGGTCAGATCACTTCGCCTTACTTGTTCGCGGCATCGTATGAGGTATGCCTTCGCGTTTGCCGGAAGATAGTCGACCTTGCGTGCCCGCGAGTGCCACAGATGCGACTTTGGACGCCACGCCATCCGTATTGTTTTATCCCCCGCAGGGACGCCGCGGCACTCATTCACCCGGCCTCAGTGTCGTTGAATGTTACGACGGTATACGATCAAGAGTTTGCCGATGACACTATAATCCCCTCTGTTCTTCAATGCGCCGTCATGCGATACCTGTCGTGGAGTCTGATGGGGTCGGAGGTAGTCGGGATCTATGACAATCGGTCGAAGATGGACATCATTCTGGCGGAGAACCCGAACACAACGGCGAGCGTGCGACATCTTGGCAACTGGATGGACTTAAGGGAGGACACTGACCAGCGAGTGCGCAGGATGGCAGGAGCACTCTCGCGCTTGAACGGCATTCCGGGAGTGGCAGAGACCACAACTGACTTGCGTGTTAATCTCCTCGGTCAGGTGCGTACTCGCGGGACATTTGCGTGCGAGACGAGGCGCTGGGGACCGGAAGACATCCAATCGCTGCAGACAATGGAGAACACTGCACTGCTGGTCCTATGCGGGATACCTCGCTTCTTTTTGCGCCTCTATAGCCTTCCCCTAGCTAGGATCCGCCGGTGGTACCGGGTGGACTGTGTTCGGTCTTTCATATTCTACATGCAGGCGTCATTTGTAGGACATGTTGTGCGATCCTCGACGAACCGCCTGGCCCGCGGGGCTCTATTTGGTTTCTTCACCTTCGGAGAAGTTCCAGGTTTAGCGGGGCAGTATCTACAGCAGTCCAAGAGGGGCCGTAGGCGCCTAGCAATGTGGGACCAAGTAAAGGACAACTTAGCGGCGGTCTTGGGTGGTCTCCGTACCGATGAGGAGCTGCTTTCCTTGGTCGTCAGCCGTGAGAAGTGGCGCGTGGTCTGCCTGGAGTTGAGGCTATCCCAGATAGTGGCAGACTATGGGGGGGATGATACCGCGACCCCAGGGGAGCTCGAGTCGGCAAGGCAGTGGTGGCGTACGCATTTCATGGACAAGCACCGCGTGACACTGTCAGCAGATTGCCAGTCGGGTGCTCGGTGGTTGGGCCCACTTGGCGCGGGGCAGCTTGCGGACGCAGTTTGCCAGCGTAATTACACTACTGTAGTGCAATCTCCTGGGCGGAGTTGGTGCCGTCGGTGTGGTTTCACCGTCCGGGGAAGTCAGTGGGACTTACGCTTCGCTGCTGAGTTCGACGCCACGAGGTTCGAGTGCCCTCCTATTGCGCTTGGGCGAGACATCTGCATAGAGGCAGACGAGGTAGCGGAGCACGAAGCAACTTGCGCGCCGGCTGTCCAGGGGCCACAGTCCAGACCGTGGGCGGGCCAGTGGTCGTCGACGGAGTGCGTGCGGTCGAGGCTCATAGGCCGCCTTGGGAGTACCTTGCCTGAGGATGCGCTTTTTCATCTTCTCGTTAGTGAGACGGGCCCGGCTGTCCGCTCGCTTTTCGGCGAGGTTGCTCAATCTGAGCTGCCTTGCGAGGCCTTGGAGCGTAGTGCGCTGAAGTCCAGGCATGCCGCTTTGTACAGAGAGGTCTACGCGTGGCCGTTCTTTGACTTCCGCGAAGATGATGACCGTATCTGGTGCTCGTGCGCAAAGTGTAGGGGCAAGCCTCTTGGTAGTCTTCGCGTTGCGTTCAGACACATGAGGATGGCAAAGAGGGAGGTGGCGATCAATAGGCTTGCGGAACTGCTAGAGCAAGCACAGCGTGAGACAAAGGAGAGGGCAAAGAAGGCGAGGGACGAAAAGGCTGCGGAGTTCAGAGGCGCCGCGGTCGAGTGTGGGGGCTCTGCTTAAACAAGTCATACAAACAGGGTGTTGGGGGTCTGGTTTTGGGTAGGGTCAGGCTGGTAGGTGCTGGAAGCCAAGTAAGCTGTCAGGTTGTCCTAAGTGAAAGTAAGTAAGTTGCTCTTCTACAGAAACGCTAAAAGTGCTCTTTCTCTTTCTATCAAAACTCTTGTTCTCGTGTAGTGAAAGCAGAAGCAGGGCAGTTTATAAAGTCACTAACATAAGCAGGCTAAGCTAGTAAAGGAAGAAAGTGTCGTCTTCAGTGGTTGCTTTCTCGGTTATGTCAATAAAAAAAAGTTTATTACGGTAAGTTCGTTGAGCTCAAGTCTTGTGTTGTGAAGCGCGTGGTAGTGTAGTTAAGTTGTTCCGCTTGCGTAAATAAAGCAAAAGGCTGTCCCGTCTCACCTAAGTACACTGCTTACTAAAGTCTTAGATGTTTGAACGGTGATAGTTGGGGTTCGTTGTCTAAAACTCTCGCTTATGGCTAGTTCGTGTTAAGTTGTAACTTTTCACAACAGGCGTAACCGTGCCGCTTCTCCACTCCACTCTTTGCGTGAGACCCATCGTGTGTATCATCTATGGCGCCCTTGTGGCAGTCTGCACTGAACTTTGTGCGAGATAAATTGTATTGTATTGTATTGTAACTTCACAAGCCCATCATCGATTTATATTGCTTTTATTCCAATCATTTCGATTTCCTCATCTTCAAAATTCGAAATCGAACTCCTTCTCTTTTCAGGAAAAGAAGCACGAGCGCAAGGAAGAGAAGAAGGAGCAGAAGCGGTTGAAGAAGGAGGAGAAGAAAGCCCATGACGCCAAAAAGCCAGTTCTCGTTGAATCTCGTTTGAAAAACCTCCAAGCCGAACTGCTCGCTCTTCAAGCCAAAAACAACAAGCGTGCTACGAGTAATGACCAACATGGAGGTAAAAAAGTCGAGAAATCTAATGCTGCAGCCGTTGCTTTGAACAAGAAGTTGGACAAGCTGAAGGACAAGTTGGGCAAGGAGATGAAGAAAGCGAAGAAGAAAACGAAAAAACGAAAACGAGGTGGCTCAAATGACTCGTCTTCATCCTCGTCTAGTAGAAGTAGTTCTGATAACGACTCTGACGATGATTTACGGGTAGGTTAAAGGTGCTTTTCTTACCGCTTTTTATGCCTCTCCACCTAAGGTAGAAAGCCATAACAAGCGGGGTCGTAAGCGAGCACCAAGAACCTACCTCTAAAAAATGATGATGACGACTCTCACTCTGACGATGAGGATTCTTCTGATTCTTCTTCCAGTGACAACGATTCTGATGATGGAGGAGGTAAAAAGAAGAAGAAAAAGAAGGAAGCGAAGATGAAGAAGACTAATTCTAAAGGATCGAAGAAGGACAAGAAGAAGAAAGATAAGAAGAACAAGAAGAAAGGCAAGCACGACTCATCATCGTCTTCGTCAGGTGACTCAAGTGAGGAAGAAGCTCACAAGAAGTCTAATAAAGACAAGAACGATCACTCAAAGAAAGATGACGAGGACAAGAAGGCGGCTGCATTGAAGGGCAGAGAAGTCGCTGCTCGTGCTGATGAAAGAGTCCGCGACTTTCTAGGGTACAACGATACTGCTAAAGGTGGAGGTGGTGCAAAAGGAAGTGGACGACACAACATCAATACATCAAACAATGACAGAATGGGCGCTCGTCGAGTAGATCTTCGAGCAGATTCTCGTGGTCGTGGTCTAGGACCACGTGGAGGTGATCTTCGTGATGGCGGCAGGAGAAACAACTATCATGGTCGTGCAAGAAGTAACTCCCGAGACCGTGGACGTGGTCCTCCAAGAGCACCTCCTCGGGACCACGACCGTCCAGCTCGTCGCTTTGAATTGGACGATGAGCACGATTGCGATCGCAAAGCGCCTGCTTCGGAAGGAACTACGACGGCTTCACGTGGTGCGGGCAAAGGCAACCTTGAACTTCGAACTCGTAGCCGAAGCCGGGGTCGTGAAGGAGAAGGTCGAGATCGACGAAGAGATGATTCTAGAGGTCGCGGTCGAGACCGCAGCCGCGATCGTGAACGTGACGACCGGGAAGGTGATCATCGCAAGTCCTCTCCTCTACATCGTGAGCGGGAAGATGTTGAAATACAGCGCCGCAAGCGAGAGGAGCTCTTAAAGCCAATCTCTGACGTGGAGGCGGACATCAGTAGCAGTGAGGAGCGTTCCCCGTCTGTGGCGAAGAAAAACAAAGCTGAAAGCAGTCCCAAAGGACATGATCAGGTGGCTGTAAAAGACAACAACAAGAAGCATGGTAAACAAGAAGATGTTGAAGATGATGAAAAAGATCATCGTGGACGTCGTGGTCGTGGTGAATATATTAACAGGAGTAGTGAAGATGAAGACGAGAAGACTTCTAAGAACAAGAAAAAAATCGTAAACAAGAGCTGCAAGGCAACGGCAGTACTAGAGCAAGATTCTGAGGACGAGCTGCAAGGAAACGTGGTTGAGGAGGATCCGCTAGAAGAAAATGTTGATGCGTCTTCTTCGAGAAACAATAAGAAAAATTATAAGGAGAAGATGAATGAGGAGAAACAACAAGTAAAGCTTCATCCGAACAAGAATAAGACACAAGTCGAAGAGCAAAAGCGAAAACATCAAGATCCACTACCGGAACGTCCAATTACAACTCGTGGCCGTAGAGCTGAGGCCGATGCTGACCGCCACCGAGGTCGCAATGCTTCAGATTCTTCCCCCGATCGCCAGCAAAATGAAGACTCATCTTCTCCCGAGCGCCATAACTCACAGTCTGTATCACCCTTTCCTCTACCGTCAAAGAACAAACAGACGAGAGACATTGATGCTCGAAACAAGAACATGATCTCTGCAAACACAGGCTACAACAAAGCAAGAAATGGTCACTCCTCATCTTCGCTTTCGCAAGCCGATAAGAAGCGCAATATATCTAGAAGTGAAGAGAAAGAAGACGATAGCAGTGAGGACGAGGTGGAGCAGGAGCACGGCAGTGGAGATGAAGATGATAACTCTCCAAGTGCAAGAAGTCAAAAGAAACATGAACATAGCAGTGCTGCTAGTATCAAGAACAAGATGAAGCGCAAACATCAATCTCACAGCAGCGACGACGACAAGTCCTCCCCCAAGCAACGAAACAAGCACGGCTCTGAAAGCGAACAAGCTTCGTCTCCAGAAACGGAGCATGATGAGGACAGTCAGGATGAGAAGTCTGAGTCACCTGTTGTACAGAAAGCGAAGACAAACGGCAAGATCGCACCTCGCGGTAAGATCGCGGTGGATAATCGACTTGCAGCTGCTGCAAAGAACATCGACAAGAAGAGACGTGTGGAGCGACAAGAGTCTTCTGGCGGTAGCGACAATGCCGAGGGAAGCCACGATGATGACAAGGGCAAGGGTCGCAAGCAAAGCCATGATGATGCTGCCAGAAGCAACAGTGGCTCGCTCTCGCGCCATTCTTCTCCAAAGGCTAAAAGGTCCAAAATGAAGAGAGCTGCGAGTGAGGAAAGCGAGAAAGAAAACACGACTAAAGGTAGAGCGAGCGGAGCTGTTAAACATCAAGTACAGAAGACAGCCAGTAGGAACGATCATGATAAGGTTTCCGCGCGTGGACGAGAAGAAGAGAGAACAACTACCTCTAGAAAGCAGAAAGACAGTCGAGCTAGAACTGCTCGTAGTGCTAATCAACATCCTGATGAACAACGTGAACGTGATCATGTTGTGAAAAAGGGTGACACGACAACAACTCATCTTCAACATGATCGTACTCGTCCACCCCCTAAAGAATACATCAACGGTCAAACAGGCAGTCCTCCCGTACATGTTTCTGACCGCAGAAACAGGAAGGATGACTCTAGAGCACGCCGTGATGAACGTCGTCCTGCTCGTCAATTTGCATTAGAACCTGCTTCGAAGGAAGGACGTGCACGTGACGACGCTCCTAGACGAGATGACAGGTCGAGATCACCACGTGAGCGTCGAGAAGTAGACCGGCGTGACGATCGTGGTGCCAGGCGCGACGATCGTCGCGACGATCGCGGAACACGCGAGGGCGACCGTCGTGATGATCGCGATCGCCGCGATGGTCGTGGACGTGATGTCCGCCGTGACGATGATCGCGACCGGCGTGAGGACGACCGCGGCTTCCCTGGCAATGACCGCCGCGACGAACGAAGAGATGATCGTCGAGGCGAGGACAGAGGCCGTCGTAAAGAAAAAGAACGAGTAGATGATCGTCGTCGAGATGTTGACGAGCATCTTCGTCCTCGTCAAGATGAAGAGCGCCGTGACCACGTCGACCGTCGCAGTCGATCCCGCGATCGTCCTCGCTACACGCATGCTGCAGACGCTGAGGCGAATCGTAAGACGCCAGAAGTCAACTACTGTTCGCGCTCTAGATCCAAACTGAAGAGTATCCTGCGTGAAAGCAGAGCATCTAAATCGAGCGAAGAGGAATCGTCTGATGGACGGTGAGGAAGTACCTGTAGGTCTTCTAGGCTTGAAAATTACAAAACGATGGACTCCAACAACAGAATCAATTACCGTCCACTAAGTACGAAGAGAAAATAAGCTCCTATGTACCTAGTACAAGTTTTGACATCATGTTGAAGATCGTGATTTCCCCGTATGCGCTACTTCAACATAAATTGAGTCCTCGTTAGATTGGTTTCCGACTCACCATGTCAACGTACTGTGCCCCTACACTCTACTTGTCGTTGTCATGATCGTCGAGTATTGAGTCATACCGGTGCCGACTGGATTCAGATTCATGCCACATACTCGAAAACTGAAAATAACCGAGTTACTGACTGAAATAAGGGAGGTAGCTTTGACAGGGCTGCTCCTCCTTGTTCAGTATCTCGCCGATTTTCAGTAGTTACTCGCTTATTTCAGTTTTTCGAATAACCATATTCCCGTTTCTGAGCGTATCCATGATCCGCTTCGTCGTTAAGCATCGGATTTTGCTCTACTTCTCTCCTATATCTCTTCCAAACCCAATGACAATGAGCTTAAGCATAATCGAACTCAGAGATACTAAAACACCCGTGGTCTTCATAACAGCTGCTCTCATCAATGAATATTTCCATACCTCCAAATCATGATCAACAAGATGATTAATACCCCTCCTGAATCAGTCACCGTTTTTCCGGACACTCTAACTTTCCCAAGAGTGTCGTCTTGCCATAAATATCTGAAAATTCAACTTTCGTCCTGAAACTCTTTTCCCAAGAACCTGCGCACCCCTTCGCAAAAATCATGATATCCACGACGTTTGTCGACATCTTCGATTGAAGCATGATCTTCTCAATGTGGTGCAGCGACGCTGAAGTCGATGAAGATGTCTCCCACGATGAACTGCGCAGAGGCTGCTCGTCTTGCACAGATTCGTGAGATATACACAGAAAAGAGTGAGCTAGTACGAAGGATGAATCATTGAGGCGGAGAGACGAAGCTCGAAAATCCGTTGAATTCTTCATCTACGTAGTTTTGAGACCGAAGCTACTAGTCAAAGCAACAGTGCTATTGTCATTATCATTTTTGCAGTTTAAGGATAACTTCATCAACTAAAAAAAAACAAGATGTCCTCACGTAATCCCGGCCCTTACATGCAGCAAACCCCTATGGGGTTTCCGTCTTACTGTCGACGGATGAACAAGGACGGTGACGCGAGAAAGGCGTTTCTTCAGAGTGAAGTCAACGGCAGAGTCTACAACGCAGTATACGAGACTTTGGGTATCAAGGGTCCGATCCGTGAAAATCAGCATGTTGGAAGAAATCGGATACATTTGCGCGATATCCATAACGGCTATTCACGCGGAAATTTCAGATGGAGTCAGATGTCCAAACATGGTTGGATGCAGGCGTGGCGAGAAGGGTGGTTCCTCAAATACGGGCTGGATCCGGATAGAAAGCAGTAGCGTTGTTGACGAGAAAAAGGAACTTTTTGTGAAAGTGAAATTTTAATTTTGACTTTTGCATTTGTGCCGTGACGAGGGCTAGAACATGATGATGATGTTTTCTTCAGGTGTCTTCGTCAAGAATAGAAACAAGATTCCTTCCAAGGCCCCTTTTCGAGAGGGTCGCCAACATTCTTGCAGACTTGTTCTAAAAGTACTAGAAGTGATGTGTTCATCATACCGCCAGCTTCACGAGGAGAGCAAAATACTAAATCACCTACTGTGTTTCTCTACCAGCTTTGCTTTATCACGAGATGAAAACCAACTGGTACTGACCGAGAGAAACTGTTCCTGAGAGGACATTCATCAATTCGAATCCGAGAGAACATGATTGAAACTCTTAGCCGTAGCTCGTCTACAACTACCAACAGCTTGCGGTTTTTTTTTCTTCAGACTCACAAGGCTTGACGTCCTTGTCCGCACTACTGCTTAGTGTGTTGACATTCCACGTCGCTGAGAGAGGGTACTGTATGTAGTTGAGGTGGTTGTTATTGTTTGCATGCTATGGTCAGCAAGTCCTACTTCTTACGCAAAGTATCATCATTGAATGTCAATATTTCTTTTTCTTGAAAATTATATTATTATGTTTAAGCTCTTTTGTGTCAGTGTCATCGTGTTTAATTGCTTATTTTGTAAGCAATGCTTATCAAGAACATCATCTGTGTGTTTTTCTACTAGGTACAATTTTCACTTGATTTAAGGAGACTCGTGAAAAACAAGGAGAAGAGAGAAGTCGCATCTCTACTTTAGAAAGAAAAGATGGTAGCGCACTCGACGCCTTGGTCTCCTGAGCCACGTGGTTCACCCATATCTCAACAAAGACGGTCTTTAAGAAGGATTTTAGCAAGTGCCACCACGACCTTCGCCGTCCTTGGAGGTGTTTCAGGAGAACTAGCAATTCAAGGTGATCCAGTATGCTGGGAAGATGGTGTGCCACCAGAGTATTGCTGTGGCGAGGACTACGGCGAGACGGGAACGCCGTCGTGCTGGGTAAGATACGATAGTTTCTTATGGAGATTATAGGGATAGGGATACTTGTACTTCGAGTACGCGTTCCAAGATTACATGAGTTTCGTGTTGCCGTCGACGTTCTTCGAAAGTCTTCAAATGCTAGACGATGTTAGAATGGACTTTCTCCAATTAATATGTTCCAGAACCACGAACAAGAAAATTTTTCTCTTCACCCAACATCTCGATCTCGTCCAGGTAATGGGTTTCCGCTACACCCGCTGTTGTGGCGTAAAGAAGAAAAAGGCTTACACGCCTGCTGCTAGAAGGTCAGTAAAACTGTCGACACCATGTGACTTCATCGTCGTTGGCGCTGGATCTGGAGGAGCAACTGTAGCTTCTAGGTTGGAGACGGCGTATCGAGTTTGCATTGTGGAGGTGACAAACGATGACAAGAATCAATGGACAGCTGGTACAACTACTCTATTTTAATCTTTATGTATGTGTATGAGACGTAAGTACACGTCTACTCTATTTTATCTTTAATATTTGTATGAGACGTACTACACGTAATGGTGATGGTGTACTAGCCGTGATGTGCCGGGCACAGAATTAGTCAACATATTAGAGCAAAAACCACATCGTTGCTGAACAGTATAAATTCAAAGTAGATTCTTGAATTTGACGAGAGACGGGTTAGCAACAACATGTTCTGCACCTCCAACCACTTGTTCATACACAGGCTACCCAGTCGGCCCCAAGAATTGGAAATACACGTTTGGGCAGGGCATCGGCGGCAGCACTCTAGTCAACAGCGGCGTTTATACCCGAGGAAACTTGGAGGACTATGAAGAGTGGGGTGGAGACGAATTTTGGGGTCAGAACAGAACTAAAGAACTCTTCAAAACACTGGAAGCACCAGAAGCAGTGCCTGGCTTCGATGTGGACTATGAGTGGCACCCACACAGACGAGCACCCGGCACGAAGCCTTCAAAAGTGTCCCTGATCTCAGCTGAGAAACACGAACTTCCGCCAGTGTTCAGAGCAGTAGTGAATGCATGGGAGAAGGAAGGCTTGGGACCATATCGAGTGGACCCACACTCGAAACCGGATATGGAAGGTAAAAAATTTTTGTAGTTTCTATTTTCTGTAGTGAATGAAGAAACTACGATCGACTTCTTGTTTCAGATGATCATGTCCTGTGCAACTCCTGCAATTTAATTTCTGGTTCCCAATTTGTTCATCTTTGGAGCTGATGCTTTTGCTTCTAGTTCAAAGGGTCTTTCTTTGCTTCTAGGTATCTTTCCTCATAGTACTACTTTTTGTACTTAGGTATCGGCGGGACCTGGCGATTTTCCGGTTGTGATGGTGATATGGACGCGGCTTGCTCTCCACAACGTGTTGCTCGATGGCGTTACATTGGCCACGAGCGCGAGCATCAATCGGTTGACCAGTTGTTGACGAAGCCTAAGATCTATCTCGGCACTGTGTCCAAGGTTCTTCTTGGCCAAGACCCGTCATCTGGCGAGACAATCGCGAAGGGCGTAGAGTTCATCGACAGCAAGGGACAAGTCTTCCAATTGTCTGCGCATAAGGAAGTCATCTTGGCCGCGGGAGTAGTGAACACACCAAAGATTTTGATGCTGTCTGGCGTAGGAGATCCTTTGGAATTGTCTGCGTTGAACATCCCAGTAGTGCAAGACCTACCACATGTGGGATTGCACTTGCAGGATCACTACGGGTTCTCTTCCACAGTGACAACGAACCTAGCATGTCCGAAAGAAGCACACAGGGACGAGCACGGAAGCCCGAAGGGAGGAACTCATTTGGGTAAGCAACTGAAGACTTTTTGCTTGGTTGAGTACGAGTAGATCTACTGAATCTGTATCAAGATCAAGGTCAAGTTAAAAATGGCAAGATTGTGCATGTGTGCTACAAGCATAAGTGATATTTTGTTTCTGTTCATTTCTTGACGTATGTCACAATCTAGTTTTTCTTTCTGTTCCGCTGATACTCCACAAACGCAATTCTTATCTCTACAATCAGGTTTCCTCAACGACTTCCTGGCTCAATTCTACGCTTGGTACCGCTTACCCGAATCCCGTGTCACATTCGAAATGTTCCTCATCGAGGGTTGTTTAGACGAGAGATACACCCTTACCTTCACAATCCTCCTAGTCAGTCCCTCCAACGAAGGCAGAATCATCCTCGACAGTGCCGATCCAATGCAGCAGGCAAGGATGGAAATCTTCCCCCATGTGCATGAAGAGGATTTGAACTATTTGAGCTATGCGCTGAGGATTCTGTACGTCAAGGTTTTTCCGGCTTTGCGACAGTGGGATGCGACGATCACGCCTGATGTGGGAACCATGAGCGATGAAGGGAAGGCGAAAGCGTATTCTTGAGTGTTTTGATAAGTAACCAGCGAACGTCGTTGTTTAGGATGATTCGAACTGCATGCACAAGTACACTACAACCACCTTTAGTTGTTTACAGGTTAAAAGTCGTGAACAGTTGTTATCATCGGCTTTACTGCATGATTCTATGCTTTTTTTCGCAACCCTGTCATCTCTTCAAAACCAGGTGGATCAAGGAAAACCTGTACTACTATTCGCATCCGTCGGGTACTGCACGATACGACCAGGCGCGACCAGAGGAATCAGTGGTGAATGCGGATTTGACTGTACAGGGCATCCCAAATCTGCGAATCTGCGATGCTAGTGTCTTCGGAAATTATGCGCGAAGCCCATAATCAAGATCATGAGGAAGATTGTAGCATCTTCTCCATCTGTTGGTTTTTGTACCTCTACAACTGAATTGCTAGTTTATCAAAAAGCGACTACTACGAACTCCTCCCACGACCTCCACCGTGCCCTTCCCAAGCGGAAGCGCTTCGGCATCCTCTAACGGAAAGCAGTCATTGGCCACACAGATGGGCCAACACGAATGGTAGGAGCCAACTGTGCGAAGATCATTATGGACCAGAACAGAGCTGAGATGCCCTATAGTGGTTATGGAACAAACACGGGACTTAGAGGCTTCCACATCGCATATTACTTGCAAGCGGGTGGTAGATTGATCGATACGGCTTTGACGTATGAGAATCAAGCCGTGGTGGCTGTTGGTATTGATTGTACGCAATAATAGATTTGGTATAATTGATTGTATTTTTGCAATAATAGATGATGGTTTTGCAATAATAGATGATGGTTTGTATTGATTGTACGCAAAAATAGATGATGGTTTTGCAATAATAGATGATGGTTTTGCTTTTTTTGTGTTGATGTTGTGATTAGATCTTCTTGATTGAGGTCTTTATTGGCGTGACTAAGGAATCATCATGATTGAGGTTGTTAAAGTTGAAAATGTTGCTGTGTTGTTCTGTCCTCATCAAAAATGAAGAACCACGACTTTGATGAACACCGCCCTCATCCATCAGGTATCCAACAATCCAAAGTACCACGAGAAGAAGTCTTCCTCGTAACCAAGGTCGGTCCAGAGCATTTTGATGATGTTTACTCCGCAGTAAAAGAGGACTTGACAAAATATCATGGAACAACCAAGCACGGTGAACCAGCAAGAGTGACCTATTTCGACTTGGTCTTGCTGCACTGGCCAAATCTGTATAGTAGTGATTTGAAGTTATGGCAAGGATACTGATCTGGTTGTCAGGGTCAGCTTTTATTTGATCTTTTTCTCTCAGCAGGTCCGCGTCACAGTGACACTGTTGCTTAAGTAAATTCTCCATCCTATCATGATCTCTTCGTCAACCAAGGTAGGAAACAGCCACATCCGTCCATTGCCTCTTCTTCAGCTTCTATCAAAAATCAAAAAATCTACTCTAATGTGCCGCCCCAAGTGTGCTTCCGAAGGTTGGACCCATTGCCGAAGACTTGCGTGGCAAGGTCTGGAGAAGCTGGTCCAAGACGGAGTAACGAGGTTCATTGGCGTAAGCAACTTTGATATCAAACATCTGGCTCCGTTGGTCGACTGGGACCAGAGGAAGTATCCAGTCTATGCGAATCAGATCGAGTACGGCATCTTTAGGACGCCAGACTGGGAAGCTGTGAAACAGTACTGCGACTCAAAAGCGATTCGGGTGATGGCATTCGGCGTTATTGGAGGACTCAAGAGCGAGATGCTTGTGGTACTGATATAATCTTCTGCAACGACGTTATTTTTTCAGAAAATGAAAATAGCACAGATCATGAGAGGTTTAAACTTCCCTTTTCTCAGGAAATAAAAAATCACCAAATGTTGAATACGAAAAACCAACGTTCGCTTTCCTGCTGAGTAAAATAAAGAAGTGGTTGAAGATCCCAATTCTTCTCGAAACAACTCAATATTAAATAACAGAAACACCCGTCCCTGGTGAAAGCGGCAGAGGCTATGGGCACGTCACCTCAGAACGTGATGTTTCAGTGGGCGATGGATCAAGGAGTAACCGTTTTGCAAGGGTCTAAGCGCAAGAAGCACATGGATCAGTTCATAGCTCTGAGTCCATCTTCTTTTGGTGCAAACATTAAGGCCAGTGACAATTTATTATATCCATCCCCATCTTTCCAATAACAATAACCAAGTATCTCTATCTTTTTCTTGGTCCCACGCGTCCCGTTTCCGTTTCTCAAGAGGAAACCAAAACGGGCAGCAAGATTGATGCCTCACGGGAAGATGGATCTCGATTTGTCCTATTTCTAAGAAGAGCACAGCGATGTCCACAAAGCTCTACGAGCTGCCGCTGATCGAGGAAATCCCCACTGAGGAACGAACCAAGTGCTACGAACCAGACCCGGTGAACTTCGAGTAACGAAACTAGAGAAATGGTAATAGTGGAAGTGGTAATAGACAACTGGAGGAGATGATAGTAGTTCTCGTTTAGCAGAAAGCCGGAGGAGCGGAGCGAGGTGGTGCTCAGTCGACATAGTTATCAGCATAAGGTGAAGAAAAAGTATTGGAAGAGGTGGTGCTAGCATATTGTACATGAGACGTTATTAAGCATGAGACCATAGGAGTTCACAACATGAGGCGCACGCGACATTGAAATCCAACGCATATTGGTTTTTGAAATAGTTGAGAGATGAGGACATTCGTCATCTCGTAGCGTATCCTGATTTCTTATGTATCTCTATTTACAACAACGACCACTGAAAACCCACTTTGTTTCACACGATGAAGGTAGGTCTGGGGGTACCTTAGTTCTTGGTTGTAAAACCCTGTTCTTAGTGGTAGTGCTGAATATAAACATAAAGAATATAAGAAATTACTACATGACAACGAATTCATCTTAGTATCATGACTTGTTTGAATCCAAGAAATATCCAACGAAATTACCGATTCTGTCAGCCACTTAATTTTCAATGTGAATCTTGAAGCAGCACCTTAAAGTTTTTAACGTATGGGGGAAGTTCTTATCATGATAAATGAAACTCAAACTTACTGATATAAATGATCAATATCGAAGATGTCATATCAGGACAGTGAGAAGAAGAAAGAATATCCTTATCCTCATGAGATGGTCTTTCCCTAGACGTTGATGGATTGAAAGTGTCACTCCAATGATCTTCTTGGATCATCTGACTGCATTCTGATGTCAATATCATCGACATGAAGATAATTGAAAGCATTGTTACGACTACGTCGATCGACCGCTTCGCGTGGACGGCGTCCTTCACTGTGTGCTGCTGAGCCAGTTTCAATTTCGATTGTGCATCGACACCTCGACTTCCGCTTCCTACTTAAGGTCCAAATGAGAGGGAGACCAAAAAGATGTAAGTAAAGCGAACACGACCTCCAACGCGGAAACAAAAACTCCCTTCCCCACCTGCGTCTGATTTTGACTGCCCCCGTTGCTCACAACAATTGAAATCATAATCATTCGACTCCATCAACCAAAAAATTTCATCAATATTTTCACCAGTTGTTTATATATAGCTCAAAAACAGACACATCAACTACAACAAGCAGAAAGACATCAACTACAAAAAGCAGAAACTACAAATAAGCATCAAATACGCGCCATGCTGCTTCAAATGGCACGTGTCCTCCGCGGGGGCGGAGGCGGTGGGTGTCCGGTTATGCGAGTGGATCTAGCACACCGAAGAATGTACCCGGCGACTGTGCTGACCGGTAAAAGGCGTTACTCTTTTTACTGCCAGGAGTTTGGTTGTTGATATCATCGACATGAATAACAATGCATGCTTTCAGTTGTCTTCATGTCGATGATATCATCAACAAAAGTGTCTTCAACAACTTATTTCAAATTATATATATTAAATATAATTAAGCTGTGAAAGGCAAAAGAGGAACATTCTCCAGATTAAGGATCCTGCGTACTCCTCCACTACATCACACGTGTTGTATTCCTAGGTAAATCCTGGATTCCCACATCTCGTTCGGCATCGCAGGGAGGTTGGTACATGGCGTGGGGAATCCTCTGGGGTTACTACTATCAGTGGTTTCAACTCGGCGCTTTCAGTTTTACAGCAGACTCGAATAGAAGGTATACATTTATAGATAAATGATTCGGACCTTCGTGGTCTTCACGCACCCCAAGCTGTGGGACTGCTAGTGATTCCCGTTGTGATGTCCCTGGTAGAGTTATTCGATCAAGCAAGTGAATTAATACTGAGGTACGATTGGAATTCGGCCTTTTTTTTCTGTTGATGAGATGCTTCACAAGAGTCTGTGTCGTCCAGGTACGACGGTTCGCAATTCAACACGCAACGATTGCTCTTCGGATCCCGATATGACGAGCCTGCGGAATATGTACGTGTCTTGCCTTTGAGCAGCCAGGCACCTAAGTGAGATGTCAGACCACCTACGACAAGAACAGTGAAGCTGAGGGAAATGGATGTCTCGAGGAGAAAATTGCGAGTTGTCGTGCCGAACTGTGACAACTTGTCTGTGCTGCTCCTGCGTGCAGCCGCTTGCACATGCACCGAGGTTGTAGGGGTACGATTGTTCCGCTTCTAAGGCTCGCTCCAGAAGACGGGGAACCAGAAACCTGACTGTGCGAGACTGTTGAAGATGATACGATTCACCACGAGTACAAACCACCCTCGCGAGGACTACGAGTCCTGACTTCCCAAGAAGAAGAGGGAACCGCAATTTTTATATTGAGGTTTCATTTTCTATTTCTTCAGGCAGCTTGTCCATGTTCGTGAATTTGCCTATCGCAACTTTTGATTTTTTGTTTCACAATTCTTGGCATCCGAGGGAGTCAAACGACTTGTTCGCGTTCGCGAGGTACGCTCACCGAAGATCAAGCTGCAGCATTTGATATCGCTCTAAATTCTGCATCCGGGGGCATGAAGTAGATCATTTTCAACCAGAAAGCAAGATCCTGTTTTATTTATATATAATCCTCCATATTCAGATAGATCATGGACAAAAACAAGCCTAAAGGGATCCCGTTAGAAGGTGTAATTGTCTGTGTGTCGCAATCGGTTAGGAAGGAGGACAATTCAGGATTGATCTCTGCTGTGGAAGTGGATTTGATTACTGATAAAAAACTGTTGCAATTGTTTTTGTGTGATCATTTATTGACTTTTTATTTATTCGTTTCGCCATCACCGTACCATACTTAGTGAAGTGATCATCAGAGCCAGTGGTGGAGAGCACGGCACTTGGAAGAAAATATTGTCGTCGTCGTGCTGAGAAAGGATCTCCTACCATGAGGGTCGCGCGGTTCTCCACCGCCCTCATAGGGGTGTCGACCACCTCAAATGCTCTGCTGCAGAAGAAGTCTAGCCTCAGAACACGTGGTGACGGGGTATTCGCGAAGGTGGTGGAGGCACTGCAAAGTGCGCTGGCAGACGTGAAGTCACAACAAGCGGCGAACGATGACGAGTTCACTAAAGTGTCATGTCTCTGCAACGAGGAAATCGACGAAGCAAACGAGAGGATTCCAGTACACGAAGAAAATATCGAGAAAGCAAAAGCTAAGGTAAGGTGGACTCGATTTGAATATTTCTTTTTGATGGTGAAATTGAAAACAAATAATTGCGGTTACTGCAAAAAGCGGAGAAATACAGAATCCCCGTTCCGTCTAGCATCACGGCGGTAATGAGAAGTAGTAAAACCGCTGTAGAACAAATACATAGTAGTAACGCAAGGAGAACAAATTATTAGTAACGACGGTGGCCTATCATGTGCGGATCTCGCATCTCTTATGTGGGAAAAGATCGCTGTCCTCTTCTACGGTAAGGACAATTTCACCGCGACTATCCCTGCGTCGCCTGAATAATTTCGCAGTATGCTCCGGCGTCTGGTACAGGACAACATCGGCAATTAATTCCTGGACAAACTTTGCGCCTACTCAGAGCCCGTCTTGAATAAATCTGCATTGTTGATGTGGCAGCGCGTCGATGCCCATCATCGAAAAGAAAAAGGAGTAGGACCTGAAGGACGGAGACGCGGAATTTCTTCTTTTAACAAATAAGCGGCTAGTAGTACGTCGTCGACAGCACCAGATGAAAAGAAAGCTCACAAGACGAAGCCCATTCCTCCGGCACCTAGAATAATAATTTCTTAAATATCTGCTCTATTGGCAATAGAGTCTTAAATAGATTGAGGCTACCGCCTAGGCGCAATCTTCTCTTCAACCTATTTTGAAGAAATCTAAATAATCTAAATCTACATTTTCCACCTGCAGCTGCATGGTGTACTTTTGTTACCCCACGATCTACTTTCAGCTCGAGCAACTGCGCGCGGAGAACGAGAAGCTTTCGGTAGAATCAGCAGAGTTAGATACCGCGGTAGCGAAAAACACAAAGGACCTAGAAGATGCAACAATGAAGAGAAAAGAGGAGAAATTCAAGTACGATCTGGACATGGGAGACATGACAGAGGGCGTCAACCAAATGACAGCAGCAATTAAAATCCTCACGGAAGGAACAGCGTTTTTGCAGGGAAAGAGCGTCGTGGAGGGGCTAGTGCAGAAGGTACTGATTTAGATTTTTTTAGATTTTGGTTCTCAAACCAATTTTCAGTTTTTCCACGGGCGGGAACGATCGACCATAAGCTTTGGTGTAGGATTGAAAAACTCTTTGACTGGCCCATCCAGTTTTTCATTGTCTCCACCTAACAGCTCGAGAAGCTTCCTTCCGCTTTCGTCCCGTCAAGCGACCTAGCTCTCCTGCAGTCCGGCACAAAGACTTCTGGTCAAATCATCGGAATTCTGACGAATTTGAAGACTACTTTCGAGACCGACATGGCAACCATGACAGCCAAGGAAAATGAAGCACAGGGCTACTTCGACGACTACGCAGACCGCACGAACAAGCAAATCAAAGCTGATACTGATTTGTCCGCGTCTCATAAGTCAACGATTGCGGATAACAGTGTCGTCATTGCAACCACGTCAACGGAGTTGGAGACGGAAGAGTGTACTTCTGGACCTTGTGTATTTTGCAGCAATTCTAAAGAATCTCAATTCCATCAACTGCACAAAGAATTCATTAAAACCGAAGGTTTTAACAAATAATTTTAGATGGAATCACGGAAGTGCTTGCTGTTATGATGCTTATGCTCTCGTACTGGTCGGTGATTGGTGAAATTGAGCTCAACCCCCCACTTGTAGTGTTGTCTTCGGAGTTTACAACTTTTGTCTTCTTAAGGAAGCTGGATTCCGTTGATGCTGTCATCTTCGTCTCAACATCCAATCCCACAGCCAACCTCGACGATATGGAGAAGCAACTGAAGGAACAGACCGCAGTCCTCAAGGACCATACCGCGTTTCATGACGCAACAACAGCTGCCGCGAAGGGACAGATGGAGTCTATCTCTGGTGCTGTGACGCTTTTGTCATCCCCAGAAGCCATGAAGACCATGGCAAAGTCGGAAGAGCACATGACCTTCCCGGACTTCTTGCAGGTGGAAGCCGCCCCATTGAGCAAGACATCGCTGTTGGCTGCTGTTATGAATATTGGTTTTGACTTGTGATCAAGCTGTTGTGAAGATTGATCGATCTCCTTCGTAACGTTATCCTAGAAGATGACGTCTAAAAACGTGGTCGTGATCATGATAGTTTGCCACGGATCGTTTTCGTACTCGATTTCTACTTGGATGAAAATGCTAGTACAGGAGCAAGTAGATAATTTTGCAAACTTCTCTAATGCCTCCCTCGCCACCAAGAAGCGTGCTGCTGGCTCCTATGGCTGGACCGCGATTTACACCGCCATCGATGATATGGTCAGTTCTTTGACTGATGAACTCGAGGAGGCCGATCAGCAATTCACCGACTGCGAAGCGGCTCTCAAAATGCATGCCGTTAACGAGCACAACTTGAACGAAGAGAAGACGAAGAGGTACTGAAATGGACGTCAGTTAGTTAGTTATAGTTTATGTGGTAGAGGATGAGAATGAGCTCGAATGAATTAGCGCAGAAGTTTCTACTTAAGACGAAAATTGTGTTAGGTAAATCGCTATCGCACACTCAAACAAATCCATCTCCTGAGACATCGAAGAAAATGATGCCTCCGATTTCAGCCCTTTACCATTATCTTCCTATTCCTTTCCACCACAGACTTGCAGAAATCGCTTCCCTCGAAGGCACGATTGATGCTGCGAAGGATACTATCAAGCTAGCCAACGAAAACATCGCTTCTATGACAAAGGCTATTACAGAAAAGACGCAGAACATCCGTACTATCCGTGCTGACACAGAACGCGAGACTGCTGAGGCCACAGCTGCACACGCGCTTTTCAAGAAAGCTATCGCGTTTCTGGAAAGCTTCTCTTCGACCAGTGTGGAGGGACCAAAGGAGAGTGCTGGGTACTTCTTACTCATTCTCTTTTATGGATGTTGATTTGAGTTTGAAGTTGGATCGCGCGAAAAGACCTCTAAACAAACTCCATCTCCACCCAAAAAAGTCAATAAAATCTCAAAACAGCGCCGCCTACGACACCGCCACTCTCGAGGCTGGTAATGAGAAGGTGATCAAGATTGTCACTGACGTTGATGCCGAGATGATGGCCAACATCAAGAAGCTCCAGGACAAGGCCACCACCGACATCGACACCCTCCAGGGAGAGATCTCCGATTCCAAGGACTCCATTGCCAATAGCGAAGACGAGCTCGCTAAGGCTCAGACCGACTTGGCTGACGCGACCAAGGGTCTGAACAGCCAGAACCGGTACATGGCCAAGGTCGAGGAAGGTCTGGCCGCCGAAGCGGCTTGGTGGGGACCGGCAGATGGCAACAAGCTCCCGGCACCAGGAGAGTTCTGCGCTGGCTACGTCGGACGACCGGAGCTGTTGGACGGAAAGAAGGTCGACCAAGAAGGCGGGTTCACCGCGACGGACAAGGAACAAGGTAATTACGATTTTTGTTGAACATTTTCTTGACTTGCCCTTCTCCACTACCGGCAATCGCATATGATGCACTTTCAAATTCATCTCATTGATCGTTTCCTTTTCATCGGACCGAGATATCATCGGTCTTAACATCACACGTCATCATTCCAACAAACGGTTGCTTCTCCATGCGCCAGGTACCGGCAAATATCACGAAAAGACCAAGGCGGCTCGAGAGGAGATCTCCTCGTTAGATGCCATGAAGAAGACAATCAAGGACTTGGAGTCCGCCTACATCACGCCACAACTATAACCATGATGGGGAGAAAATTCAGAATTTCTAGTAGATGAAGTTTGTACTTGTAGAAGACCGATCTAAATGTACAACGGTTATTTTGTGAAGGAATGCAAAGAAAATACCGTTCACAGATATGAAATGAACATCTTGACTTTCAGCAATTTCATCATATTGACACGGGAGGCGCAGTCTTTTTTTAGTGGAATTTTGTCCAAGAACAACAGCACAGCACCATTTCACTTTCTTTTGGATTTAGAATAACAGCATGTAGATTTAGAACAATAGCAGCAGTTTCGTCATTTTTTCGTCATTACACTTACAGTCAAATTTGTCATGGATTTTATGGTTTTTGTCGTCAAAACACTCAAATACAATTCTGTCCAACCGACAGGGATTTCTCTTTTATTTGTTTATGTTCATTCATTCAGCAGCAGCAGATTTTTGATTAAAAGCTTACAGCACAGGAGGACGAGGATATCATGAGATTACTTATCACGTTTACAGCAGCAGTGGTCAAGAGCAAGACTCAACAAATATGATGAAATAAGCTGAAACGTCAAAAAAATGACCACGAATTGTGAAGGCAGTTATCGTGTGATCTCTAGAAAATCTAAACGAGAGCCGTCAGTATGAGCACTGAAAAAAGGTTGTTTATATTCGGTGGTCCACGTCGCTGTCGGTGTGTCGGTCAAGAACTTATTCGGGCCGTTGAACCTACTGGATCCCAATATATCATCTTTGCTTCGACCCTCCTCTGTCCAGACTCCTACAACCGAAGACGGTACATATTGCGCATAGAAAATCTATCTTCTTGTTGAAACGTGACTTGTGTTGTATCTGTTGTCTCCCCCGTATTACACTCAATGTGATGGATGCACAGGAACCTAACCTACCCTTATACTGCGTTATTGTGACAAATAACGTCTCTTTACGACCTACTTCTTTAGTTGTAGCTGTTAACATTAGGGATTTTTTAGGGGGACTTCCCCTTGCCGACTGATGTGTTCCTATTTGATGTTGGTTATTCGATTGAGCAGAAGCCTTTATTAACTCATCTACTGTCTGTGTAATATGAACATGCAACCAGCTCTATCATGAAAACCATGAACAGAAAAATGAGGCGGAGGAAACTTCAGAAGGAGCGCTGCGTACAACCATTACCGGAGGGTACTACAAGTACAAGCACAACTACATCCTTTCGACCTCCTCCGGGACTTGAGGATCATGAAGACCTAGCCGAAAAAAAAGAGAGCAAAGAGAAAGAACAAATAGATGCACACCAAGAGCAAGCCCAGGTCGCCCAAAGACATGAGGACTGCGAACAACCACAGCCACAAGCAACTTCCACCGAAACTACCACTACTACCACTACTACTACGTTAAAGTCTCCAGCTCCACAGTATGCGAACACGATTTACTCAATCTATGCTGACTACGATGAAGAAGGTGTCTGGGTTTACCAGTCTTTTTACAGTCATCGGAAAGCAGACTTTGTTAAGGCAACCCGCTACGGAGCATCCCCTTCTAACAGTACATCATGACCACAATTGGCTCGCTTTTTCTCGAATAGCTCGTTGAGTTAATATCTTACTCAGTATTACAATTACCACTAGACTAGCGGGTATAAGTCGTCGGGGAAATCTTCGGCAGATTGCCGCGAAGATGCGCCCCGTTGCTACTGCTACACATCGCGCAGTGTCCTTCCTCGGTGAAAATTCGGATCGCCCCTCCATTGATCAACACCGGCGTGATTGACATGCTGCAGGGCCTTGAAGTTGAACCTTAACACACCAGGGAAGCGTGGCACCACAAACACAAAAAGAACCGTGTCCATGAAGTAGATCTAGATCCCACTTACTTTACTTTTAGATACTACTCATTGTTATTCATGCCGTTCGATCTACATACCTTACTTTTTAACCCTTCTAATTATGCGGTGAAGAACCAGACACTGATAGGGTGCGATGGGTTCAACTCAACTGCCATCCGATGGATCATGCCCGGTTTCGCATTGGCGCTGCGCCAGTCTGAATATGCGAGGAAGCAAGATCAAGAGCGCATCTTGAATTATGAATGTTGATAAGCATAGTCACACCAGTATATTCGAAAACTCAAAATATGCGAGTTACTGACCGAAATGTGAGAGTCTTGACTACATTCCTCTTCTTTCAGTAATATCTCTCTTATTTTCACTAGTTACTCGCTTATTTCAGTTTATCGAAGGTGCCGAGTGAAAACGGGACCTGGTTATTGGTGCTCTCGTGATATGAAGTAAAGATGGACGTGGATCCAGCGGACTAAGAATCTACTTCTGTTCTACACACTGCTATTAGAGCAGAAGTGCTTTGCTGGCTCTAATCGAAACTGAAAATCTCCCATGAAGCACTATGCGCTATGCTAGAGCTGTGCTGGGTTGGTAGCGGTGGAGGTGGGAGTAGTGGACACGTGGATTGGCAACCCGAATCATATCTGTGGGAGTGTACTGCAGACACCGGGAAAGTAGGCAGAATACCAAGAAAAATTAAGGGGTCTAGTTGTGCCAGTACTTGTCACAAGTCTATGAGTTATTCCATCTGCAGATGTAACTGGTACCATCACCATGTACTGTTCGTTAGAGCAAGCATCGTATGCGCTTCTAGCGCTTCTACGGTATGTGAGTAGTGCCACCGATGATCCTGAGTAGTTAGAGCTCGTCACTCGAATCTCCCATTTCGAGACTCTGGAAATGTAAACATGGTTATCTCATCTGTATGGGAGTGGGACAGTGACAATCCCAAGGAGATCACTATCTTCTAATAAGATGACGCGCCGGCGGTCGCTTCATCTTAGAATTGCCAGAGAAGTGAGTCGATTCTACACAGAGTCCATCTTGCGGATCGAAGATGTCACGCATCTCGCACATGCAGTGCAAGTAGCTCATATGCACATGATGGTTCTCAACAGAGAAGCAATGTCCTTAAGACAAGATAATTCTTAGAGTGAATGGAGAGCCATTTTCTTCGTCAGAGGCTCTTCCTAGTACTTGGTACAGCTGTTTTCCTTAGATGATGTGGGGAGACTCGTCAATAGTAAGTAGTAGAACGCAGCTAGCTTAACCCTTCTTGTCAGTTTTCCTAAGCGACGACCAGGGAAAACAAGACGCAGCCAAGGATACAACATCAACAGTCTGTAGGTCACCTTCAGTGAGGACTCGAACTTCAACGCGATAGCTCTCCCTTCTCCTCAAAGGACCCATTATAGAAATACCAAAATAACCGACTCATTTTCATCCCTCGCCTTACTCCCTTGAGAAGCAGGTCTCGTCTTACTTAGTACTAACTCCCTTCAACACCAACACGAACACGATTCACAATTTCTAATAACATCCGAAGAATCAAAGAGAAGCTTTGTGCTGGGTTTCCTTAAAGAACATAAACTGGAAATGCCAAACGAACGACGGTACATGCCACCGCATTTAAGCGATGCTGAATTGCGGAGGTTGAAACTAATCGGAAGTGAGCATATAGTTAAGACTCCAACTTCTACTAGTGCTCCTGTTGTTGAATGGCTCTGGTATTTGGTAGCCTGATTTTGATCAGAAGGAAAACAAGAAGAGAATCCTTGGGATCAAATTCAGGCTACCAAATACCAGAGCCATTCAGTTGGCGTTGTGATTGGCAGTGGCCATATAGTTAACAAGGTTCTTGTAGGACGATTTACGAGAACTTGATTTTTCAGTAGGAGTGCGGTGTAGTGTTGATGAACTAAACATACTTAAGGTTCTCGTAGGCCTCGTCTAATGAATAGCGACATGTTGACGATTGCGCCTTGTCGAACTCGGATGAGCGAAATGATGGAGGCAATGAACCCTCACGACAACGAGGACGATATCCGCATCGACAGAAGGAGAAAAATATTAAAAAAGCAGAAATCAACTTAAGGCTTGATATCCTGCTCTAATCTATCCATTTTTTCTATCTCTATGTCAGTCTATGTCGTATTATAGCTGAACAGATGTGTCATGGTGCATCCCAATACCAATACATCAGGTAGGGACGGGATACTACAACTATTAAGGCATATTTTGTTAGTCTTCCCATTATAATGTGTATACCTCTTCCTTTTTTCCATCTCTCCTAGTAAAGTTAGGTCGGCTCTAGTACCATTAGTTACTACTGTAAGGCCTAAAAAAGGATTTTCGTGCGGTATCCCTACTGCAGCTACAGCAGGAGCTATGAGTTGGGAGCGTAGCTTGTCCTCTAATTATCGAGATGGGCAGAGGAGCTCATGAATATCATCAACATCAGATATGGGCTATGCACCAGCAGGCGGCGCAGCAGATGACTGCTCATGGTGTGTAGGCATTGGCATATCCGGGAGCAGTCGGCCCTTATAGTTATCCCTCGTCGTGAGTAGGACAATTCAGCAACAGGTCATCAGGTAGCACAAGTACGAGAAGTACAACACGAGCTATCACATCATAATGATCAAATTCGAAAGTTAGAAACGATACATGGAACAATTAATTTGCTTGTCGGACAACTTGCTACAAGTGACACGATGAGAAAGAGTCAGACTTAATCATGTGCGTCTATTTTCAAAAAACGAATTTTTGGACACAACACTTTTCCAGTGCAAGTATTACAGTTCGCGGTCATGATCATTTACTTAACAGGTTCATAAGAACGGTAGTTATCATGATATAGATGGTTACATCAACAGGGAATACATCTACTTAGGCATTTTTTTAATATTTATTCCCCAATGCATAGAAACATAGATTTTTGGAATCATGATCAGGAAAAGATGGTCCTCATGGTTACAACTGATATAGCTGAACAGAAGCACTAAAAACATTTTCCTTAGTCTAATAGATTTTTTTATCACCACGCGTGCGAAATTGTGAAGGATGAGGTGGCTGTAGTAGTGGAGTCAGGAATTGTATTGTCATTGTGGACTTCCAGTGAAAGGCGAAGAAGACTACTTGGAAAAGAAAGTGTCGCGCATGCGGAAAGAAAGAGATGTTGGAGGTTCTGAAAATAGATTCACAAACCGCCCCCGTTGGATCCTGAGGCACAAGCAGCATAAGTTTGTCGAATGCAAATACGTAGATCTCAGAAGAAAAAGATTAAGATGTACCACTTGTTTTTGGACCTCTGACTGATGTCCTCCGATCCTGATCCAGCACACTTTGCGGAATAATACTTCACTCCTCGTCCGTGTTTGACAGTCTGTCGTGCCTTTTTGTACGTATTTTTGTTTGTCGTGGAAGTGCTCGTTTTTTGGTTAATAAATTTGAAGATTTTTGGAGAGATTTCTACTGTAACTACTTGATGTTGTAGAAGTTGGTATCTCATTTTTTTAGGAAGATCTGATCACCATCGCCTTGTTCTAAGTGAAGGCGATATTTTTATTTTACAACTTGCTTCTGCTTTCATATTCATCGTGGTGATCCTCTAACTCTTTCCGCCAACTGCGGACGTCCTCGTACGTAGCTGCAACCGTTCATCTTGTGATCAGCAAGATGGAGCGTCAGCAGCAAATCCACGTCCATCGTGGCGTTCCCCCAGAAGAGGAGAATAGACAGCATGATGAGGAGCAGGATCCGAACACCATCTACGCTATCTTCGCTGACCACGATGAAAACGGTATTTGGGTTTACCAAGCTCTCACTAAGAAGATCGCGGATTTTGCTGTGGCACGTCAGACTCTCAGAGGCTGTAAGGAGTTCAACGGAACTCGGATGACATGGATCGAGCCTAGTTTCGCCTGGGTCTTGTACCGCTCTGGGTATGCGAGAAAGCGCGGCCAGGAACGTGTTTTGAATTAAGGCTACTAGAAGGAATCCGAATCCATATCCATGATATTAGATCTGAGCCAGCTACAGCATCTTCTTTCTTCGGTCCGTTTTCTAAGCGGAAACGGTTACCAAGACGGGGCTCCGCGCGATGGAAGTTGCAGATTTCTAGCTCTAATGGAAGTTGCAGATTTCTCATGAAGCGTTCTGTAGCATTTTGGAGAGGTGCTCGATTGGCACAGGTGGAGGCGGAACCAGTGGTCGCGTGCAGTGGGATCCTGAACGCGATTTTTGGGAAGGCAACCCGGACGAAAAGCCAGGCAAAGAACCACGCAAAATGGTCTACCGGCGGTCTATTCAGATTGGAATTGGGAAAGAACTCAGTCAATTCTACACGAAAGCGATTCTGCGAATCGAAGACGTTACAGAATTAGCTCACAAAGTGCAAGAAGCTCATGCAACGATGATGACCTCAAAAACCACTACTGCGTTGCAGAATGACGCTAAGCGAGCCTTTGTCTTAGACTTTCTCGCACAACAACGTAATTATTTGGCAATGCCGAATGAGCGAAGGTATATGCCGTCGCATCTTCTGAGCGAGGGTGAGTTGCGGAGACTTCAGCTAGTTGGAACTGAAGACATCGTGCGACACCATGAGGAAAAGAAGGAGGCAAAGCCAGGAAAAAATAGAAAGCAGAAAATACTACACTGAAGATGTTTTGGGGAGACACTGATTCTGATCATGCGGATTATTTATATATCAAGGAGATGAATTTGAATTTGAATTCAAGTTTAGGCTTTTTGGTGAAGATGTACAGGAGAGCTCATTTGGTGGATGAATGGAAATGCCACCCACAACTTATACTTTCTGGCAAGCCTTCTACTTAGACTAACGAAATCCTCCTGTCCAGGACTCGTACTACTTATACCATTTTTAGGACTCTGCAAAGCAAGTAGACACAGAGTCGAGATGGTAACAGCCATAATAATGATTGTGTATGAATTCTTGGCAGGAACGGGGCCTGCTTTTGAGAAAGACACTAGAATATTCTATTTTGGACACCACTATCACTACCTCACAATGCGATCATGACTATAGTTTTCTTAGCTAAATAGTATCATTTTTCTTTATCTTCCCTAGTTAGTGTTAGGTCTTATCTATCATTTCTCTTTCTCTTTCCGAGTTAGAAGGTCTGCTCCACCGCCTATTATGGCTTTCTTAGCTATCGTAAAGCAGGTAGGAGTGGCCACAAAGACCATGCTTGATACTACACATACCTTGCTTTTAATGTCTTGGTTGTCGAACTTTTGATCATCATGATGAACGCAGAATGCTAATGAAAGTTACATCTGTCCATCCCCAGCAATCACCATATGCTCTACTACAATGGGGAACGGCCAGACAAGTCGCGGTTCGTTCCAATTTGAGCGATTTAGAAAGAGAGTGAGAGAGTAGTAGAGCAGATGAAAGACAGGGCTGAGGCACAGTTCCACAGAACTGTAGTACGATTCAAAAATCATCTCGATCTCGGTATCCCTATCCTCTAGACGACAGTATGGAAAAGTAGCCATTAGACGATGAAAAAGCAAGAAGAGGACAAAACTGTCCGATGAAAGAGGACCACTGGAACAAAGTTCACTTTCACACCGAAGCACTCAACAAATAACCATGCGTTCCGGTGTAGACGGGCGCCCTGTGCGTCCTTCGGATCAGAAGCGACGGGGAGAGCGACCTCCGGGTCCAGCCAGTGGAGGTTCTGAACCTGACCGGCACAGCAGAAGTGGTGGCGGTGGGTCTCAGCTACAGCCGCCAGGTGGTAGTAGAGGGACTCGATCACGTGGAGGCGGTGGGGGCTCTCCAAATCAAGCGGGTGGAGCTGTACCGAGTGGAGCGGCAGGAGTTGCACATTATGATGAGAATCTGAATCTGAATTATAGCAGTAGGCTCCTGTGCTGGTTACATGCTGTTGTTCATCACTCCCGAAGATATAAATATAATGCGTGCGCTTCATTATGAGCTACTACTAAGATACAGCATCGATCTTCTGGATCTGCACACAGCACCCCCTCGAACTCCACCCATGATCCAAAGATCCTCCTCTTCATCTAACCGCGCCCAGCACCGCAGCAGCCGCCAGCCCCCCAAGTGGAGGAAAAGTTGTCTCCAGTGAGAGGAATGATGAATTCATACGACGCTGGCGACGACGTGGAAGAAGTTGACTATGACGAAGACTTTGAGGAAGCCAGCGACGACGACGACTACGTTCCACAACCAATGCCTGAGGTGAAGGCACGACCGCCAAGTGGAAGCGTTATTAGGCCGCTGAGTGCGAGTGGTACTACTCATTCATTGTTCATCTGTGATGTTTGCATTTGTTTGGAAACGAAATTATTGTCAACGATCGCTCCATTATTTTTACTCCATAGAAATACTGACTTTGAAAAGTCCTAGGCAATAAATCTCATTATTGTCAACGCTCGCTCCTGGTCCTGTTATGTATTCATCTTACATTTACCTCAGCAAAAACCCTGATTCGTCCTACCTCTGGCTTCACTGGAGTTCCGCCAGCTGGCGATCTGAACGCAATCAAGCAGGCTATGGAACAAGAGAGGCAGATGGCTGCTCCTATGGTGTCGAAACTACAGCAAGAGCAATATCGTCAACAACAGGAGGAAGCCCTGAGACGGCAGCAGGAAGAGGAGCAACAAAGAAGAGAACTTCTGAGGCAGCAAGAAGAGGAAAGGGCTGAAATCGAACGTGTGAAACGACAACAACGCGCTGCTGCAGCTGCGGCTCAACAAGCGGCGGCGGCCTCTGGTGGGAAAGGAGCCGCTGGAAGTACAACTGCGAACAAAGGTGGAGTGGTTTCCGGAGGTCGTGTAGGAGCAATACACGGAGGACAACCAGCTCAAGAGGAATTTGGTACTACAAGTAACTTCACCGCAGGCGGTGCACCAGGCGCAGCGTTTGCGGACAATCATTATCATGTCCGTGAGAAAGATTTCAGTCCAAAATCCAATCCGCGGAGTGTTGTTCTCACAGCAACACAGTACACCAGCAGCGCGCAGGAACTCTCCAGGCAGGAAAAAGCGGGTCGTGCAGAGCGCTGTCGGGAACTTCGTGCCCTGATTGGACGCAAGTTGCAAGTGGAGAAAGGCGATATCTTCTCACAGCGTCCTCAACGAAGACTCGAGCTGTTTTTGAACGCAAGAGGCCCTTATGCTGCTCGTGTCACAAGGGGGATGCAAACAGGTGAAGAGTTGCTAGAAGAGGGATGCCAAACGGAGAAGGAGCGAGGCGAAGAAAAAGAAACTCAGTGTCCTACTTTAGGTGGGAGGTCAGAAATGAGTACGTCGTCTTCAAGCGGTAGTTCAGGTAGTGCATCGACGAGCACAGGAGGCACGGCCGCCGGGTCTGGTGCGGCAACGGATGGTGCTGACGAAGGCGAGACTCTGTTGGATGCTGGAAGTACTACTTGCCTTATATTTTTCTCTTCCACAGAACAGGAACAGCGATCTTCTTCCGTGTAACTTTCTCTTCGGAGTTCTATTCGCCGTATCCACCACTCTCATCATCTCTCTCAACATCTTCTCCCTCTACTCTGACAAACAGGTGCCGCCCAGCTTCTTCCTTTCCTCCGACGAGTCCTCCCTTTGTTTGAGGCTTCTCTCAAAAGTCGCACCAGTTCAGCTAGCTCTTCTTCTTCCAAAAAGCGCAAAGACACACAGATCTGCGACAGCGCTTCTGACGCAGGCGTTTTGAATCAAATTGGCTTTGAGCACTGGACTCCAACCGTTATCCAGAGTATCACTGGCTATCTAGGAAGTCCACACGTCCTTGCCGCATTTGATCTAGCTCCGGAGACATCGGTCTACAGTTCCTGTGTGGTGGTTTATGCAGCAGATGCGCTGGCTGGTGGCAGTGGTGGGAAGTTTAACGAAAACATCGGGGTATCTTCAAGTGGCGGTCCCGTGCGTGCCCATCGAGTTTTCTACAGTTTCGAAAAGATCACGTGCATGAGCTACTTCTCAGCTTGTAGCGTGATAGTCTGCGGCACCGCAGCTGGCAGTTTACTACTCTTTGACATGCGGAAGGTGGTTTCTGCAACATCTTCTTCCACATCTTCGCAACTAGCTGGAACCTTTTTGAAGAGTTCTCCTGGTGTCATTGAAGAGCCGCCGACTTACTCTACCGACATTTTTGCACTCCATAGTATGGGCGATTTGGACGGAGGTTTCGGTGGAAGTCATGATGTGGATATGCTTGGCACTACGACCGCCAGCACCACCACAGCTATGCAAGACCACGATGACGCAACTCTCGTCTCCGCTACGGCTTTGCAGCCTCCTTTTCTGGGTGAGATAGTTTCCGTTGCTACGAGTAAGGAACTGCTTTTCGTATTAGACGTTGCAGGTTCAATCTCGAGTTGGCGATTGCTGGACCAAGATCCGAAATTAGTCTACATTGGCCCGACCGTGATGGACAAAAGCGGACCACTAGCTGCCAGAGTAGTGGCAGTTCCGCGAGAAATATCGCCTCAAAGTGCCAGTTACGTTGTCCTCAGCCTTGGCGGCGGGCCACCGACGTGTAATGGCAATCACGATGTGCTAGCTTCAGCATTCGAGCCACCTGTCAGCGACACGGCAGGAAGCCCACATTCTGCAGTCTTTCATCCGGTTTTTGCATCACTCTTGCTCATCGGGTACTTAGGAGGCGACGTCGCATTGTATGATACGACACTTGCAGTGCCGCTATTGCACTTCAAACACGACTTTGGTTCACATTCAGTAGCAGGACGTCCATCGAAAGGTGCTAAAGCATCAATGAGAGGCATCGCATGGAGCCCTGTGAGACCGACGGTGTTTTTTGTGCTGACGGGTGCGCATATGCAGATCTGGGATCTCGCGGTTTCGACGACATCTTTCGCGGAAAATGTCGCAGTACTACTTTATTTAATGAAGTAGTCCTCTCACTCTTTTGATGCGTTTTTTCCTTCGTCCATCAAATCGAAATACTTGAGCCACACCAGTTGCTTCTCTCACTTTTTTCTACCTCGTAGAAAGATGTCAAAATCAATATTCACATTCAATCCGCATCAAACAGCTTCCCCCCAACCTCCTACCCTCTGGTTTCGGTTTTACCGTACTTGCCGAGTCCGGGCGACCTCTCTACATGTCGAAGGCAGGATGCCTAGTGCTCATGCAAGTGCCAGAAAAGTATACGACTCCACTCAAGGCTTATCCGACTACGCAACCGCACTTGCAGAACAACAAGATGTTCGATAGCCGCAACAACCTCTTCGATACGCGGAACAAGGACAGCCTCGCGTACATGCGCAAAGTGTTGGAGAACAAAAACACAAAACTAGAGATCGACATCTTGCATAAGGTGTTGTTGATGGCTTGAAGTCTTCCGCAGGCGAGCCGACGTTTCGTCATTGCTTTCATCGTTTGGACAAGTTCACTTCCACTGAGAAGTCTGACAATTGAAGCAAGTAGATTCACAATGAACGCGTTTTCCTTTTCATCTCCTTTTCTTTTCCACTGATTTTCCTCAATATCGGATATCTACTAGATGCATGCTCGCACGTACTCAATGAGCCGTGTCGTACGCGTGTTCCACCAGTGGATGGAAGATCACGGAAATGTGGTCTGGCTTCGAAGCTTTATGATCAAAGATCTTTCGCTTTCCAATTGCATAATCTTAATCTCTTCCCTAGGGTTAGGCAAAAACGCAGGACCATGATCTGTCATCCTTTTTTTACAACTTGTTTTTTGCCTCTCCGCACCTCGACCAGGCTCCAAAAAAAGGTCTGCTTTTTGTCTCGTCTTGCGAACAATCCGGCCTCGTTTACGTTTTCTGCGTTTCTTGAAAAGATCAAAACAAAACCCCACACCCATTCCATCCCAACAATCACAATCCGCTCGCGAAGGATGACCTCAGCCTCGTCATCTACTGCTCCCCAGTTGGAAATCGAGCGCAAATTCCGCGTAACGCCTCCTGTTTATGCCAAAATACAAGAGCTGTGTGTGAGACGAGGAAATCCGGCTGTAGACGAAAACTGTACTAATAACACAATTTCCATTCGAGATGTGTACTACGACTTTCCGCCGTCCTCTACTTCTGCATCCGAGCCCCCAGGAGAGGACAACGCTAAGGAAAATCAGTACCCACTCTTGCGAAACGATCATTGGTTGCGCAAACGAAATGGGAGTTGGGAACTGAAAAAACCTTCAAAGAGGATGGCGGAGACAGATGATACACAGAAGAATCTTCGAGAAGGAGAAGAATCTTCGAGAAGAACGCAGGAATTTATGAACGAGTTATTCGAGGCAGAATAAAAAGTAAGAACGGAGAGCACTCTAAAAAGAAAGGCCATTAATGCTGGGTAGTTATGTCCAATCAGAGGATAAGATGGAAGAACGATCATGAGTATCTCGGTATTCTTGGATAATGGGCTGGTGAGATAATCAAGATATATCTTCCTTCTTGATGTAGATGTCCGTTATTTTTAGTGCTCTTGCAAGAGCATAGAGCAGCTGCAATCAAACAGAAAAGACCATTCTCTTCTAATTTCAATATCGAGTTACAAGGCGAAGCGGAAATCGAAATGGCAATACGACGCTTGGTGACATCAAGCAATGCTAAAGCATCGTCCTTATTGTCTTCCGCAACCCCTTTCGCTGATCTCGAAACCAAACGTGAATCCTGGACCGTAAAGGGACAGGGGGATGTGCATATCGACATCGATCGCGTGCGTTTTAGATGGCCACCTGGAGGGGAACAAGATGAAGCAGCAGATTCAGGAGAGTCTTTGGAGTCGGAGGACTTCGCGTTTGTAATCGGAGAAATAGAATGCATAGTGTCTGCGCCAGACTCTAGTACACCTCAAGTAGAGCAGGGAATTAAGAAAGAAGTGCTGGAGTCGCAACGAGCGAAGATAAAAGCTGTAGAAGAAGCTTTTCTTAGCCTAACTGTAACTGAGAATGAAGAGAATAACACTAGTACATCACAGAAATGTAGTGATGACGATCGGGAAATACAAGGTGGCAAACTATTGGTTTACTTACGTCGTTTTCAACCAAAACTGCTTCAGATCTTGCTTGATGGTGCTACAGCTAAAAAGAGAAAGACATGACGTGTACAGGACAAGAACCGGTAGCAAGTTCGATAACTTTGACTCTATGATTTATTTTCCTTCGACTTTAGTCCCTTGACGCAAGAATATAATGATGAAATAATGCTAGTAGTCCTAGTCGTCCTAGTACTAAAGTTAAAGGGTTGTATTTTGTATACGAAACCTTCTCTATGTTAATGTTTTTGTCTTCTTTATTCTTCATAATGGACGATGTTAGTAGAACAACACCAGATAAGGGCCACGACCTGGCGGAGGGCATTTTTGGTGATGAAATAGCGTCTCCTGCACCTGAAGGCTTTTTATCATCGACGTGCGTGGAGGATTGGAATCGTTGGACTTGTATGATGCTGTCTCCATATGCTGTCTCCTGATCTTCATCATGTTTCTTTCCCACTCATCTGTTTACCTCCAGCTTGTCGAACAATCAACGATTGGACCGTTACGAGTCCAGTGGGAAACCCAAATTTTTGTATTACAGAAGAAGAAAAATTAAAAATTTCAGATGAGAGAGGTATGAAAATAGCTTCTACAAAATGGCTTGTGGTTTGGAGATTGCTGAGATTGCGACAGGAGGTTTCGGATAATTTTTAGCGGAGATGGACATGGAGTGACTGACAACTGAAATAATACTACGAATAAGGCAGCACTCAGTGTAAACTCTAAACGACTAAAGAATCTCAATCTGTATCTTAGAAGAAGAAGGATAAAAACAAAAACATTAGGATTCCTGGAACAGACAAATGTGATTCTAGAAGGTCCGCAAGAAATTATGCGGGAATTATGCAAAAAGTGACGTTCTTTATGTTTGTTTTCGACCTACGATCTGTCTGCGGCGACTTTGGTTTTACACACACGGATCCGGGTTGCGGCGACTCCAGCACTTCAGAATACGCACCTGGATGCGCCGGCTAAGGACTTATCAGAGATGGGCGACGAGGAACGTGCTAGTTACACTAGAAGATCTGCGAATGTCTCGCTCTCGCTTTGGAATGTCTCCATAAAAGACGACGCGACTCCGCGTCGTAAGCCTGCATATCTGTTGTATCTCCGACTGCATTGCTATCATGTGCAACAAGTGTGCTGATTTGGGTCGTCCGGGGATCGGAAGCGAGCCGCAGTACTTACACCGTTTCGAGGTCGTGTTCTTTTCTCGAAGATGCAGGTGGCTTTGAAGAGGTACGGCAATGAACCGGCGTTACAGCGATTTGGCTTACACCTGCCTGTATGCTAGTATCCAGAAGATCGCTGATGGCGCCAACGTGGAAATAGTGGCTGGTTATTGGGAGTTTCCACTCTGTCCGGGCAGGGGCATCGAGCTGGAGGACGACCTAGTAGATCATATGCGGCGTCACGGAAGACAACTTGGGAGTGCCGGTGACCGACCCGCCGAATCAACGGAGGGTACTGAGAATATAACCTTGAATGTTCGCATCAAGTGATAAGGCAGCCTGATGATCTTGATACAAGAAACGAAAATGATGCATGATGATCTACTCCAGAATCAAAGTTCTCTTATTTATTATGGCTTTTTGAGTTTCATCACCAACCCCAAGGTCGTCACTGGACCAGTGCTGGTTGCCACACGAGCTTCTTTGTGAAGGGCATACGTACTGACTTTCGCTCGGATGTGATCGAGATCGTCTGCGACGCCTGTGGTGAGGTGGCCAAGGAGCCAATGACGGTGCACCAGAGTAAGGACAACGAGAAGCGCCTCTTCGGTCGCGGGTCTTCGCATGGAGACTTATTCCAAAAACCGATTTCGAATACAGCATCTCCGTCAATTGTGGTACCAGAATCTGTATCCCTTAACGAGAGGGGCTACTCAGTTGGACGACCGTTGTGTGGGCCCCGATGAATGCGACTCCTACGTGATCGAAGTCGCCTAGCGCATGATGCTATCGCAGGATTATAGGCGACTATCCCAAAAAGCCGCTCGATGGCTAGGACGTATGATCAGATTAATTTCATTTGTGAGTACCAATTACGTAATGTACTACGTCTACGTAGAACTAGAAGTGCTACAATACGTTGCTGGAGGAAAAATGGGTGTTGCTGTGGAAGTAGTGAAAGCCCGAACACGCTACCGGATGGGGTAAGTATAAGTAACTCTGTTTACAGTCAAAAAAGCTCAGGTACAAGGTGCCTGCTCGTGCAGTTGTACTTCTTTGTAGGGGTCGTGAAGATTGAACTATCGATGATGCTAACGTTAAATAACCTACAATCTAATTCATACTCCATTTTTATAGGTTTGATATCGATCACAAGGACGATCTCAGGTAGTACTACTTGAAATTTTCAGAGTGGTAGTCGTTTTGCAGCTCATTGCATTGTGGATGGGGGAAATGGAATGCGATTTCTGCTCGCGTAACGACGTACTTCTACATTGGCGAACTATTCCCGTTGGTGCCGATTTTACCTCCACCGCGCTTGAGGAAGCGTTATCGTTATGTAGTTGTAACATTTTCTTCTGTGGTACCGGTAGGCTCGCTTTAAATTCGAGTTCTTTTGTTAACTACTACATTTGAGGCAAGATGAAAAGTTATGTTGATTATTCACAATTTCAAATTTGTCATTGCCGAGCACGATATTGTGACAATTCAACGCGTCGTCTGATAAATGCTATTTTTGTTTTTCCTTATCTTGGGATGCCTTTCATGATCTGTCTTGACACGCGCGCACGTCGACGACGAGGAGTCACAGGGCGGCGGCTTACGAGAATCTCTTGCAGAAAATAGTGAAAAGGTTCCGGGAAAGGATGTCCGTGGAACAGGAGCGAATGAAAAATATTAGAGGAAGGGACTTCACTGGGGACTGAAATGACTTTTGAACAACATATTTTCAACGTCCATGGCTGAAAGGAGGAAGATATTTACAAGTTCACTGTACCCGTAGATGAAGGAAATTAGCAAATGAAGTTTAGAGGAAAAAAGGAAAACATCGCGAGCAGAAGAAAGTGGGAAGAAGGACTAGACCGTGGACTGGACGAGGTCAAAGTATATGAGACAAAAATTTTAAAGTTGAGTAGGATGACAGCACAAGGCTCGAGAAAAAAAATTTGGGTTTGCTGAGAGAGGACACGAGTGGAGGCAGCATCGTCACTGCGCCTACTACTAGTACAACTGAGCGAGAGAGATAGTGAAAGCAGTACTCTATACCTGAGATCCTGATGATCCATTGACTTTCAAAAGAAGGAGACCATGCTCCTTACACAGGATGAGGATTTTGATAAACAAGCATTAACCTGATCCGCACCATAGCAGTTTTGTTTTGACCTTCATGATGTTGATTATCTTGCAACTAGAGTACTGATAAATATGAATATGTACTCATAACTTGCACAGGCGTAGGCGCGACGCCATGATGAGAGTGAGAGACACCACTCTTTTACGGAGGGGGGCCTCTCGCTCTCTTTTCTTTATCCTCCAGTCACTTACACATTGATCTTATCGTCATTTACATTATGCGAGAGAAAAACAAAAAGATGCGCTGCTTCGTCGTCGCCTCTTTTCCGGTCTGTGCGTTCGCTGAGCTCGCGAACAGCCAGCGCGCACGAGAAGTTGACGCGTCTGGCGAGACAATAGATGCGAGCGAAGATACTCTTATGACGGGAAAACGCAGCAACTAAATAACAGATGAGTATTTCCATTTCAAATTCAATGACTCGCATCTTCTATGGCTTTGAGCGAGGAACAAGTTTTGCAGTTACTGAGCTGCTGAGCAGTCAGCTATTGACTACTCAGCTTGAACATTCACGCCGTAGTGCCATATTTCTAGATATATTTCATTTGCACGAACAAGGTTCGTTGCAATCATATAGCAAGCCATTCGCAAATTCTCCTTTCATTACTGCGGGTCCGGATTCCAATGGAGACCGGAGCCGGAGGAACCATGATATAGGAGAACAGGGCGAACACATAGGCGAAGTTCGTCGCCACGTGACAGACAAGCGGAGGCGGAAGACGAATATGGTCGACAGCCGTTTTCTACAACCACACGGCTGGCCTTTGCAAAGTGGTAATATGCTGTTCATTTATTTTTCGAGATAATTATATTGTACTAATTGTATTGCTCGCAGTGGCAATGTCACTCTTCAATTGAGTATCATGTTAATGTTTTTTATGCTACTTAGCAAGAGATGGCTAATATCGTCAGAACAACATAACTCTTGACATGACTGGAGGAAACAACTCGTAGCAAGCTGTTGGAGCCTGCTTCATCAGCTAATGTACTACTTTTTTCACTAGTTGTTGTAATGATGTGAAAATTTATTTTCTTCTTTAGATCATGTTGCAGAAGTAGACTCCAAGGGAACCAGTAGCTGGTCTCAAACGTATTCTCCTGGTCGTGGTGGCGTGGACGAGTCTTTTATGCACGGCAATGCCAGCATACGCATAGCAGGGACGTATACTAACTCGACCTTCGTCATGAGTTCGGATATGGACAATTCGTTTCTGGAGAAGGCGACAGACGTGAAGGCTTCGACCGAAGGCGGCAACGAGGGCTCGGAGAATACATCGCCAACATTCTCCGAATCCTCGTCCGAGCTCGTTTTACAGAAACCAGAAAAGATGCGGAGCCCAGATGAAGTAGTGCCTGTATCACTCGGCATAACCGTCGGGGGTCTGGAAATTACCATCGATGACAAAATTGTGCTTGAGACAATGGACATCATCGAAATGAGCAGACCGGGACTGCTGCTTCTCCGAAGTCGCGGCATCGATTTGGAGAGCGAACTGGCGCGGGCCATAAGTGCCAGAGCTGACAGCACTGCTAATCAGGACAAAAGCTTGCGGGGTGTCGCGACTGAGATGGGGACTGGGTCCCGCGTGCTGGCAGAATATCGCAAAGCCTCCCAAGAATTTGTCAGCGCATTTAGGTCGTCCAGAAAACCCGAGGCATCCGCGGGAAGGAAACCAGAAACAGCTGGTATCTATTGATAAATTCTTTGACCACAATTCTTCACAAGGGTAATAACAGTAGTAATGTTTAGCAACTTTCTGCAGAGGTGCATCCGCACTCTCGTTGATCAAGTACTCCCATCGTTGTTTTCATCTCTTGTTCATCTCATTGTACGCCAGGTTCTGCAACTGGGGAAAACCTGGCGCAGTCAGAGCGTCGTAAAATACGCAACGCGATCAGCGGCGACGTAATTTACACGATTTCCTCTGGTGCGGTTAATTCCGACAAAATGAAAATGGGAGAGCTGAAGCTCGAAGTCCTCTCGCGGTTGTCTCTGATCGGTGGAAGTGGTGCCATTTTCATCTCCGGACCAAATGCTAGGATACTCGCGGACAGCGAGCCCGTGCAAACTGTTCTGCATAACGATGGGAGCATTGCCGTCATCCAGGGTCAAAAAGGTATTGCTTCACTGTGTCACTCAACAATTATGTCACGAATGTGGCTGAAATCAACATAGCAATAGTTGCTACTTCTGCTGTATGAACTCTTCCACTTACTCGAGGCAAGCTGAAACATCATGGTGTATGATCTGTACTCTTCGTTGCACCTAAATTCGGTAAAAGACTTCAGGTCAACAGTAGTATCAATAATTTTTTCTACCCACATTCATACGACCAGATAAATCAAGTTTGGCCGCTGCGGCATATGCGTTCGTCAAGCACTCGCAAACCTTAGTTGAGGTGGTGGAGAAGGATGGAGAAACCGAGGCGGCCTCAGTACAACCGGAAAAAATGCTCGAGATCTTCCAACAAATTTTCCAGAGTAATAGGGCTTGGATTTTATTATTATTGTTTTTTCTACGACGTCTTTTAGATTTTTTAGTGAAAATATTAGAAGATCACATATTTTGAATTTGGGACAGGAACGCAGCCCTACAAGAGCAGCACACCCCTCCCACCTTCCTCCGAGTCATCGCCTTCGCTGTATGTAACAAGTATCCCACCAATAAACAGCTCTCTTTCCGGAAGGGTGGATGCCGGGATTGGCTCAGGCAGGAGACCGTTTTTGGGAATCAGACATTTACGGCATTTCACGAGACATCAACTTGCGGATTAGTGGAAATGAGGCCATTGCAAGAAAGACGAAGTGCAGCCCAGGCAGCGACTCTCTTCAAAACAGGTAAGAAAATTCCAGCCCTGCTAGGGGCTCCTTACTCCATGACTCTGAAACCACAGGGAAGCCACCAAAAGGCTCGTCGGCCTTTTGCGCTGTAGTTACCGAAGTAGGCGCGTGCTCTCCCATCCCCATGAAGACAGGCCAATGCCTTCGCTGTCTTGATCTCTCCCCTTCCCCCCACGTCACTCACCCACTCACTCCTCCTAGGGGTGCCTGGCGTCAGTGACATTCTACTTCCACCGCTGTTCGCCGTCGATGGGCCAGGCAAGCAGCATCGGGCTTGTTGGTAGCTCAAGGGGCTCGGGGGTGGTTCGCGTCTATCGCTGGCAGCCACTCCTTTTGTTTTTGTTCCCAGGTTTCGGGCAGGCTTTTGGCCTTCAGGGTTGTGGTTTTGTTCGCCGTTTATTTTTCTGGCAAGAAGTAGCTTCTTAGTCGCTTCTTGGATCTTGGGATGCTCCGTGAGTTTCTTCCTGCGCTTTTTATGCGTCGCCCGTGGTCTCGCTTTTATTCTGAGTTTTCTCGCAAGGTGGCCCATTCCCTCTTCCGGCTGCTTCGCTTCTGTGTTCTGCCCTTGTATGGGCTCTCGGTCGTCTCGTGTTCGTCGGCGTGCCGTATCCGGGTGCATCGATTCAACACAGCCACAACCTTAAAAACAGGCTCGACAACTGCGGGCCATCGTGCAAAGGCGAGGAGGGGCTGAAGAAGTGGGTTGTACTTGGTTTCGTGGACACGTGTCAGCTCCTGCTTATTGTTGACATCCAGGAACGGTCCGCACCTACGCTGGTGGATTGGTTCAGTACAGAAGACAGAAGTTAGTTTCTACTTGAGTCATGACATTATAACATGCGCACTTGATGAAAATGGCTGACATGTAGGTGAAGAGGAAGGACGACAGTCGGGGGGTAACTCCATCTCTGCCAGGGCGTTCTATCTGTTCTTCGAGCACTACAGGACCTGTCTGCGTGCTGTTTTTCCATGGCTTAACTTAATGCAGGAGACTGGTCGAGCAAATAAGTGCCCCGACCTTGTTTCTTACCAGGAGCTTTCTTGGTTTTTATGCCGTGGAGGAGCTTGCGGGGGAAGTCATTGCACCACTTGGCGCGTTAAAGTAGGCGAGAGACAGGAAAAGGCTCGCTCTCTGGAAGGTTCCCGGGCGACAGTCAGTGAGAAAGCCGCTGACTGTCGGACTGACTGGGGAGGGGGTTGGGGGTGATGGCCCCCCGGGCCCCGCCGTTCTTTGGTTGTGCAAAAGCGCGACCGCGGCCGGCGCTGCCGGCGGTGCATTGCTCGGTGCGCCCTGGCGAAGGCAGGCCGCGGCTTGCGCCTCTACCTACGGGAGGCTCGGGCGCGGTCGGGTGAGAGCGTTAACACCACACCTGCGGGGTGAAGTTCACACGCAGAGCGGGGCAGAACTCGAAGCCCGCGATGGTTCGGGCGGCAGCCGCCGGCGCGCAGGCCAGCGCGTCTGTGTGGGCCGCTGGTTGGCCGGTAGGCCAAAGTGCCTCCTGGCGCTGCGGTGGGCAGGCGTGCGGCGCCCCGCTTGGGGGTGGCGGGGGGGGCTTGCGTGTTTCTTTCCCACTTATCTGTTTACCTCCTGCTTGTCGAACAATCAACGATTGGACCGTTACGAGTCCAGTGGGAAACCCAAACTTTTGTATTACAGAAGAAAAAAAATTAAAAAGTTCAGATGAGAGAAGTATGAAAATAGCTTCTACAAAAAATGGCTTGTGGTTTGGAGAGTGCTGAGATTGCGACAGGAGGTTTCGGAGAATTTTTAGCGGAGATGGACATGGAGAGACTGACAACTAAACTAATACTACGAATAAGGCAGCACTCAGCGTAAATAACTCTAAAAACGACCAAAGAATCTCACTCTGTATCTTAGAAGAAGAAGGATAAAAACAAAAACAATAGCTGCAAGAATAGAAGACAAGCCTTTAAAGCAAAGTCCTGCATTGACACTGAAGCTACAATTGTAAGTATTTGATGAATTTCAATAGAATAACAGAAAGCGCTTATAATTAAATAAGAACCGAAAAAACTATAACTATAAGTATAACTACCAAATAAGATGAGCAAAGCCAAAGGACCAGAACAAGGACCGCCTCTTCAGCGGTTCGACTTTTCACCGTCCAAGCGGTTGTTTCGGAGTCTCGAAATGCGTCGACTAGAATTTGGACCTCCAGCAGTGACAGCCAGTGCTCGACCACATTACAGCAACAAACAGGCTGCGACGGGGTCGACTGATCTTTATGAAGACTACTAAAAATCTTTGATTTAGATTATGGATTCGCACTATCTTACACCCCCATCACACTTTCTGAAGACTAGTATGTCCGAGATTTCAGTCAGGAATGCATTTGAGTGTTCTCAGCTTCAACCTCTTTCTAGTTAGTAGTAGATCTATGCACACCACGCATAGTACTTGTACTATTTCTTCCTGCTGACTCTAACACCTTTCAACCCGCAGCGTTGTGAAATATGTTGATCCTGTTGGGAATAGTCGCAGTGGTTGGCTCGACAACAGTGGGACACTGTTTAAGAACTGGGGTAGTCGAGGGGTCGTCACGTCACGAAACGCAGATCATCTTCTCAGTAAGAGTAATGCTAATATACCAGGAACTTCGGCCGCGCCTGGTGTTTGTTCTCCTGTTTCTGTGGTTGTACCACGTCCTACAACTGCACATTCTCCCGACATCAATTATGTTGTCACGAACGCTATAAAAAATGCAACTAGATCTCCTGCCCTAGCTGCGCCTCGCAGCTCTAGAAACCACAATCGAAGCAGATCACGCAGTCCCAGTGCCCATCATCAACTAAACCGGATCCCACTTCGAAACAGTAAGTCGTCATCCCCAGTTGGCGTGAGAACGAAGAATGTTGACGTGCAACTACCATTAGGAACAAATGATAATGCAGATGTTCTTCTTGCAGCATCCACACCGTTGATTACAACAATAAAATCCACTAGCACGACATGTGCAACGCAGAGCGTACCAATAAATCATGGCACCACTATTTGTGCTGGCCAACAAGACCTTGCACTTTGTCATCCTGCCAGTCACGACCCTGCTCGACCCCTGATGACCGCAACAAGAACTTCTGCACCGATATCATCGTCTTCAAGAAACAACAACAACTTCCGATCCCGCCTATCCATCGAAGAGCAAAACCGTCGCTACGGTGAGGAACGTCATGTGATATTGTCGGAGAAGTATCGAATTTTACAAGAGCACTCAGTCAAGATGCGTGCTCGGATAGGGGATTGTGAGCGGACAATAGCACAATTGAAAAAGAACCTGGTCGATGCACAAAGACAGAATTCAGCACAAAGCGAAGAACTGCGGACGTGGGAAGACCGGTAGCTAATATAGATGTCGTGCTAGAATCTGTTATTTTTATGTAGAATTGTTACTTACTCATACTCATCTCATGCCTCTCTTCTCCTGTTACCGTCTCAGTCTTCTCGGGCACTTATCTCACGCTTACCACGTGGTTGCTACTACGAAGATCATTTGGAACAATAATAAAAGATTCATACAGTGCCTTGCGTGAGCGGCATTATCTGGAGTCACAAATTGAGGGCCGGGCAAAGGAAAACTCACTGCTGCTAAACGAGAGCGTGAACCTCCGGGATGCGTGCGATCGAGAGCTCATCCAGTATAAGCGACAGCTTTTAAAGCTTACGTTTATAATACCACATTTAGATGAATAGCTATAGGTTTAGGTAGTAGAAGTAGAACAAGTAGTGCTGGTCACAGTTAGCGAGTTGTAGGTCATTTACACAGTCACGACAGTTCCTTATTCTTACGGTTTAACTCTTACGACTGAGTTAGGTGCCTACTAGACCAGATAGTCTAGTAGCCAATCTCGTCCTCGTTCTTCTTCATTCCCCGACGTCGCCCACGCTCGCATCGACAAGCTAGAGGCTGAAGTCGCGCAATCGCGGAACGCTCAGAAGGAGACGAGGAAGATGGACTCGCTTTACGCCTACGGTCTTGAAGCTGAAAAACAACATCTAGAATCCACTTGTCAACGTATACAAGAAGAGAAGGCAGCTCTAGAACAGGAAGCTTTAGAACGAAAAGGCGAGGTCCTTGACATTCGCATGCAGAATGCAACTTTGACGTTACGAGTGCGAGAGTTGGAACGAAAGCTTGGCTTCGCAACATCTGCAGCGCAGGTTGCGCATGAAAAAGCGACTGAGGAATTGCGCGACGCTTATCGGAAAGAAATCACGACCTTGCAGAACCACATACAACGACAACAGAAGGAGATTCGGAGAAGCAGTGGGCAATTTCTTGGTGCAGGAGGTCCTGAACCTCATGCTGGAAGTAGTGCGAGCCAGCAAGAAGAAGTGGATGATGCCGATGAGCGTATCAAGCGTGTAGTAGAGAAGGTGGAAAGAAGTGTAGCGCAGAAACGACCACAAGAACCTGTACTGGAAATGACTTCAAAAACCACTACTTCAAATACTTCTACAGCCTTTCTTGCCAGACATCAGAATACGAAAAGTACAGAAGAACCATCCTGCTCCACATCCACTACGGAGGAAGAAGAACAGCTGCTAGTCCACCCGCCAACTCGAAGCGAATTAGCTGCTCGGAGGCTTAGCGAATTAGACCGAAACCTGTTATCTCTGTCGGAGTCAGCGCGTGGAGCTGGCCACGATTCGACGCTTTTCGGGCTGTCGACACCTCCGACTTTGCCGTATAACTACACTTCCATAGGTGGAGGGGGAAGTGCAATCAAAATGGGACATGAAGAAGTTAGTGCGGCGCAAGAACAAGGGGGCGCCGCATTCCACAGTAGTACATTTCGAGTGCCGGAGCAACATGAGCCTCCACCTCTATCGTCGGAACAACTAGACATGGAGGAAACTTCACCAACCAAAAAGGTTTTGAAGCCTTCTTTCTCGCAGATCTTAGAATTGACGACCGAGAAGTCACTTCAAGCGGAGTCGGAAGGCGGCGGGGTGCCTGTACCACGACATCCTGACATGGATTCATCACAGCTGTTGATTGAGCTCTAGGAGCTCTTTTTGATTGAAACTATCATGTTTTGTCTTGATTTTGTTTTTGCCGTTGGTGAAGTAAACTCATTACTTTTTGAAGTTGCATATGGTTGCGATGCAGGGGATGCATCTGTCATAATGGGGGAATACAGGAGGTTAGTAGTGGGCCGCTACAAGAACTCATCAAGTATGTTACCAGTACGCGCAGAACGAGAAGTAGTTTTATGAGGTAATGAAGAAGGATGGTCTTACTTTTTGCAGCTTAAGCCAGCTTCTCCGTCAGCGGTAAGGCCACTTGTTGCGGCATCAGGGCGGGAAACATTGCAAAAATTGTCGAGAAGGGTAAGTGACCTCTTGAGTAGAACTAAACACTCCTGAAAAATAAAAGTGGAAACCGATGATGAAAATGAGTTGTGGTCGTGGTTTTGGTCGTACTGCACCTAGAAAATAGGGCAAGCGGCTTCAGGTTTGGCGGGCCTCATGAAAAGATAAAGAGGGAATAAAGCGAGCGCCGAGCAGCCCACAGAGAGGAGCATCAAAAGAGTTTTGAACTCTTTCTCTTGTTCTATTCGAATTCGGTACTTTCTCAATATATTTGTTGCATCTTCTTCTACTACGTACACGAAAATATTCACCTCCTAGGCAACAAACATACAAAAATATGCAAGTCCCAGGAGTGGGGACGGCAGCAGGAGGGGTTCCGAAGAAGGTAGTGGTGGAGGATCCGATGAACAAGGATCAAAATGGTGGAACTGGACTGACAGGAACTATGACAGCAGCACAAGTACCTGCTCAGACATCTGCTCAGTCAACCGCCACAACATCTGCCCCAACTGCTGCCAGCACCTATTCACAATGGGTGAAGCACATCTTTCTAGCATTGGGTGTCACGGTACCGGAGAAAGAACTGCAGTTGACGGGTATGATCGAGGAGGCGTCAACGGATGCAGTATTTCAGAGCTTGGGAACAGTTTTCGACCTTTTTTCGACGCATCGGGCTACCCATGGGTCGTTGTGCCTGTACTATTTGGAGTTACGGAAAGGCTTCTTTGAAGCACGTGTCAACTTTCTCAAACTGTAGCAAGAAATCCCATGGCCATTAGGGTATGATTACTTTAGGCTTCTTCTGAATCTTCTTCTAATCCCAAACGTCCTCTACGCGCATCCAAACGCCTTGGCCCTCTACTTCCATGCGGATCTTGTCTATTCCCTGTTCGCTTCGGACGGCGACGATCTCAGAGCTGGTGTCCTTTTGTGGAGATTGCTGAAGTACAAGTACGAAAGCAGTAAGCAGACATACTCCTGTTTGGCGGAGACGCAGAAAGTCGTCCGACTACTTGAACGACGATTTGGGACTAAGATGAAGTTTGGGAACGTTCCACCATGTTGTCTGCGCTACACGTTGCTGAAAATCTGGACAGACATTCCGCCGACACGAGAATTAGCACTAGGGAGTGCGAACGTGAATGTGTCTTCTAGTAGTTCTTCGGCTTTCAACGGAGGTAGTGGCGGAGGCAGTGCTAGCAGTTCTTCAGGAACAAAAGGAGCATCTAAAAATCCCTTCTCCTTGGATAATACCAAAGAGGAGCTAACAGCAGCAGTGGCCCTGCAGAAGCAAAAAGACGGTCTACTCTCAGAACTCGAACTGTTTGGAAACATCATGGGACAAACTCTCAGTACAACTGGCAAGATAAAAGGCGGAGGTGCTACTGGAAACGACTCTTCTTCAATAGGCGGATACACTTCATCATCCAGCACCAAAGACCGCGAAGAAGCCGCCAGACATGCAATGCTTGAGGTCTGTTTGCAGTGGCTAGCCAATGAGGACGAGCCCAAGGAATGCAAAATCCCATTACTTGAGCTGCTGAGAGCCACAGTGAAAGCCGCTAGTGCTACGCAGATGACCTCGCAGTTGTTGGCAAGGTTTTTTGGCCTTCTCGTTAGCAGTTCAGGGGCATCTGGCTCGAGTGATGGAGGAGGCGCTGGAAATATCAAGTCGACTTCAGACGATGTGCAATTTTTACTAGCGTTTTTGGATTGGGCTGAATTGTCGAGCATCTTGCCAGCATTGCTTGATGTGTTTGCCGATGACAAGCTAGTTGCGATTTGGACCTACTTGTGCTTGTTGCACCCTCAGCCTTTGCCCGAACTGCTGCAAATGAACCCGACGTGGAGCTTCTTTTTTGAGGTACTTACCATTTATTGTTAAAGATGTAAAAAGCGCCTTTAAGCTTTTTTCCTTGACTTGCCTAGATATAGGCCTCTTTCAGCTACCCCAAGTACACCCAGGACATGTAGACCCAGGACATCAACAACATCGGTAACACTGGTGCAAGTAAACTACCCCAAGTGCACCCATAGAGAGGTAGGTCCCTCTTTTCAGTAGTAGGTCCTAGCAAACATAGGGGTAAGGACCTACTACCCCAAGCTGAAAAAGAGCGAGTAACACCTGGGGACTTGTAGAAGTGGGTCCTTTCCCCAAGTAAACCCCGGACATCAACATCGATAACACTCGCCACTCCAGGTAAAACAAGACCCTCTTACGCGTTTCCAACGCGTGCTGTTGCAGCAATTTTTCCTCCGAAACCGATGTCTCGGCAATAGCGCCATCGCAGTGGTGTTGTCCCTGATGCGATCCGAGTTCTCAGCAATGCGAGCGCTGAAGCTGTTTCGCGCCATCGGACCAGGTATCGAGAGGTTTCGACCGTATCTGAAGCAGATACGAGAGTTATGGGGCGTTACCATTCTTAACAGAACGCGACTGTGCATAGGTCCTAAATATTTCTATGATCATACAAAAGTGAACAGGAATAAAGAAGTCGAACCTGATTCATTCGATCTTCTAACAATCGAAGCAACGCACATTGTTGAAAGAATAGAGGAAAAGCAGCTAGCAAACGCAAATAGCAGAGATGCAGACTTCGACTTTGATGAGGAGGAGGAGACACTGGACCGCTGGCAAGCGGTCGTAGATGAGCTAGACGAAATCTTAGAGGGAGAAGATGGAGACTCTACTTCAACATCCTCTGGTGGACGTAATGGAAGTCGTGGTAATGGTGCAGACGGAAGAAAATCTAGCAGAAGCAGGAAAAGCAGATCTTCTAACGCAGCAAACCCGATGGATCAGTTGTTTGAGGCTGGATTCGTCGGTTCCAATCTCTACAAACCGGCTAAGCCCTCCGCGCCGATAGAGGAGTGCTTTCAGAATGCACCTAATCCCGCAGGGAAAACGGCCTTCTTGCAGCAAAAGAAGCTCGAGCAGGACAAGTTTTTGTCGTTGTTTCGGAGTGGGGAAATAGGCTCAGCCGCCACCTCTTCCACCGATCCATCCGCCACTCGCCTCCGCAACAATCCGACCAGTGGCGAGCTCAACCGACTGTTTCGAGAGAACATAGCTTTGCATCATCAGATCACGCAGAAGCAAATGGAACTAGCGCAAACGAACCTGAAGCAATGGACTACGTTGGACGCTCATATCGAAGAGGAGAAACGTAGAATGGTTCTAAGAATTTATACTTCTGATTTCATCTTCTCGTAAATCGGATTCCTTGTGGTTAGCTGTCCACCCTCTCTGCTTTGCGTCTTCTTGCATTTTCGCTGAATGAGAAGTGGAGTAGTTCTTGTTCCATTATCATGAATATACCTCTCCAGGATCAGGAGCAGACGACATCAGCGCTGGGAGCCCCCGTCTAGAGCCCGTCGAACCTAGTACACCTGCAGTTCCCCAGCCACAGTATCGTACCACTATCCAGAACGTTCCGCCTGGAGCGCCGCCTGTCGTACAAGGTGCAGCAGATCCACAGCTTAGTTCTATCTGTTTCGCCCATCCGCGATGTGGCATTCGGAATACGAATAACACCTGTTTTGTGAACACGATTCTTCAGGCGTTGTTCCATACAGACACGCTCGTTTCGCAACTACTGCAGTTCCGGTTAAGACCACCGACGAAACCGATTGTTATGAAAAGATATTGTCGCCTAATCCTAAGTAACCACCCGGTCGTGCCTGTCCCTGTGATGACCTATATATAATCAACATCACTATGTATATGTAAGATGTAACTAGTAAGCGATAGAATGTGATCCATGTAGATGTAGTAGTTGTTGTAGTTCTTCCTCTTGTAGTGCGATACCTTTCGCCACTTCCATACCATCTCTAAGCGGAACGAAGCGAATTACAAGCTTGGTTCTGCTTTGCTGAAGCAACTTCAAGTACTTTTTGCGATGTTGCTTGTTACCAGACGACCTCACGTCGAGATTGAACAACTCTTAAACGAACTGCCATCCGGAGAGTACCCTAAGGGCGAACAGCAAGATGCAGGAGAATTTCTGAGGTTTGTCTTCGACAAATTAGGCGGCTTCGAGCAGCCCTTGATCCGTCATTGTTTTGCCGGAGAGCTGAATGAAGTGACGAAGTGTCAGAGCTGTCATTTTGAGAAACGTAGGCCGGAGACGTTTACAGAAATGATCTTGCCAGTCCCAGACGTCGCTGGGAAAAGCTTGCAGTCATTGGTAGACGACAAATTGCAGCGACAGCGCATGTCGGATGCAGTGGAGTGCTCGCGCTGCGGCAACAGGAATCAACCGGAAGTGTGGTCGGAGATTGAATCGCCACCTAGAAATTTAGTGATCGCGTTGATCCGATTCGACTTTCAGAATGGTGGACTAGTGAAAATGAAGACGCCGATCCAAATCTCACCACAACTTCGGCTGGGCCAGTTTGTTTACGATTTCTATTTCTCTGTGCAGCATTGCGGAGCTACGGCAGATAGTGGGCATTACACAGCACTCGGCAGAAGAGCGGACTGCGCTCCACCGATGCTGGGTACTTCTAGAAGAAGATCAAGAATGCTTTGGCTCCTGCACAACTGCTCCTAAATCTTATACGTAGATGAAGAAGTAGTTCAAGTTATTCCGCCGTGACGATCATTTGACCATAACAGGTAACGTAGAAGGTGCATTCTGGAAGTTCGATGATAGTTCGGTGCGCCCAGCGACAAGCGCGGATGTAGCGAAAATCATGAGTGGAGCTGAGCAGACAGACGACACGCCTTACATTCTGTTCTATCTTATGGTCTTGTTCCTCGTCATATCCTTCTGGTTGTTCAATCCTGTCATTTTCTGGATGTTCATCAGTGGTAAAACCTCAAGTGAACAAGGTATCCTACTTGAGGTAATCAACATGGGAACACTTCTTCTTCCAGCTTACATCCACATGCAGAGGCAGCCCCCGCTCCAAAGAAGTCTCATTCTCTAACTCTTGCTGCCAGACTGCGCCTTTGGATGCGGAACCGGTGTTGTCCAAGACGTTCCTAGACTCTCTGCAGAAAGAGGACCATAGGTTACTGCAGAATCTCTCATGAGGTGACTAGGGTCTTTGTAGTAGTGACTTTACGTGTTTTAGTTTGATGACGTCATTGACGTGAATCTCCAATTGCTTCCACCAAGCGAAAGATTTACCTAGTACCTACACCTACTGAACGACGTGTATGATTCCATTGCTAACGAGGATGATTTATTCCATTTCATCTAGTGATTCGGATTGTGAAAGCGACGAGTGAAACCATGTGCACGCTCATCGATACCGTCAAAGCTGTAGCTGGAGTACGTTGATACGGTATAATTCGTGTTACATCTTGATCTTGTTCACTTGATTGTTCACGAGTGTGCCCAACGAAGAGACAAAAGTTATGACGAGTCGGCCGAGAGAAGACGAGAAGAATAGAAGTATCATTTTTATCTGTGCATAGACGAGGAGTTGAGCTTGAGCGCTGCCTTTTTTTAGATCATCACTTCATTCATCTGTTTTGTGAGAGATCTCGATTTCTTAATCATTACTTATCTGTAGTCGTTTCAAAAAAACAAAAATAATAGCACACTTTGAGATTTTCTTGATTTCCACTACAGGATGAGAGCCGCTGAGAGTTGACTTTACTACCTCAGCTGTGAGAATCGAGATAGACGACCCTCGATATGATAATCGACGGAGTAAAACTTCTCTGTTAATGAGCGACGGTACGTGTTCTGTGTTGCCGCCTTTCCCCTCTCGTGGCACCCAACTCTTTAGCAGAATCAGCATTGATCCACAACAGGGTCTGACAATGGCGAGCGATGGTTGACAATGGATAAGGTTACTCTGAAAAATGAAGTTTTTAGAGACCCCTAAGTTAGTATTTTCAACTGTATAGTTTTGGAATTGAAAAAAGTATTTTTTCGAGCGATCAAAAAAAGCGATCGAAAGAAAAGCACTACCAGAGCAAATTTCGACACTCGTCATTCACTCGCGCTTCACGATTGAACAGTACCATGGACTTAACCAAATCCATATATTTCTGCCCACGAATTCAGGGCGTTCAAATTAGTTACTCGTCGTCAGTGAGAGCAGTTGTCTGGCTTACGTAGTGACTACTAGAAAATCAGTTTTTTCATTTGAGAGAAAGCCAGACAACCTTCTTGTTGGTGTCGTCTTTGACACCTAGAAGCATGATCACTACAGTGATCAAGTGAGGAGCGAAAGGTTTTCTGTGAGCAAAAACACGAGCGAAGACAAGAACCGCGCATGAGAAGTTGATAATCAAAAGGCTGCTGCTTCTCTAACATCTGAGAGGCGTACAAAAGGAGCAACTTCTGCTTTTGTTTTCAAAGTCATACTATCCACCATTTTCTTCACAAGTCGATGCCATTGGTGTCGCAAGCCATTGGAACAAGCGTAGCGCTTTGATGTGGGGTCATTAATGGGGCCAATATTGTTCCAAGTTATACTAGAACAGAGAACAACGCATGAGATTTGAGCTTTGATTTTGATTAGCATTCTTTCGTTCCTGACGTGGTCTCATATAATGCCATAGGCTGAAGACTACGCTTTTTATCAAGAAAAGTATTTCCGATTCCAAATAATGCAGAAGATGAAGAACAACAAGATTTTTGAAAACATGACTGAGCATCAAGCTCGAAGATGAAGCACGTAGATCCGATTCTGTGAACTATGAGGAGCGGGAGCAGCACAACATAGGAGGACGGAAGAAGAGGCCTGCAACAAATCAAATTACGGCAAATTCAGTTAAATAAAATTTTCGTCATTGGTTGATTTTCATGAGCGTAAGAAAATGGATCGGGTCGGAGCATTCAATTTAGGCCTTAACTCGAAGAGATCAGTTGAACGATACATCGACGATAGCGATTAAGTCATAACTCGTTCTCGTTGCTTCAAAAGAACAACAGACTGTTTTCGTGTCAAAGTTCAGATCATGGCCTATAATTTGCACCACTCAGCAGAGAACGAAAAGGAAGAACAATCTCAAGAAATCCTACTACACAGACAATAAGAATTCTCAACTATACAGATGGTTTTACTGTGAACGCTCTACGTACTCATAAAATTTTGTTAGTTCCTCTTCATTTCATCAATTATTATCAAGATGTAGCCTCTTATGGCGTCTCAGCTGGGTCATACTCTTTCTCATTCATCAGATTGCGCCTCCCTCAATAAAACCTTGATGCGTGTCGTCAGTCTCGAAATAATAGTCCAAACACTTTGCTTTCGCTTTTTCTATTCCGCTCCAGCATGATGCACGCACTTATCTGAGAAGGTGTGACGTTGGTATTTTGTATCAAAATCAATCGCGTTAGTCCTTGCAAAGCAAAGTAAGCCGTAAGCCTGATATGAACATCTAGACGACCAACTAAGTTATTATCCATGAAAATTTGACATGCAGTCAGTCAGAAGCTGTCCTGGTGTTGTCTCTTGTCATAAGTCATCTTGTGATTAGTTTTGTACAACGAAAAGCATCCTCAAAGACCATAGTCGTCTTCTTATGACGTCACGAAGCATTGAGTCCATACGGATACGAGACACAGCAACAATATTTTCATTATTTAATAGTACTCTTCCTTTAGTCCAAGCACTAGACAAGTGAAATCTGTGGCACGAAGAACATAATCGGTTATGGAATTTTCTGAGATAAATCAATGTAGTAACTAGTTCACGCTCTGCCTCTGCACAACAAACAAGACGAACATGAGAAAACATCCGAGAGGTAACTACGAAAAGATAGCATCAACAACATGATTATATTATTCAGAAGAACATTCCTAACGCAAATGCAGCAAAAGCCGAAAAGGCTGCAGGTCCTTCTTTTCAATTGTTTACGGACGCAGTGGGTAGGGTCTAGGTAATCGTTATCACCAACAGGAGACTTTCTATCTCCTTACTTCACTTGAGAATCAATATCTTCAGTTATAGCATGATTAAGAACTAGAAGCATTGCAATATATTTGAATCAACATGAGGCGAGTGATTGCTTTCTTCGGACACATTGATGATAGCAGTGAAGCTCATATAAGAAGAACTTTTTTTCATTGATGTGGCTGTTCTTGAACAATTATTCATATACACGAAGAACAAGAGACTCACTGGAACAGAAATGGACAACTACACATCTACGCCGAGAGCTTGTCCCGAAGACGAAGCTGTTATGTTTTAAAAATAGACCCCGTACTTTAAAAATAGACCGTTTCTGCTCTTCGTGAGAGACTGCACTCGCTGTAGTAATAGTGCATGGTCTTGAAATCATCGTGCTCGAGCTAACAGATGGAAATAAAAACGAAAATACCAGTCTTGGTCTTCTTCATTTTAGACCTGGATGTCATCGACATTCTGGTTGAACTCCTCCTCCAAGTCCTGCAAGACGTCGGGATCATCTTCATTCGCTCCCTCCACCTCGTTAGCATCAACGTCGCGGGTGTTAGAGGTAAACTTTTGATGTTCATGTTCCACCTTTAGCATTTTTCCCTTCAATATCAATATGCCTTTTCTTACTTTACTCCTCAGAAAGGAGGAAGGAAAGCAACTCCGTGTTTAGTTATCCAGCCTTAATGAAACACTCCTCATCCAGGTCCAGGTCGTTTACATCCATTCCCCAGCAGTCGTTGACTGCCGCAGTGATAGGCCGCATGCCGATTATTAGAAACACATTAGCACTACATATTCGCTATGAGCAATTTGGGGAAGATGATCCAGGATTAATATCATGACGTTGTCTAAAGTAGTACAACAATCTAAAACAATCTACCCCGAGTCAGCCTATGCCCTAGCGCGCATCTGGTTACAGGCCAAATATAATCAGGATGACTGTAGTGCTAAAATGATCCTGACTTATGACATCAACCATAGATTTTTTTCGTCCATGATGGAAAACCCTGCAAATCGATGCCCCGTGATCACCGTGTCGTCGGGGCGCGAATTCATGTTCCGCAAAACCTCGATGAAGTACGGCACTCAAATTAGAGCAATTCTATCTCACTCCTCAGCCCTTCTGGGCCAGTCTAAGTGCTCAAAGACGACTGCCGAGTGAGGAAGATATAAACTAGAGAAGCACAGTTTTGCCTTAAGATGGCGCTGCGCCAGCACTGGGCGGCCAGCGTATTCAGCAGGAGTTAGAAGATGAATGGCAGCTCTGTTATCAACATGTGATAAAGGATGCTTTATCGAAGAGTAGGCATTCTGGAGTACTAGAGTGATTATACGAAGGCGCCCTGTACGTAGATGAAAACGCTAGTGCAGACTGTTCTCGAGGGCTGTTGTCAACTTTCTTTAAGCTAAAACGTGCTGAAGAAATCAATGAAGAAAAAATATTCAGCCATAATTTCCCAACACTTCACGCTGCAAGGTCGCGTCAGATTTCAAAGCTTTCTCCATGGAAATTTAGAGTTTTCAAAATGCGTAGAGGAGAGCTGAAGCACGGGGCGTCGATCATGTCTCTTTAAGAGCCAACTTCTACAAGCTTTTTCTTGAAAAGTTTGATGTTAGAAGTGGCTACTGGTGCATTGAAGTTCACCAGTAGCCACTTCTAACATCAACCACGCTTCTATCGTAATCATGAGTAATATCTTCAACATAAGATGCCATCTCCCTGATTTCAGGCAAAACGCCGGCGCATTTGTTAACGCTCACCTGAGCATGATGAGGTAAAGGAGAATGGTACTACGAGGCGCGTCTACTAGATTATTGACGGAGTTCATTGTCCTTGTACCGAGAGGAAGATACTGGGCAAAAATTCTTTTTTTAGATCAATCATTACCAGACCCGTCACACTTTGTCGCTAGATCAATACCGTATTCATGACATTTCTACGCCCCGCAGCACTGTCTTGCGTCGACCTCAGGCCGCCCAAAAAAGCCAAAATTGCGCCAGCCGTTGCGCCGACCTTATTCAGCCACTGCTTCTTTATGTTTGTTGTCTGTCGATTCAGGATTATTAGACCACGAGAAAGTGCAGCTCTGTATGTATATATGTAGTACTATGATTTTCCTTTCAATCAACATCTTGCACTCCTAATTTCCTAAGCCCAACAGGACCAGAGGCCCTGTCAGTTAGATGCTGTTCGACTCCAAAGCAATAACTATGAATAGCAACCGGCCATAAGGTTCTTTCGTTTTGGTTCGATTTTTTCAACCAGTCCACTTCCGCCTTGAAACACTCCCACTCAGCCTTGCTCAGCTGCTCGAAATTCATAAACTGGAATGAGTAGAAGTGTCAGGTAGATGGTGACTAGGAGAGGTAAAGAAGACGAGGTCAATAAATGGAGAAGTGACCGCAATCTTCATTGAATGGTAGAGCGAAGCAGCAACATTAAATGGGACAGCGAAACGAAAGTAATATCGACTCGAGCCCGAAAACAGACTCGCTATCAATGAGGATGAGGATGCAGCTATAGATAGAAATTTTGAGTACGTATTGAGTTGCTCGTGACATTATCTGTCCCACTCGCAGCAGCACGTCTTTAGCATCTGCTCCGCAGAGCAGTTTTGTGTCGCACTCGCTTTTGTTTGACACCAAATAGAATTGGTACGCCGGTAGAGATTAGAGATGATGAATGTTGCCTGTAGTATCGAGACCGAGCGCAAGGCAAATAAGATAATATAAAGAAAAGCAAAGACTTCTCCTACAGCGCACGTCTACTAGGGTGCTTTCTGTCACTAGTAAGGGATGCTTACTTATCAACGCACTTGCTACAAGACACAAGCCATAACCGTCGTCCACACCAAAGTTCGACTGTGCGCGAATTAGACGAACAAGAAAACTAAGACGAGGATGCTGAAAAATGTTTTCAGTTCTCCTGGCGTACTGTGCGAGATACATTTTGAAAAGGAGGCTGGCTGGTGACTATCACGCACTAGCTTTCACTCAGCTGTGTACTATGTCCCTTTGCTACTTTCAATTGCATCAAAGCAGACTACACAAAGTCCTCCCATAAAAAAAGGCGATCAGCGTCCAATTGACGGAAAAAGTCGTCTAGCTTGTTGGATACCAGAGGAGGCAAAATCTCCAAATCTCGAAGCTCCTCGAAGTTTGTCACAAACGATGTGCAAAATGAACAGGTATCATATGGCAAAAGTACAAATATAGCTGTAAACTATTCTACACGGAAGCTAGGCACTTGTGATGTACGGAGCTGGCGATTGATCTGTTTCACGTGCGTGAAGGTATGACTAATGAGAGCGTAGTGTTCCCTTCCCTGGACGACTCCTACGATCTGAGAAATGACAAAGCTGAATAATGTGAGGGACAACGCTGCACAAGTGTAAGCTATATGCACTAGAAAGAGACGCGTAACAGCTGATCCGATAGAGCCATCTCCTTCAGGCTTCTAGCAGTTCTAACGTTGACGGCTTCCGGCTCCATGATAAGTTTCATCATATCCGTGTCGTACTGCTCCTTAATAGCACCTGATTAGAATGATCAAAGCCTCGCGAATGAGGCTAAAAGAGCAATATAATTCTACCAAGAAAGTACTCAAGTAATGAAGTGCGTCTCTATTCACGCTCAGGCAAGTGGGCCCAGGGTCTAATGCATGATCATCGTCAGATCGCGAGTAAATACAAAGAGCATAGTTATCAACGAAAACGCGCCATAAGCTAAGTCTTTTCCCATGAGACGACAGACCACATTAGGGCTTTGTAAGGGAATTCATCCTCATGGCAACATATCTGAGACCACGCCTTCATCATCTTTGCCTTAAGAATGAAGGCACGGTCCTCACATATGTCAAACAAGATGAACTATCCCCGAGAGCCTCCTTAATCATCATCGCACACTCGTGATCGATCTTAGTCAGCTGGTCTGCTTCAATATCAGCGACCAGGTTTCGCTGAATCGAAAGGGCAACGTGCCAGGCTCTGCTTAATCGTTCATCCCACTGGATCGCACCATTCAGCGTCTGAATATAGAGGAGCACATCCACATAGAGTCAAAGAGGAATAACCTCACAAACGTTGCCAGTGTTGGATTATAATTTATAATTAATATTTGCTTTACTTCCGTAGGATGTGGATGGTCAACCAATGAAATTTCACTACAACAAAAGTTTTTAAATATAATAGAAAAACACAACTTGCACAAGGAGGTCCTCAAAATAATTAGATAAGAAGAAACAAGAGGACTATAAAAAAATGGTACTGGCATTAAAGCTTTCAAGAGCCATCCTTTTGGCAGTTTTGCTCCCAGCATTCCACCGAGAAGGGACGTGGGAACAGGAGGTCGCGTGCGGGCATTGTGATCTTCTTCGTCCCTGTTTGGTGTGATGGGATCCGTTAATATGAAAGTAAAAATATGGCGTCTAACTTCTTGTTAAAGACTAAATAATGTCATCACTTCTGTCTCTGCTGTACCACCATTTGGAACCTTTGCCCTTACTAGTGCATAAACTTGACTACTTGTGGAGGTGAGTAGAGTATTGATAATACTTCTCAGTCTCCTGCTCTCCCTCGCGCCGGACGGGAACCAACTGCAAACCGTGACCAGTGAGATTTTCCTGTTTGACTCCGCCTACATCCTCATTCTTTTCACCTCCTTTTCCTCCATCTTCAGCCTCATCGACATCCATCTCTCCATCAGCTTCTTTATCATCGCCAGTACTGGACGAAGAGGAAGACGAGGACGATGTTGATGTCATCTTTACGGAACCCGCCGAACGTGTTTCCTTCTTTTCCTCTGCAATTAGCTCCTCGCCATTTTCTTTTTCAAAAAGCATCCTGATTGAAGTTGAAGGAGTAAATTGGAATGATTCATAGATGAAAACGCGCATGAGTTTATTAAAAAAGTTGTAGTATCTTGTCACTATGATAAGACAGCCCATGATCCTGAAGTCTTATTATAATGGAAAATTAAGTAGATTTTTGAAGGTGTTGCATTCTACTGAACTGAACCTTTTGCAGATCGGTGAGGCTTTTTCTGAGTATAGCGGTGACCCGGCCATTCGCTTTCCTCCAGCTGCCTCTCTCGCAATCTGCTCCGCTTGATGTAAGTTAAATTCTTCTCGCGGAGAGCACGCCTGAGAGATATACACTCGCGAAGGGTCCTTTGAAAGTGAACTTCGAAATAAAAAACGCAAGGAAAGTTTAGATAGACTGAAGATTGGCTTAGAGAGCAGTACAGGAGCACAGTATTAAAATCTAGGTGGTTACTGTTTAACAAGGTGGTAAATAAAGTGTCTCCCTAGTAGAATTCTTTAAGCGATTTTTGCGAAAGTATCAAGAAAGTTAATCTTGTTGTTGAAGAAGCATGATCTATAATCAAAGATGAAAACTACAAACGACCACAAACATAGTACGTAGAAATCCTCTTCTTGAAGTCTTTCCGACACTCTCCTTGCCTGCTCATCGGCTACCCACTGGCGGTACCTCGCAGCAAAAACGGCCACTACCTCCAGCTGGTAGAATCGTGCGAGATCTTGTGGCGTGGTATAAAAATCTGCGGTAAGGTTACCGATAACTCCGCGCCCCAGAATTGCCAAATCGCGAGTTTGTTAGAGGTCTTGGAATAGAGCTAGTTGCACTGCAATGGGTATGGGCCGCAGTTGCTCTCTTGAGAAACTACGCCTCATCTCAAGACACATCGGCGCACTACTCAGTCGTGGCTTTGATTTACTGAAAACGAAACGTCGTGTCCAAGTAGATCGCATCGAAATCAATTTAGGTCCGAGCAGCTTCAAAGCGACACTAATGTTGGTTCACACAAACAATGAGATCATAATTGCAATGAATCTTTGAAAATAGATCTGCACACTCTTGAAACGATTCATGCAGCTTGTCCATGGTGAATTTCGCTTCTGGGTTGCCTCTGCGTAAAGCGAATTCCTGTGAATGGGTGAAAGAATGATAGATCCCTGTAATAGAGAAGCGTCGCCGCTGAAAAACTTCCTGAACTGATATTAAAAACTAGACACACGACGCTTATAATATTTTTTAGACCACTACTAAAAAGAGGTAACAAGAAAGCGAGAAAGTACGTCTTTGATCTTTTGATAGGCGGTTTCTGCGTTCGCTTCAAACAGATGGCTTTTGTTGAGCCCCTCGGCAAATATCGTATAGCCGATCTCGATCAGGAAAGATCTTTTCTGTAAGGTGCCGAAGCCGCCAAGGATTAGAGTATACAGAACATAGAAGCTGGAATGAACAAGTTGCCATATTAATATAGAAGTAAGAACATGATATATTAACTAGTAGTAAACAGCTTAGTAGACCCTTTCCGACTCCTGACTCTTGGAGCATCTAGTCAGGATCTTGGTATAAGACCAGGGCGTAGAACAACATGGTCCATAAGGTGTTTTTGCAAAACTCGAAAAAGGACTCTCGGACTTTATCGACTGTTTCCTTTCGTTTGATTTTCGGCACGCGCCCAGCGGATAAAACCTTTCTAGATGATGGTGTCTAGTATAGCAAAAGGCTCGTGAACACTAGCACAAACTAACTCACTAAGGTATAGGCAAGAAATTGCTTTGGACTGTGCAGAGCTGTAATCAGATATGAAGAAGAGTAAAGTCATAAGGTTATAGCACCTTGATTTTGTGCAGACGTGCATTGTTCATCACCACAGCCCGCTCTTCTCCCTTTCGTCCACCGATCCCAGGCATGACGAATATTAGAAGTAGGTGAGGGGGAGGCGTTTTGCTTTTCAGATTGAAATAGTTAGCTTCTTCATGAAGAGGCTGATATTGATCATGAAGGGTTGTCTGAATTGTGAAAGTTGGATCCTTCTTGGAAGTTGTATAGATGATATAGTACTTCAACAGTCAGAAATAATTAATATCCAGAATTATTCAATAAGACAGTACTTGCATCATGACATTCTTCATAAGAGCTTCGCCACGATTCGCCAGAAATCATCTCCGTATGCAAACGAGTCAGCGTAACGGACGAATTCTGTAAGAGCGTAAAATAGCTATCATCCTCATTGATGTGTGAGAATGGCCGAAAAATCCAGCAGCTTCTATGGAGCTGGCCTATTGATTACAAAAGAGAAACGCAACTCGGTCAAGCCAATGCTCCAGCCGTGTCCTATGTATCACTAGCACTAGAACCAAGACTGATGATGAATAAAATATGCAGTTCCATCCTTCTCGGCGCTTCTGTTCCTCAAATCCACATAAATCTTCTCCGCTCCAAACAGTATTTTTTCAATGATTTCCACTTGCTTTCCTTTCTGTTTTTTGAAGTCGAAAACTGAATTGCTTTTTATTGATGGTCACTGAACTACTATGAGGTTTGGGAAAAATGAGGAATATTAGAAAACCTTTTCGATACTTTGATCCATATACAAGTTGAAAAGGGAAGCGGGGCCTCAATATTATATGCAGGAAGTACTTTCAAATTCCACAAGGGCTCCAGCACGATATTGTCAGCCTGTGTATGCACTATGTGAATTCGCTTCAATAACGGAACCCCGAGTCTTGGGTTATACAGCGGCCATTTTTGCTGCGCAGCCCCTGATTGTGCAGCTGCCATCTTCGTTGATTCTCTCTCTTGATCAGTCAATCAATCAATCAAGGTGCGACTCTTAGTATTCCAAGCTCATCATCAAAGAATCGAGTCACTTCAATCAGTAAACTATGGAGAGCCTCACAAAGTCACATTGGATTTAAGTGAGCCCTTCGAAACTATTTCGAATGTTGGTCGCCGTCGTTCAGTGGTTAGAGAATTTCAGACCTTTGTCTGTCATTACGTAGTAGAAAAGATGAAGAATCTGGATGATGTTACAACTGTAACAGCAGGCCTTACTACACAAGCACGGCCATGTCTCAGCCTCATCATTTCGACCTCGTTAGGCGGGGTCTTGAACTTGTTAGATTTTCGAACGATACTGCGATGGAGATGAAACCGAAGCAGGTGCGGAATCTCAGTTGATGCTAGTCGTTATTTCTGAATTCTCAATGCTTCAAAATCACGACTAATTCACTCACACACGACGCGACCAATACGACGACGCCATCTGCTGGCGCATGATTCGCTAGCCCAAAAGACCATCAGAGGAAAATGAACACTACTACTCACGGACTCGATGACTTCCCAAAAAGCAACAGCTGGCCTTCATAAACGTAGTGGCTTCATCAAAGTGGTTTCATATTGCTACTACCTATTTGTTCTTCAATCGACGCGAAGGCCACGACCTTAGAATGATGATGAAACAAGACGAAAATAGTACAAGGATTAACTTTAGTGCAGCACTCATCGTATAAATTCTTATCGCAGATCTTGAGCAAGTGGCGAGTCAAATCCATTTCGAATGTACTACGGCGATAAGAAGCTAATAATTGATTTGATCTGCGTTCCCATTGCAAGCACGAAGTATTATTTACAGCCAGTAAGGAAAGAACAGGAACATCAGGAGTCTTTTTGATATCCAGAAACAAAGAAAACTGCACTTCCTCGAGTAGTACCTTAAAAACGTTGGTGATACAATGAGGAACGTGTCGCGATCGCCCGATTACTGCCCAGAAACAATATTGATGTGAGAAACTAAGTAGATCATAATAATGGAACAAGACAAGAACATTTAGGAACACGGACTACTACTAGTACAATAGATAACAAGATCATGTCCACTAGCTAATTATCATTTGATGAAGACAAGAAGAACTAATAATTGCGAATTTTTCACAACAGGAGGAAGCAAGTGGTAGAATATTTAATACCAGAACGAGTATGGGTCTCATAGAGGTCGCTGATTATATGCCTGGGCCCTGGAGATTCCAACATCATGACTTTACCATATTCATAGACCATGAAGCGCAAATATCGAAAGTCATTATTCAAGAAAACACTTACCACAAAAAATCATACACACCTTCGTGCTAATTTCTAGTCGCCATGAATTAACTTACTGCAAACGTAGAGTAGACGACGCTGAAGCTCAGCTTCAAATTTAAGATTGAGGCAATCCAAGATTATTACAACTCTAATATAATCACGATACAGACTCATCATAGTCATCATCTGTCGATGAAAAAAAAAACTTAGTACATTGATGGCAATGTTGACGAAACAAAACATGGAAGATTAGTCATCTCCGAGAAGGTCATCCTCAAGTAGGTCCTCGTCCTCGTTCAACTTAAGCTTCACCTTCCTCGATGTATTTTTCATCTTGGAAGGTATGGCTTCCCCTTTCTTCATGGTGCTGCTTTTCTTCCGTTGTTTCGTGTCGTCCTCGAGCTGGTGGCCCGCAGCGGGTCTCTTTGCACTCTTACCGAGTGAAGCACTTGCGGATGACTTGGTCGTGGTCGTGATTTTAGAAGCTGCCGGGGCAATCGAGGTGGCTGCTGCTTTTGTTTTCATGCTTGTTGTGCCTATGCTGGTAGAAGCGCTACTCTTCGTAGTACTAGAAGTAGAGGGTGCTTTTTTGTTTTGGGACACTTTATGAGAAGTAGCGGGCACATTCTTCATAGATGCAGAAGAACTCTTGGCCGTGCCATTCGTCTTTGCGGTGATGTTGTGCCTTCTCTTCAGCAGGTCTAAGGCAGCATCATCCTCCATAAAGCAAGTATCTATTTCATTTTCCCAATTCTTGTGTGCGTCGTCGCAGAAAGTTAGAATGTGTCAGTTTGTAGTTTCACTCGTGCCATATTCGTGCTCACCGAAAATGAAAGACGTTGCATCAAATCGATGACTTCGTGCTTCGTTGTAGTTGGTAAGAAATCAAGCGAGTCGCAATGCTAGTCCTAGCACTAGTTATTTACTGAACCTTGCTAACAAACTTGTAAATAAGCAAGCCATGCCGTAATTTCACGCTGCCTCCTGCCCCCTTTTGCGTTGAAGCTGTGCATGATGTGCTTGATTTTTTACTTGAAGATAAACCAGTCGAATACGTGCTGGCGTTTCGACCAGAGGAAGCAGCCGTTGAACTAGTGTTTTTGCTAGAAGTTGCTGATGAAATCTTCTTGGCAGTACGACGCATTTCTCTTCTTCTAGCTTGTTGCCTTGCTAGTTTTAGCCATGATTTAAATTCCTCAATTTTCAATTGGTAACGCCGCAACCACTGCGAGTTTGGACGATTGTGAGGCCGTGACAGCCGACCAAGCGCTTCTTGTATCGCCGCATTTGCTGCTGCAACTATGCCGGGGAGCTTCTCAGTGAGGTCTGGGTCACGTCTCGTTGTTTCAAGGACTGCTTTCAGGCGAGGATCTGACTTCGCCACTTCAAGTGTGTACTTTTCAACGATGTTCCAGGAATCATGACCATGAAGTAGTGAATTAGTCGTGGCGTTAGTTGCAGTAGTACTCGAACTCGAAGACGATGGCTTCTGCTGACCATGTGCTAACGACCCTGCCGCAAGCGGTTGACCTTGGATGTTTTTGCTGTGCGGCTGCGTCTGATCATTTTGGAGCACTGTGTAGTTGTTTCCTGGAAGAAAATTCTTCGCACTACTAGTTTTTGGAGCAGCAGCATGCGCTTTTGTAAGAGCAGGCGCTGACGCAGCCGGCAGGGCTTCTAATTGCTGCTGCGTATTTATTTTTGGATCGGCTTTTACTTCGATAGGAGATGGAGACACTAATAGTCTTTCTTTTTCTGTGGCAGCGTTTGCTTTGACAGGAGCCGCAGCCGGCAGTAGTGCAGTTTTTCTTGGAGGCGTTCTATCGGGTGGTCCGAAGCCGAACTGTTGTGGTGAAGAGATGGTCTTAGCCAGTTGTTGCCGCTTCGCAGGAGGTTGAAAAGCAGACGAAGCATACCCTTAATCGCCTAACAGCTTGTCACGCAAAATTCGATGGGCCTCCGCGTTAATCAAAAGATCATCGTCATCAGATCCAGCGACAAGCAGAGGGGAGTCTCCAACATGTGGAAGACGCAGAAATTTTATTGAGCGCTTGGAGTCTTCTTCATGTTCTAGCTCAGCTTGATCCGGTGGCGCGACAGCTCTTGGTGTGTTCCGTTGTTGCATGCAAGACGATGAAGAAGAAAAGGCTTGCTGTTGAATCATAGACCCTTGAGGGTTCTTGGAAGTAGAATGTGATAATTCCATAGTCTTGTCTATTTTCTTACCGCGAGGACCACGAAGATTATTGTTACTTGGTTGTCTCTGCAAGAGCTGCGCGTTAACCTGCGGACGCAAATGATCGTAAAAAGCCTTGTCTATCGGAGTCCTCTTGGCCTGCTTCTTAGGTGTCGGTGAAGGTTTTGCGCTTGCTGCGTTGCTTGCTTTGATCGACACTGCGCCACCTGTAGCTATAGAAGGACCAATCGACGCAGGAACTATCTTCGTTGCAAACCGCCGAGGACTAATGTGAGAAGGATTCCGACGGCCTGCGCCTTCTACCATTCCTTGTTCTTGTATCTTCCCTTCCTGAGGGGCAACACTATCACTGATCGCTCCTTTGTTCGCTTTCCCCATCCCTTTCTTGCCTTTTTTCCGAGGAGAAACTGAAGAAGAACCCTTGCGGCCTGCTACTTGTCGGCTCGTATTTGCACGCTTTCCACCACCTTTTTTCTTCCCCTTATCTATATTGGCAGCTGGAGCTTTCTTTTCTGCATCCTCTCTTTTCTTCTTGTCGTTGTAGAACTTTCTGGTCGATGGATGAATGCAGGGTCCCTCGCGCTTTCGCTGACATGCGTTTCCAGGGTCGTCACTGAAGCGTGGCTCTGGTAGAAAGATCTCTTCAGTATTTCGCTCCTTCAATGGCGTCCAAATAGATCCAGCGTTTTCAACGCGTTTCCGCAATGGCACCGCCTGAGGGCGATGCGTCTGGGCTAAGCGCGCGGCGGCCAATGTCTTGTCTCGTAAAGCAGCATGCTTCAAGAGAATTGCTGTGCGTGTCCTTCCAATTTTCGGCTTGCGTGTAAGCGTAGTAGAGGAAATAGCGGCTCGACTCCGCTTCAACGCGGCTAGCGGATTCACTATCGTCTCCATCTGGGATGCTTCACTTTTACCTAAAAGAGCTTGCGCACATTCGGAAAGGTACTTATCGCGTGTGCTCGAATTCTTGTGCTTCTTCAAACCTTCACGCCACAACTGCAGCGCATTGCTGTCGACTGTCCCAGTAAAAATTATCGTCCCAAAACTGAGAACATTCTCCACCTGTAAAAGACGTTAAGGAAGATTAACCGAAAACAAGAACTACTTCATAACAGTAAGATAAAATCACGAACAGTCATATTATCTTTTGGTGACGCGTTGCAAGTAAGGGCCACGAAGATGCACATGCATGAACCAGATGAAACCAGCAAGAATAAGAATTAGAACAAGAAGTAGATAAAATTTTTATACATGTATCCCAAGTCGTTTCCCATCGTTTTCTGGAATTACGGCACGCCGATTCTTAAGAAAATCCCAGCGCAAGTGGCAATTCTCCTGCCACGTATCACGCGGCATATTCTGAGCAAACTCCAGACGGGACCGAACATCTAGCAGAGGTTTCAGCGCGAACACGGTTTTGCGCGGACCAAACTTTCGAGCTAAACCTTGACCAAAATCTTTTTCGTCTGGTGTTGGAGGTTCGGCAAAATATGGGCCACGGTTCAAGTGTGGTATGGTCGCCAAACCACCAAGCGCACGAAGCGACTCTGCTGTTGTCATCTTCACCGTCACCGAAGCGGAACAAATTGAAACACTCTGAATCCCATCGGCAAAAGCAACGGCAGGCAAGTGCATCCATAGAGTAAACGCAAAAACCACTCTGGAGACCCCATACTTACTTGTCGAACGGATGTAATATTTGACCAGATGACAGCTGCTACTGAAACTGATCGTCTACTCACGAAGCAGCGGCACTCCATGGTCAGGCTGGGATTTATGTAAATGTTTCTGCGCATGCAAACAGCGACTCACACCGACTGCGACGAGGACGACAGCCAGCATCACGGACCAAGCCTCAAGCCCGCATCCACTTTACAGGTTGAACACATGAAAAAAATGCAAATCCTGAGCATGGAAAACTGTCGACAGTGCAAAGAAGTTGCCTAAAAGTCGTAATATACATAGTTCTTCAACGTTCGAGACCACGACTGCTGTTGCTGGTGAGTTCTAATGTAGTTTATGCTTTCACAAAATAGCCAGCACGAAGCGATGGAAGCACCAACGCACAAGACCAGACGACGACGCAGTAGTTCCAACGATGAAGACAAGCATAAGCAACGACGGAGAAAACAAAAGCAAAGACCTCCCCACACCAACAAGGCAAGCGACTGAGCGAAAGCAAAGACGAACACACAAACACAAGAAACCACGCCCACCATAAGACACAAGAGAAAAAAACAGAAACGAAGACGAGACCCAGAACATACAAGCCCACCCGAATCACCACGAGGAGAGACACCCGAGAGACATCCAAGAAAGGCAGCACACTCTCGCGCCCATCGCGTTGAAAAGGCCACACCCCTCGAAGGTCTCGACCCCCGGAGGTCTCTTTCCTGCCTTGCGGATCCGTGTGGGCTTGTTCTGGGTTCATGATGCTCGTCAGCTTGTCTGTCGTCTTGTCTCCCTCTCCCCTCGGTGTCAGAGCTGGAGACACCGCCAAGCGCCGAGGCCTTCGGGCGTTGGGGCTTTCTTGGCACAAATGCCGCGCGCTTGTGTCGTGCTGATTCAGCGTTCTTCAGGGCTCCCTCTTCATGGCGACACGCGCGGGCTTTTCTGTTTCGTTTTTTCGTTTGTTGTGGTTCTCTCTGTCTTGTTGGCTTGTTTCTCGTCTTCTTTGCTGTTTGCGCTAGGACTGAAGGCGTCTCCAGGTGTCGAGACCTTCGGGCGGCGTGCTTTCTTCTAAACGAATGGCGTCGAGGTGTGCCTCCCTGATTGAGTCTTCTTCAGGGGTCCGTCCTCGTGGCAGTTCGCGCGGGTCTGTTCTGGGTCGGTGGTTCTTCTCGGCGCATTTGTCCCCTTTCTTTGCGTCTGTGTTAGAGTTGGAGATGCCCCGAGCGTCGAGGCCTTCAGGCGTTGGAGCTTTCTCAGCACAATAAGCCTGGGCCTGTGCCTGCCTGATTCAGCCTTCTTCAGGGTTCCTTCTTCATGGCGACACGTGTCAGCTCTTCTGCTTGGTTCTTTCATTTGTTGAGGCTCTTTGCGCTTTGTTGGCTTGTTTCTCATCTTGTTTATTCTTTGCGTTAGAGCTGGGGACGTCGGTAGTTCTCGAGACCTTCGAGCGGCTTCCTTTCTTCTAGCTGATTGGTGTGAGAAAGTACCGCCCTGAGCGGGATTTCTTCAGGGGTCTCTCCTCGTGGGGATTCGCGTGGGCTTGTTCTAAGTGTATGACTCTGGTCAGCTTGTCTATCGTCTTGCTTTGCGTCTGTGTTGGAGTCAGAGACGCCGCCAAGCGCCGAGGCCTTCGGGCGCTGGCGCTTGCTTGGTACAAACGGCGCGGCCCTGTGCCGCCTTGATTCGGCGTTCTTCAGGGGTCTCTCTTCATGGCGACACGCCTCAGCCCTGCTCTCTGTTTGGTTGTTTCCTCGTCTCTTTCGGTTCTTTGAGTCTTGTTGGCTTGTTTCGTTTCTGCTTTTGTTTAGTCTTTGCGGCGCCAAGCCTTGAGATCTTCGCGGAGCGTTCTTTGCCCGAAGTGAACAAGGGCACCAAAATGCACAGCCCTGGCAGCACGTTCCTCAGCCAGGGGCCCCTTTTCGTGCGGGTTCGTGTGGGCCTGCCTGTTCTGGGTCTATGCCTCAGGAGAGCCCGCCCATCATCTTGCGCCACGTCTGTGCTAGCGTTGGAGATGCTGCCGACCGTCGCGCACTTTAGGCGGTGCCGCTTTCTCTGCGTGAAAAGCATGCCCATGCGCCGCCCTGGTTCTGTGTCCTCACTTCAGCGGCGCCTCCTCATGAAGGCACGCGCGTGCGTCTCTGTTTGATTCCTTCGCTTGTTTCAGTTCTTTGCACCGTGTTGGGCGGTGTCTCGTCTTGCTTGGTGTTTGTGTTAGAACCGAAGACCGCCGCAGAGGGGCCCAACCATAGCAGCACACTGCCAACCCATCCGGCATCCGCTGAGAAAGCAGCACGCTGCCGAAGGCCTCGACAGCTGGGGAGGCTTTCGCCTCTGTTCCACTCTCACACAAACACCAACACCAAGCAAAACGAGAAACAAGCCAACAAGACTCAAAGAACCGAAACAGACGAGGAAACATCCAAACAGAGCGCACGGCTGAGACGTGTCGCCATGAAGAGAGACCCCTGAAGAACGCCGAATCAAGGCGGCACAGGGGAACGCCGTTTGTACCAAGCAAGCGCCAGCGCCCGAAGGCCTCGGCGCTTGGCGGCGTCTCTAACTCTAACACAGACGCAAAGCAAGACGACAGACAAGCTGACCAGAGTCATACACTTAGAACAAGCCCACGCAAATCCCCACGAGGAGAGACCCCTGAAGAAATCCCGCTCAAGGCGGTGCTTTCTCACACCAATCAGCTAGAAGAAAGCAAGCCGCTCGAAGATCTCGAGAGCTACCGACGTCCCCAGCTCTAACGCAAACAATAAACAAGATGAGAAACAAGCCAACAAAGCGCAAAGAGCCTCAACAAATGAAAGAACCAAGCAGAAGAGCGGACACGCGTCACCATGAAGAGGGAACCCTGAAGAAGGCTAAATCAGGACGGCACATGCCCAGGGTTTTTGTGCTGAGAAAGCTCCAACGCCTGAAGGCCTCGACGCTCGGGGCATCTCCAACTCTAACACAGACGCAAAGAAAGGAGACAAATAAGCCGAGATGAACCACCGACCCAGAACAAGCCCGCGCGAACTGCCACGAGGACGGACCCCTGAAGAAGACTCAATCAGGGAGGCACACTTCGACGCCATTCGTTTAGAAGAAAGCACGCCGCCCGAAGGTCTCGACACCTGGCGACGCCTTCAGTCCTAGCGCAAACAGCAAAGAAGACGAGAAACAAGCCAAGAAGACAGAGAGAACCACAACAAACGAAAAAACGAAACAGAAAAGCCCGCGCATGTCGCCATGAAGAGGGAGCCCTGAAGAACGTTGAATCAGCACGACACAAGTGCGCGGCATTTGTGCCAAGGAAGCCCCAACGCCCGAAGGCCTCGGCGCTTGGCGGTGTCTCCAGCTCTGACACCGACGGGAGGCAAGACGACAGACAAGCTGACGAGCATCATGAACCCAGAACAAGCCCACACGAATCACCACGACGAGGGACCCCTGAAGAACGCTCAATCAAGCCGGCACGCTTTCACCCCTTTCGCGTTGAAAAGACCACGCCGCACGAAGGTCCCGACACTTGGGGACAAGTTGGGATCTAATTGCGGAGCGATCCACGACGAAGCCCAAACAGACACAAAAGACAGAGATGAGACGAAGAAACGGGAAACACGACGACAAACACAAGACAGAAGCTAGCAAGCGCCTCGGCAACATTTGAGACGCGACAGACAAGTGGATGGCTGCCGATGGCGCCGCCGATGGCGACCGCCGATGCTTTTCGTCGTCACTTTTTGATCAGCATCGGAACGTCGTGCAGTCGCGCTATCTGTTAAAAGGTCGCAAAAAAGTGCACAGATTTCGCCATCGCCAGCACCATCGGCAGCCACGTCCGTATTCCATCTCGCGGCCCTACGCGTTTGGAATGCTTCCGAACTAGTCGCCGCCTCTTGGTTTCTGGTAGATCCTCACCAGCTCAGCGAGCGCGAGGACCACCAGAAACAACTGCGCCACAGCTTGCAAATCAAGCAACACCAACGCCCAGCCCCAGCTTTGCGGGCTATTCCATGCACCGTCGCACACAGCGCAACAAAGCAACCGCGGCGCGCCCATTGCTTGCATAAAAATAAGAACTCACCAGCTTAATAGCAATATCGCTGGCCTTGATTTCTACGAAGCAGCTGCAATACTAAACGGGTTCTTAAATAAGTGAGTAGTTCGTCACAATTGCACACAACATCAAGAACATCATAAGGCTTGTCAAGTGCTGGCCAAGTTGTTGTGGTCATATGCATCGCCTTCGCCTTCTTCCTGATACAGCCCACATACTTCCTCTGCATCTGCCTCTGACAAAATAAATGTGCACTCCGGCACCAAGAACAAAACTGCTTTATCATCCAACTCCAAAACGCGGTCCAGCTCTGCGTCGTCACTAAGATCCTTGCAGATCTGTCGATGCAAAGCAGCAGCATCAGCAACGAAATTAGCGTACTGCCTGCGGATTTCAGCATGGTCCTGTGGCGTCGTCATTCTAATTGGGGCGCCATTCCTCCAACCAAAGTGCGCTATCATGAATCGGGCACGCAGAATCCAAACGTACTGATGTAGAGTTGTCTCCAACAAGTACTGCATCTTCGTTTCGTACGTATCGCCCGCCTCTCCTGTCTTCACACGACGCTGATGCTGTCCCTGGCTCCTGTTAGCGAGAAACGCGTCGCATACACGTATGTCATACTTGGGAATACTAGGAGGGGCTTTCTTTCTCTTGTTGTTTCGATCGTTTATATCGTCAGGAACTTCTGTGCTGCTCATCCTGTTGCTGTCGTCAGCCTTCTTGTTCCCATTTGGGTTGATGCTTGCTTTTTGAAGATCTCTTTTCTCATGTAGTTTCGGTCTGCCGCCATTGCGTGCTTGTGCAGGGTCGTCAGCGATAGCTGCTAAATGCTCAGCGAGATCCGTGCTAGTATCAGCAACTACTTGATTGAACAACGCAGAAAAAGAAGTTAATGGAGCAGCCTTTTGAGCTTCTACTGGCATGACGCTTCGTCCTGCACGCAAACACCAATAATATCGACGACCTTCTGGAGTCTTATCAGATACAGGCTCCGCCAGCAGCCTGTCGATTGTGAGCTTCGTTAGAGTTGTTGTAACCACGATTGCGCTCACAGTCTTAATAATCATAATACTCGATAGAAGTATTCAATTTCAAGAATGTTTCTGAAGATTATAAAGATTAGCTTCTCTAGCACTAATAGTCGTCAAATCTATTCAGAATGAGAAGACGAGTAGTATCGTCGTCTGCGTTCGCAAGTGCAGCCAACAATTGCGACTGTCAGAAACAACCTGACACATCCAAGAAGTCGAGCAATAACTACTAGTACTGATCAACGTTTATCAAGCCTTAACTTCCCTGCTTGCCAGAGTTCTTTTGTGGCTTTGCCACGCCACGGACCCGTCTCCATCCGCCACTCTGGGTGGTTTGGTTGTGCGAAAGACTTCATGTCTTCCTGTTGTTGTTGAAGAAGTTGCTGTCTCTCTCCTGAGGTCATGTCCACCAGGAGCTCTCCTGGGGCTGCCTCTTCCTCAGCTTCTTGCACCGCTGCGAGCAGCTTCGTTGCACGAGCATCATCCATGTATGCTGCGTCCTCACGACTCCAATAACGAGGGCGCAGTAATAGACAGCGAGTGTGTGTATTTTTGCGGCGCGTCTGATCTTCTGTCGTTTCATTACGACGATGTAGAGGAAGAACTTCTTTTGGATTTTTAAAGACCAAGAAACATTTACCACTATACTCTTTCTCCAACTCTTTCGATCGCTTTTCTAGAAGTTCTTCTTTTTTGCTGTCATCGATTCCCAAGAAATCACTTGTCAATGTCGCGGCGACGTCGAATGAAGCGGTCTTGTCCTCACGCAAAATCCGCTGCAAGAGTTCGTTCCGCGCGGTGCAGCGGATGAGGAGCGAAGACGGACTATCAACCTTATCCACAATGTCCAACGTGCAGTAGTAGAACTTCATTTGCTGGTAAGTGTGATCTAAGTCATCTGCTGAGAAGAACCGGCTACTGTGAAAGTCGTTGATGTGGACTTGAATCTTGTACGCATTTCCTTGATCTCGGAATAACTGGCCAGCACGAAAATCAAACTTCGTCAGCTGCAGCAATGCTGCTCGATCCGGTCGTAACAGATCCCAGACGACCCAGAAAGCATCCTCACTGCCGTCTGCGTTCGTTAACACGACAATTGGCACTCGCTCGTGGTCGGAGAGTACTCCATCAATGTACTTGCGTGCTCTCTCTTGAGCTCGTTTTACTTTTTGTAGGTCAGTCAGCTCATGGATTTTCTTGTTCTTGACGGTTTTGCGCTTCTTCGCATCAGGAGACGCAGCTTCCTCATGTTGTTGTACTGCGTTTTTTAATGCTTCTGCGTGCGTCATCTGCAAGAGAATCTTAGCAGCAGCATTTAGCATCCCAGTCGTAGCAGTGTTCACCTGAAGCTGCTGCTGCGGCTTCTCGGGTGAAGGCGCAGATGAATGCGAATCAATCAGTTCTCCCTCGTCATGATGAAGCACAAGTGCTGCTTTCGGTTTCGCGGTCGCTTTCGGTGGACGACCCCGCTTTTTAGGGATTGGAGGTGGAGGCATGACGCTCCGAGGAGTACTACCGACAGAAGCGACTGGAGAGGGATCTCCTGACGGAATATTAGATGAGCTGGCTTTTGCGCCTGCTTTTGCTTTTGATTTACTTTTAGGCTTTTTTCCCGGATGCTGGGAATAGCCTTTGCCCATAGCGAGTTCTTCGTTATTACTAGAAGAAGGCGCCGACGCTTCATCCTTTTTTAGACCAGTGCCCACTACTTGCTTTGACCCTGAAGATGTAGAAGAATTTGAGTTCATCACGCCTGTCAGCTTCTGGCTCACCAAGGGCCCGTTGTCTTTTTCATTTCTATTAGTATTATTTGCTCTAGACGCTGAAGAAGAGGAAGAAGCACCACCAACAGCAGCAGACGGCTGTTGATTCATGGACGACGAAGATGAGGATCCGCAACCGGATGAAGAAAGAGGTGGGTCGACTAGATTTTTCTGCTGATGAGTTGCAGCTTGCCCAGTTCCACGCAGTAGCCCACCTTGTTGGATGTTGCTTGACACGGTGGGTAGTTCGTTATCAGAATCCGCAGCAATTCCTCCTAGAAGGTTTGAAGTCTCCTCTTTCACTTCGTTTGTACTAGGATCACCGAAGAAAAGCAGTTGCATGTTGGTTGCATTAAAATGCTTGCTCATATCCTCCTCTCTGGACAGCTTCATTGCTTCTGCCATATCTGCTTTCGATTTTCGACGAGCAGCTAAGCGCAACTCTCGCAAAGCTCCTAATGATTGCGCGAGTTTACTGGGACGCTGACCGTAGTGAAAGTACGAGTCTTCTAGTCGAGACAAATTGAACGCCAACCAATCCGGGAGCCGGAAGTCGAACGAGACACTACTCATGCTCAAGCCTAATAAGATGGTTGCATCCCTTGTAAATATCCGATCGCGAGGATCTGAGACCAACAAATCCGACTGTAGCACTCTTTCGCAGATGTTCGATATCGCTGACAATCGATCAGCCGCCATGCTGTCCCGCTCACGCAGATCGCTCCACAACAGCCTTCGCTCTTGCAGTTCGTCCAGAAGAAGACTAGTCTCTTTTTTCCAGTCCTTCTTCTTCTTGTCAATGGCAGCCTGATACTGCAGAGCAACATCATCAGTTTTATCGTGCCAGTCTTTGAAAGTATTGTCTTTTTTCTTCCCACAGCACTTTTTGTTGTCTTTTTTCCATAAGTTGAAGGATGCATGGTGTGGCCGATGCTGAACCATTTTCTTCAATTTCTCGTCACCTTGTTGAAATTTCTTCTCAGCTGTATTGATGCCACCTGCCTCTTTCGAAAAGGCCAGGCTCTGTCCTCCAGCACTTATGAACGGCACGGTTTGCCACTTGGAGTGCTTCATTCGGTTGTGCACACCCTTCAGATTCCTGAAGTACCACTCCACCTCGAAAGTAACATCGCGCTGCACACGACCAAAAAGTATCTGCGAATCACAATGCTCTACAGCTTCCTCTTCAGTGTTGCACGCGTGAAGAGTGTTGAATAAAATCAAGAAACTAGCAAAAGTTGCTCGCGTGTCGGATGGCGTCTGCCACTTCCTAACATCGTGGTTCTCCGCCTCTTCCATAGTCGGCGGACTAACTTCTCGACTTTCATCCAAAGCATTACAACCTATCCCTTTCGAAGGAAAAGTTAAAGGTGAATCACGTATCTGCTTCACCATGGCTCTGCGATTGTTTGTATTGTCATCGTCGTACTTTTTCCGCCAGCTGTTTATGCCCGTGTGACCTAGTGTGCGAACGTATGATCCTCCCATCGCTCCTAGCCCAATCAGAGTAGCAATGCGCCATCGTTGCAACGACTGCGGCATATCAACATCCGCTGCAGCAGCCGCGCAACGAGTGATATCCATCTCTAGAGCAGATGTCCCAACACGATCTAAAGATTCTGCCATCGCCTGATCCGCAGCGCGGACAGCTTGTTTTGTTACTGTTTTAAACTTGTAGCTAGTGCTCTGCAATGCCAGGTGCGGTTTTGCCAAAGTCCAACAACATGGAGCGAATAAAACCATCGACTGCATCTGGTCTTTGCCAAATTGCGCCGAGACTCCTCTTCCAATGTGGTACGAGGTGCGGCATTTCAAAGGTATTTCTCCGAGGTAACCAGAACAACAGATACTACGTAGCACGCGCGGCACACGCATCCATCGAGTGAATTGCGGATCACTCCATGCGTTTTGAGTCGCATATAGCGCCCTCGTAAAAAAAGTTAGTCGATCTTTTTCGACAGTCTTCCCGACACGGTTTCCATTGACGGTCTGGACTTCAGCTTGAGCTGTAAGTTAAAATCAAAGCTTTACCCTCCAGTAGAAATGTTTCATACTTGACGCATCCACCCATGAGACAGAAGATATTGCATCAAGTAGACCAATCGAAGTGAGTAGTTTTCAAATCAAGCTGAAATTGAAGATGCATCGGGACTATTCATCATCTTTTCATTATATATCCGCCTCCTAGCTTCTTGATCTTGATGATGGCAGACCAATAATACCACTAGAAAATCATCGCTGAAATTCTTTTTATCATAGTTCGATGCAGTAAGAACATCCGTTCCCCGTTTTCTGGGTTTACGGTCGGGACCCAAGAAATTGGCTCACCAGCAAACGGCGTCTGGTAGTATTCGTGAAAGGACCACTCCCGCTGCAAGAGTTGCAAGTAGTCACTATACCCCTCGTGAGACTTCGGCACGTCAATATTAGATCTCTTCTTGGCCGAAGCTACTTGCGCCAAGACGGGACGCGCGGAAGTATTTCCCACAACGCTCTTCGCCTCGGCTCCTTCCTTCGCTGGAGGTATGCTTTTTGCGTCTGATTCAAATTTCTTGCTGATACTCAGTCCGCTTCTAGCACGCTCCATTGCAGGGCTCAGAATCTCCGACCTGTGTTGAGCATAAGGCATTGATCCTTATCGTTATGGGAAGTAGAACTACGATCAGATAGTTCTGAAATTTACAAACGACCTACAATCAAAACTCTAGTAGTACGTCAATAATGAAAGACAGCGTCTACACTCCTTCATACAACAAAGAACTTTAACATATAAGCACGCTCTGTTGCGCATTGCTCCTGTCACCTTTCGCAAATCATCCTCGAACTTCCCAATGCTGGTATGTGACGCGCTGTAGATTATTGCACGCTCAGCGCTTTCTTTTACAGCAGCAGCTTGAGCATGGAACTTGCAGAAAGACACCTCCAGTGTAATTTTCAGCTGGTTTTTGTTGTGGCGAAGAGATCTATTTATCCCATCGATCCAGCCTGCTACGTAGTAGCTGGCAAGAGCGCACCCTTTATCGGTACAGAGATACATTAGAGCTGAAGAGCCTACTCATCTAAAAGCACAGCATCCACCTGATACTGTTCTCTTATTGAAAACGTTTCGAAATTGCTTCAATGAGATGAACTAAAAATGGCCTTAAATAGAGATGAAGGCTCTTTGTTTTTCCGTTCAATGCAGCATGTATTATTTTTCGAAATTCTGAGCAGACGCATGTTGCCAGACGAACAGAATCGGTCTCAGAGTATGCTTCCTTGTCACCTTCGTTGCCTCTTCTTGCAGTCAGCAAGTCATCAGATTGTAGACGCCGGGCTGGATGAGTACGCCAAAACTCTCTCACTCGCGTGACGAGATATAGTTCATCGGCATCCTCGAGGTCGTTTGATGAGCTGGCGCTTCCTAGTGGTGCCGGATTCTTGGACGAAGAAGATGAAGAGGATCCTCGGGCTCCAGTAGGACCAGACGAACAAGAACTTGAAGAAGAACTACTAGAGCTTGATGTTGAACTACTGATAGTGTTCGTTGCTTTTTTACTGACTGCAGCCGCAGAAGAAGATGTTGATTTTGCTCCCGATCCAAACCGACTAGGTGCACCAGTGGTTTTTCCATTGTAGACGATGCTATTTACCTCAGCGCCTTCAGCTGTTACGGAGGATAAAGGAACAGCTGGAAAAGTATAAAATCGCAGCGCATTACGCCCTTCTACGTCAATGCCTGCTCCTACTTCTACTTCATCTACGACAAGACTTGCCGATGCTGTTACTGGTGATGTTCCTCGGCCTTGACGCCTGTGCTTGTTCGCGCGAGCTTTTTCTGCATCGGATATGAATTTGTTGTATGATTCGCGTATCTTGGCAAAATTCGGCTGGGTCTTCGAAGATGAGTCATTTTTTGTATTGATTGCATCAGCTTCTGCAATATTGCTAAGCAAAGACGCACTGTCTTTTGCTAGTTTTTCGTCCTTTTTACTGTTAAGTCCCGGATGAGTGGTTTTACTTGTATTTTCTGGGACAGCAGCACTCGAGCTTCTAGAACTAGTCTGCTTAGCATTATGGCTACTACTAGTACTACTGCTACTGTTTGCACCTGTAGGCTTGATGTCCTTCTTCTTCTGTTTACTTTTCCCAGATGTCGTCGTTGGTTCTAGTGGTACCTCATCATCACTGCCGGCATTCCGTGAATGAGCTTTAAGAAGCTCTACTTCTTCCTGTTCCAGTTCAGCACACAGCTCCCCCTTCCGTTTTCGTTCTTCCAAATCTTTTTTACGCTTCGCCACGTGCTCATCTCGCTTCTGCCGATCGGTGCGGCCGCGCCGCTGTGCTGTGAGTTTCTTCTCATCAGTAGTCTTTAGTCCTACTCTCCAATCGTTTCGACCCAGATCGAATAAAGGTCTAGCCGCAACCACCTTCCCATCGGATTTCCGCTTTTCCCGCTCAGTGATTTCATCGACAGTCTCCAGGCTTGTCTGTATGTCCATAAAACACGACACAATCCCGATTAGCTTGTTATTTCGCGCTACAACGGTCGTGACGTTGCCTGACAATGAGATGAACAGCAATAAGAAAGAGGAAGATGATTTATATGTGCACGCACTACCAAAATTTCTCAATTCAAAGCGTCATCTTCGTGTAGTGCTGGAGGCTGCTGTATCTAGTAAGTATATGTAGGAAGTATATCAAATGAAGATCACGACGTCGCAATTCTATCCAATAAATACCAAATGTGTCCTTGGCTTTTGCTCTCGCGCCAGCATCCGTGCAATCGATTTCTACTTCACCATTAGAGTCAAGAAGCAGAAGAAGAACTGAGACTGTCTAGTGCTTTGATCATTAGATGTTTAGCTCACAAACCTCAGTACATGACGGGGTCTTAAGCTACCCACATGCCTCGACTAGAGGACAAGTGCAACTTCTAAGCAAAATACAGAGCAACTGCGCAGGTTGTTCATGAGTCTGAGCCTGGACTTCTGAGCGTGAAGCTTCAGAAGGCCAGCTTAACACTAATTCACTCCTGACCATAATGTACGCGCATGTTTCGCTATTTCGCGTCCGCTTCTTGAACTCAATATCGTAAAAGGAGTTAAGTAATATGCTTCCTCGAATGTTTTCCAGACGCTCTGTTTCATCTGCAGGATAACCACCTTCCCAAAATCGCGAAAGCGCCCTAACTGGAGGTGATCTGGTGATAGGTGCACGAAAATTTTCGGGAAGAGTCGAGTCTACGATCCGCTTCTTCACAACTTCTTGCTTTGTCTTCTGCACAGACGAAAACAGAAGGCCCACCTGCAGTAATAGTTCTTCTGCCGTTGGCATCGCTTGCAAGTAGTCCGGCACTCTACGATCAACAGGCTGCTTAGCACAGCGATCAAACTCCTTTTCGAAGCTAAAAGCTGTACTAGATGAGGTCCTTGAACTACCTCTCTGTTGCGAGCGCGGCTGATCTTTTTCCTCACCACGGCCCCAACCATTCTCCTCCATAAAGGATAGGTAGTCCTCATCGTGATTGTGGGCCATCTCTGCTCCGCTGGCGACAGCAAGGGAGGCTACTTCATCTTCTTTGAAACTTACAAGGTAGTACTCATTGAAACATAAAGTACGAAAATCTATAATAAATTTTATTTCATGGGATAAGCCTAAATAAAATTAACGAATAATTCTTGACGTTATCGCTTTGATCTAAGTTAGTACTTCTTACATAGTTTCCGGGCCTCATGAGCGTCATAGCGAGCAATTATAATTGGCGCACAACTAGTTTCAGTCTATGATCTTTGCATCCGTCACCATTGCACTTTCCAGGTGATGAACACTTCGTTCCATGTCAGTAATCTTTCTGCTTCATTGTAGTGCTTTCTTTGAGTGCACGCAGTGCACCAGTCGAGTCATCGACATGGGTACCTCCAGAATAATTGGAGTCACTTCTTCATGACGACTGACACGATCGAAAATTTCCACTGACCTACACATCGAGACGGACGAATCACAAGAAAACAAGACCAACGCTCATATAATATAAATATTTTTGAACAACATAGCAATTCAAAGGCAGTGAAATTTTTTCAGTAGTTGTTTCATCCATCACGTACTATGTAAATGTACCATAAAAATTACGATCTTCTTAGTAATGTCGGGTTTTAAGTTGTAAAAAAATAGCTCTTCGGTCTGCTGTGAAATTTAAGATGATTTACTAAAATCGCAATATTTTACTGCAAATGTCGATGTTTCTATTTTCCTTGCAAAGTGTTAGTAGAGGTCTTGCCTCAGCTCTTAGCTGACCTCAAAACCTCAAGCACCAACCACCTAGCTACTAGCACTAGGTTATCAGCCGCGCATTGCGAGAGTATCCACCTAGACCACTCTGAAGGTTTTTCCATCGTGCGTGCCTTCCTTCTTCGCAGCATCCGTTCTTTTTTGCACCAAGTGTTCTATGATCTGCTTCACGTGGTTCTTGGCATTACCTGTGGACGAGTAGATTGATAGATGATAATGGTGATGAAAATTTAACTGAAAGAATAAGAAAAGGAGGAGTGTGTACAGAACAAATTTCGTCAGTCCTTCTTGATGTGAGACGAGAACTGGGTGCGAACAGGAGTAATCGAAGTGCTCCTAGATCTTCAAGGACAATATGTTAAACGACCAAATAATAAAAATAATAATTATAGTACGCATTCCTTCCTGTTCGAAGTTCCACATGTCAACTCCTAGTGCGGCAGCGCACTCCTCAACCGGCTTCGGATCGTTCTCGTCCTCGTCTACTACTAGACGGACAGGCTTCTTGGGCCTTGGCATGCGGCTGTTCGGAGGCAAATTCAGCTTGTCCTGCAAAAGAATCCCGGATAGGATCGAGTCTGTCGCATTATCAATGCTTCTTTTTGTGTACAAGTACTGCAACATTAGGTACCATTCCCATAACTTGACCTCAATTCCGCGCGTCTTACATTCCAAGAGAGTCGCCAAAAATTCAAGACGCATCTCCCCCGATGGAGAGTATTCCTCTTCCAAAATCGCCTGCATTTCCGCAGCCAATTTCTCGTCGTCGTAGTTCTTTGACGCATTAAAGAACTGGACTGCATCGTGTTCGTCAGGATTAAAAACGTCGCGAGGATTAACCATTTTGTGTTCTCCTTCCTAGCTTTCCGCGCTGCCAGTTAGTACGCAAGTAGAACTCTAGTACTTGATTAACCTAATCTACACAGCGAGCCATAGAATTATGCGGATCAATTCAATATTACCAGTCGCGATTGCATCATTTTCATTTTTGCAGGGTTTACCTTGTAAATCTTTGCTCTCTCCGTATCCTTCTTCTCGTCTCATCTTCACGCCAACATACAGAATACCTCTCCTTCACTCTCATGGTCATCGTTTCGCGCACATCAAATGAGGGAAACCTCCCTAATTCTAGCCGTTAAGCTCTCGCGCGAGGTGATAACTCAAAATCTGCAGAAGATCAAACGGGAATCGCCGACGGTAAATCAGGCAGCCGCCCTCTGGCTCACGTCACGCATCGAAGCATAGATGGCACCATCCTAGTGCAGATTCTTGTCGTATCGTCTTTCATCAGTGAAAAGAAACAATATGATTAACATATTAGTTCCTTCCCAGCGGATGTGTTCTGAGGGCATGGGGCAGGGCGGGCACAATCAAGAACAGGCTTGAGGTGTGCTGGTGTTGTGCTTGTGCAAGCTCTACGATTACTTTGAATGTACTGAGAAGCGTACTGAATATCAAAAGCAACTTAGAAACCTATCACCAAGCTGTGACTTTGGGTGTTGACGAGCATCATGATTGATTTGAAGATCATTGAGTAGGAGAACTTTAAATCAAGAACAAAACGAACGTTTATCATTATCATGAAAATAAGAAACAAGATAAATTTATCAGTGAACAGAGTGTACAGCACTTAATAACCGGGCACGACGCTCCCGTAAAAACACACGATCAGTAACAACTACGTAATTCAAATATTCTTGAATAAATTATGAATCACCATGAAATTTTATTAAAAAGAACAGAAAATGAAGATTAGAAACTATTCTTGACCCATTTGTAGTCGTGAATTCTCCTGCGTATTCTCTCTGAAAGCACATCAAAGTAAGGCTCTAACTATCATACTAACAACGCTCATATTAGGATCTTCGTTACTCGCATAAATTTGAAGAGAAAGATTCGGCTTTACTGTTCGATTAAAACAACAAAAAAGATCACCTCAACAAATTTCTATGAAGATTGTTCAACCTCCAACAACAGTGTCCCACTTTCAACATCTAAGCTTTCTAATAAAGAATCTAAAACTGTCTCTCGGAGTAGTTCTTATCGCTCATAAATGGGCTAGAAAACATGATACTACTTGTGTTGGAAAGTTCGTGACAGATTTAGATTTATTTTTAGAATAAACTATAGATGCAGAAGATTGACTAAATTAGCACGATGGGGAAGATGGTGGAAACAATGAGTCATCCTTCTGCTGTTTGCCTTCATCACTTTCCTCTTTCTTGACACGCTTAGCTGGGTCCTCCTCCATGGTCGTTTTGCGCTTTCTGGTCACCTTGATGGTCATTTTCACTTCGTCTTCAGCATGGTCCACCACCTTGTTTTTATCTTGATCTTCTTCTTCTACTTCCTCCTCCATCGCTTTGATCATCGCCGCTTGGTTTTTCTTCTCCATCTCCTTCTCTTCTTCTTCTTTTTTCTGTTTTTTCTTAATCTCTTCCTCCATCTTGATTTCTTCCATCAGCAGGCTTTGGATTGCCACATCATCTTCTTCCTCGTCATCCTCCTCCTTCAAAGAGGCGTCGCGCTTGTCAGAAGCTGCCTTACGCTCAGCGAAGCGAATGTTTTGGAGGTTTGATGCAGCGCGATCAGCTGTCATGAGGTAAAAACAAAGCAGTAGTCTCTTTTTGCGAGCTTGAAGTTGAGTATTCGAATGAATTAAAACTCGTTTTATTGTAGGAGAAAAGTTCATTGTCAACGATGCCTAGACAGACAACAACAATACTATCAACTTATCTACCACCGAATTAGCTACTACTTCTCTATAAAAATTATGTAGTACCAGAAAGCGACGCCGCGATTGCTTTGTCTACATGTTTGTTCTGCGTTTTTACCTGTGAATAGGATGAAGATGCTGAGGATGATGAAAAGACTGATGAGGTAAAGAAGTAAGAGTTGAAGTCTTTGCTAGTGCATACATCAGCAGTAATTATAGTTGTATATGAAGATGAATCTTGATAACAGTCGAAGTCCGTGAAAATGAAGAATAAGAAATCACGTGGTTAGAACATGAAATAGTACGTGGCTGGCAATCACCGCAGTCAGCTTCTCGTTGCGTTTGATGGCGTCCTGATATTCCTTCTTCACGCTGTCCTCCTTCTTATTTCCGGCATTGCCTTTCGGGTTGGAGGAGCTGCTCATCTTGTTCTTGTAGTGCTGGCGCTAAATAAAGTTAATAGTATTTATATCGTGACTCACTCAGGGACCTTCTTCTAGTGCTTGCTGATGTGTCTAGTACGAGCGCGAACTCCTATTGTTTTCCGTAACTCTTAGTCTTACGCTTACAGTTTACGTCTAGCCCTCAAGTAAGAATAATGCCAATGACTGCGAACAATTGATGGGAATATTAAAAAGTGTCGACAACAATTGATCTTCTCCCATGATGCAGACAAAAAATGCATAGAATATCCGCACAGAACAGTTATGAAAAAATTTGTAGCAGCATACAAATAAAAAATAAAAGCAAGTTCTCAATGAAGAAAAAAAAATGAGAGTGACAGTGTGGCTTCAATGCTTCCAGGAACAACGCGCTACCTACGATCCAAGTTCAATTGTATGCACAATGCAGACTACGACATTTGTAAGAAACTTCGATGACCCTCCGAGTTCGAACAAAGTCAAAGACTCGACACAGAACATTAGCGATTTGCTGCAAGCAGCTAGCTCTCATGGCTAAGTGTCTTGTTTTTGCGAGATCGTGAGAGAAGATAGAGCTGCGAACACGAACACGCATGACGGACGCCAATGTTGAAAGTGCAATCAGGTGCTAGGACAGATGCAGCAAAAACATTGCCAGCACATGGAACAACATGAGAGAGCCCAATTCTATCAAGAGTGATGCACTGTCCTTGTCGGCACAACTACCTGTAGTGGTGGAGGCCTTTCTTCTGCTGAGCGACTGCGTTCGGTTTTTCTTGCGTGAGAAACGTCTGCTGTTGCTGAGCAACTAAGATGATTCTTATTCCTAAAAATTGAAGTCTTTCATCCCCGACCGGAGAAGGAAAAGTGTCTATATTGAATCCTATTGGACTTACCACCTTCAAATACGTCAATCCATATCTCATCAGCCTAGTACTTGCTGTGGAAATACCAGCCACATCCTATAACGAATAGAATACAGCACCAAGAGCACACTTGGTGCCAGCGTGCTCGATTTTCTTGCTCCCTCTGCTTCTTCTCTGCAGATTGCAGCCTCCTTTCCATCGCACGCACTCGGTTCTCGCATCGTTCTTCGACTTCCCGGCACGCTTCAGTTAGAAACGACTCTTACTTTTACTCATTGTGCTTTTACTATAAAATAATTTCCATACTTACAGCTGATCTTTTCCCCAGACTGTAGCCCCCCAACCCGAAGGAGCCTTCACAATTAAATATATTGCCGTCTCCTTATAGCTTGAACTAATAAAGTAATGATCGAAGGCGTCTCAAAGAGTTACGTCCTCGATCTCGATGCGACTCCTGATATATTAGTAAAAACTACATTCTTGGTGAAGAATATTAATCATGATTACAGACCATTACGCAATTGGAACGGCAACACTCTTAGCAATATCTTCTCCTGCGTGTAACGAGCCTCCATTGCAAAATAGTTCTTATCTTGTTCCTCTAGTCGGATGGCATGCCAGGTCCAGTCCATGTATCGGGTGTCTCGCTCTGCGCGGATCCTCGCCATGAGCTCCCGAACCTGGTCCGGCTCTTCTTCAGGCTCCATCGGATTGCCACATTAGAAGCTGGAATCTGCCTTTTCGTGTTCTCTTACACCGTTCCCTTGCTTTGCCTTTCCCCCTTGAGAAAGGCAAAGCGAACAGTGGTAGCTGAAACGTCTCTAAAGCCTATCCATAATCCAACCATTGCTGCAGCTGCCAGCGCCATTCGTCAGGGCTCAAACCAGCAGCAACCATCGCGCCAACATCACTCATCGATGCTGAAACCAACAATAAGCACCGTCATACTTATGACTAGCACCAAAAGACACACCTCGCGGTCAAGCTCATTTCTTCTAGACTGATTCACGTGCCTACTGTGCTCATAGACAAAGTAAAGAAGTGCAAGCACCTATCAGAAACGAAGCGAAGCAAGATGCCGTCACTATCACTAACAGCAAGAATCTAGCTACCGCACGGGGAGCCAAGTCCTGCAATTATCTCGACAGGTGCTCGACGTTGCTCATTCTTTCAGCAGAAATACGACGCAACCAAGTCTGGCTGCCTCCAATGAATTTTAATACGAGGCGAACCCCGACTACTCTAAGAGAGAGAGACTCAAGAAAGACGCCGAACAAAGGCGGCACGCCTTCATCCCTTGAAGACTTGGGGCGGAGGCACGCCTGCGGGCTTTCTAGCCCAGACTGACACAAACCAGCAGAGCCCCCGACGGCGAACAAACCAACAACAGCAGAGGACAGAGACAAGAGAAGAGACGACAGAACAGAAAAGAAAGCGCAGCCCGCCACCCAGAAACACAGACAACCCCGAAGAACGCCAGCAAGCTAGAAGCCTCCCAGGTCGCCCGCCCCGCTCTGGTCGCATGGTCGCGGGCAAGCTCCGAGACCTCCAAGCGCTGGAGCTCTCTCCAAACAAGAGGCGCGAGCTTGTGCCGCCCTGATTCGCTTGCCCCCCCAAGGTCCGCCCCTCCTCATGGCGGCACGCCTTGGCCCCTCTGTTTCGTTTTCCCGTTTGGTTCAGTTCGTTGCTCCTTGTTCTCTGTTTCTCGTCTTGATGTTTGGCGTCTGTGCTAGCGCCGAAGGTGTCGCCAAGTGTCGAGCTCTTCAGGCGGCGCGGTCTTATCACCGCGAAGGGCGTAAAAGCGCGGCGCCCTCAGTGGGTTTTCTTCAGGTGTCTACCCTCGTGGCGATTCCTGCGGGCCTGTGCTGGGTGTGGATGTAGGGCCCTTGTTTGCCTCCTTGCTTCGCGTTTGTTTTAGAGTTGGAGACGCCGCCAAGGAAGCGGCGCCGAGGCCTTCAGGCGTTAGGCCTTTCATCTTGGTACGGAAGCGCCGAGCTTGCGCCGCCCCGATTCGGCGCCATGCAGGCGCCTCACTTCGTGGCGACATGGCGCGGCCTTTCTGTTTGGTTGCTTCATTTGTTTCCGTTCATCTTTCTCGTGTCTTGTTGGCTTGTCCCTCGTTTTCCTTGGTGTTTGCGTTAAAAGTGAAGGCGTCGCCGGGAGCTTCCAGCCGCGCGCTTTTTTCTAAGTTGATGGCGCGAAAGTGTGCCACGCTGTTTGAGCGTTCCGCGGGAGTCTCTCCTCATGGGGACGCGCAGGCGCCCGCTCTGGGTCTCTGGTTTTTGTCGGCTTGCTTCTCGTGGTCTTGCCTTGCGTCGGTGTCAGAGTTGGAGACGCTGCCAAGCGTCGGAGCCTTCACGCGTTGGCGCTTCCCTTCCGTCATGCTGATCCGGCGCCCTTCAGAGGTCTCCCTCCATGGCGCTACGCGTGGGCCTTTCTGTTTCGTTTTTCCGTTTGTTCTTTGTGGTTCTTTATGTCTTGTGGTTGGCTCACTTCTTTCTCGTTTTGCTTGGTGTTTGTGTTTGAGGTGCAGGCTTGGCCAGCTGTCGAGACCTTCGGGCGGCGTGCTTTTTTCTAAGCGGATGGCGTGGAGGTGTGCCGCTGTGATTGCGCGTTCTTCAGGGGTCCCTCCTCCTCAAGGTTCGCCCTGGCTTGCTCTGGGTCTATGGGTCTGGCCAGCTTGTTTTTTATCTTGCTTCGCGTCGGTGTTAGAGTTTAATATGCCGCCAAGCGTCGAGGCTTTCAGGCGTCGGAGCTTGCTTGGCACAAATGGCGCGCGCTGGTCTCATGCTGATCATTCTCGTTTCCGGCGTCTCTCTCCATGGCGACGCTTGTGTGTGCTACTCTGTTTCGTTTTTTCGTTTCTTGTGGTTCTTTGTGTCTTGTTGGCTTGTTTCTCGTCTTCATCTTTACTGTTTGCGCTGAGGCTGAAGCGTCTCCGGCTGTCGAGGCCTTCGGGCTGGGGGCTCTTTTCTAAGTGTATGGCTAGACCGCGCGCCGCCCTGATTGGGCGTTCTTCAGGGGTCTCTCCTCGTGCGGGTTCGCATGGGTCTGCTCTGGGTCTGAAGTTCGGCGGTTCTTGCCAGCTTCTTCGTCCTCTTGCCCTGCGTCTGTGTTAGAGTTGGAGACGCCGGCGAGCGTCGAGGCCGTCGGGCGTTGCAGCTTTATCAACATAAGACACAAAGGCGCGCGCCGTCCTGATTCAGCTTTCTTCAGGGGTCCCTCTTCATGGCGACACGTGTACAAGCAGCCCGCTGCTTTGTCTTTTTCTCGTTATTATTTGACTACTTAACTCTTCACGCCTTGCCAGGTTATTTCTCGCCGTGTTGAGCGTTTGCGTCAGCCCCTAGGATGTCGCCAAGGTCAAGGCCTTCGGGCGGCGCGCTTCTTTCTAAGTGAATGGCGCGCGAGTGTGCCGCCGTGATTGCGCACTCTTCAGGGGTCCCTCTTCGTGGTGATTCGTGTGGGCCTGTTTTGCTTCTGGTTAGCTGATTTCTGTCACCTTGTCTGCCGCCTTGCCTGGCGTTTGTGTTAGAGTTGGAGACGCCGCCAGGCGCCAACGCCTTCGGGCGTCGCAGGTTTCTTGGCACAAAAAGCGCGAACCCGTGCCCCCCTGATTTGGAGCTCTTCAGGGGTTCCTCTTCATGGCAACAGGGGCGGCCTCTCCTGTTTCGTTTTTTCGTCTGGTGTTTCAGTCCCTTGCGTCTTCTTGGCTCCTTGGTTGTCGTGTCTCACTTTATTGCTCTGCGCTTATGCTAAGCCTGAAGGCGTCGCCAGCTCGTGCCGAATTCTTCAAGCGGCGCGCATTTCCGTAGCTAAGTAAATCGCGCAAAAACGCGCCGCCCTGATTGGGGGTTCTTCAGCAGGGGTCCCTCTTGGTGGACATTCGTGCGAGCCTGTTCGGAATCTATGACGCCTTCCAGCTTGCGCATCACCTTGCGCCACGTCTGCGCCAGAGCTGGAGACACCGCAGACCGTGGAGAGCTTCACGCGGTGAAGCTTTGCTCCCCCACAAGAAAGGCGCGGTCGTGTACTGCTCTGATGCGGTGTCCTTCAAGGTTCCATCCTCGTGCAGGCTTGGCTGTATGAGCCCGGCCAGCTCCACTTGCTTGGTTATCATGGGAGCCAAGCTTGCAGCAGCAAAGCTGCCGCGGCTGCAAAGAACCAAGGAGGACAGCTCTAGCGAGTCAGATCCGGGCGAGGGCGATGCCTTTCTTGGGCTACTTTCTTCAAGCTTGGCACGCTGCAGCTGAAACACTGGGGCCGCCGCTTCTGCAGACGCTGGCGCGTGCCATAAGGCGCCTGGCTTGCTTTGCAGGTGAATGCGAAGAAGAAACAGCTAGGCAATGCGCCCGCCCCTTGCGTTGGGCTGTTGTCTTCTTGTTTCAGTTTTCTGCTCTTCCTTGGTTTGTTTCTTGTGTTGGCTCATGTTCGCCTCGTTTATGAATCTCGGCATGCCTCAAGCCCTCCGAGGTGCGCGGGCCTATTCATGCAAAAGCAGCAGGGGCCAGCGCGCTGCTTGCCTCAGCGTTCCTGATGCTCTCCTGTGCCTGTCGACGTGGGTGCGGACTTGCGTGCACCCAAGCTCTGAACAGGCGGCCGCCAAAGCTTGAGGAGAGTCGCCCGAAGACGTCGCGCAGCCCTGTCTCCTCGCCAGCCTTTTTCCTCTAGCAGCTGCATGGACTCAGCAAGCGCCGCCCCCATGACAGCCAAGCCAGTGGGAATAAGCTAGCACGCAGAGAAGCTCGCCAGCATCTTGAACCCCAACACAGACGCCAGGCAAGACGACAAGCAAGGCGACGAGAATCACTAACCAAGAAGACAGCGACGCGAACCCCTACGAGGTGAGACCTCTGGGGCCCACTCAATCGGGGCAGCACGCTCTTGCTTGTACTGCTTGGAAAGACTGACACCGCCCGAAAGTCTTGAAACTTCGCGCCGTCTCAGACTCTAACAAAAAAACAAGAAAACAAGCAACCACACACATGACCGCACACAACGAACAACGAAAGCTGGCAGGTTTCGGCTCCTTGGCTGCCATCGTCAGGCCCGGAGCGCCACCTCCGAGCGACCTGCCAAAAACAAAAACTGCGATCAATTTGCCTTCTTTTTAATTTAACAAATCCGCCCGAATTTCTTAAGGTTGTAAACGCTCTTCGCGCGTACTGTAGAAAATTGGTTTAGTACCTGAAAGATTTATGCGGTGGATTTATGAAAATAGTGGTTCACAAAAAAGTGGTTTTCGTTCCAACGGCTGGCCATCGCTCGCCATTGTCAGGTATGGGGATGTGATCGATGCCGTTTCTCTTAAACTCTGAGAGCTTCGTTCTAGCATTTTGTCACTTCATTCACATTCTCATTAAACCTTCGACTCTCTTCAAAAAGAACGTTTTTCAGTGTGTTGGTTTTTGCGTCGTTTTGATTTGAGATTGCAGTAACTTTATCCACGTTTTCTAACCATCTGCTCCCAATCTCAAACATGTTCCCACCACTGCGCCCCAAAAAGAAATTTCAAGAGTATTTTGGATTCTTCATCTAGAACCCTCAACTTCAACTTCAACCTACAAAAAGAATAAAGCAAAATGTCATCATCCTCGTCATCATCTACTGCTTGTCCGGATTCGGATGGAGTGGTGGGTGTCGAAAGCGGAGGCAAGGCATTGCCTGAGGGTGAACAAGACCCAATGTATGAAGGTGAAGAAGAAACAAGCCTCCTTGACAAGGAAAGGGGTGGAACAATAGACATAGTTGAAGACCACGATGATCATTTTTTTGTTCTGGCGAAGCATGAAGATGAAGTCGGTGTTTGCGAGAAACAACCTCTCGAAGTTGAGGACGTCGAAAATGATGTTGACATGCCGAACGCACTATTTACTCCAGAGCCTGCGCAAACTCCAGAGCATGTGCCCTCCAGTGATGAGACAATAACTCCCAGTCGTGCTCGTGCTCCACCAGTCGTGCCACAGCAAGCACCCAAAGTCAATTACGCCGAACTCTACGCTTTAGATTTTCCGGGTTTGATCGAAACATGGGATCAGCAAATGACGCTCGAGCCACCTCCATACCAATTCATATGGCGCAATCACGTTGAACGAGGCTTGTATATTGGGGATCGGAAGGCTGCAAGATTGGGCTCGGATTTGGTGTCTTGTGGCCATGGACAGCCGAGCTCGCAGAGTCTTAGCGGTGACGGAGGTTCGACAACTGCATCTTCAAGTCCGAAAACGTCTCCTCAGATGGGTTCGCAACGTCCTTTTGAGCCTCCTTGCTTAGAAGGCATCGATTTGCCCGATTGGGTCGATATGGCTTCTGTGGTGCGAGGTCAGAAGCTGTGGAACAAACACATGATGCGAGCCGCGATGTCGCTGGGGATGTCTTTGCTCATAGGTTTTAGTGTCGCTCGGTTTTCCGAGATTCTAGAATTCTCCGGTTACAGTTCGAGTCCAGAAGCAGCTGTGTTGAGGTATCGGCAGACGTTTTTCAGATGGTTGGACTGGTTTCGATTTCAGGACTTGGAGAATCCGGAATCGAATGGAAGGAAAGCAGCATTTGCGGTTAGAAGGATCCATGAATTCGTGAGACGGAAAGTGACGGAAGCTCAGAAACAATATGCGAGTGATCAAATAGCGGAGAACTGCTACAAGAACTTTGAGGAAACGACTACAGCTTCTAGAATTGGAGGAAATCTGCATGGAGGAGGTGTTCGTGACAACAACATTGATGGGATTCCATACGGCGCAAGACCAGACCCAAGGTCCGTAAACACTAGGGGCGCTCAATCCAATGCAGCAGCAGCTGGACCAGGATCAACTTCAGACCGCACGCCAGCGAGGCGAGGGAGCGCTTCCTCCTATTGTAAACGACAACAAGGTGGGATAAGTATGGGCGGCCGTGTCACAGCTCAAGCGCGCGGACGAGTGTCCACGTCTGAAAGATATTCGTACTACAACAGTAGGGCAGGACCAAATGGAACCAATCCAGGAGCATCGGACCAAGGAAGGAGTGCGACGGGGATGATACGTGGAGGTACACTTGGTCCCTCTTCAACGGGAACAGCAAGTAGAGGCGGAGACAGAAATCACATGAATCCTTACTTTGGGTCTTTGAGTGGTGATGGCTCAGGATCCTCGCCACATGCTTATGGTAATGCGCAGGACCGGCCTTTTGGTAAAAATGGGAATGCGCCTCCAACTGCGACCTCTTCATCATCAAGTAATGGTAATCGAAATAGAACTCCTTCAACGTCGCCATGGTCCCCTGGAACGGCTGCAGGAACAAACACAAATGAGATCAACAAGCAAAGAGTTAGCGCAACAGGTATTTCACCCTCATCATCTACTACAATTGCAGACTCGCCGAGAATTCCAAGTTCTCTAAGCACGTCGTCTAGCTCAAGCGGAGGCGAGCAGTCACCTCTACCTTTAGGATCTCCAAAAAATGACCCTACTACTACAACAACAACGTGTCCTATGTCTGGAAAAAAGGCCGGAGACGGTCAGTGTCCAGCATCTAGTTCGTCTTGTCGAACCAAAACAAGTCGCGCAGCATCTTTACGTCATCCGATCGGACGGTTATGGGATGCTACTGCCGGAGTACCACTGAGTCAATACGATTTGGCGGAGGTACAATTGGTCTTTTCGGGTCTCTGCTTGAGTATTTTTGACAATGAGATGAACTTTAACCCCTTGGAAGACATCGAAGTCACTGTGGGCACTCGAAAGAAGAAGAAACGTGGTAAGCCTTCGCTGCTTACTCCGCAGGAGAAGCAGGACATGGTTCATTGTTGGAGATTTTTGGGCTTTCTGCTTGGCATAGAGGATGAATTCAACGTCTGCGAAAGCGTGGAGAAAATGGAGCTATACGTAGAAGAATTCCTGATATTCATGCCACAGAGACTGCGGACAGCCAGAGTGAGCGCATTTCATTTGAGAGATGCAGCAATCACTGGTTTCGGGCAATGGGCGGGACTAGGGAGTGGCTTCTACGAGGCCTTGTTTCTGACGGCGTGTAGAAGTTCCAGGTTGACAGGAGGAGGAAACCTGTATTCAGGAGCAGGACTTGCCTGTCGTCGGATGAAGATGGACGAACAGCCGCGAAACTTGGAAGACTGGAGTTCCTCTAGCAAGGACGAAGACTCGACAGGAGAAAAAAGCACAGCTGGAGCCGTTCTCAAGTTTTTCGCTGGGTTTGGAAAACTACTGCTGGAAAGTAGAATGTTCTCCGAGAGAACGCAACAGCAAACCTGCGAGTTAACGCGTGACCGTAGTGGCTTCTATTTCGACGATCCTTTGCTGGAGCAAAGATGCGGACACCGCTACCGTGATTTCACAGAACTGGATTGCAAAGCAACAAATAATGTGGCGCTGAATCCAGCGAGGAAGAGCAGTAGTCTCGGATTACTCACCTCGCTCCAAGCCCAATATACCGCGTACTCCCGAGGTTTGCAACTAGCAGCAGCAAGGTGTTATTTGAACGCCATGTGCTCTCTTGAAATCGACATAGATTTGATATCGGAGAAACGCGATCTTGTGTATTCAGATCCAGAAGGTGCTAATGCTTTGCTTCGTCGTAACAGAAGGGTTGCGATGATAGTAGACGCGATGATTTGGTCAAAACTGCCTTTGTGGGCAGTTGGCTTGCCAACTTTGATGGCAGCGGGAGTGGCGCAAGCTGGAAAGAGCGCAGTGGGGAAAGTGAAAGACATGAGAAGATGCAACGAACAAAATGGCGCAGGTGCAGGTGGCATGGTCTCCTGCTCAAGAAGTACCACAATATCATGGGTCGCAGTGGGTGCATTAGGTGCCTCGACTCTAGCCGGCCTCCTGATGCTGTATGTTTCCAGGAAGACCGATAAGAAAACATTCCCTGCGCTGCCGACGGATGAAGAGAAAGATAAGAAGAACTTCCAGACAACTGATGAAAAAGACCGTGGAGCCGGTAAGCGGGGCAGCCTCCCATGTTGGATGTAAAATGTTAAAATTTGAACTCAATAGAGCATGCTAAAAGATTGATTTTCCTTTTGACGTAACTATGATCGTAGCTGACACGCAGGAAGTAGCAGAAGCGCCTGCTCTGCTTTTTCTGTGGTAGTGTCCGTCGACTGATGTGTTCCAAAAAATTTTATGAGGAGTGAGTTTTTTCAAGACATCAGAAAAACTAATCGGTACTTGTCAACAGGAGTTGCATGCATTAGAGGAGACACTATTTCTCAGAGTTGTTAGAAGTCATCTTCACCTTCACGTTGCAACTCAATCTTTCTTTGTGTCGACATCGGTAACGATGAGGTGACGAGTGTGAGACAATCATTCTTGGTGACATGAACATGTTCATGTTCTTTGTTCAGCACCACTTACTTATGCAATATTAATCTGTCAACGAGAACGACAGCGCGTATCAACATGTCTGTGGTCGCGTGAGAGAGAGTGAAATTCTGTGGTCTTGTTTCGGTGTTAATGAGTCTGAAAACGAAGAAGCTCAACGTCATCATCGTGTCAAAATCAAAATCCACTAGAAGAAATCTGTCTCGAGATAGTGGTCACGGAAATTCGAGTCTGTGCCAGTCTGTCGATCGTGTTTCTCCAATGTGGTGCGCTTCATCTCGGTCTTGTTCCGATATTGACGATCTTCTTCATCATGTTCCGATATTGACGATTTCTCCATCCCATCGTCGACACGACAGCCATATAATTCCTTCACAATCTTCCCTAGTTGCGGAGGGCCGACCCGGCCGGCGGAGTGGTAGGGGATGTTAGTAAGTACACAACGCGCCTGATATTTATTGTTTATTCTTGACTTGTTTCGTGTGTAGTATTGACATTTCTTCTGAGACACCATCTTTATGAAAGCATGGTGATTAGTACTCAGTCCTCGCTCTAAAGCTTCTCATTCTTCTAAATAACTAAGGATGCTTGATACTACAAGATTATTATATCAAAGACACGCGCTCTATTTTTCCTAGCATACTTACTTACTTAGTTGGTAGTTTGTTGTGTTAGTTGATATGTGTTTGTTTAGTTCTGATACCTAGTAAGTCGTACGTTTAAATTGCATTTACATGTATATCAGCTCGCCATGCACTGCAGCTAACTGCAAGTGGATATCCACCCATTTGATTTTCCTATCAACTTTAGCTATTCAAGCATAGATAAGACTAGGGTTGTCAAGCTATACATAGGTCATAGATCTAATTCGGCTAAAGTATTGTATTCTTTAAAGTCCCTCACTCTGATTTACTTTAGAGAACGTTGATGAAGATCAACCGTATCTTGACTTTTTGCCAATAATGATCTGTTACTCAATTACCACGAAAAACGAACCTCAATCTTTTTTCCCTGAAATGAAACCATAAGCACGTCACCACATCCTTGTTTGATGTAAAAAATAGAGGTGAATACCTACATCTAATGCATCTTTCAGGTTTTTTTTTGAAAACAAATATGTAGCACCTCCATTCTTGCTGCTCTTCTTCTCGCTAAACAAGAAGCAGTCGTCCACCTCTCACTGTGGCTTTCTTGTACTGCATTGCACTGGCTGTTGCTTGTGTGGGTTTTTGCGACACACTGAGATACAAATAGCTGCGCAAGGGCAAGGTCGTGCGCCCGAGAAGAGAGGCGTGTTCGCTTTCATTCGGAACACCAGGAAACAAGCACACATCCTCGACATGATGAAATCTTCAACGGCGGCTCGACGACATGCTTGGGCTGGGTGTGAGTTGGAGGACGACTATGTCGCTTTTTTGACGAAAAGCGGCATATCAGAACACGACTTCCGAAGCATACCACCATTAGACAGGGTGAAACTCAGGAAAGAGTATTTCTTTAATTTTTGTGCTTTTTATCACTATACTATTACCTGGTGCATAGTTTTTCTTTTTGTTGATTTTTTGACTTGAACTTTTGTTGATTCTGCTTTATTTTGCTAGCAGTGCGTCTGCCCCCGTGGGTTATTTCTGAAAGGCTACGTACTATTTTATGAATAAAACCCAGATATGACGCCCTATGGTGGGAAATGCATCCTGCGAGGAGTATAGAATCCCTAGCCGCAGCAGGCTGTTCGAGTACGTGCTCCACGACTACGAGTAGTTCGTGTGGCCGATCCGTCGCAGCAACTTGCGGTAGTCGTGGTGCCGGAGGTGGGTCTGCGAGTACCACTATCGTCTCAACATCGAGCTCCGGTGCCTCGAGCTCCTCCGGTGCCTCGAGCTGTAGTCAATTTTCGGGTTCCTCTCTTCATACTGGAGGTGGAGCACATCTTCATACTGGAGGTGGGTCACTACAACTCGGTGGAGCAACCTCGTCAAGTGGTGGAGATCACAGTGGAGACTACTCACACGCGTCGTCGACGTGCTGGCCACAGGTATAATATTGAGTTTTTTTTTCCTCCTACGAACGTGACAGTATAGTCTAGGGGTTGGTATGCTAGCCAATGATAGACTTCATGGAATGGAACGTGACACGAGATTTCACACGACTATCAACAACTTCGACTCATCAACTTCTCGCTTTTCGAATCGAGAAGATCCTTTAAAAAGAATTTGGTTGCACATTCTCAGGTTGGCGACGTGGTGAAGATTGGTGGCACTAACATGCTAGTTGACGCAGCAGAACGAATGCTACATCCTTTAGATCCTGATTGGCTAGTAGCGAACCAGGGAACCGAAGTTTACGTTACATATAGCGAAATAGACCCGAGAGGCGATAAATTGTGGCTCTATGGATATGGGGTACTACTCATTTTGTTTGATTTTTCGATGCTCGTGAAAATGATGAATGCAATAGTTTTCTTTGTATCTTCGCGCCCATAATCTGTGATCTAGTTCTCGTCCGACCACAGTACCTTACCCAGGAGCCAGACATTATTAACTGAAAACAAGAAAAAAAACGAACCTTTTCTAGGTCGACAGCGATGCAAGGGGTTGGTTTCAGCGGAAGGTTTCTGCAGAGTATGGGAGCATCGGAGCTTCACGTGATAAACGTGAAACTATTTTCGCGCAAGAACTTGGATGATACTTGGAAAATTGATTTGGAAGATGATGAGGCCAGAAGATCTTCAAAGAGGCGATACGGGTATCAAGGATCTGTGGCGGTGTGGTTCTTTCCCGATAAACGATTAACTTGCTTCAACAGGATGGATCAAAGAAATAAAAATGTGAGTTAGTTTTATTCTTTGCTTCAACATACGTAATTCATCTTACAACTAGACCTTCAAGACAATGATCATACCGATAGCTATCAAGATCATCAACAGCTATCATCTTTAGACGACTACAAAGCGAAAATGACAACGATTTTTCACGTAGCCTGTGCATGAACAGAATTTAGTGCAGTTCATTTCTCTGTATATCTATCATTTGATGAACGCAATACCGAGATACTAGTACATCAGTCAGTGTAGTTGTCGTTCTTATTTTACTAAGTACTGCAAGTACAATCCCGACAAGAACCAAATATGCTGGACGTAGGTGATAAAAATGAAGAAGATGAAGCATAATAAGCTGGTGGAGATCAAGGTGGAGATACTCGTGCTAGAAACTACAGAACTGTTATGACAGACTACAAGAACCTGAACCTCGCAAGTAATAGGTCGTTGCGTCGATTATTTGGCATAAAAAGTGCTAGAAATCTATTGTACAAATATAAGGACTTAAAAAAGTTTAAAGAGAACTCATTATGCACACGCTCACGCAGACGCACCGTGCTCATGACTAGTAGTCTATAGGGAAAAAAATGCACAAGCATACTCGTGATGAACAGCCGCAGAACTTTGAAAATTTTCGCATTCGACGCACAACGCAAAAACATAATGATCTTGTTCTTATTTTCTAGCGATCTCTTTCTCTTCTTTCAGATGTAGCAGAGGAAGGCCATCGATTAACCTATTTTATTCCAAGACAACATCAACAAAGAAGAAATGAACTCATCTTCTTCAACCAGAAGTAAGCGAATGTTGAAGATAGATGATTTTGATTTCTTTCTCTAGAAGTAAGTGCGACCTAGTAGAAGAGGTTTAATTATTCATCATTGCACATGAAGACTGAATCAACATGTAGTTAAAAACACACATTGCCCAAAGCTGAATTGCATTTTGAGACTATTCGCGCACGCTTATGAAGAAGATTCATCTGTCAACGCAATCTATACTAAGTACATAGTTAACAAAGCAAAACAGAGAAGCTTCCGAGGTATAGCCTTTATCTCGTGACTGCTGGCGCTAATGATCATGAGCGCTTGATGTGCAGAAACGAGTTTATGTTCTTTATCGAAGATTGTGGTAATATGACGGGACGATGTGCCTCGGGCGGACGCAAGAGGTTAGAATTAGACCGAGGAAAAGAATATCGAGACCTATGTGGGAAGACCATAAGCATCTTCAGAAAACATAGGGCTGTGTGGGGACGGAAAGAGATCGACGGAATCGACGGAAGCTGAAAGAAGAGTCAGAACTGGAAAGGACAAAATCAAATTTTTAGCTTTGCTAAAACGCCCCTCCTAGGATAAGAATAAGATATCGGAGCAAACAGTTGATTGTACCGATAGCAGCTTCCCCCTTCTACCTAGGATTTTTACAACTAGCATTTCTGTTGACTTCAATATAAAGTAACTAACTGAATAAAAAGTTAACCATTTTTGCTCAAGAACAAGACTCAGCAGGAACAAGAACCACAACGCATCCCTCTTTCATAAAATCCCGAAATCAACATGTCCGATCTCGGCAACGATGTGTCCATGGGACGCATCCGCAATGAGATTGACGAGCTTAACTCTAAGGCAGACACAGTTCGCGACATCCTACGGAGTGCGGACTCGTCGTCAAAGGGGTTCGTGGATGAGTTTGTCCAAGAATGCCGACAACACTACGATTTCTTGCAGAAAAAAACGGATATTGTTTTGAGTACTAATTCGCTGCCTTCATAGAGTCATCGTCTTGGTTTGCCTTTCCATTTGCAGAATTTTTGTGGCGTTGCGGCTGCTCGAAAGCAAACTCTTACTTCACTAGACGGATTCTAATGGCCATTGTTGTAGTCATGATGAACATGAACAATGAGCTCAAGTCCTAGTTGTATCAAAAAAAACTCTCCATCAGGCGGCAACGATGCCGATGGCGAGGTTGTTTTTGGACAATTGGTTGATGTGTGCGAAAAATTCAACCAAGTCGACATGCAATACAATGAGTGGTCTGCGCAACAGCTAGTTTTCGAGCAAGAGTCATCTGATGCTGGAGGTGCTGGGAATAATGCTGCACCACCCAGTATTGGAGGCGGAGGAGGGCCTTCGGGGGGAGCAAGTAATACTGTACAGTCACTAGCTGCGAGTGCACCTGCACCAGCGACAGCAGCTGTCGTGGAAAGAAATGTGGGGCCGGCGTTGGGTGGTATTTCCAAAGACGTTATGATTAACAAGATCATATTGATTCCTTGTCCCGTGCTCGCGAACTATTTAAGTCAAATCATGAATTCTCATCCTCTGTTCTTCACGATCATGTCGAATAATCATGAGCTCAACTACACTGCTACCACCACCAGTCTCCATGCCAGCAGTGAGCACAGCAAGTGGCCACGTACCTTCGTCCGCAAGTCGTAACGGCGGAAAAGAGGAGTTGCCTCAACAGTCGAGTGCGCAGTCAGATGTATCCCAGCAAGCACCGCAGAGAGGATCCGAACCGAGATCATCGGCTGGAAAAAGCAAGAAGATTATGCTCAAATTGAAATCGTTTTACAAGCTCGTAAAAATAATAAAGCGGATATTTATAAAATCAAGGAAAATTGTGAAGAAACCGGCAGCGGTTAATTGATGAAAACGTGGTCAGCAAACCCAAACCCAGCTGCATAACCCAACAGTGCTCTAACCCAGCTGCATAACCCAAACCCAGCTGCATAACCTGTGGTCAGCAAACCCAAACCCAGCTGCATAACCCAACGAAAGCCCAACTGCACTACTCTAACGAACGCAGCAAGAAGAAGAAGAACAAGGTGGAGTCGAATATGCTTTTTCCGGGAACTGATGAGAGCAATTTTTTCCCAACTGAAGTTTTCGACACATTTCCGACAGCAGACGGAGCTTCATTCGACGCTTTTCCGACTACGGTAAGTGTACTTGTTGTATTTCTTGTTGTGACTACTTGTGAAGGAGATATTTTTTTATTACAAGTTAGTACATCTACATGTTTTTGTTTCTACTTGCTGATATTTGTATTTGATTTCGTCGTAGTAGTACAGCTACAGGTCCATGTTCCTTATAAATTCAGGTTCCCGCTGCGGTAGTTGAGGAACCAGTTGCCTCTCAGCCTGTACCTGAGGTCGCAAAAAGTGCGCCACCAGCAGTGCCGACGCAAAGGTACTGCTTTGATGTAGCCATTTCGGACTGAAGAGCGGAAATTTAGGATAGAAGTTGCAACCCCTACCAGAATCTCTTTATTTTGCATTTTCAAATCACTCAACCTCACCTAACTCACAGCGCCGTTATGGAAACAAGTTCATCATCGGTACCCGCTAGTGCTTCAGCTCCGCCAGCACCGGCGGCAGCGGCGCCGGCAGTTATCCCCGCACCAGCTGTAATTCCTGCGGTGATTCCCGCTCCGGTTCTTGTAGCGGCTTCACTAAGCGTTCCCGCAACAGCCATAGCACCTCCCTCAACTGGAGCAGTGCCTTTAGCCGCCAGTGCACCGGTCTACAGTACAACTAATATGCAGCAAGAGCAACAGGAACATCAGCAAGTGTACAACGTGCCTCCAGTCGCACCAGCGGTTGCTTTAGGATTACCCAGTGCACTGACGCAGCCAGGCGCAGCACCTCAACCGAAGAAACAATGTGTCAAACATTGCGTCTTGCGGTTGGCGAATTTGCGACTCAGCGACATCCAGGAAACCATAGGAACGGAAGTCTTTGCTCAACTCTTTCGACAAAACGTGGCGCAAGCTTGTGGTGTCAGTATGAACAGGATAGCGCTCAAGAGCATGAGGAGTGCTCAGGTGTGACCAATTTGACGAGGATGGAAATGGATCATTTTTTCACTTTCACATGTAGTCGAACCGCACCTTACGCCTTTGTTGAACAATTATGCTGTTGGCACTCATTTGCATGCGAAATCGCATTAATGTCGTGGTTGTTCCACGCATAATTTACAGGTCGTTATTAAGGCTACCGCTGAAGCATCCTCAACATTATCCTTGGCTCTTTTTCTACTTGAAAAGGAAGCCAAGGATGCTCTCAGGGATGCGACCGCGGTAGCTCTAACGTTACGCTAGAATAAAAGTAGATCATCCGAAGCAACGCTTCACTTTTTCTTGCTGTATCTGATGTCGTTACGCTAGAATAAAAGTAGATCATCTACTGAAGCAACGCTTCACTTTTTCTTGCTGTATCTGATGAGATGTTCAGTTTTCCATAGTGAAAAGTTCCACGACATGGATCTTCAGGAATCAAGAAGGAACACGACAGCTCATGATCAATCGCATGGAAAATTCAGATCAATATGAAGATCCACCTCCTATGATTTGGAATAAGATAAAGAAAGCGTCTATGATCTAATTATCACGGCCAGGCTCCTTCATCTTCTGTTTTCCTCCCTCTCCCTGGAGGACAATTTTTTTTTTGAATTTTTTTACTGGCGAGTGCTTGCAAGAACTTACTGACTCGTTCCCCTACAACTTCTAGTTTTCCCATGGCATGAATATCAAGTTCGTCCAGAAGGAAGCTATTATCAATCAAATTGAGTTGTTTCATCGACTTTTTCGTCAAAATGGCTCCTCCCAAACTTACATCCGAGCTCGTCTGCTCGGTAAAGCATCGCGCGACCTCGTCCTCGAGCGACGGGCCACGCGTTCGAGCACTGTGGGTGGAAACTGAAGACCAATTGGAATACGCATTGAGGCAGTTGGGTGGACGAAATGACGACACCGCTTGTCCCATCTTCATGGATTGTGAGTGGCAACCGGGACACCATTTGGCACAGGTGTTGTCCCTGACGAGAGGGGAAGATGTTGGGAGAAGTGCGACGAGTTCCTCTTATGCGACTGAAGAGAGAAGCAGGGTGATGGAGATGCCTGACATTCGATTAGCGATGGGCGGCTGTAAAGATGACCATGAGCAACGAAAACACGACAATGTTGACGAGCACGAGGTTTTCCTGATCGACGTCCCTCAGTTTCAGAAATCCCAGAACTTGATGGACTTCCTGCAATGGCTTTTGAACTCGAAACGGCTCTTCTGTTTCGCTCCAGCGAATGATGTCGCAAAATTGAGTCTCTCTTTCGACTGGCGACCACAGCCTAAGAATTTGCCGTACTATGTGCACGATATGCAAAGGGTAAACCAGCAAGTTGTGGAACAGTCATCTTCTACATCTGCATCAGCGACAGCAAGCGCAGTCACAGCAACCCAGCGTTCAATACAGCAACAAAGCAGGCTTTTGCCTTCTTTGCAGACTAGAGTACGACAGGTTTTAGGACTCGAAATGTCGAAGGAAGAACAGTGTAGCGACTGGAAGGATCGGCCTTTATCGCAAGCCCAAGTAAAGTATGCAGCTCTGGACGTGTATTTGTTGTGGGAATTGCATAAGGCAACGATCCCTCAGCAGGAGATGCTGGAATGCAGTGGTTGCAACACGACTAACATGTTGGACAAGGCAGCACCTCCATATTTCATTTGCAAGGGAGAATCTTCAACGTTTGGACCTTTGACTTTGCCGCAAGGATACCAGGGAGTGCTTCTGACCGACGAGGCACAAGATGGCACGAGCGACACGTCCTTCCCGAACAAGAGAATCGCCCCTCTTAGTGCCTACAAAACTCTAGCCTGCGTCGAGCGGCGAAATAACTCGAGAAAATTTCTCTGCATGTTGCCTGAGCAATGCCGCTTAGACACGAACCGTTGGGGATTGACGCTGGTCTCCAATGTAATCCGTCAGTTTCATCAGCAAATCGGATATGTTGGACCATTGTCGCCACTAGGACAGAGACAAGAAAACGGCAATGAGTCTGAACAGCTCCATGTTCTAATGGACCAATCTCTTGCGAACGCTTGGGACGCATTTACAGTGCCCATAGGGCATGGAGGCAGCACTGTGATTGTGGATAAGGAGAAGTTTTTGGCTATGAGGGATGTTTTTGGTGACTTTTGTGGTGAAGTAGAGATCGAGCAATTGACACCAGATCACTCGAAGAAGCCGCGTTTACTAGCTGCAGCCACACCCGCAACCTCATTATCTTCGACCTCGACGGCTTGCTCTAGTCCTCGAAGTAGTGCAGACGTCTCTTCTACATCTACAAGTGTGGGACTCCTGAAATTTCTTGGCGCGACCATCCTCGACTTACTTGCTGACGAGCAGAAAAAGAAGGCACCGAAAAAGTTCTCTCTACATGACGCTATCATGAAGAGAAGGAATCGTCAAGCCTCAATTATGGAGCCCTTAGTCTTGGAAATCGGTGCTGGAGATGACGACGATGAAGCCATGGATGAAGAAGATGAGGTAGACGACGAAAGCGACATTGACCTTGTTGATGATGGGCAACATCAAACAAAAAAACGTAAACAGCAAGGCAATGACCCATACGGCTGCATACGGATCCATAATGGTGGAACTACAGGCACAGCCGATCGTGCTTTCTGGTATCCTCGTTACAAGACCTACGATGAATACGAAGCTGCCGTCAGGCAATTACCAGCTTCTCTTCAGAATAAGATTTCTCAGATGGCGCCAGAAAAACGAGTCCGCTATATCGATTTTTCAAAACGTTTCACCGCAAAAACGCAAGTCTATGGGAATTTCTCCTTGCTCAGTTCTCAGGGTGAGCTGTTAGCTAAGTGCGACAAGAAGAAGATTCAATGGTACTTGCGCAAGGGTTTGGCGGAACCTGTGGAAGGGGATGACAGTGCGATCAAATTGAAGTTTGATCCTGAGGGTCGAAAGCATTATGGCGAGATGGCCCCCGAGGATCTGGCAAAGCAGAAAAAAGCTGACGCCTTTTATGTCCGGGAAAAAGAAAACATTTGTGTCAGTTGTGGCGCAACAAAGAATTATTTGCGGTTTCATATTGTGCCGACCATCTACCGCAAACATTTTCCAGAGGAATTCAAAGCGCACAGTAGTCACGACGTTTTGCTGCTGTGTGTAGCGTGTCAGGAACGAGCACAACAGGGTCAGTACAGGTTGATGGCGAGGTTGGAGGACGATCTGTTGAAGATGGAACAGAGGGCTGAGGAAGCACAGCAGGTAGCGGCTGAAGTGAGAAGAGTAGAGAACAAGGAGCTTCAAGTACTAGGTAATGGTGGTGGTTTTGTGACGGAAGCAGCTTCCGTTGTAGGTACAAGTCGAAGTCAAATCTCGGTGGAGCAGGATGTTCTTGAAAGAGATGCAGATGAAGTTCTTGCGGAAGACGAGAAGACAGACAAAAGTGCGTCTACATCCAGCAACAGCCAAGAACAAACACAACAGTCCGTTGTGACCAAAGACCGTGCTCGCGTTGCTGCACTTGCGATTTGGAATGACGTGGGGAAACAACAGATTCCAGATGACCGTCATGACGAGTTGAAACAGCGTATTTGTGATCATTTCTCTAGTAAGATGGACAATCGCCGCCCTTCTGCAGAGCGTAGTGGAGAAGCAGAGCTTTTTGGCGCACTGGATAAGATGGTAGGGGTGGATGAGGAAATTGATGAGACGAAGAAGGAACAATCAACAGTTGCTACGCCGCCTACAACACCAGCAGATAGAAAAGCCGCTGAAACAGAACGTCGTGACAAACTAGAACAGATTCGCAGTTCATTACCGACAAAAACACCATTCAGAAGCCGGATCTTACCTCCCAGGGATTCTAGACGCCGCTTTGCTGCGCCTGTGAAGATGCGTGAAGGGATTGAGCGCATCTGTAGACGGGAACCCGAGTTACCCTTAGCTTTGCTGGAACGATTGTTGGATGACCATGTCCATAACAAGAAACGAATCGCAGCAGCAAATGCGGGAGTTGTCTTTGTCAAATTACCGCTGACTGGGAAGAAAGACGATCCGAGTTGTGCTCATGGTAATGGAGATAGTACAGCAAATCTAGGTGAAAATGATGACCGCTTTGGCAGCAATCCTAGAAAAAACGTCACTACGCAAAAACTAGTCTGTCGGCAAGCGGGGCAGCGTATGGTCACGCATTGGCTTCAACAAAACAAACTAGCTGACTTCATTCGAATGTGGCGTCAGAATTTCTTAGACACTGAAAGTCCGAAGTTTCTGCCAGCCGGTTGGGATGTCCAATCCAAATGTACACGAGCTTTTGGGAAGCACTCAAGGTTTCAGCGTTGCACACGCAATGCACCTGATCCGGCTAGCAGTTTGGAGAAAGGCGTCTTCCAAGTCTGGGATAGAGGGTACAATGTGGAAGTCAAGGTCGCTTCTTCTAGCACGACAAGGGGTCGTGTAGAAGCAGATTCCGATGCGACTTCTACTCCAAAGGCTACTCCAACTCTGGTGCAGCGCATGCGATTACCAGTATTGCCTTATTTTCATATAATCAAGGACGAGGAATTGACCACAGCCTCATCGCCATCCTTCGAGATCAGAGACGTAGTGGCAACGAGTTCACAAGCACGGGAACAAAGACGACATGGCAAAAAGGCAGTTGAACCAGTATCCATGATACCTACAGCTCCGCCTACTATCGGCGACACGATGAACCCGACCACCTCAACAACGGGCGAATTATCCGCAGAAGAACCCACCTATACCGGCTCCGAAACCACTCGTACACTAGCAACACAGCTTTTTCATCTGCCGTTTGTGGTTGCACAGATAGCAGTGGGTGATCTGCATCGATGGATTTTGGCTACGCATCCAAATGAAGTGGAAGAGAAAGTGGATGAAGGAGAAGATGAAGAAGCAGCAGAGGCAAAAACCGAGAAGCAGAAGTTGAAGTCTGTTGAAGAAAATAACTCCAACAACATGTCCAACGATGAAGCAGTACAGAGTATCGAAAACCAAAATCCAGCCCAAGACGACGAACAAGCTAAGGTCCAGGCTTTGACACCTCAGCAGTTCTTCGCAACGTCAGACCCAAACGATCGTCCACTAGTCAGAAAACCTTTCACCGCTGTGATTTTTCTGCCTTTTTTCGACTCCGAGGCCTCGCAAAGATTGGGTATTGATTTTCGAGTCTGGCTGCGATTCCACTTAGGCGACGACGACGATGTTGCCGTCAATCGAAACAGTGGTAGCCCTGCTCGGAAACTCAGCTTCTTCTTGCGTGCAGAGAAACTTCATGAATCTACGTCTACATCTACGTCTACATCTACGCTTGATGGCAGTAATAGAGAATTTGTTTTTTCGATCAAAATGACTGCTTCCACAGTCGACACCCTAGTCCATCAAACCGAAGAGCGCATAGCCTCTACGAAGATTCCTCAAAAATCCGGCGAGGTGTGGGCTTACGCATTGCGATGCGCTTCAAACGACCACGGTAGTGATCTTCGAAGTGAACAAAACGATGACGCGTTGTTGCAGGAGGAACAAGAGATAGATTCGCCATTGGATCTGATAGAAGACGAGGAGCTATCTGGGTCTGCTGAGGCAGCTGCAACTGTCGAGCAATCATACGGAAAGAAAAGACTATCCTCCAATATGTCAGCAGAAGCACTTTACGTGATCTACTCTGCTGACAGTCCCGCAAAGGAGAAACAGCTACGTGCCATTACATCCGAAGCGCGTGAATTAAACGCTTTGAGATCGACGTTGCTTCAATCTGGGAGTCTTGCGTCGGTGGGACCTTGTTGCTCGTTAACGTCCTGCGACTGCCGGAAGACGGCGCATACAGCTGTACACAGAGGACCGATATTATTGAACGAAGAGGAAGATGAAGGGAGCTATAGTTCGTCGGCGAAGTAAAAGTGGCCATGTGCTGCTACCTGTGAGTGCTCTGCTGCATGGAATGTCAGCGTCTCAAAATCTAACCAGCATCCATGATTGGTATAATTTCTGTCGTGGTCCCAACCTCGTTGTAAGTGTGTAACCGATACTAAGCCAGCGCCACTTATGATAATGTTCAGGGCTCGTCTATTATGCATATGCTTTCTGCAGTGACGATTAATTTTTTGCGGGTGTGTGGGCGGTGTTCGTGGTGTCCTCTGAGGAAGTCGGATATTGCTGAGAGAGTGAGGTGCTCAAATGATCGGTTTGGTTGTACTTATAATGACAAGGAATCTACTTACGCGATTACTGCTGTTTCCACCTAGAACACGATGTCGGCTCTGATCGGTTTTAACCATCGTGCAACTGCAACTAACGCAGATTCTGCCTGTGCATCGTCTCGACAAATTTCTTGGTTCGGTATAATCGGAGCTCAGCAGTAATGCATTGCCTGCGAGTGATGTCGGAACAGATTTCGGTGATTCGTTCCTTTGTCTAGTCCTCACAAGCCCCTTGATATGCCCGTCGAAGAAATGAGCACCTTAGGAGCTTGTTGATAACAGAAGACGTTTCTCTAGTCCTATTTTTCAAGAACAATCCTTATCCTTCCTATTTTTCAGGAATAAAACGACCTCGTCCTTGACTTGTTGTTATTCTCCTGAAGAGCGGCTGCGAAAAATTTATGCCAGAATCTCTTAAAAACATGTTCGCTCATCGGTCGATAAGCGGGGCTTCGCTCCAAGACCGAAGGCACATCGAGGAGTCGGTCCTCTCTGAGATGCTGAAGGGCTACGAAGGTGAAAACGAGTCGGCATCTCCGTCATTATGATTTTTTTCTTGTGGTGGTAGTTTATGTAAATTTTGATTTTGTTTTTCTCAAGGGCTAGGGCGAAATGATTTGATAATCCGTTGCTATACACGATCATACATATGAAATAACTTGGCCAACGTCGCTTGCGAACTTCTCTGTTGCAAGGAGCTACTTAGTCATTTTTGCAAAAGACATTGCCTTATTTTTATTAAAAACTCATAAGCCTTTAGCTTTTGCCTTTCCCTTTTTGACTGGCTCCGGTATTTTTGGTATAGCCTGAATTTGATCATAAGAGAAAACAAGAAGAGAACCCTTATGATCAAATTCAGGTTACCAAACACCAGAACCATACACTTTTCCTTCGTCCGACCATCGTCTAACCTCCTCTCTGCGAAAGAACCATCACCAGCTCTATCTGGAATCGCTGTCCACGATGTCGGTGAATAGCAAGAAGAGGAAACGAAACCGAAGAAGGCCACCAGGTGTCAGCGCGTTCGCACGCGACCGAGAAGAGAGATTCCAGGAAAAGAGCAGACATGTAGATGAAGAATTGGACATTCTAGATCTCTCAGCTGTCAATTGTGCTAGCGCAAAACATCGATATCCAGCAAGTATACCACCACTAGCTGCCAAGATAACGAGGAAGCGGACAATGGGGACGGCGGTAAGTTGAATATCTAAGTATTTATTTTTATTCGCTTTTTGTTCCATGATCTAGAGGAACAATTATGAGAACAAGATTATAATTTTTTCGCTAGTGGTGCTTCCACCTAGGGAAATACCACTACATTCGATGCTGGTAACTGTAACAATGTGGTAAGCTTCTAGTTCCACCTCCACGGCATCACATGATTGCCCTTCCTCGTCTGTTCCCTCAACATGCTCATCAATCCCTCTTGTTCCCCATCAAACCATCCAGGGCCACATTCCTCCTCCGGGCACTTATTCGCTTCCTGACTTGTGGACGGAGCCAAAAGCGAAGAAGTTTACCAGTAGGTTTGACCGACAAGTGAATATGATGGCTCAGCAAGTGGAGGCATCAGCGGAAAGAGCGGGTGAGTGGTATGCAATATATCCCAGTGATGGTCGGTTTAGATTGCCCTTGTCGGATGCAGAAAAAGCCGCTTTGGCTAGGATTCGAAAGATGCTGAAAGAAAAGAAAGCGAAACTGGAGGAAGAGGTACTACAACAGATTTTTGGGCGGGGGTCATCCCTTTTTTCTACGCACTTTCTGTATCTTCTGAGACTTCATCTTTTGTTGTTGATCTTGTTCATCTTGATTATGACTTTATACTCCTTTACATAGCAAATCTCATCAATGTCAATCAAAACACTCCCGATCACCATCACCATCACTACCAGGGCCTTTCCCCATCGAAGCAGCGTTATCGTAATCAGCATCGTCGTGCCATTGTCTTAGACGGTACGAACGACGCCCTCGAAGGTGGCCGCGATAATCTGCTCATTCACGCTCTGATCCGAAGTGAGAACGCAGACCGGTTTGCCTCAAAGGAAGGACCCGTCTTGTTCGAGAAACCGGTAGAGGCTGAAAGCGAAATGGAACCAGATCCTGAATTTGAGAAGATGTTTGCAGCGAAGACCAAGCCGGATCCGATACACATCACTGTGGCGATGGATGGAGGGGAAGTGAAGGATTTGATGTAGGCGCAGGGGGAAGTCTCCTTAAGAACTTCCATTAGCTATAAGGCAATTCGAGACAGTGTTGTTTGTCTTTGTTCACAACTCTTGTTCGACATGAAATCATCGACAAGACCGCTGTTGTTTGACTTGACATTACCAAACCTTTTTATCAGGTTTTTTCGATACAAGATCAGCGATACGATTAGTACACTGAAGAAATCAAACAATCGTCAATCTCCAAAAACACGATGATGAATCTTTACTAGTAGAACTTTTTTTCGAAAGGCAGCGGCAGGAAGAACGCGAAGGAACAAAACGGATTCCACTTACAATAGTTCAAACGAACCCACCTTTTTTTCTTTCGAATCTATCATTGATCAAGCTGATCGTGATAGTGAAACTCCTGCAGTCCTTTTTACAAATACAAGAAAGACAAGAACTCTATCGTGAGAAAAATTCTGGTTATCTAGAAAACGCAGTCAGCGCGAATACTATGAGTGTTTTGTTCAAAAATATTCTAGCCAAGATCAAATGCACGGATGTTGCAGGAGTAGCTGTTATACGAAAGTTCACCAAGAGAAATGCACATGAAGATCCACAGTCACAAGATCCGAAAAATGCAAGAACAGACGATACGGATACTCCCACACTGAAAATGAAGCAGGAAAGAACAACTCTCAGAACAATTAGTAGATCCATCGACGAAGAGCATAGCGAGAAGGCGCAGGTTCATCATCAGACAATTATAATAATCATCATCTGAACATAAATAAAAACGTCAAATGTATGAAACCCAAAAACTTTGTAGCAGGGGGTGTTGCAACGGGTTAGGGCAGTTGTTGCAAATTGTTTTGTGGGATTTCTGCGCAATTTCTTCTACTTAATCCGGTTAGTGAGTTCACAACAAATTGATCATTTTCAACAAAGTGTGAATTCATTTGTCATTGTTTTGATTGCATTTGTATTTCTTTGTTTTGTTTTGATTGTTTACGAATGTTTTTTTTCTCCCCGCAAATTTGAGTGGTATTGAAGATCCAATTGTTTTTATCTACAACTGTGTCCATCTAAGAACCTTGGCAATCATGTACTGCACCAGTTTCGTATTATGATCTAAGTATTGAAATGTATTTTCTACTAAAGTAAATGGTAGTCGATGATGACGATGGCGTCTCTTGGTTTTAGTGCTTGCTCTTTAGTTGTGCCGCAACAGATACAGATCGCTGTAGTTGTGTCGTCTCAGCAGACTGCTGAATCGACGCTTGCAGTGAGTTCCTTGCTCGACTCCTCTCGGGTCAACAAGGGTTCTTCTGCCAACCGCTGCTGAATAACTGCCAAGGACAAGGACGCGCAAGAAGACCCAGGAATATTTGAAGTAGAAAAAGACGACCACGACTTCAACACTTATTTTTTTCAAAAATTTGAGGATCTACCACGCGATCACGGTCTGCTGCAACGACCCCTGCGACGACTGCGACACGACGACCAACAACACGCTTTTTTTTTCGTCGAACGATAGAAGACAATTTTTTAAATTTATTTCGCAACGTGAAACAACTGAACGATCGATCGAGCATCGTTAAAAAGAACGAGCTTTTATTTTAACCCTCCCAGACATCGACATCACAATGGCGCCAGTTCAAGAAGCGTCGCCTGCGCGCTCCGCCAGAGCTTCTCCACGAAGCTCTCGCTCGACAGGCCTCTACGATGATGACTACATCGAAAAAGTCCACACCAACTACATGTTGGATAACAATTACCAGTACGGTGGAGAACGACAAGAAGGTGAAGACTATCACTATGATGAAGATGAAGATGGTGAACAAGTCTATGGTGGAGGTCATAAGTCAGGATTGAGACAACGATCTTCGAGAACGCTCAGATCGAGGATCTCGCAAAGAGCCTCGGTCTATTCGGGTGCGGATGAAATAGGTAACTACACTTATACAGGAGCAGCTAATTCTTGTTTGACCTAGTGCCTTAGTACATTTTTTGTTGAATCGAGATAAAGTTGAACCGGTACCGCGTTAAGGCTCATACCGAAACGAACCTTCATCAACCATTTTTTTTACCCAGCTTCAATCTCCAAAACCCCCACTGCAGTTCTCGAAGAAGTGATCGACGAAACGTCATCTGGTAGGGAAGAGAAGAAGGAGAAATTCGACATATCAGAGATCCCAGCTTCTTGTGGATTCCTCATTCCACTAGTGATTGTCTTTTTCACGCTGTATGTGCTCCAAACGTTTGCCTTCAGCATGATGAAATCCAACGGTCTGCCATGGATCGGCGAGGCAGGAGCGAAAGAAGAGAACTTGGAAGACAAGTACGACAGGCTTTTTTACGACTCTCATTCTAGTGATACAAAACGACCCAAAATCCGAATCCTAATTTTCCACAATATCTCCATAACATCATTGTATTTCTTGCTGCCTCGCTATCATCACGACCTTGTTCATCTTTAGACGTAAACAATTCGCTTCCCTCCTTCCAACAGGTACAAAGCTCCGCCAAAACAAATGTGGGCATTGACACAAGACATTCCTGGCTACCTCGCGATGTGCTTCGTCATCTTTCTGCCATGTACTACTACTTTTTGATTTTCTTCCTATAAGTAACAACTGTTAAGTAGTCTGAGTCTTCATTTTCTTAGTAAAAATCTCAAACTTGCAGTAAACTCCCTCTCCATGATCAAACAACCTTAATTTTTTAACCAAAACATCAATTATTTTTACAGGTAAGAAGACGATATGGGACCTCACTAAAGGACAAGTGTTTCGCGCCATGATCATTGCTCCCGCTGATCTCTGTTCGCAAGTTCTGGCGAAAAACGGTCTTGCTCTCACTTCTCCAGCCATGTATACCATCTTCAGTTCCGGTGGCTCCATCCTTTTCACCGCTCTCGCTGCACGGTTTATCGTAGGGAAGAAGTTTAACATCTTCATGTGGTTGGGACTGACGGTGATGATTTCAGGCGTAGCGACGTATGGGATGAGCAAACAAGGATCGAACGCAAATATCGCAAATTTGGTGCTGGGAACGATTCTAATCCTCATCGGCAGCGTCGCAGATGGCGTAACGTTTGTCTTGATCGAGAAATTTTCAAATGACGGACGTGAAGAAATCCCCGGCCCTTTGCTTACGGCAATCATGGGAGGAACCAACCTTCTACTACTTCTCATTTGGCAGTGTGTGTACGTCTTCCCGCAATGGGATGCGATGTTTTCGGAGCCGTTGCACTACTTGCAACTAAAAAGTGTGGCTACCCGGTATCACGACTACTTGGAAGAGGCAATAGCGAACGCTTCCTATCTGCCGACACAAAGAGCACAACTGACGTCCTTCAAAACAGCCCTAGAGGCTCCGGGAGTAGTATTGCGAATGGGAGAGTCCAGAACAACAGCGAAGCCTCTAGGTGATGTGCTCAGCAACGTGAATGCTGCAGCTGCAGGACTAGTGAATTCGAACGGTGGAAATCAAAATGGAACAGCCGCCCCTTCACCTGCTCAGGGTGCAGCTGCTTCTGTCGTGGCTGGCGCACAGAGTTCTTTGCTGGGTCCAAACGGAGATCTTCTTTCTCCCACTGGCGAGCCGCTGAATTTCGGCCCTCACTTTGGTCTAGCGCAGAATATCCTCGTTGGTTTCATGTTCCTCTTTGTTGCGGGCATCATTGTGCGTGCGTCCACCATGTACATGCTAAAACAAGTTGGCGCAGTCACGTTCGTGGTGATCAAACTGATGAAGATTGGAGTCATGTACTTGCTTTCTTCGCCAGCGATGGGATGGGTCAATTGGTCTTGGTGGCCTAAGATAGAAGCGTTCAATTGGACCAGCTTCTCTGGTGCGATGCTAGTGACTGTGGGCGTTGGCTTGTACTCAGCGGCCAAAATCAAACAGAAGAAAGAAGACCACATCAAGGATGAAGAGGTGGAAGAAGATCAATTCTTGGAAGGCGGAGATGTAGAAGATCAATGGAAGATGGAAGAGGGACAAGGTCGTGGACCAGAGGATGTTGTAATTAAGGAAGGTATAACTTCCATTGCAGGACGAGAAGGTATTGCAGATGCTGAAGAGATGAAACGTCAACGACAAAGAGAAAGAGAACAAATGAATGTCAAAGTCGACATAGGAGGTCATGGTCGTGGTCATCAACTTGTTCCTAGCAATAGCAGGTCGTCCTTCACATCTTCACCCTCTCTACCGACTGGCTTGAATACAGCTACGAATCATAGAAATGGCGACAACATCGTACAAGTGGAAGCCGACTCTGATTCAGACCTAGAAGAAAGAGCATTGCTCTTTGAGGACGATCCTAGAGGTGACCCTCTTACGCAGGTTGTGCAAGGAAAGCCGACATCGTGGCCGAGAACTGGTGCTTCATCACTCAGAAAGGGAAATAGCAACAAGAGTTTGGCTAGCATGAAAAAACAGCCACATCAGGGCTCTAGCACGATTTCACTCCTTGATATTCCAACCAGCACGAGTGGTGGCGTTCCAAATACGTCGGCTAAGAAACAGCAACAACAAGAAACCAGTAACCCTCTCGATTTCATCGATCAAGCTACAGCGAGTAGACGGAGTTCTTGCATCGCTGTGCTGCCACCAGATCAACTACAGAACAGCACTAAGGTCGTCCAACAGGCAGTGCCCAATAATGTTGACGTAAATTCCAAACTCCAACATGAAATGTCCAATGACGTATGCACTATGACGCCTACTCCTACGACGACCGCGTCCTCGCCCCAGGACTCGCCAGCCTCTAGTCTGCCTGTCGCAGAAGCTACAGATTTGTGCCTCAGAAACTTTGACGGCGGAGGACCTGCTGGTGGTTTTCCGACTTCTGCTGGTGGCTTCCCGACTGCTGACGGTGGGGAAAACTGATTTTTTGATGATCATTTGAATACAACTTCTTCCGCGATCTTCTTTTTCTTCTGATTGCATGCTGTGCGTGGTTTACTGTACGGCACATATCATATGGGCAAACTACGTGTCTGCATTGTGCAGTTTCTGGTAAATCCAATTTACGAATATCATTCCGTCAAAAATGCGCCGAGTCAAAGCCACTCGACCATATTAGCTGGAACGACAAAGAGGATCTGCGCCTGCGGCATTTTTAATATTGCTCATTACAAAATCTAAATCAAAATTTATAACTACTTATTTATTTCAGAGTAGAGCTGATGTCATCTCGACTACGTTTTTCGTCTCGTAATTGGGGTGACATTGGCTCCCCCGATCTAATTTATTATTCATCATGTTTTCAGAAGGATTGTCTTCCTCTGCTCCAAACAAAGTCAACCCCATATACCGGGTCTGGCTTATTTAGATTTGGATAAGAGGAGTAGGAGGAGATAGGAAGGAGGTGTGGGATACAGATGGTAAGAATGGTTTACAGTGGTTGGTGTAATTTATCTTAGTTAGTAATGTTAGTTTGAAAATGTTGTTGTCAAGATGAAGGAACAACTCTGATTATCGTATCCCGACGCGGGGATGCTGAGCAGGCGTTCTTTTCAACCATAAATGATGTTAATGTTCTAATTTGTCGTCCCCTTAGCGTGTCGTCGCTAATGGATCGAATAGCCCATGCTTACACTACGAGGGGATGAATATGATTACTTTGATTGTCTATTATCGATTAGTTGCACCACTAACTGTCATGACCACCAAGGAGTTGTTATGTCCCCGCTAGCACAAAGTATCGTTGATTTTTTATATTTTTTCTAGAATATTAAAGTTTTTACCACTTTTAGATCATGCCTTCTTTTTCAGAATAGGTTGAAGGCGCTATTGTTAGTCCCGATTTTTTTATGAACCACGTCAACCTCCACACAAATTATCCCTTTCTTCCTTGCAAGTGAGTCTTCAAAGGACTTCGTTGGGGCACACGCGGTGGCCCTCGAAGGTGAAAACGCCTTCACCTCTTTCTCAGTGTGTTCAACAAGCAAAGAAGCATTATTTTCATCTTTCTTCGAAAGGACGTGATGAACTGAAGAGCTACATTGAGCGGAATAAGTAAGTAGCTGTGAGCGAATATGAGAACAATAAGGTCCTCCATTACAGAAGATGAACAAATCCTCCCGAAAACGTATTTTTATCAAGAATGCGATGGGTGGTTGCCCCCGACGACAAAATTATAACAAGCTTTGTAGATGCACAGGCTGGTCATCTACATAGTCTTCAAATGAAGAGTCATCACATATTCCTTCTTGTCTACATTACGACGCTTTCCATGTTTTTCTCTCTAACTCTACTGTTAAATAATGACAGTAAAAACATAATATATGATGATGTTGAAACGGCAGGGGTGACGACGTGTTCTACAAGTACTCACAAGGCCAGAGCAATGTTGGCGTGAATGTCTTCTTCTGGTGCGGACATTTGAAGCTGGAGACCTGGGTGATAAATATCTGTAAGCAGACTTCAAGGTCGGCGCTTGAGTAGGTCTGACGTCGGTGGGGTGGCTTTGGAATCTGCTTCTGTCGTGGGATGAGCGGATATTGTTCTGTTTCAAAATGTGTAGATATGTTCTATACCCTATAAATGTTGGCGGGTACACTACTACTAGTACTACTAGATTACGATTAATGTTCCTCCTTACCCTTTTCCCTCCCACGAAACTTCAATTGAATTTTTTTTTGAGTTTTGTATTTCCTGAGCTGCCTCTGGAACAAACTAGATTTTTGATCTTGTTTCAATTTTTTCCGTCCTCGTGCTTGATTGTCTACTTTTGTTGATTTTATCTTCTCATTTCTCTATTTATTTTCCTCCATCTTCTTCGTGGAGCCTGTACTGTGTCAAAGAAATCACTAAGAGATTTCAGAGCCTCGTGTTGGCTGTCCTTTAACATCGCACACGCTTTGTTCGGTGGATCCTTCTTGCGCAAGATCCTCTATTTATCCCTTCTACCTCCGAATACTGTAACTGTAGAAGTAGTTGTCGACTATTTATATATAAAAATCTTTTGTTATTTTGTTTCCTAGTGAGGTCGTGTGCTCCACCGATAATATACTTAAAAAGATATAATTATTAACTCATCGTGGTTCAGAATGACGGCTGAAGTGGAAGGTTCAGTCGTCGTCACGGAGCCTGGAGGCCCTGCTGCAAAAGCAGAAGAAGCAACAGGAGTGGAACCAGGAGGTTCCGGTGCTCCCTCAACGCTGGGACAAAAGGTGATGGACTTCGTCATCGAAAACCAAGCGCAATGGCTGTCTGGTATCACAGTAGCCCTAGCGATGATACCAGAAGCCGTAGCATTCTCCTTCGTGGCGAAGGTGGAGCCGCCAGTAGCACTCACAGCAGCATGGATTATGTGCTTTTTGACTGCGACAGGGGGTGGAAGACCTGGTAAGATGAGGTTTGATGATTCGGTTTTTACTTTTTGTTTTGAACATACAATCAGAATCGATCAAAAATGACAGTTGCGAGGACGGTCGTTCTCGTTTTTACGATCATCGAACGACCTGGATAAATACAATCGCCCTACTAGTTCTATTAGCTAGCCTACATCTACAACCCATTTGTTATTGTTTACAGGTATGTTTTCCGGTACAACCCAATACCAGGTATGATTTCCGGTGCCACAGGTTCGATGGCTGTTATCATGACAACCATCGTCGTGGACCATGGCATAGCCTATCTCTTCTACGCCGTCATGCTCTGTGGAATCTTCCAGATAGTACTGGGCTTTTGCGGCATTCACAAAGCCTTGAGTCTGGTAACGTTTCCAGTGAAGGTGGGGTTTTTGATTATGAAGACGGGAACTAGTACTAAAGACAAAACTCTTATTGTTCTGAAATTTAGCTGACACTGATGTTCATTTAAGGTTCTTCAGCGGCAGGGAGTGTATCCTCAAGCAATGCAACAATTTTTCGTAAATAATTTCGAATCATGGATCCAACCAAGCTTTCTCGTCTAACATGAATGGCCTCGCTCTCGTGATCGGAAAATCGCAGCTAGAAAGCTTTATGATCCCACCTGGGGATATCACCACGAAAACCGAACACTTCGACGTGATAGACTTTACCCTAGCGACCAGCAACTACGTCAAGGCTGGCAAATTTCTGGTCATGCTTGTCCTCACCGCCATTGCCTTGGGCATCAACTTCTTGCCAGAGCGATTCCAGAAATACCCATTAGCTCTGATCTCCATCATAGTAGTGACGATCATCGAGCATGCGATCGTGAGGCCTCTCAACATCGTGGATGGCGGAACTACGCTTATCGATGATATTGCCAGTCTCAAGGGGAACTTTTTGGAGATTGTGTTCTCCAAATACGATATGCCGAGTCCGTTTGAAGACGGTGCAGCATTGGTTAGCGTTATTCTCACAGCGATCTATCTCTGCGTTATTGGTTTGACCGAGTCTCTGATGACCTTGCAGAAGATAGACGAAATGCTCCCAGAGTCAGAGCCAGGTGATGCAAAGAGGGAAGTTTTGGCACAAGGGTATTCGTCTTGGGATATCATTGTAAGTAGTTGCGCTGAGTAATTCTAATCGCAGTTTAGCATGATATAACTAGGTCTTTTTCTTGCATTAACACGTATCATCTCAATTCTACCCACTATCAATCCCCACAGCGGCTCCAACCTCATCTGCGGCTTCTTCGGGTCAATGGGTGGTTGTGCGATGATCGGACAGAGTATGATCAACGTCAGAAATGGGGGAGTGAAAAGATTAGCAGGCGTCACAGCAGGAGTCGGCACAATGCTCATTATGGTCGGAATCCACGGCGTGATGGGAATAGTGCCAGTTGCAAGTTTAGTGGGAGTTATGTGGTACTTGTTAGACTTAGATCTCGTTCTCGATTTTTTGTTCTTTATGGTGGAATTCTTGATGGATCTTACTATTTTGATTTGGCATTTTTGCCTACCTATGCGTTATCTTCGCGTATCTAAATCTATGCTTATTTTTATCATATCAGATAAACTGTGTTTTTCTAACCAAATACAAGAAGAAACTGAAAGTGTGTCGTGTGCGTGATGCATCACAAGAACTGCTTCTCCTTTAATCCACTTCAGGTGTGTCACCTACCATACCTGGGAAAAGCGAAGTCATATCCTGTTTTACGAAGCCTTTACCGGGAAGCCCTGGTCAGCCGTAGAAGTGGATATCATAACGACACCCACAGTGTCACCGATGATTATGGCGGGGGGACGAAGATCACAATTTTTTCGAGTAGAGTATGCAAGAGCAGGACCACACAACGTCGACATGGACATCATCATGTTGAGAGCAGATAAGATATAATAGGTGGTGATATAGATTTCTTCAGATAAAGATAATCTTTCTACAACAACAAGTAGAACAACTTTTTTGTTTTTTCTAAATCACCAACCACCCAAGTTGCTCCATTTCTACAACAACAACTTTTTGTTTTTTCTAAATCACCAACCACCCAAGTTGCTTCATTTCTACAACAACAACTTTTTGTTTTTTCTAAAACACCAACCACCCAAGTTGCTTCATTTCTACAACAACAACTTTTTGTTTTTTCTAAAACACCAACCACCCAAGTTGCTCCAGACGCCCCTTTGCCGGCTAGTGCTCTAGTAGAAGACCCGCAAGCGCTGAAGCTCTCCGCAGAAGATTCGCAAGTCCTGAAGGTGAAAAGCGTATCCCAAGAAATAGGAGTTGAAGGCGACTTGTCGCTTGCATCTGTCACTACAGCGAGTGAGAAAGCGCCTGCCTTTGAACGAGCACGGAGCAAGGAGAGTATGGGCAGTAAACACAGTGTCGCGAGTAATGCCTCAGGGTCGGGAGCAGGTTCTTTTTTGATTTATGCACATCGTTCAAGGATAGCTATTTCTAAATCCAAGTATCCATTACCTCAGTCTGGTGGTGACCTCAGGAACAAAATCTACACATATTTTTCGCAGTAGTACAACCACAACAACTACTTACAATACTTTATTAGCTCTACTTCAAATGAAAACTAACCTCGCACCAGGTGGCGTCCGAAGAAAAGCCAGCAAAACAATCTCCGAGTCAGGGCAGAAATATCACCACGGCGTGGGAGGAGATGCGAATAGTCCCAGTGTTTTGAGGACTGAAGCCATTAGCCACTTAGAGAACGCGGAAGTAGTAGTTTCGCCACCAGCCACAAGAGATAGGTATTCATATTCATATTGCCATGGTTTCGTTTTGCTTTTGGACTTTTTTTTATGTAGGGCACTCACTTCTTCATCTGGTTCTGAACTGTGTTCTTTCACCGGTGGATTTTCATCTTAGGCAAAAACGAGAATTGATGCAAGAAGATCTCCTCTCTGTTCTTTATTAGGTGGATTTTCTTAGGCAAAAACGAGAATTGATGCAAGAAGAGCTCCGCTTCCTTCTTCTATTCCTCACAATCAGATCCCGCCTCTCCGCTGAAGAACAAGCTGATGTGGAGCTTGGTGTCGCTTCTCTGTCGCGCGTTGAATGCATGATTGTCGTGGTTGTAACTCTCGGCACTTTGCTGACAAATCTTGCAATCGCCGTAGCCGTAGGCATCGTGATGTCTCAGATAGACCAGAAATATCACGGATACACGGAAGGCAAGAAAGTTGCGGGAGTAGATGTGGAAAAAGGAGATGCATATAAAATCGAATTACGCGACGATGCGGTGGAGACGGAGAAACCGGAGCAAGGAGCACAGCCTTGATAACCTGAATTCCAATTCCTGGGTTAATAAGCTTTTAACGTGTGTTGAAGTAGATGAGACCGCGACCAAGTTCAACAAATCAATCAATACGACTACTGCGATAGCGATTTTCTATGAGGAACGTCTAAGTAGAGGTGAAAACTTTTAGTGCTATATTCTAAGTTAGCATGATGAGCATGGCTATGGCATGCAACATTTTGACTTGGACTGTGTACAGGACTCTCTCTGTCGACTGTATAGTAGTGCTTTTTTGGCTTCTAAACAGAAACCTCAGTCATGTGATCATTTTAACGGAAATTGGCTATCAATGCATGTTGTACTTCCCGCGTCAGGTCGTGACACGACCAGGTGTATGTTACAGGAGGCATTGTGATTCAAATTTTGAAAGGATAATGTCATAGCGAAATTGCCCATGTTGTCTTTGTCTGCGGCATCTGTACAGGAGGTTATAGGTTCTACTACATCAACATGATCCTTATTCTCATTTCCTTATGATATCAAGAGCATGACTGCAAAATCGGCATAGAGATACAGGCAAGGAGGGAAGGGCGACGCGCAGTGTCCTTTTTTCTACATGGCGGATGTATGTTCTTGAAAGAACTACATCTACAATCAGTACACTAAAGTGAAAGTCACATTGGTTTTATAAGCATCAGCACACTAAGACTAAAGTCACGTTCGAACTATAAGAGGAACAACAAGATGTTCTTGTCCTTGTGTCAAGAACGAAAGCCACATCAACAAGTAAGATTGTCCCATGTCAAGCACTACCCGAATAGTCACGCAATCAGGACGATGTTAAATCCAAATCACACGGTCACAGCAATGGAACCGTCTTCTTATCGTGGACGACAAAGGTGTTAAAAAATGGACCGGGCGCTGCATTCCCGTGCGGATCTCTTCGGTGTATCTCAAAATGCGAGGGTGACACATGACGTTTGCACGAAGGTGAGCGATTTTTCTTCCAGGTATCCCTAATAGATCTAGATCATTATAATGAGCACGACTGATATCGGTTTATCTTTCAACTACCAGAGAGACCTGCTCAATACGGTAAACGAAGAAGTGCACCGGTTGTTATCACGGGAGTCGTAAAAGAAACAACAGGTGGAGGTCGTTTTCAGAAATAGCAGGCACAGGTAGCTGTTGAAAGAACGTGCTGTCTCGTTTGTCATGTAGTTTCAGACCACTTTGGTTCTTGTGGTCATAGAGTGATGTTGTGACTCTTTGTCTCTGCTCAAGTTCTTAGTATTCTCTCCGCTCCTCCCTCTGACAGACGAGGAAACTCGATCCATTTCAATTCTTAGGGTTTAGCAAGAAAATGTCGGGTGAGCGGTTTTCTCAGCTTGCAGCGGAGCTTTACGTTGAGGTGGAACTGCAAGCGAAGAATCTGCGTGAAAATGCTGCACAGATACGCAAAGACATGGATCGGGATAAGGCGGCGTATCAACATAAAATAAACACTTTGTTCTTACTTCTTAGGATGTGTTGAGACATCGTCCGTAGGAGCCACAACATGATGAAAAACAGTTCCCTCCTAAATCTAAATGTCACTTCTGCACCCCCAGTCATTCTAGCATTTACCCAATTTTTTTTTCCGCGCCAGAGCATTGATTTATAACTCACGAATACCATCGTCATCGACCACCGGACCAGGACCAAAGCAACATTGATTTATAACTCCTGAATTATACCATCGACCATCCTACCACGACAAACACGTGAACACTACAGAATGGACCGCGAGTTTCAAGAAAGGTTCGAGGCCCTCAGACGAGAGCAAGAGGATTTCGAACGGGAAAAGCAACAAATGCTTCAAATACCAGCAAGAGAAAATGACGTCTTAAGTATCAATGCAGGAGGCATACCCTTCATGATGAAACGGTCTCTGCTCACAGACGTTTTCCCACAGAGCTACTTGGCTAGAATGTTCTCAGGTCGATGGGAGCAAAGTATCGAGAGGGATCCCCAAGGGAATTATTTCTTAGATGTTATGGATCATCACACAATGGAATTATTTCTTTTTAGAAGATGTTATGGACCTCACACAATGGAATTATTTCTTAGATGTTATGAATGAACTACAAGGTAAAGAATTGAGGTTTTGTAGCCCAGACGAAACTAGGAAAAACAATTACTATGTATTACGTTACTTCTAAAACTTCTAGTATCAACGATCCGAAACTGAAGTTCTCCACATCTCCACGCTTCGCATTTTGGATCAGTGCACTCCATTCCGTTCACTTTCGCTACCGAAGTCAATAAGTTTTACTTGTAGTCACTCCGTCCAGAACACGTCTCCACGTTTATTCCTCCATTTCTCCCTCCCTTCATACCCTTCGATCCACAGTCTTTCGATCTGATCGTCAACTACCTACGTGACAAGCGGATGGAGACCCCAGAGAGGCCAGCCGCTGTCCCCGTAGTGCATCCCGACAAGAAGGAGTCCTTCGACAATTTGCTGAACTATCTTGGTCTTGTTGGCGAAATCCCTACAAGAGCCAGCGCACATGCAGCAATAACTGCAGGAGGAGCTTATGGCGGAGCAGGAGCTCACGGAGGTGGAGGAACAACACCATCGTCGTCATCAAATCAGTATGGATGGGGAACATCTATACGAGGACACACGACGCCAGCATTACAATACAACAGAGGGGAAGGCGGTTATGCAACGCCCACAGGAGCAAATGGAGGTGGGGGAGCAGGACAGCATCAGGTACCGATTAGCTTCTCCTTTTGTGAAGATGAAGTGCATGTATTTAAGGATCATCAGTAGCTTTCCTTTCGGGCGAAGATTATGGCCGGAGGAACAGAATGAAGAGCGCAGAATGGGGCCTTGGTATCAGTGTGGGGCACAACGTGACTGGCGCCGTCTCACAGAGACAGTGGCGCTGGGCACATTACGAATCGGCCAGCGGTCGGCAACTGCACAAGGCAAACGATGCAACTCGCTGCGCCTCGGGGCTGCGAATGCGCAGCGTTCATGAGGTGGGCAAGTTGCTGATTAGTTTCGTGCCCCATGTTGACACTGCAGGGGAGGCTCCGACGGTGCCGGTCATCACGCTCTGCCTGCCGCCGCCGAGGCCCAGGGCCGTAACCATTCGCCCAGCAAGCGACGAAGAACCGACGGGAAGCGGAACGAAGTAAGCAAGCGCGTGGGGGTATTACGATAGATCCAACGACAGCGGAAGCCACGCACTTCTGGCAAGGCGACAGCTAGAGCGGTTCGCTGTGGCAGGACGAACCGCGCGGCCCAGTGCTTGGCGCGGGCGCCGGGGCGGCACCGTGCGCGAAGCACTCGAAAATATGAAAAGGACAAGAAAGCGCCACCCAGGGGCAGGGGGTGGGGGCGCGCCGTCTGAGGTGTCGAGCAGTCAGTCGCTGAGCGGGCGCGCGGCTCCTCCCCTCGTGTTGGTGAGGACTTTTTTCTTGAGCAGCGGGGAGGCTCGGGCTGGCAATTTGAGTCGCCTTCGACGGCAGTGGTGGCGCGCGTCGGCACGGCTGTGGGCCACCCAGCGCTGGAGCTCGAGGGGCCTGCGTGGAGGTAGCTCCAGGGGCGCCGGCAGGCGAAGGGGGGAGGAAACTTGGCGCTTGTGGTGTTTGATGCTCGTCCACTTTATTTTCTTTGGGCGGATAACTGTCGGCTTCCAGTGAGAGGGTGCAGCCCCGTGAAGGGGTTTCGCATGGTCGTGCGTCAATCTTTGCCCAAAGTTAACTGGGACAGGCGCCTGGTTTTGGCCGTTGACTACCAGGGCGGGCCGTGCCTCAAGGCCTTGCCTTCGCGCCGGGCACCTTGGGGGCCGGCTGCTGTGGTGGTGCTGCCGGGCGGCCGCAATCTGGTGCGGCGGGAAGCGTTGGGGGCCTCGTTGCGGTTGCTGTGGGCGCGCGTGGTTTATGGTCGCCACCGGTCAGGAGCATAGTGGCGCGACTTCGTTGTTTAGGATTGGCCCCCTTGCCTCCAGCCGGCTCACTCACTTCGCCGCTAACTTTTAGGGTGTTTGCCCAGCTTTTTGCCTGGGATACGCTTGCTCTTGTTCTTCCTTCTTTGTTTTCCCTCTCTTCTATATCATCTTTCTGAATCGTCTCTATCAACTTTATTTACCGCTATGAATGTATAGGTTACTTGTTCCCCTTACATATTATCGCGTAGCTCTTGATGATCTTTCTGAAATAGTTCACTACGTGACATGATCATAATAATTGTTCGTGCCTTGTTTTTATCCATTCCATCCTAGCCCCAAACCAACATGATCTGGAATCTGTATCACGACAACATGCTCAAGAACATTCAGATCGTCGAGCATGGTCGCATATTAGCGCAGCGCGAAACAGTAGCGCCAGGTTCTTCGAGAGGCAATGGCAATTACAACGACGCTCTAGGAGGGAAGGTCTCAAAAACGACTACAGATCCCGGAACCGGAGAGGAGGGAGCAGGATCAAGTAGTGCAGCAGGTAGAAATTGATATTGATGTCAAGTCTGTCTGTTTCTTGTAATATCTTTGCAAGAATACAGTGAGTCAGATACAGAGGCTGTTTCTACGGTTATCATGAACGATGACAACCGGTACAACACCAACACCAGCATGCGTGATTATCTCTACCCATGATGATCATTATGCAGCAATTTCGTTCTACAACGAATCTAAACAAGAATCACCCCAAAAACACGACAGAATCAACGCAGCCTGAGAGAACAACTGGCGTTTCACCCGCAGCACCAACCACGCAGCCTGCGACAGTTAGAAAATCGGTGCCAGGTTGGTCAAAACGATACGCGCATCCGAGCGTATCTGTGGAAGAAGGTTCTTGTTCTAGGTCCTGTAGCTCTAGCATTGGTAGCAGTTCTAGTAGCATTGATTCTTTCTGTTTGTAGCTCCAGAAGAAATCTCAGTTAGAGTTGAAGGGTGGTCGGAGTACTGCAACACATACATAAGTCGGTAAAAATGATCTGAAACTTTTTCCACTTCTAATACATGACATTCGATCTTCATGTTGATCTACTACATCGCACAACAGGTGGCATATGTAAAATCCCCGCTACGAATGACCACGGAAGTGCCGCGGCAGTAAGGGCTACTAGAGGCTTCAACAAAAGCGTTCACGCCTGGCAGATAGTCGTGCAGAAAGTCTCAGACTACAGCTACGTAGGTTTCGTAGACGACACGTGGAACCATTTCCAATCGTGTATCGGAAAGAGCATGGGGAGTTGGGGTATTGTTACCACTAAAAAGTTCTGTTCATTTCAATGTTTAAGCCTTAAGCTTCTTAGCCCACCTTAAACTTTAAGGTGGCCTAAGAAGCTCAATGTTTGAGGTCCTCGTGTGAAAAAGGAAGTCTTGCCACGTGCAAGATCCACGCTCCAATCCAAAAAAAAGCATTCCACTTTCCAAAAGCAATACCTCTTTTCCGTGAAGGTCAACATCTTTAATGAATTAATACTTTTCAGGTATCGCGTCCAATGGCATCCTCTACGCTCAGCGGAATCAGACTGACAGTCCACAGGTAACCCGTTTTTACGATCAGTCAGTGTTGTTAAGGCTTCTCCTAATCCATCTCTGCTATAGACATCGCGCAACGGTATGTATGTGCAACGATGGATATTTATTTTTATAAGGGAGAAGATGCTGACACATATTGTTGCGGGATCCCTACTACAGAGATGAACTCGGGGAAGCTCTAATGTTGGAGTTTGTGGTTGATTTAGACTCCCGAGCCTGCCATGTGACCATTGACGGTGTAAAACATGAACGAGTTTTCACGGATCTTCCTAAAACCCTGTATCCCGCTGTATCGAATTGCCGCTCCCCCGCGATCTATAAGGTTACCTTCTAATAGAGATTCAAGTTCAAACCGCTTGTCTTGTTGATCTAAGTAGAAAAAATTGAATTCTAAGTCAGTTTGATGAATTTGTCCTAGAAGCTAGTCAAATTCTCGAAATGAGAACCCCTGTTGGATAAAAACAATTTTATTACTGAGAACAGGTACGAGATAGTGGTAGAATCAGACCCTCTGGCATGCTTAGTCGGATGATGTACTTTCCCATTCCGTAATGAAGACTTTTGAGTTTGACCTCAAGAAGCTCAACAAGAGGAGCAGCTCGATTTAGTACTAGACAAATGGGCCGCCAATAACGGAGGCACGCTTGAACTTGAAATGGTTCACATTAGCTGCGGGCGTGTTTCTTGCATCATTGACTGTGATGCATTGAGTTTCAGCGGATAAATATAAAAGAGAAAGGAAATAATACTCCATGAGGACGAGAAGAAGTAGACTCATCTGCTCAAATAGGAAAGCGTGCTAATATAAATATCAACTGTGAAGGAGTTTAAGAATGAGCGATGCGTGTTTCCGAGTGAGCCCGTCACTCGTAGGAGAAAAAAGTTGCGAACGCTTGATGACGGCCGAACCAAAAATTAGATTTGTTAGAATTTGTGCATACCATTACTAGAAGTAGAACTAGATGAAAGCGACTTCAAGATGCATTTTTGTACACACCTGAAGAAGAGCGCGAAATATAAAATATAGACAACATATGTATGAGTCCTCTTGAAGTTGAATTGAGGCACAGAAGTCCTCCTCTGCGTGTGTGCATCTGAGGATTCGAAAGGTGGCCTAGGTTGAGCGCTTACACGATTCGCCTGAAAACGCGCATTAGACCGATTTTTTTATCGTGCTTCAGCTTCAACCGGACAATCCTACCCCAGCTCTCAAACGTATACACGGGAATCGTCACCGAGCATACTGATCCTCCAGAGCAGTCCTTTCTGCTAGTGTGCTGAAGAACAGCGTCCTCGCAGTTGCTGCCTGAATCTAGCACAAAGACCACGATGGCGCTGGTGCTGCACGACTACAACTGATTATTACGTCGACAACTGCAACTGACCAGGACTCACTACACGTACAGCGAAGACGCCACATCAGGGAGAATAAGATGTTCAATTTTTTTATGAGTTCGGTGTCCACCACGTGGGACGCCTCAAGGTTACAGGAGAAGTATCACATCCAGAAGGTAAAGCTCGGCGAAGGGAGCTTCGGTACAGTATGGCGTGCCATGGAGCGAAAGACGAATGTGGCAGTAGCCCTGAAGAGTGTCGAGAAGGACAAGATGAGGAGGCGGGGTACTGATAGTGATTATACTTCTGTGTACTTATCATTCTGTCGTGGTAAAAATATTCCTCCGGTCGTGTCTGCATTTTTGATTGTTCTAGGTATCAAATAAAAATGAAAAAATGATACTAGTAGATTGAAGAACAACAAGGTGAAGAAGAACGTTTAGTTACTTTTGGTTCCGCGCCCTCGCCCTCCATCAACAACCATAGAGAACTGCAGCTCGTCACCTCCGCATTCCCATCATCCACCTCCAGGTGTCACTCCGGAGGACATGGCGAGAGAAATCAAGATGCTCTATGCGGCAAGAGGCTGTCAATACATCACGGAACTCCGCGACTCCTTCGAAGACGGGACTGCACATTACTTGGCGTTGGAGTACTACTTCTTTTTAACGTTATTTCGGGCTCTACTACTCGTATTGATGCATATTGTAGTTGATTTTGTTGAAGATGAGGATGCGGTTATTAAAATTTAGTCCGACGTGATTGATTCAGATTCTCCTTGAAAACCAATAGCTTGCGTTATGAGAGGATTAACACAGGTACTGCGAAGGCGGTGACTTCGGGGACAAGCTACGCGAACGACGAGACATACTCCAGGAATATGAAGCTTGTTTCTGGATGCGACAAATTTTGTTGGCAATTGAGTTTTTGCACGATAAAACCATCGTCCATCGAGATATCAAACCGGATAATTTCATGTTGTCAAACCACACAATTGGCGCGAAGCTGAAGCTGTCGGACTTCGGTCTGGCGATACAGTACCTAAATAATTTGATATTCGTCTAAGAAGTATCTCGATCTTCAAGAACTTCATGAAACAACTTCTAGGTCCTCGTCCACTCACAAACAATCTATCGTATCTGTACCCACTCCCACATCACAGACTTCCCGCCCGCGACCACTTGATGAAGGACAAGTGTGGCACACCTGCGTTTATGAGCCCTGAACTTAAGGCTACCGCTGGACCATCCTCAACATCATCCTTGGCCCATTTTTCAAGGAGAAAAAGGGACCAGGGAGGTTCTCGGGGATGCGAGCGCGGTAGCTCTAATGAACAGCACGAACTCCCAAGGTCGACCGGCTACAGTTTTCCCGTAGATATGTTTGCAGCTGGGGTTTGCTTTTGGTGCATTCTACATGGTGGTGATCATCCGTTCATGAATGGCAACTCTTTAGATCTGCCAGCACTACTAGCCGGACAACCGCAGTTCAGAGGGAACAGCAGCTTTTGGGCGAGTAGTAAATGTTAGGAGGATCTCAGATCGAGATGTAGAGATGTAGTAATTCAATCGTAAGTGTGTACTTCGTAGTCGTACTTGATTACTTTTTGATATTAGAGAAACATGAAGGTGAGACCTATGGGGCTGACGGGACGACGATAGCGCCGGCGCTTAATTGGTTTTAGCAGTGAGTAGGATGCTTCAGGATACTTGTTGATAGTTGCCCTTTTCTCTTTTCTATCTTCCTCTGGTCTGTCTTTTACTTTTTTCTAGTTAGGTCGGCTCCACCACAAATATTAGAGAAACATGAACATGATGTCCAGCTCCAGCGACGCTCAAAGCACTTAAATAAACAGCCGGCTTGTTTTCCTCTATCTACTTTTAGGCTATAATCCTTTCATGCAACATATTTATATTAGACAAACATGTAGATATGACCCATTCCCGCGCCGTCATTGACGCAGGCCTGCTCGGGATTGACTACTTTTTTAGGAATGTCGAGATACTCATCTGGACCTCCCTCTGGTGCTCGTGGTTGACAAGCGACTGTATCATCACCTCGTAGTCGTACAACTCGTATCACCTCTAACTTCAGTCCGCACCAGCACAAGAGTTTTGCAACTTGCTCACAACTCGAGACAGCAGAGCCCGTTTGAACGTCAAGACGGCTTTGCAGAACAGCTGGCTTGCGACGTTCAAGAAGCAAATCGCGGACAACATCGAAAGCAAAACGCCGCCAGACGAAGGTGCTAGAGGTGTTCTAGATGGCTTAAGGCCATCGGCAGATTCTTCGTCAGCTGAGTTGAACAGTAATTCGTCGAGAAGTAGCACAGGAGGAGGTGGTAACGATACAGGTGCCTTAGACCAAGGAGGAGGCTCAACATCTTCATCTACTGTTAAGGGTTGGAAGGTGACCTCTTCATGCGCATATCTATGACCTTTGCAAGTAAGGAAGTCATAGATGTGCGAGCTACATGATCGGTCAAATTGCTACCTCTAACACTGGTCGGAACAACCAACCTTTCGGAGGTTCTGGTGCAATTACATCCTCATCTCTAGCGAACAACAACAACAATGCCTCTGGAAACTCTGCTTCGAGTCCAGCTTTGACCAACGCTGAAATGAGAGCCATAAAAGAACAAAACCGCCAGATGGAGGAGAAGATACGACAACTAGAAGCTCAAGTCAGTTCTGCGCAAAAACAGAAGAATGAAGAGGACGACTTTGCTGGTTTTGCGTCTGGTAGTGCGAGGAAAAGCCGAGAAGGCCTGGTTGTTGGGGCGTCTTTAGATTCAGCGCCAGGCAGTGTGCCGGATGAGCACGAAGGAGGTGCTGCTGGAAACAAAAGCGCTGAAGTTACGCTAAAGGTTCGTTGTCTACAAGTACTTACACAACTACCCGTGACTTAGTCATAGTACAGAAAAACATGTTAGTGGTCACGAGCGGATGCTAGCTTCTCACACTCACTCTTAGACTTCTCCCATCTAATTACTACTTCTAATGAATCAGCTCCAGCCGCAAGCAACGCTGCTACTGGCAGGGACTCAGCTTTCGGAAATCTTGGAGTAGGGATAGGGAATCTCTTCAACCAGATATTTCAGCAGCCATTGCCTCTTCCAGGTGGAAAGGACGATCAGAATCTGGAATCTCGAGAAACTTCGACGTATCTACTTGCCATTTTTTGGGCGTAGTTGTTTTCCTCGTGCTAAGAAATTGAAAATTAATATGAAAAGGCATAGTGATAGTAAGTAGTCGATAAGAATAGTAAACCTGAAGATTCTACTTATTCAAAAAATTCAAATCAGCGGTACAACGGGCCAAACCCTGAGCGGTCGAGAAACCTACACCAGTAGCGGCATGCTCACTGAGGGTCAGAAAGTCTGTTACAATTCCGCCTCACACGATGCTTGGTTTATGGGCACCGTCACAGGCTATAACGCTGACGACGGCTCTTACAATCTAGACCTAAAACAACGGGCTCCGGCTGAGCGTGTGAGCCCTCCTTTCGACAGAAATGCTGACATCGCCTGGGCACCTGGAACGTTGGTGATGTACAGAAGCGAGAGTGCTGGTGGAGGCTGGGTGAAGGCCGTGGTCCAAAGTTACAACAGCGACGACGGCTCCTACGACCTCGATGTCCGCCAACGTGCGACAGTAGATAAAATCCGCATAAGGAACGTTGTGCAAATGGGTGCTGGTGGAGGCGTAACAAATGTAATGCCTCAACAAGCTCAAGCTCTTCAACAGCAAGCTCATCCAGTAGGTGTACCTGCGGATCAGCAACAGGTGAAGCGACTAGTCAACCCTTTCGAGCCTATCGAGCAAGCAGGCGGATCGAGTGCATCTTCGTCGAGGAGGCAAAGTCACACGTATTCGCATCTTAGTGTGACGGGAAATGGAATAGGAGAGGTATGGGGATATCGACGTTGAACTCTTGGTGTTGCTTTCGTGCTTGGATCTACTCTGTTAGCAAGAATACCACTTTTAATCGAGTGTAGTTATTCTTGCAGTAGAAGTGTTTGTCAAATTATAGTACAAGACGTCGTTGTACTACAACAACATGTTACAACATGCAGCACATCCTCCTTTAAAGTGGAACCAAAAAGCCCTAACAAAGCCACCAACCTCCGCCGCCTCACGTCCGACGAACGTGATTTCGCCTCAGCAAGCCAGACTGCAGTTCGGAACCCCCAACGGCTTTGCTTCTCAAGAACCGCAGCATCCTTCTTCCTGGTTCGTGCCAGAAGACGGCTTGAATCGAGGTACGAACGCCATTCCAGTGACGCAACCAAATGGAGTAAGTGGACCGCATCCAATAGGTGGATCAGGACTGCTGGGAGGAGTTAATGCAGAAGTTTCTGGAGCTGACGTGTTTTCTCACCCTCACGGGACTGGTGCTGGTATAGGAACTGCTCCAGCTGCTGGTCAGCAGAATATGCGAGCGAGTGTTGCCCTAGTTCCCAATTTAGCTGGTCCCGGTGGAGGCGGCTGCGCTTTGATACCACAGCAAACACTTCCTGTGCCACAGCAAACACAGTTCAACATGATGAATACAACAAACAAGAGCGGTACAAACAACAGTGAAGAAGATTCTACCACGACAGGAGCCTCGGCAAGAACTCAAAGTCAAAATACACAAGGACCAGCACCAGAACAACCTGCTTATCCAGTGCTAGACCTAACTGCGCAGAAGTTTTTTGCACTCAGTGGAGTGTTAAAGCCTGGGGCACAGTGTTCATTTAGGGATAGCGACTATGAGCCTTGGGAGTCAGCGACCGTGGAGACACTCTTGCCAGGCGAAGCATTTTTGCTGAACCATAAAAAAAGTTATGTGAGACGCGTTGTAATTTCAATGTGACTTCCTCTGTCTATCCGTAGAAGTACTTCTGTCTACTTCTCATTAACCAATCGTTACAAAGCTTTAGACTGTCGGCCATAGACTACCTTCATGAACAATTCGTTGTCGTTCCCCGGCGTCCGCTTCTTCTAACACTCCGGCTCTTCCGAAGTAACACGAATACGAGTACCTGCAATGAACGTGTCTCCTGTGAATTCAAGGTGGCCTGCTGGAACTTGGGTTTATTATCACAGTAGCAGTCTCCAAAATTGGATACCTACGATTCTTCAGGGTTACGCGGATGACGGTAGTCTGAATCTGAGTAACACTAAGGCCAGTACCTAAAGAGCATTCTCTTTCTTGGCATCCCGCTGTGATGTGGCTCTTTTCCAAAGGGGAAAAAAGAGTCGCCAACGAAGATCAGGATGGTATTACTAGGGATGCGAACGTGATGCCTCTATCTCTAACAATAAGCCTCGTGCGGATGCAGACCGGGTCCGAGCACGGTTAAAGCCGGAAGAAGTTGAGCGAGCAGCGATCGAGCAAAGCGAAAATCAGCATCAACAAATGACGTGTCAGAATTGCGGTCGGGTGTACTGGTCATTGTCGGGGAAGACAAAGCAATGTCCGCCGTGTAGGGGGATAGGAGTGGAGCAACAGGGATAGTACGAGCAGTGAGACGTCGGCGCGACCAGCCACTGCGCATGGAGGCCACTTTGTCATCGTTGATCATGGCCGCTGCACCGCTCTGTCACATTCATGGTCATAGAGGAAGAAGAGCCACACCCACAGGATTAATATTGTAGATATTAATATTTTATTTAGGTTCTACTCGTTAGAAGTACGCGACGTGGTGTCATAGCAGATACAGTCAAGAAAATCATTCGCCAGATCCTGATCCAACACCTACACCAACTACAGTTGTCATTATACTTTTACTCGTTGTCACTTTTAGCGCAAAGCAAGCGCATATCCATACGCCGAAAAAATCTAAGTGCGTCTCTTTCTCTAGAAATTTCTAATCAACATTGTTACCAGAAACCAGCAGAAAACTGTCAAGATGAAAATTCATTCGCAGCAATGCTGCATCCAAACGTCTTGGTGAGGCACACCTTGTCTCCGTATGGAAGTCATTTTCTCATAGCACCTGTGTGCAAGATTAACAGTCTGGACAACTGAAATGTCAAGAATGTGAAGCTATGTCATGATGATAACCGGACTGTACTCAGCAGTAGAAAAACTCTATGTTGAAGATGATGATCGCATTTCGTAGAAGCGCAGAAAAAAAGAAAATCTTCCAGAAGTAAGACAATAACATCATTCTGCAGAATCGGCAAAGAATCGGATACAAACAAAAAGGATTTGATGATGGTGCGGTATTTCCAGAAGATAGTACGAGCAGGAGGAAGAACCTACTTATTTTGATTTGGAGATACTCCTAGTACAACTTCTCCCAAAGCAAAAACAAAAAGACCTCTTACTTTTTACTACATCATGTGGCACCAGGTGTATGAAAGTCGTGAAACAGCATCGCTTGCTAATATTTTGCATCTTTTCTCGATCTCCTTTATTTCTCTTCTCCATTCATCGTTTTCTTAATATGAAGATTGAGGTGTCTCGAATCATATACAACGAACTCCTTAACTAAAAGCAAAAAACAAAATCATCAACAACTAGACCGGCTGCGAATTACTTTTGAATCTTTCATAGAAGCGCTTGGCGTTGGGGGGGCTGGCCTCAGAGTACTCCAACACTACCAGACGTGCGATTCAATAATAATTTGAAGAAATTTGAATTTCAGAATTTTGCTTTTCTTACTGCGCGAGGGGAACAAATTCAAGAATAATATTCATCCGACTCACTCTTACTACTACTAGTTTCATTTTCTTGCTAAGTAAACGTAAAGAAAGATCGAAAAAATGGCTGCGGCGACGGGGACTTCTGAGGACAGCTGGACTGAAGAAGAAGCAGCCGGTTGGTTCTTCGCGCGTACTTATTTTGGTTTGCTGCTAAACGGAACGGACAGTGAAGGCACACAAGAAGCGGAGGCCTTTGTAAAGATTATTTTCATATTAGTTTCGAACCATACATTTTGATGATTGATGTTGACATTGACATTAAAAGTAGAAGTCAAGTACGTAAAAGGGATCATTTTGGAAGCTACATGATAATGATTGTCGTCCTTTACTTATTGATTGCCTTCATCCTCTCCTTGTCAACGAACTGCGCATGACTGTTTTATTTTCGTATTTGTTACATACGAAAAATGAAAATCTCAATCCCAACCATCTAGTACTCAATGCCTCATAGGTTGACTACCTCTATGACGAGAAGGCGGTTGTGACGCGGGGTTCTCTTCAAGATTCTACGTCTACCACGGTGACCGGAAAAGCCAAGATCTTAGAGCATATGCAGAAGGTACTTTTTGACCATAGCTGCTTGGTGTTGAAGAACTGTACATGTTGAATGTTGTTATTCATAGACAGTTTTTACATGCTGGAGGAGCCAGAGAATGTCCAGCAATAGCGACATTGCTGCAACACCAACAGCTTACTTTGACGTAAGTACTAGTTCTAGTATAATTTCTAAATTGACATACAAACAGGACTTCGTCCTGACTGGCGGCCTCGAAGATGGAAATTTTAGCACAATTGACTGCCATTTGATCCCTGGTCTTCCGGAAGGGATCAGTCGATACCAAGTGAGCATTTCCGGTTCGCTTTCTTACCGTTCTACCCACCTGCAGCGGAAGCAAATTCAGCAAGCTTTTGTTGTCGAGTGGCTTGAGGAGTCGGATGACAGGTATCCTTTCTTGGGTGGTCACCGTTTCCGCATCTTCAGTGACATCTTGCGCTTCGTGAACCCCATCCAAGCTCCGGCTCCGGGCCCTAAACAACCTGCGGCAAATGGAGCAGTTCCAGCTGAAGGAGAAGTACAAGTAGCTGCTGCGTCTAAGAACAACAAGAAGGAACAAAAGGCTGCTCAACCTAAGGCCCAAGCACAATCTACTTCTGCGACTGCTCCTGCTACTTCCTCTGAGCAGGCCACGACTAAGCCTAGTGCGACTTCATCTGCGACTGCGACACCTCCTGCCACCACGGCGAACAAGAACAACAATCCGTCTAACAACAACAACCGCCGAGACAAAACGAAAGCTAGTCCAGGAAATACTAGCAAAACGTCAACATCTAAGATTAAGGTTCGATTTTTGGCGTTTCTGTTACCGTGTGTTTTGACTCTCCCCCCAAGGGGGAAGTAAGACTATGACTAAGAGCATACTTAACTCAAACGTGAAACAGTAGAAACACCAGAACCCTATTTTTAGCTCTAATAAGACCACTGACCAACAACAAGCAGGAGGGGAGACCAAGACTAGCACTAGGAGATCAAGCGGCAATGGTGCTGTAGGAAACGGGCATGCACCATCTCCGAGAAAGCTAGTCACGCCACAACAAAGTGCTACAAAAGCATCGGATGAGGAGGAAGGTACTACTACTTTATCAACAAATCCACAAGATTCACGTTGTTGTCTAACTTACAACGGACTGTTCATGACGTTCTTGACTTAGGTACTTACTTTTACAAATTACAACGAGTGGTGCTGTTGCTGTCCGGTAGTGCTGTTGTTCTCATCCCCTCTCTCCTATTCTCAATCTCTCCTACTCCACGATACAGAAGCTAAGACGGACGTCCCTAAGACAGATGTTATGCGGACAGCGGATGACCTCTCAATTTCCGGAGAAAGTTCGCCGAAGAGCTCGAATGCAGGTATCTTTACTAGTCTTACACTATGCATATGTTCTCATGCATGCTCATAATTCAGTTTCAGTAATACATCAGGTTGTCCTCAGATTAAGAGAACAATAAACTTCTTTTTCTAAATCTCAGCATCTATACAACATAGAAGATGTTGATTTACTTACCAAAACCAACATGATGTTTTTGTTTACCAACGACCATCTATAGAATATGATTTACCTTACGCACATGGTCCACGTCGTGATGTCATCAATCTAAAACTAATATTGCAGTCGAGGCTCCAGCTCCAGCAGTTGTAATACCAGACGACGATAACAATTTTCCGGGATTGCCAAAGTCATCAGGGGTTTTCGTCGCTAAGCCCTACAAGGGAGCGCTCGCACCAGAGCCACCAAAGAAAGAGAAAGTAGACGCAAAGAAGGATAGATCGTCAAGAAAAGGCAAGGGAAAGAACGCTGGCAAAGATAAAGAGCCTCCGTCTGGGTCAAATAGTAAGGTAGACAACAACAAAGAAGGAGGTAGTAAGTACAATAGCAACATCTCTCCTAGCGCTGGTAGCAAGAATACAGGTGCTGCTGTCGCAGGTGGTGGAGCTAGCTCCACTGCAGTTAAGGGTTACCATTTTGCATTCTGTAATAATATCCTTGACTTTTTTCCAATAGGAAAGGGGTCAGGGATGATCTGAAGAATGCAATTTCGCAACCGCTAATGCAGTGTCTTCCTCAGGCGCGACGTCATCGTCCTCAAGTAGTAGAAAGAGCAAAGGCAAGGGAAAGAAAGGAGCGGATAAAGAACCGAAACCGGCTACGCCTGTAAATTCTAAATCGACCACCAACTCATCTTTAGAAGGAGCTGCGCAAAAGAATAGTGCGGGACAGCACCAGCAGACAAAGAATAACAATAAGGAGAAAGGAGCCACCTCTTCAGGTGGAAGACCTTCTTCAGGTGGAAACAACAAAAACACATCCTTAAGGCTCAGCTTTCAATGGTCGTTGGGGTTGGTCACTGAGATCCCTCTTGAGAGAACAGGGGAAAATGAAGGAAAAGCAAAGGGAGAGGCATGGGGCCCATTTCTTTCAGAGTCAGTGACCATTGAATGCTGAGCTTTAACATCCACAGCTAGAAAAAGGACAAATATCTGGATAAGTACTATCGACGTTAGCATGGCAGACGAGGCAGTAAAGGAGAAACTAGAAGAAACTCTCAACAAGATTCGACCAGGAGATCTGCCAGCGCCAACTGTGACAGAGTTCGTGCGAAGCAAGGAAGATAAGCAGTGGGCGTCAGGTAATATTATCATCTAAAGGGTGCTTTTTCCGATTCACGATCTTTACAATCACACTCACAAGTACAACGATGTAGTCTCCCCTTTTTGACTAACAAATACTACAGAGCGGACTCATTCTTCTTTATTCTCTCACCACCTCAACATCTTTGCTTCTCTCACCTCAACAGCGTGCGTCTTCACGGCAAAGAACCAAGATGTTTTTCCGATTATCAGAAGATTGACAGCGGAGACTGGGTTTTATGTCGAGAAGAGAAAACAACCAAACACAGTCAAAGAGGCTGCTGCGGCGCCGGAGGCCGCTTCTAAGTGAAAATGGTATGCTGGAAGACTACTAGTACTACAACAGCGTTCTGGGAGATGGACTAGTAGTCGTACAACACCATACTATTCATTGTGCGGAGGAGGACTAGGACAAGAACATTTTTAGTGGTTGATGTTGTTGTCTAGTATTAATCTGATGAAAAATTCCTGTTCAGAAAATTAACTAGTAGTTGTAGAAAAGCTAGCTAGTGAAGGATCCTTGAGCTTCCGTAGATTTGCTGTGAAAGACCGAAAAAACTCAACTAGAACATGATGTTCGCGACACGACCTCCAAAAAAGATGACACTTATACAAGATCATGAGAACGAAATATTTTGAAATGGATGAAAAAGTACTATGTGTTGTTATTAATTTTTTTCGATTGAGGATGGATGGTAGATTGACGAGGAGTCTGATACTGGTTGATGGTAAAATTCTCATCAATACTCATCAGTAGTTCAAAGCCCATATTACAACTAGCGCCCAAATTAGGATTACCCATAGAAAAAGAAAAGCAAGTTGTAGGATGAATACAAATACAAATAGTGTGTTGTAAATGAATTCTTGTGATTGTGAAGATGAGTAAGTTTGAATGTGGTCGAATTACATATTATTGAAGGAGCATAAACATGTCATACTGACGTAGCAGCTACACACATTTGATGTTTCCTGCGGAGCCCCACTCCTTCGCCTTTGACTCAAGGACTGCATGCTTGTCCTCCCTTCTCTTTCATCCCAGACACCTCTAAAAGTGTAGTCGGCCTCAATCTCATTCATCTTCTTAATATTGAGGACTCGAAGATCCTGCTCTACCCCGTGAATGGGTACACTACTATGACTACTAGTTGTAGATGATAAAGCACGTGCGCATGTACTCGAAGATCTTGGTACTTGTTGAAAGAGGCCTACGTAGTCCTAATCTTCAATCAACAAAAGGAAGTCGTGTTTTTGTGGAAAAATCGATAAGAGTCTTCAAGTTCAATGAGTGTAAATTTCAGAGGTGCGACATTAATGTGTTACTCGTGCCTGCGACTTGAAAAGTAGTTGTAGCAAATCTAAATCATTTGCGACTGTCCTTGACCTTGGCTGACTAGAAGTAGCACAAATAGAAAAGTATCCGGTTAGCTATCTCAGAAAGCTTGGGATGCGGGCCTGCCATAGTTTGCAGGCCTCACTCGGTTTTTTTCCCGTACAATCGCCATTCGGTTTTATTTCTGAACTATCAGTGTCACAGATCAATTACCCTTGACTTTTTTTGAGAAGGGATCCCGCGAACGCGATGCCACTTTTTTCTATTCAGCAGGCCTTAGGCTGATCCAAGGCTGCAGAGACAATGAACAGCCGCGAGAGAGAAGAAGAAAAAGCCCCGCGAAATATTTTTTTCTACTTTGGCCAGCGGCCCTCTCGGCCAATTTTTTTTTGTAGTCTGTTTGCTCCAGGTTCAAAAAAAAATCATCTACAGAAACTCATCGAGTTAAGACTCCATCTTCTCTGTGGAACTAATCATATTCAGTATTATTCTCATAGGCAGATATAGATATACAACTTGGCACATCTGATGTCAGTTGGGCCAGCAATGATGCCGTCAGGCACAGGAATGAACATGCTAAACCCTATCTCTCAAAGATGGGAAGAGCAGGTGCGGAATATTGTTATGAATGTGGGTGGGACTCGTCTCTCCGTAATTATAGCACGAGACCCATTTCGAATATAATTCTTTACTGTCATGAGTATTTTTTACCGTCAGGGGTCGCTCCGGGTTGTTGTATGTATGGCGCCATTCATTGAGGACCCAAGTTATAGGAGAATGCCGCTCCAGCTAAATAAGAAGGGCCCAAAGAAGGGGAACGACATTCCCAGATCGACGCCCCCAATGAGTGGAAGCGTTCATTGTGACTTTTGTTTCGTTAAAATACTTCGCTTTCGTGTAAGTCGTTGCGAATTTGCTTCCCCCTTCTTTGTTGATATCTTTCATCACTACCAAGAACAAGCCCTTCCTCTAACTCCAAAGCTGGCGTTGCAGCATATGCGGAGGAACGAAAATTGGTCATAGTATTAGAAACCGATGACTACGTGGGTCACTCCTTTTGGTTGGCCGCAAGCTTGCAACTAGCCGCAACGATATTTTTTTATGCTCCCCGCCCTCAAACGAATTACTGTCGCGCCGCGCGAACATACTTATTAATAATGACAACTACTATACTTATTTTCAAACGAATCTCGACTGTGTGCCTTGTTGCTAATCAGCCGCTAGTGTTTTTCTTGACAATTATAGTACTCACCAGTCCCATGGCGGCTGTGGGAAAAGTCCAACAAGTACTACTTCGCACAAGCAAGTCAAAATCAGCAATCTATTCCTGCTTGAAGCTTTCCATCTCTTCGTGGAATGAAGTCTTGTTGTTTTTGTTTGGAGTACAAGACTCAGAAGATTGAATCTCCTGCAACTAGCATTGAGGTGCTAACATTGAGGTAAGTAGTTCGCAACCTGTAGGTCTTCATTCTTTTGTCTCTAATAAGCCTTTTTCCAAGTTTTCTTGGTTCCTAGGCGATGGGCGAACTCAATGATAGTGGCTGGCCTCGTGACCGGAATCGCATGGCATCATTATACCTACATGAAAGACCTCTGGGCAGAGACAAAATCAGCGCCGACGGTCTATCGATATATGGACTGGTATGATTATTTTTTCGGCTTTTTTCTTTGAATGTAAGATTAAGCCACGATAGATGCGACTGCTACGGGTGATTTAATTGTCGACAGAAGATTCGAAAATATCGATATCCAACTAAGTAAAACAGGTTGATCACGGTGCCGCTCCAAGTGGTAGAGTTTTATCTCATCTTGTTAAGGCATTTCAACATGACAAATTACTTTTCAAGTCTTCGTTTGGCTTTGGCATGAATTAGAACGGTAAGCGCTTGCTTATCTGTACTCAAAAACGAAGCCCGCTTCCACAAAGACTGGAAGGCACAGCTCAAAGTAGAAATGCAAACCTGAGTGACCATGTCGTGACAGATAACAAGAACATCGCGGAGAAGAAGTCGCCAAAAGATTCAACCACTACTTTTCTTTATGTTACCTGAGATAAAGCTCCACCATACACCAACGCTGTAAGCAAGCGGACTGCCGCATAAGTAATCTATAAATATCTATTGCCACTGGTCTTGAGTGTAGTTTTTCTTGACATGTCAAAAGCTTGATGCTTCCTTTTGTACCCCCCTACTCTAATCTCTCTAGCAGCTAGTCCCGAGGAAGATGAGGGCACAGATAAAGAAGAAAAGCAGCTAAAATTAGGGTCAAATCTTTTTTTCCGACTGCTTTCGGCATCACTGCTCATGCTTGTCTTTGGATATATGGTACCTACTTAGATAGACATCAATGGGAACAAGGAAATACTCTTTGTCAGATATTTATATATCAGGATAGCCACACACGCGATTTTGGATCAGCGCCACACGCTTGATTATTTTTTTCACCATCAGTTGCATTTGATTTAAAGGAAATAATTTGACGACCTCCTTCTCATAGGTCCCGCCTTCCATTGCCCAGCAGGAGCATCATCTCCATCCCACCTTCCCTCCCATCCTCCATCCCCCAACCGACAGGGCGAAACCGAAGTTTCCGACAAGTGGGTTGCTTTTGCAAGTGGGTGCTTCTGTTGGTTCTACATCGTGTATGAGGTTTATCTCGGAGAAGCATCCCGCTTAAACGCCAGGCTTAGTCTAGGACGAGCCAAGAAATTTTTGAAGCAGCGTGACCAAGAAAAAGACGCGGTGACGATGGGGAGTAATTATGGCCACTGGGAAATGATAATAGTGTGTATCATGTGATATTTTTTTAGTACTCTAGTAGCAGTCATGATGGGAAACAAATATGGCAATAATTGATTTAATGATGTAGCTTTTCTTGGTTCCCGAGGTCCACTTTCTTACCATAGCGCACTAGTTTATAAGACGCATGGAGTGCATGGAGTAGACTTGGGGTGTAGCAAATTTCTTGCTACTCAATGCTGCTCGATGTGATCCATGCACTCCCTGCCATGCGACCGCCAAAACCCAAACTAAGTGATGAACCAAACAGAGTGCTGACGAATTTTATTTTTTCTTCCTCCCTTCTTCATAACCCACCAGAAATGGACGCCAACGCAGCCCTTCGGGAGTTCAAGAAACCAGAAGCGCAACTGGCCTTCGAAATTTTGAGGGCAATCATCTTCCTGGGCTGGGCCTTGTATCCTATCGGCTACGTAGCAGGCAACATGGGTGGCGATAACGAAGTGGAAACGTTGAATGCTATTTACAATTATGCGTTGGATGCTATTTACAATTAGCAGGACCACGAACCCAGGCCTGCGCTTAGTTAGTGGTAGATAAGTACTTGCCTGACTTTTCTTTGTTCGGTTTTTGTTTTTTCTAGTTAGGTCTGCTCCGCCAACATTATGAGGTGGGAGTATATAAGGAGTATTGTTGTGTACACCCCTTTTATTTACTTTTTACAAGAACTGACACTGAGTGGTCAATTTATTAAAGTCGATTAGATATTTGACAGCTCTTGTCGAGGCTTGTAGTTTCCGAGCCCATTCGACTCCGATTAACCTCCAGTAAAGGCACACACGAGCGAGGTCCCCCTTCTCTTTTTCTCTAACTTCTCGTAGCGGATTTCGTGAACAAAGTTGCATTTGGTGGCGCAATCTACTTCGCAGCTGGCTCCCAAAGTGAGAAGGAGAAAGCGCTAGCGCTTCAGAACTGACTAAAACTACTAGACATGATCTTCATCTTATGACTTTGCAACAGAATTTCAAATACAGTTATTGAATTCAAGATCCGTCGCTAGTGTAGGTGCGACACAGTGCTACAACTACTACAACTAATAGTGAAAAATAGTTCAAAGTGAAGAACAGCTGCATGCAGTAAAAACAACAATGAACAATATTGACTAGAGTGTTTTCGTTTCGCCGTACGCAGTTTGCACGTGCCACTGATTTTCATACTACGAGCATATCAACTCTCTCGACTTCTGGCATTACTTGGATGAATAAACGCCCACACGATACTATTGCACTGAACCACTCACGAAATAATTGGAAGGTGAACCTGGGCCCTTTGCTCTAGTAACTCTGTGTGGAAAGTAGAAGCGCAATGATGATCACTGTGCCGTCCACCGCCGTCGGAGCGCAGAGGATGAATATGGGTTCTATCTTCGACATACTTACTTCAAACTTGCGGCCTCCTGTCCTTCCACGGGGTGACGCGTTTACTTTTGCACAATAGAAGCGTCCTTTTAGTCCTCACGATAGTCATGCAGTCACAGGGAAAGCTCGCATGGGTCTTCTTTCTCAAAAGTTATGATGTGGTCCTCAGACGCCCATAGCCACAGGCTCCGTCATGGTAATCTGGCACGGAAAGTTTGTGATTAAGTGACCCGTCCGGACGTTTGATTGATTTTATGTTCAGACACGATTATTTTTTCTACTTCTTATCGTGTTTCAGCATGACAAATTACTTTTCAAATCATCGTTTGGCATGAATTAGAGCGGTAAGTGCTTGCTTATCTCTACTCAAAAATGAGGCCCACTTCCACAAAGACTGGAAGGCACAGCTCAGCGCAATCCCAAACCTGACCGTGCTGTGACAGAGTATCGCATCGTCTGCGCGACTTCTACCATGAATCTATCCTATACACAAATAGGCCCAACAGAAGGAAGTGATGACTTTGGGAGTGGTCCAGTCATCTTGTAGGTGGTTGGAGTGGGTACTAAGGGAGACGCTTTTGCTCATTAATATCGCGTAACTAGTCTAGTCTGTAGTGAAAGAAAGATACATGTCCACGCCCTTGATGGACCGCTTTTTGCCGTATTTCGGGGAAAGGTAAACGGTAGACGCCGTGTTTCGCAGTACAGTAAGCGACAACAACGTATAGCCGCTCAGGATGTCTACTTCAGCGAAGGTGCTCTGCCATTCGCTGTTCATCCTCGCAGTTGCAGCGTTAGTGCAAAGAGAAGCCCCAACATCTAGTGAACAAGAAGTGGCGCTCGACGATCTCCGAGTAGCGAATCATGCACAGAAAATTGTAGGCGATAAAAGTACAGCTGCAGGACATGAGAACCATTCGATTCCACAGGAGAAACCGACTGCACAGAAAGAAGTAGAAATAGTAGCCGGCGAGCACACAGATAGAAACGTAGCTCCTGCTGCACACCACATCAAGTCGCTTGAGCAGGATCAGTTAGACGACGACGCATCAGAAGAACAACAGTCCACTCCTCAGTCAGCATTGCTTCTAGAGGTGGCTCAGAAGGAAGGATCGGCTCCACAGCATCCTTGCGTGCAAACATTGACGACGCAAGTTTCAGATCGCGCGATAAAGACGCTCATAATGTTATGGCGTGGCTCTTTGAGTAGTGCGAAGACTACTGGGCGTGGAGTGCTAAGTCTAATGTCGGAGCGCCACAAGATGAATAAAAAGCAAGTGCCTTCGTCTTTATCCGCCTCGTCATCTAACACGTCCTCCTCATCCTCTAACAGCAAGAGGATGAGGAGGACGCGTAAGATGCTGTTAGTAGATGAGGAGTAGAACGAACTAATGTCGGAGCAGTACTAACTAATGTTGCAGTACGTAGGAGATGAAAAAGAATAGTACTCTTATAATTCGTCTGTGGTCTTGATCCTCTTTATAGTCTACCCTATTCAGAACATGTCCTCCTCATCCTCTAACAGCAACAGCCAATCTCGTCGACTCTTCGACGCAAGAGCGGAGCCTGTTGGACGCGTTAGTGCGAGCACTGATACACCTGCCGTTTGGCACTAGATTGGAAGTGGGTGGAAGTAGCAGTTTGATGGAGAAGGAGAAAGCACAAGCAGACGTGTTGTCTGGTCTTGCACCTTTGATAGCCGTGGATTGTTTCAAGGAGGCCCCAGATAGTCTAGCTGGGACGGAGAGCTTGACGAAAAATTATGGTAGTATGACAACTTTTCGTCAAGCTCTCCGTCCCAGCTGCTACGGAGAGCTTGACTACTAGAAACCTGTCAACATGATCTTCCCACCAGCTCTACCCTACGACCCTCTTCCCCGTTCCTCCTCTAATCCCATAGTCTAGCTGGGACGGAGAGCTTGACGAAAAATTATGATTGATCATCCACTGCTCTACTTATTTTTTCGTCAAGCTCATTCAACAAGAAGTAGTAGATCTAGTAGAGGAACTTGACGACGTAGACACCTCTCTCTGAGTTTGAAGGAGGTGATAGTGTCGTGTAGCGAATGGACATCAAATACCATCTGTCGCGAAGCTCGAAACGTATATGCATCGTCTACCTCATTAGTTGAAGATCTCCGGAAGAAGGACAAGAAGAAAGTCCTCGACTGTTTTGTTGTAAGAAGTACACGAAAGACAACGCCTCGTCTTGGTAGTATCTAAGACTACTAGAAACCTGTCAACATCTTCCCACCAGCTCTACCCTACCCTCTTCCCCGTCCCTCCTCTAATCCCAAGAAGTGAAATCCTGGGAGGAAGAGATGCTGAAATATTTGCAGTGCACAAGGAGGAAAGGGGATATGATATCCCACTGGCTGCGGACATTGCAGAGAGACGTTCTAGATCGAGTGGAGCGTCTGGCAAAGGACTGCAAGGCATTGCAATTGACGCCTTCGGTACTCATGCTTTACTGAGGGATTTAGATTTAGACCTCGTCTCTTCGTGCAACTTCAGTGTAGATGTGAAAACTTGTTGTTCATTGTCTACGTTCGGTTTCCAAGCTCTTCTACGATGGATACGCAGTATTTTATGTGCATGTCTGCTACGACTTTGGTATGGATGTTTTTTCTCCAAGGATACCAACCCACCTGGCTACATGTACATCTACCCTCCTAACTTATTTTCCGTACTCCACCAGTTAGACTCCGATCAATTCTCCGCACTCGTTTTGACTACGCAAAAGCAACTTACAAGGGTAGAAGAGGACGACCTACCTGCGTTGGACTCTGAAATTCGGGATGTCTCTAGTTCCGCTGACTGGGTCAATACCGAAATGAGCAATGCGTATTTGAAGCTGACGGAGTCGAAAGCTATGCCAAATCCAGAGTGATAAGTTCATCCACAGATGAATAAGTTCGAAATTATCAAGTCCTCTCAGTGTCAGTCTTATTCTTTCGGAATATCTTTCCCACAACGAAAGTGAGAAATTAGGGCACCACAACGAGCGCATCCCTCTTCTAACAAAAAGCGGCAGATTCAAGGAGACGAAACGTTTGAAAAACGCGCTGGCGTTTTGACGAACAAGATGTTTGCGGTTTATGGCCTCATCGCCATGTTCGCACTTGCGACTTGCTTGTGCTTCCTCAGTGCAGCTTCTAGTGAGCCACCATCCAAAGGAGAAGGCTCTTTTCCTCAAAGTCGAAGTCCTCAGCAACAAGGTGGTGGAGGTGGACGACCCTCACCTTCAGGTATGACGTCTTCACAACAATGGATAACAGGAAACATGCCAAGACAAATGAACTTTGCTTCAAGAGTTGCTGAGGACCTAGTAATGGGACCTGCGGCTGTTGTTGGACAAGAACAGCAAACGGGACACCAGCAACCGGTGAAGGGAATGCACCACACAGCAGGGCAACATCACCATCATACAAGTATTTCTCCTAGTGGACCATCATCGGCAAATCCGATACCCACGACTGCCACTGCAGTCCCTGTTGCAGCAATGGCACCCACTGCGGTAGCGCCTTCTGGTGGGAATGGTGCGCCAACTCCTGCTGGAACAACGCAGCATAATGGAGGACCATCAGGACCATCGTCCGCACCACCATCAGGAGCAGCGCAGCAAGGGGCAACTGCAACACCAGGATCGTGACGCTGTCCTGTCCCACAAATGGCATTCCAAGAGCCTTAAAATTGTTCACGATCCTGTGACTATCTTCAAAATTAGCTCTCCAAGAACGCATACTCAGAATCAAAAACAAGCAATGTTGAATTCTAGTACTTCGTAGTGCGTTTCGCTGGTGCGTGCGCGTTTAGGTTTGTTCTACGGATCCTTTATTTGGGTGTTTGTGTATGGTGAAAAAACTGGCTGTAGATTTTAGAGAACCGAAAAAATGAAACACGGCAAATGCGACAGCGAAAAGTTACTCAGGGAAAAGTCGGTGAAGGTGGCTGTTTGCGTGGGTGGCTCCTGATTTACTCTGAAGATTTTTTGAACGCTCGGAGCTACTACTTGTTCTCTTCTAGTTGCTGACGTGTTTCTTGGTGGCAGAAACATCTAAGTGCTAACTTTTGCAGACTGTCATCATGTCAGCCAACAATATAAAGACTTAGAGCATTGTTTTCTTCTTCACGTCACTAGCGCCATTTCCTCGCCACAACGCCTGTGGTCCTACATCAAGATCAAGGAAACACCCTGAAAGCCAAAATCAAACAAAATGGGCAATCAGTTAAGTGCTTCTTGTCCCTGCGCTGAGCCGCGGGCCAAACCCCTGTCACGACCAGCCGCATTGTTGGTGCTCTCAGCTGTAACCCGCAACCGAGTCGATATGATACGAGCAGGCTTGTCTCTGGTGCCTGCCAAGCTGCCGGTTTTTGTCCTATTGCTGCGATCGGGTTCATCTAGTACAGCTATGCTTGGTACGCCTGCAGGTGTAGGTGTAAACCCCACGAACTCTCAACAACAAGGCCTGTTCGAGTGGGTTAGTGCCATTTACGCTACAGCCCAAGAAGTTCAGCGCGATGTGACTCTGCTGTGCGGGAACCTCAAAGCAGCCGCTATGCTGAAAAGTAGGAAGATGGGGAATACTTAAGGCTCTTCTTGGTTTGAATAACTTCTGTTGAACTAGAGCGAGAAAATAGAATTCGAAAGCATATCGTAGCGTCTCACTCTCATTGGGCTGAGCGCGAGCAGTGGACTTTTTCCAGACGATCATACTCACAAGACTTGCGAACTTTTTCGCTCTTGCTACAAATAGACTCGCCTTGCAGCTGCTCCTACAAATAGGCCTACTCTAATCCATCATCGACACGCTATCAAGCGACGAGATGAGACTCGTCTTGCCTCGCGACTTGGAGATCGCTTCTCTGGTCTGCGATCGATCCATCTGCGAACAGCAAAACGAATTGGAAAGCAACATCTGCGCCGAGCTTCGCACTGAATATCTAGACCTTGCGTCTCTGGAAAATGCTTCTGGATCCTGTGGTGTGGAGGCAAGCAGTGCTGACTTTGATTATGATAAACTTGAGCTTGTCTCTAGTTGCAACTTCAGGAGCGTGTGGAGTTTCTTCAACTACATTGGGCTTGCAATGTTTACCGCGATACATACATAGATAGGGGTAGAGAGCCTGGGTGTATTCTGTTTTGCTGTCTGTCTACATTTTCTTGTGGCTGCGTACTGCGTAGAAGTCACTTTCTAACTCCCCTTCTCTTCCCGTCTAGCAGAATCGCTTGATGTGCAGTTCTTTGGGTCACGAGCGGACTCAAGTGCGGCATCGTCGCCTGCCTCTACGCCTCCCCCAGAGCAAGTGGATGGACCCACCGACTACTTTGGTGTCTGTTGTGGTGGTACCTTTGACGCTTTGCATTTTGGCCACAAGATCCTCCTCACTGAAGCCTTGCTGCTCGCGCGCAGTCGGTTGGTCATCGGATTGGCGGATGGCTTGTTGTTGAAGCGGAAAACGTTGAAGGAATTGATTGCGCCTGCAAGTGAACGAAAGCGGTTGTTGAGGGACTTCCTAGAAACTGCTTTGCCAGAAGCGAAGTTCTGTCCTCTTGGTGAGGGTGGCAACGATCCGTCACTCTCTGTAGAAATAGCCTTGATCAATGATCCAGCAGGGCCCGCGGCTACTGATGCAGGTTTGAACTGCATCGTTTTGAGTGCGGAGTCAGCGAAAGGAGGCGCACTCGTCAACGAGGAACGAGCGAAAAATAGACTACAACCGTTGGAGCAACATTTGATTTTAGGACTAAAAGTAGCGACTTCAGTGCTCGCGTTTTGAGTGAAGCCTTCGATTTGAGAAAGTTCTATCGCGATATGAATGGCGTCTGCCAGACGATCACGTCTTACATTACTACACCTACGGACTTTCTGACGATCTGTATCTATTCTCAGTAGGCACTTCTTGGCCTTTGCTTCTAATCCCTAACGGTGGCAACCTATTGCCGGATCCTCGCTCAGGTGCTGGAGAGGAGGGGAAGACATCAAGTAGTGGCCAGAGGATGCGACTGCTGGGAACGCTAAGGCGGCCACAGGTCAGAGAGGTGCAGCAGTATGGTGCCATGTTCGAGCGTTTTGTTCTTCCGAGACTAAAAAAGGGCTCAGCAACTAGCAACAGCAAAGCCACGACGGCGGAGACAGCAGGAATTTTATGGTGACGATGATGAGAAAGAGAAGACTCTACTGCCCGAAAATGACCTTCATCAATTACAGGGAAATACTCCAACTCCAGATAGGCTTAGTCTTAGCCATCCGTAAGCTACGGATGAAAATACTAGTTAGTTACTTACGACCCTCTTCCACTAATCTCAGCTCCTGACGGAAGTCAACAGGGAGAGCCTGACGAGGAGAGCTCCCCGACGCATGTGCAAGAACAGGAGTACGACTCAACGACCGACTTTGAGCAGAACAAGAGCTCAGGAGAGGAAGAGTCTGTCTCAGTTGTGAATGCAGCACTAGGCGCTACGGCGCTAGGTGTGGACCAAACGCAAGCCCAGCAAAGTCTCTCTGGGGGACTTGGCTTCAGCTCTTCGCCTTATGTCATTGGGCTGACAGGCGGAAGCGGTAGTGGGAAAAGCAGTATCTGTCGCTGGTTGGAGCAAGATCATGCTAAGGCGTTCTCGTTTTAAAGATAGATCCATAGCGGTTGTGACAATGTAGAATATGCGTCAGCTCCTAGCATCTTTACGTAAGATACCGTCCTTCCCTCCTATCCTCAAGGGTGTTTCAATAGTATTTGTCTCTCATGGAATGCTTTCACATCCTTGACATCTCGTGTGCTTCAGGAGAGGGTCTAATCCAGGCGCAATTGTTATCGACTGCGATAAGCTGGGACAACAAGCATACGCCAAGCCCAATAGCCCTTGTTGGAAAGATCTTGTGGATTTTTTTGGTGCCGATAATATCCTAGACCCTGAGTCGAACCTGGTGGATCGCAGGAAATTGGGCGGGATTGTGTTCGCCGACAAAACGAAGCTGGAGGTATTTACTCTCCGTTGGTATAGTTGGCGCAGTCAGCTGCACTATGCTACGGATGCGGGGCACAGGAGGTGGGGACGACTTCCGCGGGGCACAGGGGGAGCGGCAGCAGTGGCGTAGCGCGACAAGGATGCGGCCGCCCTTTATCAGTCGCAGCCGGGAAAGGCGGAAGAACTGGGGGCAAGGGTGAGCGCTGCAGGCTTTGTCATGGCTCTGACAGTACGGGCGATCGAGGTTGAATAGCAAAGTCCGGCCGCGGTGGCGTCTGATCCTCCGGAGTTTGCCAGGAAGTGGCACGCCGGCGCCTGTCTTTCTCGCGCCACTGGTTCTGCCGCGGTGCTCTCTATCTCTCTGCGGGAAAGCCGCACAGGGGTGCCCCCGTTGTCTCAGGTCAGTCTTGCAACGGATTCCGCCACCGCGGCTACGAACCAGGTAGCGGCCACTGGGCGCGCACATATCAGGCGGGCAGCTTGCTTGGCTGCCAAGCGTTCGAAGGGGTGGCGCCTGCGCTTTTCTTTGAGGTGGAGGGGCGTCCCGGCGCTGTCCCGCACGGAGACGCAGGCGGAGCGCTCGACGCATGCCAATGCCGGACGGCGCGGCCGATTGTGGTTTGGCGGGTGTCGTGGCGGATGGTGCGCGGCTCCTCTTGTAGGGCCTGCGGGCAAGCGCCGCGGGGGACGCCGTGCGCGGGCTCTGGGTCGGATGCCGTGGCAGCTTCGCGGGTGTGAAGCAAATGGGAGAGGTCTCGGACGTTCTTGCAGGGGTAGAGATTGTCGAGGTACTTGAATCCGAGCGCCGGCACCTTTTGCGTTTTGCCGGCGGCGTGGGCCGTTTCGCTGATCGTCGGGCCGCCCGCCCACTGACTTCGTGAGCCGACAAGCGGCCGGCGTGCAAATACATCACGACGGACGACGCGCCCGCTCGTGGCAGCGCTCTCTCTTAATTTTAGGCCCATGCATCGAGCACGTGACCACCGTGGAAGGAGAAAACTTCGCAAAAATAGCGCGCAGATAGTGCAGGAACTTGCTCAAAGGTGTAAGCTTCTCCAGGCCGCGGGCTACTGGGCCGGGTAAAGTGAAGCAAGAGCCTGGGGCCCGTCTGGTGCCACGCTTGGGGCCCCTTGTTGTCTGTTGCTCGCAGGCAGGGCACCACTTGGACCAGGGGCGCGCGGCCTCGCCCAAGGTGAAGCGAAAGGGGCAGGGGGACGAAGGGGGCAAGGCGCTAGGGCACACGCCAGCGGCCCGCAGGGGGGGCGGCAGAGCTTTTGGGGAGAAGCTGCCCGCCCAACGTCGGGGGAAGGGTTCGCCTTGCCTTCGCTGTCTAGCGTGGTGGGCAAGTTATTAGCTTGCGCCAATGAAATGGGCCAGCTTTGGAGCAGTGTCACCGAGGCAGCAGGGCGGTGGTGGATGCGCGGCGCTGGCAAATTGTGGGGGCGCTGATGCGTTGGCGCTCCCGTTTCCGGCTCGCGCCGGTCGCGGGCGCTGGCTTCCCCGGAGGCTGACAGCAACCAAGGCACGCCACGAAGTGGCGCCCAGGGGTGGAATAGAGACCAGTAAAGAAAGGCTGTCGCGCAGCTTGTTGCGACTTCCTCGTAGTTTTTGTGTCGCTTTTTCGTCGTGTGCTTTTTCTTGGGCTCGGATCATGCTTGCGGCGCTCATGGGTTTTTTCGAGAAGGTCCGCACATTGGCGGGCGGTGTTCGTTGTCTTGTGCGTGCTTGTGGTCTAGTGTCACTGCTGTGGGGCCTCTAGCTCTCGCTCCCCAGCTTTCCAAATCGTAAAACAAACAGACAATAGCCACTAGTACTTGAATTATTGCACTTCCCACAGGCACTGAACGGAATAGTGTGGCCACACATTCAGCGCATGGCCTACGATGAAATGTCCCAGCGTCTCGAAGCCGCGGCAGAGAAAGGTAGTCACCCTCCTGAGCTCTTTTACTTTAGAGAAAATAAGATCGATGCCACGCAAACAACACTGAGAGTGAGGCGTGTCTGTATGTCTGAGCAACACACCTCGCAGAGCTGTCTCCTCAATGGTTTGCGCCCAGTAGGTACGTAGTTTTTCCAAATATGGTTTCTATGAACTGAGTAAACAACGCCCACGATTAATCTTTGAGTACCTCAGTCAGCCTTTCTTTTGCACCAGATTCCTACTACACGTCTCCGAACACTGGCGCTTCGCCAGCCACTGCAGACCCGAAACAAGAGCCAAGTCCACTTACTGCTTTCAAGCAGTCACTTTTCCAATCCGAACCGGATACACTTTATGACGCAGAAGACTGTCGATTTTAGAACTTTGACTCTCTCGATGTTGTAGCGAAATTATACTTTTAGGAAGGAACAAATAGAGACTACTATAACTTAAGTCTAGGTAGTAAGATGCACATCTTCACTCCCAAGAAGACGCTCTTCTACTGCCACTAAAGGAACAACAAAAATCGCCCCCCCCCTACCTATCTTCATTCTGTCCTCAGCCACAGTGGCGGTTCCGGTTCAAGGCCAGTTGTCGTCTTCGATGCCGCGGTCCTCCTAGAAGCTAAATGGGCCTGCGACGAAGTGTGGGTTGTATTCGTGTCTAGAGAAGAGCAAATTCGAAGAATCGTGGATCGGGACTCTAAATCTGAAGAGTTATGGGGAGTTGATATTTGAGGGTTAGAAGATACTAAGTAGTTTGGTATCTGAGGAGTTAAGGTCCATACTTTTCATACGGAAACTTTGATCCGTGTTTTTGTGATCCACCTTGTTTGAGAGCATCGAGCATTCTATACAAGTCAGTCACTGTCGCGGGATCCTGCTTCTTGTTTCGATGCGGATATGTCACTCATTCTATGTGCACTTAGTACTACTCAAAACTATTTAGTCTACCTCCAGCACTAGCTATCTCTATACCTCCAAGTGTAACAAACTTCTTTTCTACGACACTGACTTGATTTCGCTAAACCACGAAGCAGCAAAGCGTATTGACAGCCAGATGGCCTTGGATGAGCGGATGAAGCACGCGGACGTTTTGCTGAGTACGGAATTTGAGCCTGAGGTGACACGAAGCATCGTGAAAAAAGCCGCAGACTCCCTTAGGAAACGGATTGCGATGAGCCAGTAGTTCTTTCTTGTAGGCTTTTTCGGGGAGTGAAGCAGGGTTTTTCGAGTGGTCAAGACTCAAGGGCAACTTGTCAAGGTCAAGATTGAAAGTATACCATTCTGTTCGTGAATGACTCTCGGGGAAATAAACCTGAAGGAATCGATGGCTGATGATCGCAGCAAAGACTATTCGCAAAGCCATGATGTGTTGTCAATGTCATGGAAGCGAAGGCAATTTCCCTCATGTCGTCAGGAGACAGGATAGGCCATGACGCGAATTTTGGAACGCGTCGTGTCGTCTTGTTAATGAAATGTACTCAGATGGGAAGAGCTTGATGAAGCGAAGTTTTGTTCTCGACCTACTACTTAATAACTTATGCAAATGATGATAGACATATGTAAGTGATGTTATAAGTCTGCGAGTGCGTCGTCGTTGTGCGGCGCCTGTCGTTTTGTCACCTGTTCGCAAATGTGCAACCCAAAGTCGACATCTGTATCACATCTGCCAGTCGCAATTTCACGCTCAACGAAGTTCGGTGAATCGGGCTGTCGTGTAGTCTTGAAGAAGCAAAGAGGAACTCAGCTGACTTCTGGCCCCTTGTTGAAACTTGGATCTCATGTACATGTATGACGAGAGGATCAGGTGGGAACGAGAAACAGCTGGACCACTACGAGGAGGAGGGTGAAGACGATGGAGGCAGTCGCAACGCTTTAGAACAATCTCAATCGGATCAGACCTTGCAGCTTCTGTGTCAGTGTACAAGTTTTCTCCAGAACAAGATAGGCATTTTCATTATGGATTCATCTAGTCACTGCACTACCCAGTAAAGGTTCCACCGTCTTAGCCTTTCTGACCCTCTTCCAATTCCTCGCTTTTTAGTTCTTCCACCAAGCAAACTATAGTCCTCCTCCCTCGTCCAACTTCAGCAACTATACTACGCCACGACAATGAATTAGAAAATGTCGACTTCTGCCGGGCTCTGAGCCATCCAGCTCCTCTCACGAATGGGAATCCTCTGAGTGGGACAAACAAGGATGGCAACTCTTTTGTTCGAGAGCAGGCACCAGAGAACAAAGACAAAGTTATAGAAGACCGACTCTTACCCGCACCAGAACGACTCCTACCTGCACGACCAGAGGAACAGCAAAAACAACAAGGTGGTATAATGAAAGTTCTCGCGACAGGTGGTGAACATCAAGCAGTTCCGCCTTCAGGTGATGGAAACCAAGTGCCTCTTCCAGCCGGTGGCGGTCAACCACCAGCAACACAGGTGGATGCTGGGATGAACCAGAATGAACCTGAAGATGGCGAAAATGCGGCTCCTCCACAAGAAGAAGAGCGAGTCTCAATGAAAGTATCGAATTCCTCGGAGTTGGAACCTATACGGAGTACCAAGTTGAGCGAGGAGGTGAGGAAATGCCGAGGGATAGCTCCAGAAAGGTGCCAGAGCGTCTTCAGACAGGCTAAGGCATACTTCTCAGTCGAAGACTTCGATTCCTGGCTTGAAGATGCACAAAACCAACTGAGGCTTAGGGAGTACTTACAATTTACTTGTTGATGTAGATGTTGTAGTCCCTCCGATCGATGTTGTTAATGTTGTGCTTGTGGTCGAGTTCTTGTGTTGTTGTGGATTCATTTGCTGGTCGTTGATGATATTTTCAATTTGATGGAGCAGGTTTTTTTCGTTTCGTTCTCACTCGTCTTGTTGTGCCTAGTGCTTGAAGTTATATTATCTTTCTTCTTGTTTTCAGTTTAATGATCATAATTCTTACCTTCATGCCTAGCTATATATGATCCAGGGCTCAGGGCGACGGTGCCCCTTTTTAAGGCGTCGGCCGGGGGTGGAAGGCCTCAAAAGGGGGCCAAGCGGCCTCCTCCGCTCCCTTCCAGCTGCCTGGGTGTTCCCTACAGGCCTCCGATTTAAGTGGGAGGCCTCAAAAGGGGGCCAGGGGACCGCCTGCGTCCCCTTCCAGGTGCCTGCCTGTGCCTCTAAGTGCCTCCGATATGCTTCGCCGCCGCAGCAGTGCGCCGGCTGTGGAAGGCCTCCGAAGGCGGCAAAAGGTGAGGGGCTGGACCCCCTGAGCCGTGCGGCTTGTCCCCTCCGGGCCCTTGGTCATCGGCTTGCTTGGTCTTGAGACCGTGGCCGCTTTCGGCGGCCCTTCACCCCGGACGCCTCCCGCCTGCGAGGGTCGGCAGAGGCCAGGAGGCCCCTGAGGGACACGCAGGGAGGCGCAAGGGGAGGCCCGCGCCAAGTTTTTCCGCCTTCCACCACCAGAATCCTCGAAAATCGGCGCGGAAAAGCGCGCGCGCGCGCCACCACAGACCACACCACAGGGGGGGCGCACTGTGCAGCCCTACAGCGTACATAAGTAAAAACTTTCGCGCTACAAAGCAACTCTCCACTCAGGCACAGCCCTCCCTTGTTCTACTATCTTGAATATGATGAAAATCTTTACCAGGTGGCTCCTGCAATTCAACCGTAGTGACGCGCATACTTCCTCTAAGGGAACGAAAGCTTTGCGCGATTTCGTGAAAGTGCGGGTGATGGCTAGGCGTCGCCAATTAGACAACCAGGGCATGTGCAGCTCCAAAGTGGTGGAATACTTAAGGCGTGGTGGTGGTCCTTTTTTAGAGTCCCCCCTAGTAGTTAGTAGTAGTGTACCCCGTCTAGAGGTATAATTCAGATTCCTCTTGGTTGTTGTGGGAGCGTGGTCCCTTATTATTCGAAAACTGATCAAGATCATAGGGGAGCTGTAGCTAACTGAAGAAATGAAATTCATCTTGGAGGTTGTTGAGAAGCATATTGGACGAGCCTTCGGCCTTCCTTAAGGAAGCATCTTGAGAGGCATCCTCACTTTTCTTTGACCTCTCCTTTTTTCTATAAGGAAAGGGCGCATCTTCTTGGGGCCTTTCCCTAAGGGAAAAGCACATCACGAGGACAGAAACCCTCGAATCTTCATCTGCGACCATGGCCGCCCCTTTATTTCTCTATAACGTAGGAAACAAAGGAAAGCAGTCCACCCAAGATGACACCCATTCAAGATGCCATCCATCCAAATCCATATCCAAGATGAGTTATTGTCTCTGGTTTGTGGTAGAATTTCACACACACACTGTTGCCTCACAAGTAGTGCGTGCCATACTGTATTAAGTAGAACGCAACTACAAGTCTGTGCCATTGGTAGTTTCTTTGGTGTAGTGGAAGTAAAACTTGGAGAATTTTTCGATTGTCATCATTATATGGCATCAACAAGCTCCCAGCTCTAAAGTACGTCCTTCACCGAACAGAGAAGGCATACGGATCACAGTCGATGGGGTTATGGGCAGCCTACCTGGATTCCAAATCACAAAAAGTCGCCATCTACGTGGACAACCAAATTCAGTACTTACTATCTGCAGCAAGAATGGCAATGATATGTGTGGTTTTTGCTTCGTCTTCCCGTCAGTAGAGTAATCTCACCATCCACGCGCAGGTAACTACTTACTTCTAGTGATTTTTTTATACAGTAATAGTAAAAATCGAATAGCTTTTGAATTTGAATGATTTGATGATATCCAAGAATTTTTGACTTTATTCCATTTCATTCGAATTCATTTTCTGACGAAGAGACTGCATCAGCATCGTACTTGAGTCAGAAGCCACCACGCTTTGCCGTTGCCCTGAAAAATAGACTGATAGTATTCGTGTCATCCAAAAATGTGGACAGTTCTCCAATTTCTCTCGGAACACTTGGAAAAGTGGAAATATAGTCAATATGATTTACTAACAAGATGCAAATGAATCCAAGTACAAAAAAAATCTAAAGAAATAATCTATACTAGAGCAGTTCATAGGGGTGTCGGATTCAGGATGGCATGGAACAGATGGACCTCCCAGGTCCGCTAAGAATTTCAAGCCGAAGGCTTAGGTGTGTCCATCCGATCCATCGACGTCCATCCTACCTCCGTTCTATGGATTATTATAATGTCTTTTACTTTCTCACTGTTCTTTCTCGTGTTTGTTTATTTTACAACTTTGACCAACGATATTACCTAACCTATCGAAAACACCTAACCCCATCCACTCAAAAACTACAGGGAAGCAGAGAGCATGCATAAGTCAAAATCGTTTACAAGTAATGGGGACGCTTCTCCTAGCAATGGCGCAATAGGAGTAGGCAGTTCGGGATCTAGAGCTGCTCTGCATGAGAGAATCTGTGCGATTAAGGCGAGAGCTAACGCTACAGATAGCGCACCAAGGACACTGGCGAGTGGAGGTATGATTACCTATGTACTTTTTTGTTCATACAGTAAGCAAAGGCGTCACCCTATCCTATCCTACGGATCAGTTTTGGTCTTCTTGAAAAAGGTAAAGGTATTAAAATTACTATAAAGGCTACAGCATTAATATAAGAACGGACGTGTATATATTGTTGTAGTTTTTTTGTTTTCTTGAAATGGATTATAACCTGGAATTGTTGATCATGTTCGAGCAAATAGAACCTCGTAGGTACGAACGACCTAGAGTTTTGTATTCCTCACTCCAATTGATACCTAGCTAGGTAGAGAATAGGTATTCTGAACAACTCAGGTCCAGTTAGCACTTTGACGCTGACCCAGGACGCCTTAGAGAAGCTGGGTAGGAGACCCGCGCCTGCACCACCGAAAGACGTGCAAAGGAAAAGAAGAAAAGACTAAGGCCTCACTTAATACATCTTCTAGCTCATCTGGAGTCCGTTTTCATGTAGAAAAGGGAAGACAGATGAGGCAAAAGATGGATTGTAGTGAGTTCGAAAAAGAAGAGGAAGATAGAGACCGAAGGCACAAGCCAGATCATGACGTTGATCGGGATAATCTGAAGCGTACTAGTGCTGGAGCTGGTGGAGTCAACACAGCATCTTCTTCAAAGGTAGTAGTAGAACCCAGAAAAGGTGGTACTGGTAGCCTTACCGCGCAGGAACTGTTAGGAGGAGATCCCTCGCCAAATAGGAAAGCAGCGACTACAGCTGGTGGGGCTTCATCTAGTGCAGCTTTTGGTCATCATGCAGCTGCTCCAAGCACGACGACCACTACAACCAAGAAGCCATCAATTTTCACTACCACACCACATGGGCTACCTCTTCCACCGCCTGCCTCGTCAAATGATATGCCAGCAGTTTCTATCTCTTCTAGCCCAAAACCTACTACAACTTCTACTACGACAACGACCATGCAGCATACGACTAGTACAGCAGCGACCACAGCTGCTCCAGTACAGCATACTAGTGTCTCCAGTAGTACAGCAGCCTTATTAGCAGACGACAACGAGGGCGACACGAGGGCTAAGTTAGTGGAAGAGGATGCGGATGGCATGATTAGTACTAAAAAGAAGAAAACAGCGACAGGCTATGAAGATGTGGACATCGACTACGATGATTTGTGAATGGAGTGGAGGAGCTGAAAGATGTGATGAAAATTGTAGGAGGAAATAAACGAGGAACCTCTGACAAGTACAACGAAGAGCTGAGAACAATCTTGTTCTTGAATATTATTTTTACGGCGCATTGCGTTGATTGTTGCAGAATTGTTCTCAACATAATAGAATAATTTATAGAACGGATGTAGGATAGACTTGGATGGATCGGATGGACCCTCCTAAGCCTTCCGGTCCTACTTGAAATGGTGGGAAGTCCATCCGTTCCATCCGATTCCGATCCATCCCATCCCGGATCTGGCGCCCCTATGAATTATTCTAACATAAGTATACGAATGATTCAACATGATCGAAATCCACGACGTGATCCTGTTAAGAGTACTAATATTTTTCAAAAATAAGTATAAGTAACGGAACTAATTGCACAATTTCGCCCCCTTACCTCAAGTATAGGCACATCAATCAATGACTGCTCTTCACCTTCGGCTTCTGATCAGCAGAAGATGTAGTTTCACTACTCAGACGTTGACGACCAAGAAAGACAATCATGTCGAAGATGTTGTAGTTACCCTTGAAAATTGAATCTCAACAAGACCAATATTAGAACAAGAATAGAGAAGAATTGTAGTCTCGCAGATATATTATTGGCTGAGGGGGCCACCTTGTGCAAGTTGCTGTGAAAGTTCTTTCTTTGGATTATGATTCTTTAGTCCTACAGCATAGCATCAACCGCGTGTTTCCATATTTTTTGGGTACTCTGAGATACATGGTTTCGGACGATGTTTTCCTTTCCGACCGGTTCCTGAAAATAGAAGAAATGGCAGATCAACCTCAAATAGATCTTCGACTTGTTGATGTCTTCACAAGTTCAATGCAGGAAAGAATGTTGCTACTAGTGATCCTAAAAAGTTTCGCATTGCGACAAATATAGACCCAGGCCCCCCAAAAAAAAAGATGCTGGTGGCAGCGTAAATGAATGAATGAATGAACAAGTTCAATGTTCGCTACTCTTTCCAAAAAGCTCGCTGGACACAAGCGAGCACTTCTGAAGGGCTCCGCTCTATTTTGCGGGAATGAAGATCATGAGAGCAGAAGGCAGCAAAGATCAGAGCGTGACACTAGGAGGATGCAGATCATCCGACGACGTGAAGTACTTATCCGCAAACGGACGTTCGAACAAAATTTCAGTGCTGTAGAGGACCATAAGAACCCGCCTAGGTGTATTATGTGAATGTAGCGACCTTTTTCATTGCTTCATCTAGTTTTCAAATTTGCATATTCATTGGTTGTTCATGTTCTCGATTTCTTAGAGAAGGACATTCAGCTTACTTATGACAAAATGACTGTCCTTCCTCAAAAAATGACTTCTGCCCACGACCAAGAGCAAGACCAAGTAGAGTCTGCTTCTGCAGCTACAGCAGCTGGTGTACGTGTGCCTTCTTCTCCTCGGTGGTCTTGGAATCGAACCACTGTTTTAGACAAGCTCGTATTAGGGAGAACGAGGCGTAAAATCTCTACACCCACGTTCTCGATTCCGACGCGTCGCGGACTACCGCCAAATCTCACTGCACAGGCTTTGGAGGAAGTCCTGGACGATCAAGTGGAAGATGGGTATTTGGTGAATATTCCCATTGGTGACATTGTGGCAACAAATGGGAAGAAGATATTGGTACCAACGAGTGGAACTGGTAGTCGTGATGGAGCGAATGGAGAGGGAGACTGCCACGGTTGTTACCTTGAAGGTGAAAACAAGACGAGTGAAGTAGAGGACTATCTAGGCTACAACAATACGAGCAATACTTCTTCCTCCTCTACTTCTAGTCTAGACTCTTCGAGTAGAGCACCAGGTAGAGCAGTTCTCTATCTGGGTTTCCGAGACGGCTTAACACCTCCGACGAAGAGAGCAGAACTAAATGGTGGAGTATCGCAGTTACTTGCTGACACAGGATCATTGTTGAAGGCTCCAACTTCTGTCTCTCCAACCTCTGGTCCGCCTATGACAGGAGTCAGTGAAGTAGAGGCACAATTGGTGGAGAAAGATCAAATAACAGCAACCACCGCAAATGGACTCGAGGAGGCTTCTAAAGTCGTAGTTTTCAAGAAAAAGAAGCGACGCGTAATGGCTGTCGACGAGCTACCTGGGATCAACACAACTGGTGCTAAGCCAACTAACGGAATGTCTCAACAAAAAGGAGGTAACAAAAACCAAAATCAAAAAGGAAATGGGAAAACCTCTTCTAGTATGTTGACAATCAAAGATTGCTTCTCACGCGAGCCAAAGATGGTAGCCACGGATGCTCAGACGGGAGCGAAGAGCATCGCTATCAAAGACGGGATGAACAAAAAAGACATCAAAGTGAATATAGGAACAGGAGCGACTACAACTACGACTCCTACTGCTAGCGTTGAGAACATCAGGAGTAAAGCAGAAACCTCCACGACTGACCCTAAGCCCAAGGCGACTGAGCAGAATCAGAAGACGCCACAGCCAGATGTCCCGACTTCAAAAAAGCAGATCTCCAGCACATTGAAGCCAGTCACTCTGGAGAATACGCTTCATGGTAGCCAGAAGATCGAGGAAAAAGACGTTTGCTTATTGGCCAAAAACTTCACCTTCGCGACACAACCATCAGAGGAAATTGCCTGTCAAGTCGGTCGCAACCGTGCACAACGCAGTGTTGAGCGGAGTCGCGATGGGTGGAAAGAAATCTCAACGACTACATCTCAATCTTGTCAAGCAAAAGACCTAAGAGCAGATACGCCTTCATTCCTTTACTCCATCCAAGGTGGCGCTTTTGAAGGTTTGCGCGTGATTGCCAGTAAGAACGCAACAACAAATTCAAGAAATTCGTGTTCCAACTACTCCATTAAGCATGTTGCTCCTGCTGGTTTTGCGATTGGTGGTTTGGGCTTAGGGGAGTCGTTCTCGGACAGAATGAGGGTCGTGGACACTGTAGTGAAAAGCTTGCCGGATTATATTATATCCGCAACATTCCAGAAGCAGAAGAACGGTGGTGGAGAAGAGAAGAGTGCTGGCAACGGAGATGGAGAAGTTCGTAGTCTTGCCGACCAAGTGGAACAAACTCAACAAACTGCTCTTCATCTACTCCAGCCCCGTTTTCTTCAACTAGGCGCTTGTGGGGACGTGATCGACGTCCTAGAGATGGCGGATAAGATCGATGTTTTCGAGCTCAGTTTCCCGTTCCATGCAGCTAATCATGGTGTGGCACTTACTTTCGACGTCAGCATGGATGACGTGGTCACAGCAGAAGCCATGTCCATGACATCTTCTTCAGCAGAGACTACAACTAGTAGTGTGAAGCCTTGGTGCGTCGATCTCAACGAAAAGCAGATGGCAGATGAATTCACTCCCATCGATCCCAATGGCGAACACACTCACAAGAACGTCGAAGAACACTACACACGCGCTTATCTACACCATTTATTAGGATTGCAAGAGTTGGTGGCCTACATTTGGTTGACGCGACACAATTTGAGGAAGTATCGTGCACTTTTCGCAGAGATCCGAAAGCATCTGCGAGCTGGTACTTTTCTCGAGTATCGTTTGTGGTTCTACACAAGGCATGGAATTGATGTCGGAGAAGTGGAGGGGTGGAGAACGGCATAAAGAACTCAAATGAAAATGAACCCCAACGCCAGCCCAATTGGATCATTGAATTTGAAACATCGACAAACGTTGACATTCTCACTACTCACCCTACTGATTCTCTTCCGATTCATAGTGCATCTTTGGCCTTCCCAGCCGAACTCTGCAACACGACCTTACTATGACTTTATTAGTAAATGTTTCTCTTCCATTTCGCATTCGCTTCTCGCCCAAAATAAAAATTTACTTACCTGTTGTCTTGTTGGGATGAACTCGAAATTCGTAATTTCTAGTGGTGGCGATGCGCTGCTCGTTTAAGCCTTGTCTCTTAAAACCTCGTGTTCATAAATTGTTCGGGTCACATCGGTGATGATGTATCTGTGGACGAGCTGGCCAAAGTTCATCTTCATCTAATAAATTCTAAGGCTAGAATCTAACGCACGTTGTACAAAGGTAGAAGTACTCGGTTTATATCGGTATGTCGACATCGGTAACAAAGTCGGTAGCAGCGCAAGAAGATCTACATCCATTTGGTTTCAGTTCCTGACAATGACTGCGATGGCGAGTCGATTCGGTTAATGAGAATATGCCTAGTACATTCATAGTTTCCTCCCGCAGACGTCCCCAGCGAAAATGAAGTGATAAGATAACATCAAGGATAAAGGTATACATATGGTTGATAATCTTGTCCTAAAAACAGTAACATCAATCGCCGGTTCGTCACATTTTCAAGTTTCTCCAATGTTGTAGAGGTAGAGCTAACTACGGGACGTAGTACAGAGTATGTATTCTTGTTAATGTACTTAGTTAAGTATGCTAAATTATCAAAAGGTGAGATGAGCAAGACCAAGAGCATGAGTAAGAGTACCTAGATGAAGACCACGTAGTAGAAGAGGACGTTGTCCTTGTCCTTGCACCAAGCGAGAAAATGGAGGGAGGCTTGAATTTCCTTTTCGTGCCGAGTTCGGTACTCTCCGTTGACGAGGAGACGGAGAGCACTGGATCATTGTGCAGAAAGGAGAATAGTGGAGAAGATGAGAAGGATCCAGATGCGTACCAAGAGGTGGAACTAGCAGACGATCCTCCATCACCAGAAAAAGTCAAACCTGGTTCATTCCGCTACCGTAGTAGGCGAGTCGCCGCGGATCTGGAACTCTACGTGAAGAGAACAAAGAAAGTGCTACGAAGAGAGTGGTCTAAAGAAGTAGAGCCTAGGCAACGAGAACAAGAAAACGTCAGCTGCAATATAAACGAATTATACGAGGACACGACACCTGAATACGACACTCCTCAACGCCAACGACGATCTCAAGTTTTCTTGTTTGCCCCTCCTGACGCTGACAGACAGGGACATCATGGGCAGGACCCTTCCGATCATGTAGACCATGGAGATGCACCGGAACGTACTGGAAGTGCCTCCAGCACTTCCGCTCAAATCGGCGAAAGCAGAAATCAAGTCCATGATCAAGAACGTGTAGCGCTCAATGAAGATGAGCATACCAGACTCCTTCGAGTACATGGACTTGGACATAGACAACATGGTCGTGGAGCTGCTAGTGCTAGCCGTGATGAAGATGTTCTTCTTGTTGGTCGTGTTGAGGGTGCTGAAGTTAGAAGAAGAATACCTGGAGGAGTGCGGTTATTTGATCAGCCAGCGGCTGGCACAACTGAACAAGACCCGCATGTTGCTACCGCAACTAGTCCAACGGCGCGTCTCCCTTTCCCGCATAATGACCAGCGCAACATTAAGAGTAGGCTAGAGGTGCTTCTGTTGCCGTTTGTTTTGCCTCTCTCCCTTAATTATAGGCAGAGAAAGGCAGAACAATAACGAGAAACAGAAATACCAAAACTCTACCTCTAACAACAACAACATCATCGTTCGTCCATTTCTCCCTACCAGCAAAGAACGCGCTGAGAGCACTGAGACTCTCTCCCAGGCTATCTCCTTCTGCGAAGGTCTGCTTGAAGGGGAGATGCTGACGATGTTTTACCTCTTCAAAGACTCCTTTCACATGAATCCGGCTCCGATAGGGCTCATACTTGGCGCTACGCACATTCCCTTCCTGTTCAAGCCGTGGATTGCTCATTGGGTGGACGATGGAGGAAGTAAAGGATATCGATCTATCTCCGGACTTTTTGTTATGGCTGCTGATTATCCGAGTAGATAATATTACAGATACCTCCCTTACACTCTTAGTCTCAGCACTCTACTTTCAGTATTTTTAAGATATATCAGTTTATCCCTATCAATGAATGAATGTGGATCCGTCAGACTCGTCAGAGAGATTTTTTAGTTGGAACAAGTACATGTACAACTATTATTTTTATTAAGGACCGTTAGCTGCTGCTAGCAGTAGCTCTAATGTCAGACCAGCAGCTGAAGACGACTCTGAAAGCGAGAGTGGTTTTGGCATGGAAGAATTGCAAATGCACAAGGAACGAAAGGATTTGCAGAGGAGGAAAAGAATTTTGTTGATCTCAAGTTTTGCGAGTGTCGCCGCACATCTTTTCGTCTCTGGAAAATACCAGGCACTGACTTTTACCTGCTTCCTAGCAATGCGAGTCAGCAGTTGCTTGACGCAGTCCGTTGCACAGGCGTTAGTGGTTACGGGGTCACGAGAGAGGGAACAAACACAGGATGCTGCGAATGTTCAAGCTCAAGAACTGGCTGTACGCTCGTTAGGTTCAACTGGAACACGGGGAATGGAGAGAACTACAGGCAGTTCTTCGTCGTCCACGAATCTGCAAAACGAAGACAACGTTGAGGTTGCTGCCACGGCGGTCGCTGGTTTCTTCTACACAAGGGCTGCGGGTGCCCTCGTCGCCGCATATGGAAGCGGAACATTGCTGACTTACGGCGTCAGACCGGAAGCTCTCTTTCGCGCCATGAGCCTGTTTCCAGCAGCCATTGCGGCTGTCACCATCGCCTATCAACAGCGAGTGTTTGAGCCCGTTGGGGATGCAGCAGCAGTATTGCGAAGGAGATCGCAATTTGTGAACTCCAATGTTCAAGTGGGCGAACGTAGAGGTGGAGGTCAAGAAGTAGATGGCAGAGGCGATCCTGAGAATGTTGCACACCAGTCTACTTCTATGACAACTAGAGGTGGACAAAGTCAACAAACTCTGCCTACGCCACACAACAATGTCCAGCTGAATCGAGCCTCTTCGGCAAGTGCGGTTTTTACAAGGGAGTATTCTTACCAAGTCTCCGAAATAGACCATCACGAAGATCATGGAAAGGGGTTGAGCATTTCGGACTTAGCTAAAAGAATGTACGAGGACGAGCGAGTTTTTGTACCCGCAACATTTGTGATGCTGTACATGATTTTAAGGGTAGGCTAAAGGAGTTCACGTTACCGCTTGTTTTGCCGCTCTTAAGGGAGAGAGGCAGAACAAACGGGGCACGCGAACACCAAAAACCTACCTCTAATGATTGGCCCCAACTACGACGACGCTTTGAACTTCTTCTTCATCAACCGGCTGCATTGGACAGCCCAATTTCTGGGTGGCATTCAGCTGGCGCATCACGCGGCGAAAGTGGTCGGCATGGGAGCATATCGAGCGTTCAGCTTACACCGTTTCCCAGTGCAGACGCTGCACATGACGTCAGTTTTGATATCAGGGGCATTGTTTATGTTATGAGATGGATCTCTGGATTTATTGATGGTCCTAAGCAACCACCCCCGCTAGATTCTGATGCTATGAATATGACCGAGCCAGCAGTCTCTTGTGCTATATCTAGAAGACTCGTTTCGATTTGCATTGATTGTAGTTCAAATTTCATCGTCACCCCCCTCCCTCACATTAGAACTTACTAATCATAATACTTCTTCTTCTCGTTGTAGTAGTCCCACCTTCCTATGAATGTCTTATTCTTTCCCTCAATGATAACTACGAAGGTGGATGATACTCTTCGAAGATGCAAACAATAGTATCATAAATACAAATATATACCCCTTTCTTCATCCCTCCTTCCCGCGTTGATCACGACCGGTGCTTATATCCCGCTAGGGTTAAATCCGAAGGTGTTGTTAAGGCTCAACTTTCATTCGTCATCATTTAGATTGCATTTAGATTGGTCACTGAAATCGAAGAGGGGCCCCCTTGCGAGAACACACAGGGGAAAACTAAGGGAAAACAAGTCGAGACATGCGGGGCCCCTGGCGTTCAGAGTCACTGACCAATGAGTGATGACCTTTAATGTTGGCACTTACGGGCGAAGTGTTGCGGGACGCCATTGGCTGGTTTCTGATGATGCCATTGTTCACAGACATGGTGAAAAGATTTGCGCCTAAAGTTAAGGGTAACATCTTTGAGAGGAATTTCTGCGACAGGGGCCTCAGGGTCGTTGATACCTGGCGGTGAACAAGTTGTAGTACAGCCGGCTGTTGGCACTGACATCTCTGCTCTCTAGTAGAAGATGGTTGGAAGGTGAATCTCTATTACTTAGCATCCCTATGACATATTTTTTTGCTTGAGAGAATATAGAGATCACTATTAGCATCTCTATGGTTTCTTCAAGCACGAAAGCCATAGATCAGATGCGAGCTAGAACGGTCAACTTTCAACCCCTAATAGAGGCAGGGAAGCTTCTACCTTTGCCATGATGAGTTTTCTTCCGACTGCAGCAAAATTCATCAATAAATTAAGGCTTATTGCGATTTTGATCCCGTAATTTAAATTCTAGATCTTTCTAGTGGTACGTAGTTTGTTCATAAATTGAAGAGCAAGAGCATCTTTGACTCTGATGCTTCTACTTACTTTTTGAAAGTTTTTAGACAACTTATTCCGGTTTGAATTACTTTGTAGATCAACATTTCCGGAATTACCGAGACTGCGTAAGAAAGCTCTAAGGAAAGCAGTTAGCTCTGGTTGCATTGAGCTGTTGGGGATCACGGCGACGAACTTCGATCATATCACGTTGTTCATCTGCATGGTGTCTGCGTCGAATTTTCTTCCTTGTGCTCTGGTTGCAGCAGGCGTTTTGCGGTACTACGATAACACCTTATTAAGGGCAACATCATCTTTGACAGGGATTTCTGCGACAGGAGGAGCCTCAGGGTCGTTGATACCTGGCGTTGAACAAGATGTAGCACAGCCGGCTGCTGGTGCTGGAGCTGCTGGAGGGCAGCAAGATGTTGCACAGCAGAAGAAAATCGAGAGTGCCACAACTTCTCCAAACCCTCTAGAAGTAGGACCACAAGCATCTTCACCTTCATCACCTACCTCACCAGCACACTGTCATCAAGTGGAAGCAAACTCAAGCTTAATAAACACAACACCCCAACAAGGAGCGCAAGCTGCAGCACTCACGTTGGCTGCACCCCACGAACGACTTCCTGAACCTTCTGAGGATGAATACGAAGCCGATCCAGCTTACTCTCCAGGTCAGCTGCAGCCTCCAACCACGCCTGCACGCTCAATGGGCGTAGAAGAAGCATCGACTGCTAGTGAAAATGGAGGAAACTACTGATGACGAGTATGAGTAACAAGATAGAAATTATAATAGTAGTCTAGCTCCTCTAGTACGCTGTTGTACTTCCGTAAGTATCAGTATGTTTTTTCAAAAATTTGATAGTATCACGTAGATAGTCGGTCGTCTTTCAATCATATGCAAAACCCATTCCAAGAACTATGTCATTAATTTCCAAGAATCCTGGGTTGTAACATCCATGTTATCTTCTCGCTTTCGACACAAATCCAGCCACCATAGATCATCGTAGTCCGTCTTCTTAGTGGTTTCTGTTCTTTCTCTTCTTCACCTCTTCCTTCAGTCACCTTCTTTATCACAATTTTATCCGTGTTTAAACATTCATGTTCATCTTGTTGTTGAGATGAAGTAGCGCCTGCAGAAGTTGTTCAGGTCCTGGTGAGTGTAGAAGTTGTTGAGATGAAAGAATACACAGTCTCTCTCTCTCGCCCCCCACAGTCTCTCTCATCTGCACAGAGGTGTGGACTCTCTTCAGGAGTCTCTGGACAGAAGTGTAATGCACTCTTTTCAGGAGCTGCCTCGTCACGGTACTACGGAACACCTATCCTTTGAGAAAGTTGTGCCTGGGTCTATATTCCTCGCGATACGAACATTTAATTACCAGCTGGAATGCGATTGATGAAAAATGGTGAGGAACACCTATCATTTGATAATACGACCTGGCGTCATAGACCCAGATAAAAACAAAAAGAAAGGATCGTAGATCTGATCAATGAGAGAAGGGAGATCTGAGGTTGATGAGGGATCAATCACCTACGCCTTGAAGGCGAGTCGTGGAAAGATACGCATTCCACGTTTGACTGAGAAATTCCCCGTCTGTCCTGAGGTTTATGAAGTATGGAGATTGCCAATCTTCTGTGGTCTGCCATGTCGCGAAACCTCAGATTCAGAACTTACATTGTGCCGCAAATTATCTATCTTGAGAGTGTTGCTATCGCAAGAGTGAAGATTGTATCTGTCTTGAGAGTCGATTGCTCCCACTTCTGTGTCGAGAAGATGATCATGATCAATAAAGAGTTGATACTGCTAACGCTGAGCTTGTTCTTGTTTGTCCTTCTCATTCCACGTCTCTTCTATGATTTCGTATTACGTGTTAATGTTGATATCAATTGTCCTCACCATTTTTCATCAATCGCATTCCAGCTGGTAATTAAATGTTCGTATCGCGAGGAATATAGACCCAGGTCCCAAAAACGCCATAGAACTAAACGCCATAGCTAAAACAGGGACCGCGAATTCTTACAGCTGACTGCTGTTGAAACAACCTCTCAAAAAATCGAAGAAAAGCTTTTCGCTTGCAATTGTTACACCTAGAGACTAGGGCAACTACGTCAATATTTAGGTTAAGTAGGTTAATACGAATATTGCCTCTAATATATCACACGTTCTCTGTCAGATACATCATCTGACGTACCTACTTTTTTGTTCATTTAAAAGAAAACGAAAAGTGGAAAAGGTTACATTGAGAATACTTCTAGGCGATCATAGTACTCCGCCCATCGTGGTGATCATAGTGATAGGTAATTGTTTTGTTTTTTTCTGGTAAGTAATACTTAGTATTCGAGGAAGACAAACTTGTGTAACTAACTATTGGTAGACGCTTGATGCAAATAGAGTCCCGTTGCCCCCTTCTACAATCTGTTGTTTTATCATCAAGCACGAACAAAAAGATGCTGGATATTTTGAGCAGCAAGAAGATGACTAAAAAGGGAGGCGCAGGAGCATTCGCTTTGTTTTGCTCTGCTTCGCCCTGTCTTATGGGGGCAGGAGTGGCCGGGGTGCGGCTGCAGTTGGGGCGGAAGATCCTAACCAACACTGAAGCTCAAGTGGGCACACCTGGAGGAGGAGAGGGGTCCTCCTTTGCAGATGCATCCTCGGTCATAGCTCGTGGAGCGTCCTCTCCTGCAGTGCCTTCTGAAGTAGAGGTGGTGAACCTACAATGCTACTTCGGCGTGGGCGGTAACCAAAGGGCTGATTTGAAGATTCTCTTGAAGGGCACAAGATCTTCGGGTTCCGAGGAAAAGAAGTCGACCGCGCTAGTTGGAGACGACACATTCCAAGACTTTCTGAAAGTCGCACTCGCTGCATTCCGGAAAGACCAACGACCTGACAAGGTAACGGCGTGGAAGAATGCCTACTTGGGTTTAGGTCCGGAACATGTGCAGCTTGTTCTTCCGAGTGGCAAAGTGATTGGACCTTATGTGAGTCAGTCGTTTTTTATCATCTGATAGATAAACATAGAGGCTAGAACTAGAAGTTGCGTGGCCTCCTGTCTTGAGTCTTCACTTATGAGTCACGGACGTTGATGAAGAAACGGCCTCTAACTAGAAAAAGAAGTCGGCTTTCTGGGTGGTTCCCTGAACGATGGACTCGCAGGCGAGATTCAAAAAGTTGTTGCTGCGGCTGCGCGTGAAAACAAGGAGCTACATGGAGGAAACAAGATCGACCTTGTCGTCTCCGTAATCCCAGATGGGAATGGCTTGTACAGCAAGGACAAACTCTTGAAGCACATCATGGAAGATCCATGGATGAGTGTAGGTCTTCTTTCCTCAGACTCAACCCATGAAGCTGTAAAATGCGACAAAGATATCGCTCTTGCAGCAGTCACGAGAGCAGATGCGAATCTACTTGAATTTGTCTGTGAGGACCTACGAAATGACCGCGAAGTTGTGCTGGCGGCTGTCGGAATATATGGACGATCCCTTCTGTATGCCTCTCGCGATATGAGGGCTGATCCCGAAATTGTTCTGGTGGCGGTCCGACAGCACATGGGCGTATGGGGTGCCGAAGTTTTTCTTCAGCACATCTCTCCCGAACTAAAAGACAATCGCGAAATTGTGCTGGCGTTAGCGCAAAAGTTCGGGCCTGCTGCACTTGAATGGGCATCGTCGGACTTGCAAAAAGACCGCGATGTTGTTCTGGCGGCTGTCCAGCATGCTGAGGCAGCATTCCTTCGGGATGTTCCGATAGATCTGCAAAATGACCGCGAATTTGTTCGGGCGGCTGTCGACGCAGATTGGACGGCCTTTCAGTTTGCCTCTGAAGAGATGAGGGCTGACCCCGAGATTGTTCTGGTGGCTCTCAGGAAAGCACCGAAACTTGGACGCTATCTTGTCCTTCACGCCGTCTCTTCCGAACTAAAAAACAATAAAGAAGCTGTGCTTCAGTTTGTCACAGAAGACGCAGAGAATGCACTGCATTGGGCATCGCGGGACTTGCAAAAAGACCGCGATGTTGTTCTGGCGGCTGTCCGGGCAGAGGGGCGTTCCATTCGTTATGCCTCTCCTGAGATGCAGGTTGACCTCGGGATTATCTTGGCGGCGTTTGAACAAGATCCTGGCGCGCTTCGGTGCCTTCCTGACGGGTTGCTGAAGAGCCGCGACTTCAAGCTGAATGTTCTTGGGCCACTGGAACAAGTGAAAGCACTCGTGGTTGCGCTGAAGACACGTTTTGATGAGCTCCCGACAGACGACGAGGTGCGTGTCGCAGTTGCCAGGCTCAATTCCATACTCTGAGTGAATTCGCTTTCGCCTTGAGACGAGCCTTGGGCTCGCAGATGCTCGTATCCGAGCGCGATCATGGGATGTATAATTTATTGGATCGGCTGTGTTCGAGCAGTGTCATGCCTTGGCTTTTGAAATAAGTTTGAATTTCTATCGTTATCCTGCATAGAAGAAAATGAATAGAGTTTTGAAGATTCTCACGCTGCGACTGCGTGGCGCGTTGAGTATTTTGGTTAAAGGTAAGCGCCGCTTCTACTTTCACACCTTCTAATCACTTTTTTTTACGGATTACAGTGTAAATATTTACGACTTATGTAGGTTGGCCCATGGTCATGAAGAACCACGAAGCCGCGTCGTTTCTTGCTAAATAAGCGAGAACAACTACATGTTGACTACATCTCTCTAACCATTTTTCAGGTACATACTTGGGGTGACAAAAGCAGAGCGGAGATACTGCTTCCAATGGGTGAAGACGAAGGAGATGCCGAAGAAGAACAATTACTAATGACTATCTACTAACTCTACTTTGTATTTTCCTTTGCGAAATTATAGAAGCACTTGTAATTAATTTGTAACAGCCAAAGTCGGTTATTTTCCTTTGCGAAAAGAAAAAGACAGTTATGAGCGTTGTGTCTAAAATAAAAGTACGAACTTTTTCCTTTGCGAAAAGAAAGCGATAAGGTCTCAGCTTGAGTTTATGTCTGAATTTGAATTACGCGGAGGTACCCGTAGCTGAACCATCTATCAGAGGAAGCACTACTCGGGACATCAAGAATAGCTCTGTCATTGAAAGTGGAGCTAGGAGCGGGCGGCGCTTTAATATACTGATTTGTCGAGTCGTGCCGCATGACAGGCGTTGGATGCACCGCATGACAGTCCTTGCCCCAAAGAGATACATCTAAGCACTGACGACGGGGTACCTGTCATACAACATCAGATTGGCAGGCGCTCAGATGCGGCAGCTCTAGCAACTTGAAGGTTATATTGGGCCTGCTATACTCGTCTGGAAATAATGATATTATTTGAGATTTTATTCGCTGTTGTTCTCTAGTAGTTGTAAAAATGTATGAGGCTAGTGCGACACGTACTCGCATAGTCCATAAGCTTCGTTTTAGTGTGTGCAGCAGTAGATTGATTACCGAGAAGCCTAAATTGGTCGGAGCTTATCAATCTTAAAAGCAATTTGATATTGATCCATCTAGAGTAGAAAAGTTGCGGCCCCCAAGTGAAAGTTTTCCATACCTCCGGTATTAAGCCTTGCCTGTTAAGTAGTTAACTGCTAAGCCTAAGCGTCTAACTACTCTTCTGCGCGATTAATGTTATCTTCTATGCATGGAAAAACCTCAGCACGGTCAGTAAATCGGGTATCAAGCTCCGATGACCATGAGGGTATTGGATAACTGCACTGGGGGTTCAACAGATGCTCAGACGTCAACACTTGTACTAGGTACTACATTTATTCCTACAAATGATACAGTTTATCTTCCAGTTCCACGACAAATGATTATGAGCATGATGATGAAAATAGAATTACTTAATTGCACATCAAGATTCATTCACGGCCGATTATGATTAATATCCCTCGTCTTTTATTTCCTCTCAACGATATGAATAATGAATCGCACTAGATTAATTTCCATCGTCATTCCCTCTATCTCTAAGTCTTTACTTGAAAAGACAAGAGAGATACTAATAATAGAGGTTATAGACGAACGACCTACTACACTTTTAAACTACTGAATTGACAAGTAGAAAGATTGACATCATTCAAACAAAAGCTGTGCTAATTGCCACACATATATTTTATTAAACCACCAGCGACGTTGCTGGCCTTAAAAAAAATTTTCCGTATCGTCGTTACTAGGTCGTGAGAAGATGGAGGCACTGCAGATGCCCATTCTTCTTCTACACCCTAACGAGTCCTCCGTGTGCAGTGTAGAACTTCAAACTCTGTCATCTTTCATCTCTATATACTTCTATCAAAGTTGTAACTCGATCTAGTACTAAGCCGCCCCCAGCGCCCAGTTACCTACTTACAAAAAGAGAAACGCATTGAGTTTGAAAGTTGGCCAGAATTTGGTGAGATACTAGTTGGTTTCTAGCAGGTGACTACTACTAGATCTTCTACTGTGACTGATTTGAAAGATCGCAAAAAATAGATGAAGGATCAATTTGAATAACAAACATTTATGTAGTGGAAGATTAGATAGAAGTGAGTCTATGTTTGTTTCACTTTCAAAATATGAAGAATGGGTTCTTAGTAGAGCAGTTTTATTTTCCTTGAAAATTGATGGAAGCGCATCAGCATATTGTTGAGCATGATAAATTATACAAAGTTGAACGGGCGACGAAATGGCACACTCTCACTCGACACATGCGGAACAGCAATGCTTTGGCCAACGGTCGTCGGACGTGACTGCGGACGCGTGAGTGGTGCGCATGGATGTTGATCACAACGCGCGGAGGCTGTCAGTGGAGGGTGTCGCTTTCTGCACGTGGCCTGCAGTGGGTGGGCGATTCCTGTAAGTGTCTTTTCCTGTCCGGGTCTCTTCTTGTACATGCAAAGACGACGGCGGCCTGCGGTGGCGGGTGTCTCCTTGTGTGTCTGTGCGTTCCATCATAAGCAACCGTGGCTGAGGTCAGTAATGCCATCCCAGGTCGACGCTAGGAGTTCGGGAAAAATACACAGTCAGTTCTCTAGGAGTTCATCGGCAGTAGTTCTCTAGGAACAAGTAAGGTCGCCGTGCTTTTTCCTTTCTTGAGTACTAGGCTCGTGGAGTAAATGTCCACGTTTTGACCTCTGTGCCTGTGCGCATCTGCGTGTTGCTCTATGTATGTCTCACTCATACTGTTCGAAGTTTTTTGTGTAAAAACGATCAAGATCAACATCATGTAAAAATAGTTTTTTTTTTCGTTTTCTTTTTCTGCGCGCAGGCTAGTTCTGACAGGTAGTTGCATGGGCGGCGTTGCAATAACTTCCTGTTCGTCGTTAAAAGTCCTCAGAGAGGAGGAGATTTCATGATCCCCAGGTCCCTGATGACGTGGTGTTCTTGATTGCGGGACTCCTTAGCATGAACAAAGCTCCCTAGGATGAACAAAGCTCCACCTTAGCATCGCATCAGGTGGAGTTGACATGGCGATGATTTGTTTCTGAGTTCTCTGGAATGATCCGTATTGAATTCAACGAAAACAAGTAGTGAAAAGTAAAAGAAAACTGGAGAAACGATAAGTCGAACAAACTGTATGCTGGTACTCGTTTCATCTGCTTCACAATATTTTGGAAAAAAGAAATATGTTGAAGAAGAAAGGCGCTGTATCAGTCATGAAAACGCCGAAGCTCTACTTCTCAACGGCTGGTGGAGATGCAGCGATCTACTCGCCGTATGTCGACGCTCCTGTAACCTGGATCTGTGAAAAGTGAGTACCTGTACCTGGATCTGTAAAGTCGACGCTCCTGTACCTCCTGGAACTGTAAAAAGTGAGTACGTATTCATCTAAGAAATCGCTCGGTCAAGAAGACAATTGTATGGAAAGCTTGTTCACGCACGTATCACAGGAGACACTCTACTTCAGACACTCTAGCATCATCTAGGAGCTTCATGATCAATCGATCTACTAAAGAAAGTAATTAATTTTATAGATCTATTGGTATTACAATTACCCAAGTAAGAAGCGAGTACGTAGACAAGAATAAGGTGTTGAGTAGGTAAACGTAAAGGTACTATCTATAAGTAGCTATTCAATCATAGCGATTTCTACTCTGACCACCATGCTGTTTCATCGGCGTCGTGTGTTTTCCATCTGCCTGTGGTCCTTGTTTACAGAACATGTCTCTTTGGTCCGCGCAGTCAATTTCCCAGGACCTGGAGGGTTCTTGAGCCTCGCAGAGGGAACGGGACCTGCAGTGCTCTTCAGACAGGAGAACGCGCAATTCGACAGGCTTGTCTCGCAGGTACTAGGATATCAGAAAAGCTACTCCTGCCAGAAATGCACCAGAAGTACCAGCCAGCCATGCGACGCGCAGCACTTCCGTACCACGGGCACATTTGCGCTCGCTTGGGAGGTGTTTGAAAAGTACTTGGGCACGCGGACAAGAACGATAGGGGCCACGACAGAGGACTACCTTGGAAAAAAGTCGACACCGCTGGTGCAACCGCAAAGTATATTGAGTAGGGAAACTACAAGATTTTCCTTTTCCACGCCAGGAGGCGGCTACGACACAAGGAGCTCAAGCATTTCCTCCGGTTCCTCCGACGTCGACGACCAACATCGCACTGGAACTGATGGTATCCACTTTGTTCCTGAAGTTTATCTTGCTCATCCTGATACAACTGCGGAGATGAAAGTCCCTGTCCTTGTTCGTGGTCCTGGGGAGACTACCATTGGATCTTCCATTGACAACGCCAAGATGCGTAAGATTTTTCGTATTTTGGACAAATTTGAACCTCGACTTGAAGATCGTGACTCCAATCCGAAACTGAATGTGCTCGAATGCTTCGCCATTCTTTCAGCTCCTCAGGCGTCTACTCCTGATGGAACGTCTAATGGAAGAGAGGAAGACAAGATGCAGCAGCAGCAGCTCTCTTCCTCCGAGACCTCTTCTAACGGAACAAGAAAGGAAGACAAGCCCAAGCGTCCACCGAGTTTTTGCGGACTGCGAAACGAACACTCAAAAGGACGGGAGCGGGGCCCAGGATGTGACTTCCGCTCACGGCTCAAGGGGCTTGTGCACCAGGTGCAAAACCAGAACAGAAAAACGCAATCTAAGCGGGGTTTCGACAAGCTGGGTGGCAGTTTGGCAGCGGTGAGACCTTGGCTGCTCCATGACCCAGCAAGTTCTCCGCCTTTCTACGCTTTTGGGAAATTCATTGATCTCGTCGTGCCAGAGTTCGCGTCGCCGGTCATGCTTGACTTCGGCAAAGTCTGGGAAATAGCTGACTTCTTAGCTAGACAAGCTCTTGACTACAAGCTGCGCAACGAGAAGGAGTCTCCTTAAGGCTAAAAAAATGTTGCTGCTAACTAATGTTGTAACTGTTTCAGTTATAGAATATATAGTCCTACAGCATCAACCGGTATTGGGTAGCCTGAATTTGATCACAAGGGTTCTCTTCTTGTTTTCCCTTATGATCGAACTCAGGTTACCAAATACCGGAAGCATACGCTTTTTGGGTACTCTGACTGAGATACATGGTTTCGGACGATGTTTTCCTTTCCGGCTCTCCTGAAGTAAGATGGCAGAAGATCAACCTCAAGAAATGTTAATAGAAGTTGATCTCTTAGAGAGAGATCTTCATCGTAGCCTTACTCTTAGAAGAGTAAAAAAATGTAATGAAAATTAGAGGTGGACACTAGTAGCAGCTATGAGTAGGTAATTATTGCTCACTCTAACAGTTAGGATCTAACTTCAACTAAGTACTTTAAAGCGAATGAAAACTATTACAAAAACTTAAAACGCTCCGTCTCGTGCGTTGTAGTACTCCACGAAGAAAGAATGCAGGTAACGGTCAGCACATAAAAGAAGCGCTTGCTCTTCTAATTTGCATATAATGAAACGCGAGTTGAAGTAATGCATGATGCTGTTGAGGCTTTACGCTGGTTCGCAGAAAATCAAGAGGAGCTCGTTAAAGCGAAAAGATTGCATTATGGGCAGCGCGATATGGATCAAGCTACGGCTGATTTCAGAAAAGAGTTTTTGGAGTGCTACGGATCGGACTGGTACGGGCCGGACTGGTACGGGCCGGACTGGTACGGGTCGGACTGGTACGGGCCGGACTGGTACGGGACGGACTGGTACGGGTCGTACTGGTACGGGCCGGACTGGTGCGGATCGTTACATGGACACTCTTTTTTCTCACTCCAGGATATTATCGACGTAGAGCAGGTTGTGGAGGAAGCAGGAGATGAGAGCCCTGTTGCGCCTGATGTCCTCGGGGCCACTTTGGACGAAGTCCCCAAGGAACAAATAACTCCAACGCGTCCCGCGAGTAACAGTATTGCAGTTCTTAAGAGTGGCGGTCGTCGTCCTCCTCTTCGTGGTGTTCCGTGGGCCGATTTACACGACTAGGAGTAGGAACTGATAGTAAGTATGTAGTTACTAACTACACACTTCTCGTATGTAGTTTCTAACTACATACTTCTCTACTAGTTAGCTCATCTCGTAATACAACTAGAAGTAGAGTTGTTGAAGGTCATCATGGAGAAACTTCTTGCGTTGGGAAATTAACAACTACTGAGTTTGCGTTTTACAATCGTACAGCGAGTATGAGTAATGTGCTGGCTGTCTCGTCAACATTTGTTACTAGCAGCTTGGTCAGAAACAACATGACGAACTGAGTTACATTCATGTTCTTACTTTTTCTTGATCGGTCCGGATAGAAATAAACGAGCAGAGAGATGAGAACCCCTTGCAGTATTACAGGAATAATGTAGTTCCAACTGGTGGAAAAGTTACTTTTTCAGTAACCATAAACCTAGTTTTCTTGTTTCCGACCTTCGAAGGCAACTTAGTAATTGCAGTCGTTTTCTTGATGAAGGGGAACAAACGTGCTGGCGGTGAAAAAACGGAAGCAGCCGATGCACATGTAAGTAAGTTGTCTAAGTAGATGCATGGTATGTGTATTTGAGTCTAATTTCTACGGTCGTCACGAATAAAGACAGTAACGGGAAGAACTCACACATGAAATAGGGCACTTTCATCTGCAGACGAGATTTGATTGTTAGCGTGAGGAGCACACTGTCATCTGACTGTAGACGAGATTTCCAGCCTAAAGAGCACGCATTCACAATCATCTGTAGACGACGATGGTTGTGTTCTTGGATGACGTTACTTAAGCCGCAGATGAAAACGACGATTCGCTCCGTGACATCGGTCTACAGTGAATGGTCCACAGTGTAGGAGAAACAAGGAGCGACTGAACTTGTGATACCTACTAGAAAATTGACATGCAGAAAAGGAATATTAACACGCAGACAGATCAGGCTATTCTAAAAATGGCCGTGGAAAACCAAGAAAAATGAAAAATGAACTTATAGATACTTAGTTTCACTTTCAAATAATTCTTATCTACACTTTTAATACTCTATGCAGCTCCTTTTCGTTGTTGTTCCTCCATCATAGAAACAACTGAATTCTCCATGTCCTCCTATAGTATCGATTTCTTGGATTCCTGATGCCGTCAATAACAGAGCCCCTGATGCCCTCCGTCGCCAAAGCCCAGCATGTCGTTATTGAGATGGATGAAGTCGCCGCATCCCAGAAAAGCTCAGTCCTTACTGGAGGTGAGGGAAATGGAGGCCCAGGAGAACAAGGTGCGAGTGGGAATGTTATGGATACTACCGTCAACCCAATTGCTGGCACTGCGTCAACCTCAACGCAATTGCTGGCACTGCGTCAACCTCAACGCAATTGCTGGCACTGCGTCAACCTCAACGCAATTGCTGGCACTGTTTCAACAACCTCAAGCCAATTACTGGTACAAAAACAAATTCAAAAATGAGCCGCTTCCTGTGTAGTAGAACTGAACCCATCTACTGGTACTGTTTCAACATCTTTTTTTTTGAAGATGTGCTAGAAGATGTTAGAAGATGCGCTACTAGTTCTCCGTGCCATCTCTAAGAATGGATCCGCGACAGGAGTATCAGGCGCTCGTGGCTCCAGTGGCGGTAGAGGAAGCGGCGCAGAGGCGGATACTAATAGGTCTCCTGGTATAATCGAGCAGCTGCGTGGTATGAGTAGATGGGATTGTTTGCAGATATGTGCGAAGCATGGCTTGAGCCTCGGTGGCTTCTTGCTACTACCCTGGATCATAGTTTAAGACTAGTAAAGCACTATCATCTGCTGGTGTAACCTACACCACCTAGTGTAGCACTATTTACTAAAGCAGGTCGTGTAAGTGCAACCTAGTGTTTATCCTGCGTGACTTCTGCCTCTTAGATGTCAGGCGAGGGGAAGAACAACTTACTCTTACAGGGAAGAGAGGAGGCAAGGCAGGACCTTAAAACGATCGTAGAAGCAGCAACGCGCCACAACTATCGCAGAGTGTGATTAACGGAAGATAGTGATAGTGCTCTAGCGTTAAATAGTGCTCTGGGCTGGCTTCGAGTTGATTCCCTGTATCATCGCCATGAGCATGATTTCAGTTGGACTGTGCGCCGGAGAGTATCAAAGGTTTGTACTGCGAACTCTGGAGGTAGCGGTGAACGCGTTGAAAAACCAGGTGAAGGAGCTAGGAGTCGAAAATGAGAAGTTCGTCAAGAGTAACGAAGAATTTGCGGAGAATAACGAGCAACTCACGAAGAGCAATGAGGTAGCATCTTCGCGAAAATGAACCTTGTCGTGTGATAAGTTAAAGTTGAAGGGGCAGTTGTATATAATGGTTGTCTTGGTCTCGTACACCATGATGAAACGATCTTCTTAAGGAGGCTACCGATACGGAGCCGCAAGAACAGCAGCTTTTATATCAATTCTTGCAGTTGCAGCTAATATTTTTGTTTTTCATGAAGATTAAAAATAGACGGAATGCTAATAGACCGAGGATATCACTCTCATCTCTTTCTCCCTTGTTCGAACACAGGCCCTCACGAAGAACAACGCAGAGTTCGAAAAATGCAACAAGCAGATGCAAGCCCAGAACAAGGAGTTTGAGGCCCAGAACAAGGAAATGCAGGCTCAAAATAAGAAATTTCAAGCGCAAAACACCGAAATGGCTGCCCAGAACAAGAAGCTCTCAGCCAATGTTATGGATGATAATCTTTTTCCATCCTTACGACTATCCTGGCACTCATTGCAGAGGCGCGAAAAACTGCCAGGATGGTCTCCATCTATTTTTAGATGGAGAAAAATATGACAAAATCCATATATGTCAGCGAATTAGAAGGCATCAAGAAGGACTTGCACAGGGACGTAGGCCAGCTGTCGCAGGAAAACGGCAAATTGCAGAGCAAGATTGACAATTTCAGTAGTGAAGTGGACCGCATGGCGGATACAGGGAAAGCACTGGAAAAACAAGTGGACTTTTTGAAGAATGTGAACAAGACCATAAGCAATATTATGGCTGTACCTAAACCTAATACATCTTTGGCCGATCCTTGAAACGTATGGAGGAGTATCCAAAGGGAAAAAGGCGCCCCCATACTTTTCAAGGATGCACTTGAAAGATGAATAATTACGGACAGCTCTAACAATAGCTTGGTCGAGTGCACAACTCCTCAATTGGTGTCCGCATTCCAGAGCAAGATGGAGCAGATCATGAGTGACGATGGTTTGTTCGGGAAGATGGTAAACTTGTTTTACTTTAGTACATCTACATTCTCTGTCTCATACTCATGTAGTTTCTGCATGTTTGTTATGAAGCTGGTCACACTCATTCCTCATCTTCTTGTTGAGTCCTCCTTCTCTTCCTTCGATCGTTCCATCTTCGCTACGAAGCTCATTTCCTATTCTCACTCATTCTCATCAACCTGTTCGTCAAACTTAGATGCTCCCGCTCGAGAAGACTCAGAAGAAGTACGAAGAAGTCCTCAAACAGCTTACGGAGATGACGGAGAGACAGGAAAGAATGAACGAAGAGGAACAGAGGAGACGGGACAGAGAAGAACAACAGGATCTTTAAGGCTACCGCTGAAGCATCCTGCTGCATCATGATCCTCGGCTTCTTTTTTAAGATGAAAGACGCGCCAAGGATCCGCCCAAGGATGCGACCACGTGGTGGCTCTAAGCCCTAGAGCATGAGCGAAGGGAGCGGAAGTTGCAGAAGAACTTAGCGAATCTTCTGAAACAACAGGTACTTCTTTGCAGTAGAAGTAGCACCGGTTGTAATATTAGTAAAAAAGGAATTTACTTAACTATTTAATAACACCTAAGTACCACTACAACGACCTGTGGTCCTTCTAAATTGTTGCATCTGTCTCTCCAGATTCTGGCAAAGAAACTAAACTATCTACTTCCACAGGAAGGATACCAGGGATACGCTCGTCTACTCGAATATGCAGAGCATTCTGCTGATACCAACAAGAATTAAGGCTTCTTCTAATCTATCTCGTGAAGTATCTATCCTCGGGATGCTTTTCAAGGCGAAAAAGAGCTGCTCAGGAGATGATCATCTTCAGGATCGATGGACTAGAGTGAGCTCTAAAAGAAGCCACGTGGAACAGGATCCCATGGTGGCGACGTCAGCGGTCTAACCTTGGAATACTTTGTGGGAAAGCAAGACGAGAAGAAGCTGGTGAAGATTATGGGAATGAGCTCAACAGATGATGAGTTTGAGTTTTAAAAATGCAAGCACTTTGCCTCTTGCTTCTGCCTCTTCTAAGGATGAATTCAAAGACATGGTCCTGGAGCACTTGAACAAAGAGCCAGAGTTTCGTATCTCGGGTGCGTCGTCAATAGTGCCAAGTCCTGAGCAGTTTGCAAAGATGAAAAAAGGCATGGAGGATGACGATCTAGCCTCTGAAGCAGGACCCTGCGGAGGAGCTGCGGGAAGCACAGTGGCTCCCTCGACTTCGGCTGGCAGCTCGGCGAGTAGTTCTCTTTCACTTAATGTGCCAGCAAAGAAGAGTTAATATGAAGATGATTGTTTTTTGAAATGGGGGAGGAACAGGTCGTCGTTCTTTGAAAAAGATCAAGAAATAATAGTGCAAGTGCAGGTCCCTGTCCCACGTCGACTTGCTCAACGAACTCCTTTACAAGTAAACGAGTTGTCCTTTTCCCTCTTTTCGAACAATTCTAAGGAGGCGATAAACTCAACGATGCCCTGTCTCCTGTTCTCGGTGGAGTTTCTGACTTAGCACTCAAGAAGATGTGGAAACAGAAGAAGATGACGACCATGGAAGAGCTCGAGCTGTGGAGGCTCGTTTTTCCAGCTTGGAAGGAGTTTGTCCTCGTTTCGAAGGCAGAAAGGAGGATTATGAAGATTTTTTGGATGATTTTTTGGACGTAGCTGAAGCGGAGGAGACTTGGATTTGTCGGAAGTAGAATCACATCGACCAAACAGTGTTTATGTTGCACAAACAGTGTAAGTAGTTTATGTTGCAGTTGATGTATTTTTAGCTTGAAAACAAGATGTAATCTTTTAGTTTGATCTAATTCTAGATCCGTGACGCAACCTCCAGCACTGCAAACCGATGCAGAAGGAGCACAGAATGACGCACTTGCACTAGAAGTCGATGAGGAAGCGCATCCGATGGATACTATGATGTCCAACGAAAGTGGTGGTTCTTCGAAAACATCAGGGTCAGCTACGTCATCCTCATCGTCTGCACTGGATCGAAGTGGTCATACGAGTGGAACTTCGTCTAGTGTTAAGGGTAGGTTAAAGGTGCTTTTCTTACCGCTTTTTATGCCTCTCCTAAGGGAGAAAGGCATAACAAGCGGGGTAAGCGAGCACCAAAAACCTACCTCTAATAGTGGGGTATCAAAAAGTTCGGACGGCAGTTCTGGATCCTATACTGGGAGTAGCGGCAGCGGCACGGCGAGTTCGTCTTCCTACACAGGAGGATCTTCCTCTTCTGGCACATGGGGCTCATCCTCTAGCTAAGTCTTCAAAGTTGGCCTCTCTATGCGCGTCTCTAACTCTATGGTTTCTCCAACAAGTAGGAAGGTCATAGAGATAGATACGCGAGCTAGAGAGGTGAAACAAGAACTGTCAGCCCCTAATCTAGTGGGCTAACACAGACGATGATGTCGAGGACAGCTAAATCGATAGTGATAGGGGATGATGAAGAGACGACGATGCGCCCACCTCAGACGTCGTTGACAGCAACTTCACGGCCGTCGTCGAGACCAAGTCTACCTAGTGATAGAGTAGTTGGACAGAGTGTTATCGACAAGTCCTCAGTCTCTGTTATTAAGGCTCAACTTTCAGTGGTCACCATTTAGATTGGAGTCACCATTTTTTTAGATTGGAAGAGGAGACCTTCCCTTGAGAGAACCAACAGGACAAATAAACGAAGGGAAAAGGGGAGAGCCAACTTTGCAGGTGGATTCTTCCGTTCAGCATCAGTGACCACTGACTGCTTACCTTTAATGTTACTGACGTAGATGCTGCACCTGACGTAGATGCCGCAAGAAGTGGTGGAGAAGACAAAGATCGCAAAGATCCTTCTCAAGATGATCATGATGCTGTAGACAAAAAAGAGAAGTCTCGTTCAACTGAACGAAGCGGACATGGGCACCATAAAAAGCGCAAAAGAGAAAAACATCATCACGATGGTGATAGGAGTGAAGTCGACAAGTCAGAGATTGATTTGACTGCGACAGAGAATAATTATGGTGGTCGTGGAGTAATAAATCCGGATGAGACGCAGTCGCATGTAAGCAGTCGTAAACATCACAAAAAGCGTGACCACCATAAGCACAAGTCTTCCCATCATTCGGCAGGGGAGGAAGAGAAAGACGGGAAGGAGCAAGGAGAACACAAAAAAGATCATAAAGTTATGAGTGTTGGAAATGCATCCCCAAAGTCATCTGGACAAAGAAGATAAGGAGGAAAAGGTGCCCAGAAGATGATCTGTGAGATGCATAATTCCTAACGCCTCTAATAAAGACAAGGATGGTAATAAAGACAAGGATAGTAAAGACAAAAAGCGCCATCACAAGCATCGTAGTTCGTCCGAAGGAGAAGAGAAGAAGAAACATCACCGCTCTTCGGAAGAAGAGCATGAGAAGAAGAAACATCGCTCGTCTGATAGAAGGAGTAAGCACAAAAAGAAGCACAAATCTGCACCGTCAAAAGATGAAGATGGGGGAGCTGAAAGCAGTGTATTAGGAGGAACGCAAGAAAAGCCGAAGGAATATTCTAGAGCCACAGTTGAACTGAATACTACAGGGGGTGAAGGTGAACAGTGAGATATGTAAGTACTTAATTGAGGAGTACACTTAAACAACTAACAATCCAACAACAAGCTAGACTAGCGGGTAGAACTCGCCAGGGAAATCTTAGGCAGCGCAGCTCGCCGAATGGATTCAAGTCATCAATTGCGGAATACTCGTGGAAGAAGTAGTAGTAGACGTAGTAGCTGTACTTATTTTCGATTTTTGTAAGTTCTCAACTTTGGTGGAAGCAGGTAGATGAAGATGTACAAGATGGATCATAAGTATTGGATACAGTTGTATCATGTAAAGGCTACTATGACTATGTCGATATTGTAACTGGAATCACTTGAAAAATGTTTTTCAACAACGTGGTCCCGGATCGCGTCTCAAGAAGTGTTTTTCTGCAGCTCGTTGAGAGAAATATCAAGGCTTTGGTCTTCCTCTGTTCATCAACATTAGAGTTCGTTTTAACTACAGGACAGGGAAACAAGAAATTGCTTGTTCTATCTGCGAGAGCGAGATGGAGATCTACTCGTACTCAGTTTGTTAGAATTCTTCTTTTTCTGGCATGTTCTAAAACCGCAAAAGTGGAAGAACAAGAATGATGTCTATTTAAACGAGGTCGCATTACCATTATAGTCTTTATAGACTACGAGTACATGATCATCATGTCGTCCACTCTCATTTTCAGCAACAGAATTATTTTGAGAATCAGAATCTTTCATGTCGTCGTGTCAAGAAACACGAACATCGTTCACCCTGTTGTACTTCAAAGATGAGAGGCTTTGGAGAGACCTTTGTTGTTGTTCCACCTGAGCCCACACATGAAAACCCACGACCCCAAAAAAGATTGACATCACCAAACAGGACTTCTCCTGGTGATTTGCATGTACAAGAACTCTATGCATAAGCATAAGCAAGCATCTCCTCTGTGAATTTGATGGGCTGTCTTTGTTTGGAATCGATAATAGCAAGACTCTTGTCCACCTCATACGCTACTAGTAGATGTAGAATCCATATTTATAAGTAGTAACATTCATGTCATCTACAAACACCTTCAAGTTCTTTAACTAGTAGAAGGCCCGACTTCTAGGTGGCGTTATTCTTTGACCCCTGCTCTCGAAACTGAAAATGGCTTACTCTTACAATCAATTCGTACATTGTCCTCCTCCTCCATGCCAGGGAAGATGAATAAGATGAATCTATGTATAGATTTCGATTTTGTTTGTCTACGATCAAGTGGTTCACAATATAATCGTCGGCTCGCATTCATCAAGTGGATGATATTTATCAGATAAAGCTATTATGCTAGGAACAAGAAGCCGAAAGAAGCGATGGAGTTAGACTTTACCTGTCATTGAAATTGGTCGACGAAACTGAAGGTATCTATTAATTTGATCACGTATGAGCCTGCTTGTCTTGGATGCATAACTTGACCTTAACTATAACTTTATGGTGATCGAGTTTTTTCATTATCTTGCAAAGGTACATGAAGATTTCTAAGGTATAATATTACTCTACAACGAAATTTATTTGAGAGGTTCGTTGTGCAGAATCAGTCAAGTGATTCGTGCCCGACATAACGCAATGTCGAGCAAAAGCAAGTCCGCCTCTTTGGAGGGAGGTGCAGCCGGGCACCAACATTATGTATGGATGATTTACCATCTCGGCTCATACTCACATTCAGCAGCAATCCACTGAGATAATGAAAAACCGTATTCTAACAATTCATGTTACGGACCGCATGGGCTGTACTAGGTCAGTCGTTGGCGCCTTGGTTGTGTTGTGTTTGTCTGGTTGTTCGTCGTGGCCATGTGCCGGCGTCTCTCTTCTCCAATTACATCTGGGTTAGGATGGGTTAGTGGGTATTGATGGTTTAATTCTCGATTTACAGAATGGAGTAGCGGCTGCGTCTGCAGCAGCAAACACTTCAATATTATCTATATCTTCCTCCGTTTTACATAAGAAATTCCGCATTCCTTCTACGTTCCAACCTATACGACCTCTAATCTCAGTCCGGCAAATCCTCAATGGGCTCCTTCACGGACGTGAAAAACGTGATAAGACAGCAGGTGCCAGAATCCGCCACGACAGTTTTACTAGGAGAATGCACTCATGGAACTGAAGAGTTCTACCAGTTGAGAGCTGACATCATTAAGGCAACCAACATCAAGAGAGCATGAGCATCCTCAGAATCATTCTTGTTGGGCTCCTTTTTCAACGGTAATAAAGAGGTCGTCCCAACAGATGATTACTCATCGGGATGGACTGATGGCCTCAGGGAAGATGGATGTCCTACACCTCGCTCTAATATCACGAAATATTTGGTGGAAGTGCGGAAATTCAAGGTGATCATCGTGGAAGCAGACTGGCCTTTTCTTTGGCACGTTAACCAGTATATTCACAGAAAGAAACTACATATGTTTCCGAGAAAGTATGGCTTCAAGTAAACAGTAGACCAGAATAACGAGTTAGAGTCTCTGCTCTTCACGACGCGTCTCTACTCGTATGTGCCTCCCTTCAGTGTAATTCACTGTATACTTTTCCTCCTTGTCGTGGGTGCTTCGTCCGTCTTCGTGTTTCCACCTTTCCTACCCAGATCCCCTCTACGCCCCTTCATTTTCCCAGCCAAGCCCGCTTTCCTGAGTGGATGTGGCAGAACCGACCCTTTGTGGATCTCATAAAGTGGATGCGGCGGATGTCACAGACGGATAGTGCTTGTTACCTCTTTGGGATGGATTGCTACTGTAAAGAAGAGTCCAAAGCCGAGTTGTTGCAATTTTTGGATGCTCATGACCCAGACTTGGCCAAACTACTTCGTGCGTCCTGTTTTCCGCGTGAGAGGCCAGAAAAGTGGCCAGAAATATTGTCGAAGTTACAGTGGGGCTACAACAAGAAAGCAGGGGGAAGCGGAGGAGGGAGGAGTTCTTGTACTACAAATACTTCGCATATTGATGTCTAAGATTGATCAACATGGGCGCTCTTGGTTTTTGTTCTTGATAAACCTTTTTATTCGTTGGATAGTTGGATTGATCAGCAGGAAGGAGATAGATTAAAAAGATCATTTTCATCTTCTTCACCAATACACCAGCTGGTGGCGCAGTTCGCGGCGAGCTAGTTAAAGACTATGTCTACAGAGGCTGCAGCAAGCTGGACCGCTTCAACGCAGAACAAAATTTAGAGTGCATGATAGCTGCGGACGAATACTATGACTATGGCTGACATTAGAACTTCAGATGAAGAGTGACATTCGGGAACGGGAAGTCGTTATCGTTATATATTGTTTCCCGAGTTCGACTTGTTCACGTAGAAGTTGGGCTTGTGGCTACTTACATCTTTTTATTTTCCTGTAAATACAGTGCTGTTCAAGTAGATCCCCTAACACGCACCTCTGATGCCGCACCTCTCCCTCTCTCACTACAAGTACAGGGTTAGAAGTACAGTTGTGTCTCATCATATTTTCTTGTAAAAATGAAAGAAGGCAGCTTTCGCTGCAGATCTCTTTGTGTAGAAGTAGAGTTCTACTTCTAGTCCATTCTAAGTCTTGCTCACCTCTAATACCAAAAGCAACGTCTAGAGCCGCCAGGAAGTCAAGCAAGTTGGAATGCCAGGGACCAGCATATGGCTACGACGATAATGCGTCTTAAGGAAGCGGCAAAGGATATCTTTCCGGTAGAAAAAGGTAAGGAACCGGAGGAATTAAAGGTACTTCTAAAAAGTGGTTCGAATTACATTGATTACATTTTATGGCATGCTTCGAATTCGTCGATTGATTACGACTACTAAATGAGCAACGGTTGCTGCATGGTTGTATACTTTTTTCACAACATCCTTCCACATCCACAACACGCAACAAAACCCCAGGTAATAGTTTGGGCTCACAACTCACATATTGGAGATAGTACAGCGACACCGAATGGCGGAGTGAATTTTGAACGCAACGAAACCTGGAACCTTGGGCAGATGTGTCGGAGTATCTTGCAGAACGTGTTCATAGTGGGCTTTTATAGCTACTTATGATTGAGGAAATGAAGAGAGTTGATTTTGATTCTTGAATGAGATGACTGCGCCTGCTCCTGAGTTGTAGTTTCAATTTCTATCAAAAGGTGCCAGAAAGAATAATTTCTATGGCTATAAACAAGTCGTTTTTTCAATCATGTTCGCTTTTTCTTCAATCCTATCTTAATCTTATACACTTTTTCACTTTCTAATTTGCTGCGGTTCCGTCCGCGCAGCGAAACAGTGGGGCGAGCAAGGAAAGGTGATGCAGTTGCGACCAGCTCTACCGAATTCTCTGGAATTTCAACTCCATTCCCGATTCCCCAAACAGCAGGCCTTTGTAAAACTAGATCCCACGGCTAAGGTGTGGTACGGCAGTTCTGATGATGCGCCTAATTTCGCTTTGCCCTGTCAGTACGAGTTCTTGCATCCGGAGGTGCTTTGTACGACGAAACCTAGCTGGAAAAGTGACAAGGTTGACATTTTAGTTGGCGGAGCAGGAAAAAACAGAAGTAGCAGTAGTTGTAGTTCTTCTGGTTGTACTATTATTAAGGCTCAGCCATTTCAATGGTCATTGGGGTTGGTCACTGAGATCGAAGAAGCAACCCCTTTAGAGAACAGGGGAAAAGGAAGGGAAAGGGGAGAGCTTTGGAGGGGGTCTCTTCCGTTCAGCATCAGTGACCATTGAGTGCTGAGCTTTAATATTAATGGGAAGATTGATATAGCGTCAATGGTAGGAGGAAGTGGGCGATGTAGTAGTGGAGGTTCTTCCAGCAGTACAATAAATCCAGGAGACTTGCAACCGCCCAACAGGGTAATTTTCGAAGCCCAAGAGAGGCAAGCTGCAGTTAGCACTAGAAGTGTTCAGAGTTATCGCTTACGTGGTGTTTTTGGCGGAGGTCAAGGAGACCTGCAAATTGGTGGAAGCAGTAGTAGTAGTTCCTTTTCTTCTACATCAACATCGTGTTGGGTCGATGAATTTACACCTAATCAGCACATCTCCTTGCATTGTCTCCCTAGTGATGTTTTGGAGAGGTTGCGACAGGATCCCCTGTTCTGGATGAATTGTGTGCCGATTTTACAGCGCTGGGTCGGTGTCCAGTACCATCCGGAGACGGAGTTGCAGTCGCATTATGGAGAATTAGTAGCGTCGAGAGCTTATGACATGCTGCTGTTTGTGGACGAAAGCAACGCGTTGAACGTGGACTTCGATGCTGGTATTTTTATTAACGAGTAAGTTTTTCTTGGTAGCCTTTGCAGCTATTTTTGTCTTCGTTCAACCACAGAGGTTGTACCGCTTTGCACCTGCTGTTGCATGAATAGGTTCTTTATAGACATCTCCATCTTCGACAATTGAAAATTTCTCGTCTTCGACAAAGTTTCTCTGCTCGTTCATTTCCCGTCAAGTACTTCGAAGAAAACATCTTCGTGGTCGGTTCTCTGCTCGTTCCTTTCCCGCCTAGTAAACATCTTCCTCCCGCCACCAATGAATCAGTATTTTCAGACGAAAAGACCGCCGAGCAGAGCTCAGCTGAGAATGTGCAAGCGACGCCTGCTGCGACGAAACGGTTGATGAAGGAGTACGCTAAGCTTTTAAAAGAGCCTCCGCAAGGAGTCGAAGCGCACCCAATGGAGGACAACATTCTCGAGTGGCACTTCCGTCTTGTTGTTAAGGCTTACTACAGTAATTCATCTTGAGCAGCATCTTTGACTCGTCCTTTTCTAGGGAGAAAACGCGTCAAAGATGCTTTTCAAGAAAGATGAATAGAAGCGAGGTCTAACCTTGGCAGCGCAGGTCCATACATTGGAGGACGTTATCACGGCGTTCTCGAGTTCCCACCTGAGTTCCCGATGAAGCCACCGTCGATCAAGATGCTCACACCTAGTGGCAGATTCGAGTTAAACAGGAGAATCTGTTTGTCGATGTCTGACTTCCACGCAGAAAGTTGGAATCCTAGTTTTAAGGCTGCGCCTAAAAATCCATCCTCCGAGACGACTACATCCTAAATGTGAATGGGCCCCCCAAGGGAAAAAAGGGCCCAGAGCAACAACAATGTACTTATCTCGTCAGGATGGATCATTAGGGTGAGCTCCTCTAATTGTTGGACGGTCGAGAAGATTCTTTTGGGTTTGTTGAGTTTCATGCACGAGGACTGTCGCGAAAGTGTAGGGAGTATTCACGACACGATAGCGAATAGAAAACAATACGCTGAGGATTCGGAGTTCTTCAATAGGCAAAACGAGATCTACACTTTGTTGTTCTTGAGTGGGGACGGCAGTGCCGAGCCCTCCGCTAGTAGTGCAGTCCCGCAAACTAAAGCTGCCAGAAAAAGTGGAGGTTCTTCCAGTTGTAGTATCATGAATATCGGCGGACTTTTGAAGCGATCAAGATCGTCAACGGCGGATGAAACAGCATCGACTTCGAGCACAGCAAATCTGTTTTATGAAGATGAAAAGAAATTGGAATTGCTCTCTACCAGAACGAAAAGGATTCTAGAAATCTCACGTGATCATCCTCTTTTCTAGGTTCGTTCAGAAGATTGCAGAGATGCCATCCTCTAACCTCTTCTCTCCGACCCAGGCACCCGTGTCTCCTCCACGCGGTCTAGCGTATTACAGCAGAACTCCGAAAGAACTCTTCTCGCAGAGGATGAAAGAGATGACAGGCCAAGATGCCGCTACTGCCTAGACAGCGAGGGCGAGCTTGTGTCGCCCTGTGCGTGTCGCGGGAGCTCGCAGTGGGTGCACTTGGCATGTCTGCGACAGTGGCAGAAGAGCGTATTGCTGACGCAAAGCACACATCCAAAGTACCAGACTAGGATAGACGCAATCTGCAACATCTGCGATAAGCCATTTATCGGGAGATTCAAACCAAGAGACAGGGCATCGCAGGTGTTGGAATTTGCAGGAGAAGAGATGGCGAGAAGTTTGAATTATGACGGGACATGATGGACAATTACAATCAGATGTAGAAGTATATGAGATGAGATTTTATTTGCTTGTAGTTCCAGCACAAGAAACATTTCTCATTTATTGCATGGGATATCAAGATCCTTGTCCTCTATCACCTTTGATGGATTCGTACTTCAGTACCATCTCATTCTCACTTTCTACTTGTTCTTCTAGTGTCCGACTTCTAATCCCCACAAGGCCGTCTGCTCGTTTCCAGCGAAAAAGAATCACGTGAAGGGCAAGAAAGCATCGAGGCGAACCCAGAGTTGCGCGTACATCTCGAGCATTGGATTTTTGCTGTTTTCTTGATTTTGAACCAAGTCAATGCCTCCAGCACTGCGGGCGAAGAAAGAGATTCCGGTGTTTTAGCTGTGAATCTGGTGATGCGTTGTAAGAACAATCGACCACCTGGAAAAGTTACGAACACTCTGCCTGGCTACAGAGCGACGCAAAGCAGCCCTTTGAACTCGTGGGAAAGGATCTATAGACCCAAAGTAATAGTAGCGTTTAAGGACGTGCTTGAACTAGACACCTCTGGCTCTGGCGTTGCCCCCGGAAGGGTGAGAACAACCGATGACTCGGCAGTATTGGACACCGCATTTGATCACTTCATCGGTGGCCCGGTCGAGGCGGAAGATTGTCTGGCTGTGGCCTATCTCCCAGGGTTGCCAGCGGCAGCAGAAAAAGCCCATAGGAAACGGCTTGTGGGGGTGAGCACATACTACGGAGCACTAGAAACAATACTGACGTTGGCGAAAATACGTATTCCTTCTTCGAATGCTGTTAGAATGCTTTTGCAGCTTGGTAGTTGTTCGTCTTGTTCACCTATCTCTATCAACATATTTACAAAAATTATAAAACTCGACGATTTCATCTCTTTAAAAATGTTCACCCTGCTCTTCTGTCTGGTTGTCACAGTTGTAGCTTATGATCTTTCTTTTCTGCTGTTCATCATGTCGTTTTCAAACCCACCAAACATCAGGTTTCCAATTCACCTCGTCCGAGAAAGCACCTGGTGTGAGCATTGTTTGTCTCAATTTTCAGGTTTCCAATCCACGTCTGAAAAAGCCCGTGTGTCCATTTTTTGGGGCTATGCGGCTTGGAATACAAGTCAGCTGTTGGCTGAAGTGGCAAAGCGACACTGGGGCGTTTCTAATCAGACGGTCGACGCGAGTGCCGGTTTCAGAGACGTGTGCTGGGATGATGTCATGACAGGGATGACAATGGCAAAAGAATCGGAATATTCGAGGAACTAATCTTTTCCCTTTCTATTTGTTTTTAATAAAAAACTTTATCTCGATTGCAGAACCAGAACCAAGTACATCACTCAGACTCATCAAGAAGGACTACTAGTTCACACTCTTTTTAGAACTTTTTAGTGACTAGTCATAGTCTTGCCACCAGGTGTACAAGGTTATGAGGGACGACCAAGACTCGTGCCGTTTCGCTGGACTTCAGGCTACAGAAGATAATTGTCATGTTGAAAGATTCACCTTTATCTTTCCGCAAGGAAACAAGAAACAAGTCATTGATTATATTTGTGTCCGAGGCAGGAAGACAGAATCTCTCCTGAAAAGGCAAGCTTCTCCGAGGCAGATCTCTCCTGAAAAGGCAAGCTTCATCTTTTCCACAAATCTTTGTCGTGCTCGTGTTCCTGTCGACAAAATAGTCTTCACGCAGTTGAAGATGAAAATCCAAGACGACCAGTTCCTCCTACACGACGCACTCAAAGAGGATCCTGTATTGACCGCATCGCCTCATGAGCATGAGCATGTTTATTAGAGCTCAAAGAAAAGCGCAGTACATAAATGTCTAACACTTCTTCATCTGAGTTCGATGCTCTAGTTTTCTCATCCAGCGAGTTTGATATTGACACATTTCTGTTCCATTCACTACCTACCAGGACTAACCTCATTCTACCACGAAGCTTGAGCTTCTTGTGAACCTGCTTATTCTAGTACAACTCCCTAATCAAACTTCTAGGACCTGGTTATCTCGTAGTGTTTCCCTAAGACTTCAATTTTTGAGTTTTTGAGAGTAATTAGCGCTAGTGTCCTCTTTAGTTGTACAACCGCTACCTCAGTGCTTGTCTAAGATCATTCACGACCACGACCATATTATCGCCATCCCCATGTTGCATCGTAATATTGAGAAATGTTCTTCGAAGAATGATGTTGCTTTGCGACAATTTCTTACGTGTTTCATTGAAGACTCCGAAAATGACGGACAACTACGAGATCATCTAGAAGGAGACCCAGACTCTTCCAACCGCCTAATAAAGTCTTCTCTGGACTACCTCGCGAGCGCCTTTCTCTCTGGGGAAGAAGGTTTCGACAAGTTCAGAGGAGATGTGTGTGCTTGGGCAGTGTGCTTTCGTGAGAAGCTGTGCGAAATATCAGGTTTTGATGCTGGGCAAGACGATGGTGTGGAAGTGGAGCAAGATTTTCTGGAATTTTTTCAGGTAGAAGATGCAGACGGAAACGGTGACCAGCATGACCAAGCAGATGAAAACAGCGGAGGACAAGATGCTAACACTCCTGCGCCCAGAACCTTGGACTTCCTGGAAGAAGTGGTCGAAAAACTTGTGGAGCGGAAGTTTTTGTATCAGATCGCTCCTTGTCCTTTTGATCAACCTGGTGTGCGGGTTCTAGCGATTCTGACCGAAGATGGCCAATACCATCCGGCTGTTGTGGAGCGGGAGGTGCATGATTTGTTTCAGACTCCTACGGGTGAGACCACTCCTCCTGTTAATGGAGGGACTCACGCAGAAGTCCCAGCGCCGACAAAGGCGAGCAGTGCCAAAGACCGCAAGCAAAACCGGAAGGAGACGCGGGAGAATAAGAAGAACCAGAAAAAGTTGGCCAATGCTGCGCCATTGCGGTTTTTCGAGGTCCGTTTTTCAGAGTTCGGCAAAGTCCAATTAGTCAAAGAGGAAAACCTGATCTACGATGACGCGCAACCATTGGACGATGGGGAGCGGGACATGGGAGAGGGTGAGTGCGAACTGTGTGGAAATTTCTTCGATCACATCACGTTTCACCATTTAGTCCCGAAATCTACGCATCGACGATATCTACGTCGCAAAAAGTGGCCAGCTGGCGTGAATTTACCACGGCATATGTGCAGGGGGTTGTTCAAATACAACAGAAACTACGTGGGGCACAATAGTGCTGGAGGACCTGGTTCTTCTGGTGGAAGCAGCAGTCTGGTCGGTTCTGGAGGTTCTCGCAGTCTTGGTGTAGGCTCTGGAGGTTCACGTAGTCTTCAGAATAGTGTAGGGAGTGGAGGTGGAAGAAGCGCCGCAGGTACTGCAAAAAGCGGTAGAAATGGAGACTCTGGAGGTGTGCCTGTGCCGGACGATGACGACGAGGAGGAAGATCTCTATCTCCAAAACTACCTGCAGAGAACGAGCAGTACTACTGGTGGTGCCTCTACTAACAACAACAGCGGCAAGAATCATGGAAAACCAGGATCTTCGCCTCCCTCTACTGTGAACATCATTGAGCCACCGAATCGTATTTTACTCAACTGCTATGGAGCTATGTTGTGCGGTAAATGCCATGCGCACGTGCATCGCTTGGCCGGCAACGACGTGTTGGCGACGGATTTTAACACAGTGGCAAAGCTGAAAAGCGACCCGAGGATGCAAGCGTGGCTGTCGTTTAAGCAATAGGCGTTGTGGATGGTGTACGTGCTGTAGTTGTTGAAGTACTAGATTCCCGTGTTTTTATAGGCTCTCTCCGATGCACATTCATGATGTAGTCCGATATGATGTTGCCACTGTGATGTTTCCGTTTTTTTCATCAGGACTTCAGATAGAAGTAGTTGTTCTCTTAGTCATTCGAAAGTGGATGTGATGGTAAAAATCAGCTGAGATCACAACTCAAGGAAGGACTTCGCGCAAATGTGATATCAACGCTCCAACGTTGATATGACGACTGGAACGAAAAACCAGGCAGCGGCCAAGCCGACTACATCTTCCCCAGAGAAAGATGAAAAGAGAGAGAACCATGAAAGAATACGAAAAAGAACAAGTGAGACGAAAAACAGACATGTGGAATCGTCAACAGATTTGTCCTAACTGAAGTTGGAGATAACGATAATAGAGTAAGGTAAATAACGGGTTTCGGGTTGCTCGAGTTGCAGCGGGTTGCTCGGGTTGCCGAAGCGCAGGGGTTCCAAATCTGGAACGGGTTGCCACGGGTTGCCAGGCGAATCCTGACCCAGCAAAATGGGGCGAGGCCGGGCGGTATGGAGGTGCATTTGTACGCTCGCAGTGAAAAAATGGAGAAGGGCGCAGATTCTTTTTTTTGTTGTTGCTCATGAAAGGGGCAGCCACGTGTGAAGGGCTCTGCAGGCTTTCGGGCTCTTCTTTTGTAGCGTGCGGGCGCGTGTTTGAAGCGAAAACAAGGAGCGCAGGCCCCTGCTCTCTGTTGTTTTTTTTTTGAGGTGTGTGGCGCTGTGGTGTGTCGTCTTCGAGTCGTTGGCGATCTCTCCCTTTTTTCTTCGGGTGCGAGCGTGGCCAATCTACTTGGGGGCTGAGAGCGAGTGCCCGTCTGCTGGCTTCAGCGGGCGACGTGTCCAGTCTTGGGTATAGCAGTAACCATACTGGAGGAGGTTGCTAAATTGAAATGGATTGACGCGCTCGCTATTTATATATGAGCGCGCCGCCATCAGTGTGCAACTACGGCGCGGCGCGTGGTCGTGTCGTGCGCTCCTGTTAAGGTCTCTCGTAGGGTCATAAATCTGCGCCCGAAGGGCGCCGCGCAAAAAATTTGGGTTGGCAACTCGAGCAACCCGAGCAACCCGACCCGATATGTGTCAAAAAAAACCTAACTCTACGATAAGTACGCGAAAATTGTAATTACTGAGAAAGCGACCCACCCTCAAGTGTGTAAACATGATCATGCTCGTCCTGCGCTAAACAATGATGACAATCACACTCTCAACTTCTTGAGTACCTAAAAATTGTCCTAAAATATCATGTCCTCAGCAGTGTGGAAGAAGCATGGAGGGCAGGGCGTCTTCGTGCCACTGCGCTACTTGCTTGCCTTGCTTCAGCTAATCTTCAATGGGATCACATACAGATATCCGGAGGTACTACTAGTACTCGCTGGATAAGATGAATGTGTGAACGCAGGAAGTAGGCTTTGATCTTCCACCATACCATACGACCACACGACGTACAGCTCCTGTTTTTCATACCAGAAACAGAGTAAGTAAGTAGCATCTCGAGCGCGGGCGCAACACTTTTTTCTGTATTTCGATTTCCGCTTCGTCAGGTCCACCTCAGCACCGCTAGTGATCCTTTTAAAGGGAACGCGTGGAAAGCCGACAAGGAGGAATTTGAGACCGTTTTGTTTTTTTCGCTTTTTTTCACGAGTGCGGAGATTTGTCTTTTCCTGTTGGGGATATCGCTCTACAAACGATTCCTCCAAGTAACGCAAACGATATTTCACGCAGTCGGAGCTTTGTTTAGTCTCTTCATCCTCCTGAGGTCAGCTCATTCATATTGGTGGCATCATTTGTTGTTGTACACAGCAATGCCACCGTTTTTATTACAGATTTCCTATGATGCAACTTTGTTGGCAGCAAGGATTGCTAAATGAGATGAGGAAGTGGCATGGATCATGTGCAAGAGGATTGATGAGGATGCCATGGGTATTAGGTTGTTTCCTATCAAATCCGTACCGTCCGACATCGGGTTTCAAGAACACACGTCTTTCTATCAGGTAGACTTGTTCTCTTCGTCGCAAATGTGAGACATGAACATGGAGATCAGTCACTAGGACACACGGAAATTTCTAGCACAACAAGAAAGTGGGACTAGAAGAAGCAAGCAAGGAATTATACCAGCAATTCATCTCCAAGCATGTCCAAACGAACACAGGAAAAACTCTACCGCAAGTACGTAGAAATCGATGTGCATGTGCTGTTAAAGCAGTGTGATCCTGACCTCAAGATGTAAAAAAGCAAAAAAAATAGCAGACGGGATATAAATTATCCAGATGGAGATGACCACGATCGCATCTTCCGAGGTCGCACAACCGGCGGCCATCACGACGAGCGAGCTCTCAGAAGTACAACAGGGAGAGCAAAATCCAGTTCCTCCACTATCAAAGGAGAAGATCAGCATTGCGCAGCAGAGCAAAACCAAAAACGATCTTGACGACCCCAATCTGTTCAAAAACGCCCTCCTCCTGGTCGAATTCCAGGATGGCGAGAACCCTTTTCACGCGAAATACGCTGTCGAGAAGTACAGGAACTATGCCCACAGCCTGAAGAGGAGATGTGAAACAGATTTGGGGATTCCGGTGTGGTTGAATGCAGGACCCCCTTCGGGATTTCGGCAGGACAAGAGTTTTGGGGGAAAGTATTGGTTTTGTCGGACTAGGCAAGATCATAGTTTGGAACGGTTGCGGTATCCACGACTCGGTAGTTTTGAAGTGACGTTGCGGATCTATGAGGAAGGAGCAGGAAGCAGTGTAGGAGGCACTGTTGATGGAAGCGATGCGAAAGAAGCGGGGACTTTGCTGTTATGACGAATCTGCATGCTGTTCCCCAACGAGGGCGGAACTTCATGATAGGTAGAGGAAAAAATCTGTCTAGAGTACTTCGAAACTCAAAGGTTCGAGCTTTCCTCGAGTGGCCTCTTACATTTCTCTCTACTTTTCCTATTGTGCTGCAGGTTCAACATATCAGCACTAAGCAACCAGAACGTGTCCCCGTCTCCATCAGGAAAGCCGAGTGGGCCTTACCGAGAATTCCTTCTTTTCTCCAAATTGCAGTCTCGACGATGGCCATGGCAGGATGTCGCGACTTTTCTCGATCTCGTTCGTAGAGTATTGCGGAATTGGGCAGAGGGCATAACGCCGAGGCAAGTACTAGTGCTTCAAGCAGAGAACAATGCAGGTTTAACGACGAGTCGTGGAAATAGTACAACACCACGAGGAGCAGCTTCGTCAGGTAGAGGAGCTAACGACAGGCCAGGAACAAGTGGTGGTACATTTTCTACACCACGAACACCGCTTCAGCCTGCTGGAGGTGTCGTTTATTTATGCCGCTTTCGTAGTAACCTGGTCGGAGTACTTCTGAATCTAATCCGTTTGACTTTGTTATAACTTAGTAGACAAAGCATCGACGAGTTAGTGTCGGTGTTAATAGAATGAATATAGATGGACCGCTCGGGGCATCATGTGTGGTAGTTCTAACTCCAGAAACACCGCAACAACGACCCGCGACCTCTACTCCGCGCCAAAGAACGCCACGACAACCTCCAAAAACGACGCCGCGATTCGTCAATAGTAAAGAAAAGGCGGACCATCTACGTCTCAATCAACAACATAGTGAGAAAAATACAAACAAGATCACCTCAACATCTACTTCTAGCTATTATCAACGCAAAACACCAGGAACCACAGCCACCAATCATTTTGGAGGAGCAAGCAGTAATCACAATAATTTCATCTCCACTACTGCTCGTAGTGGCTCCTCCACTTCTTCCACACCGCTGCCAAACAAGAGGGAAGAAGCACTGAATTTCTTGAGTACTGCCCTGTCCCTACGACGGTATCTGCCGACGACTCACGCCTTCGACTATGAAGGCTTCAAAAAAGCACTCAGTTACTGCTTTTACGCACTCGATGAAGCACAAACGCGTCACCTGTGGACAACAGTAGCACGTGGCCGACAGAAAATCACCATAGAGGACATGCCGGCAATTGGAGTGCATCAAAGGGTACATCATCATGTAGTTACATTTTAGTAAACACATTTGATTAAGTTGAATTCAATTTCAAAATTCAATCATTTTGAAAAATTTTGATTTTATTGACTTTTATTCAAATTCAATTCCAATCGTCAGCTTTTACTGACTTCATGTGTTAGATGTGTCAAATATCAGAAATTCAGCAAAATATTAATGATCAAAATATAATGGCTGTCTCAATTTCATGTGTTGAAGATAATTTTCGATGGTTTCATATCGATGTTTGATAAAAACTAATCTTCTTGGTGTTGGTTGGATCACATTCATATGCTTGAATAATTTTAGATGGTCTTGGAAATTTTCAGGATCATGTTGCTCCAGTCCAAAACAAGAGGACGCCTGTTGCCCCAGTCAGTCCACGCCAGCCCAAAACGAGAGGAGCCACACCACGTATGAAGCTGCAACGGGAGGCTGAAGAAAAACAAAAGAAAGAAGAGCAGTGTGTTGATCTTGAGGTGGAGCTTGAAGCTATAGGTCACAAGAGGTCCTCCAAGTCGAAAGAAAACTCTAAAGAAAAGCCTAGTACAACTTCTAGTTCGAAGCAACCAGCTTCAATATCAACGTCTTCAGTAGGAGGGACGACTAAAACAACAACTACTACTGGTAGTACCCCCCGCACTGTCACGACTAGTTCCAGAAGGAATGAGCAAGCAGCTAATATCACTACATCTATAAGTACTACAGTCAACAAAAATACATCAACATCAAAAACATCCAGCAATTCCAAAGAACGTACAACGAGTTCTGCGACCTCACCGTCAGCGAAGAAAGCTAAAACAACTACCTCCACTAGTACTTCCTCTGCCGAGCACACGCCCAGCACGTCCTCAAAGGATTCCTGCCCCTCCACGACCACGGGTCCGACGGCGCCTGACACGGCCACCTCATCAGTCTCAGCAATTGCGGTCGCTGCAGAAGGAGAGCACAACGGGACCACGGCGGCACCAGAAGTGATTGAAAATCTTCATGGGAACAAAGTGAAAGAAGTTATTGGAGAAGCGGGTGGTCATGGTCTAAAAAAAGACGAGGTGCTAGTTTCGCCGTCTCCTCCGTCGTCTGGTCTTCCCTCATCAGATACTGCCACGTCTGCACGAGTACTAGAATATGTCAAAGCCACAGGAGCGGCTGACGATATCGAGCCGAAACCGGACTCTTCTACTTCGGCAACTATAACGCCTTCGAGCGTGCTCAAGGACAAACACGAAGATCGCGGAACAGCAGGAAAAGAAGATAGTCCACCTCTAGTAAAGCAACAAAAAAAGGAAGATACGACCCCCGTCAAGGTGACGACTCGTCCCTCGACCGAGGCAAACAAGGAGTTAGCAATTCAAGAATTGTGCCGCAATTTACTAGAGATAAGTTGTGACGAGTCTGAAGAGCAGTACGGCTGGACACCCCGACAGTTCTTTGGCGCTGGCAGTAAGAACACGAAGACAACATCAACAGGAGAGGACGACGCTGATGTATGGTGCCACGACTGATTGAGAACGAAGGAAAGGGAACATGTCGTTCCTAAGAAAGAAAGGAACGACATTCATTCATCTCCTATCGAGGACATGATTCTCAATCAGTGGCATCGTTCAGCAGTGCTGAAGAAGAAGCTTTCTGCACCACTGGAGTTCGATGCTTTGAATGAGACGATTGGGTTCGCAATTAGAAAATTCAACCCTGTCCTGCTACAGTTTGAATCCCTGGACGACATCTGTACACGCATAGAAAAACTGTGGCCTGAGCAAGAGCTACTTCCTCCGAAGGCACCGGGAAGCGAGTTAGCCTCGGGAGAGACCGATACTAGTACTGGGGAACGGGTAAGCAGATTACTTATACTTAGACAGTTTGGAAGATGACCTTGTGTTTGAGTTTGTTCGTATGCTGGTAGACACTCGACTTGAACCACGTGAAGAATAGCATGATCTTCTATCACAGAGCTTTCAATCTTCAATATTAGGTAAAAAGGTTTTGCGCGCATAAGGAAGCGAGGGGCTCAGATACAACATGCTGGAGAAGGACGACGTCAGTCAATCATTTACATCTGGGTTACAACTCAATACTTTATATTAGGTAAACTACGCCGCCAGTACGACAACGGGATCGCGTCCATCCTCTCGTCCGGGTAGTCGTGCAGGCAGTCGTGGAGATAGCCGCCCCACAAGTCGCGGTCGTCCTGGCGGTCGACCGGGTAGTGCAATGAGTCGACCTGGTAGTGCCATGAGTAGACCCGGTAGTGCACTCAATACCAATAGTCGACCAGGCAGCAATACCATACCTTCAGCACTTCAACCGTCACAACAACACATTATGAGAGGATTGCTCCACTTGAAAATCAGTACTCGTAGATACTTCTCGTTCTGCTCCTAAGCCTAACGTGCAACTGCTTAGGTACTTAGATACATTGTCTATGTCTTAGATACTTTTTAGAAACATTGTTTGTCTATGTCTTGTTCAACATCTCAACAAGCACCTCGAGTCGTGATCATCACCACCACCCATTTCAATCACCCACACCTCCCAGCATCTTCCTTCATAATCCAGCAAGAAGCGCCACAATTCGACACGAGGCACGATGATCCGACCACCTTATTCCCTCCGGTGGCGAGCAGCGATGCAAGGAAGTTGTATGCAGAATTGCATTCCAGCTACGATGAAAACGACTTCGAGTCCGACAGTGAAGATTATGGTGGAAGTTTTTTGTCGTGAAGCTTATTCTTATACCATAGATACTTACTGAAGCAGAGATCTTCTTCACCCTGCTTCTTCGGGTTCCCTTCTAATACAACGGCGACAATCAACATGGCGATGCCGAAGGAACGAAAATCATTCTGGATGGGAATAAGCCGATCGTAGTGAAAGCCAGCTCAAAGGGGAGTAGCTCGCAAGGAAGTAAAGGCAAAGCAAAAGCGAGCGCTATAACCATTACGAAGAAGGAGGATCTGGCGGAGTTTTTACGAGCATCTAGCGACTCTGAGTCTGAGAAAGACGAGAACAAAAACATCATGCCTCGTGATCATGGAGGACATCATCAACGTGGAATTGTCACATCTTCTAGCTGTAAAACGAGTAAAGAAGTTGTGGTGAAGAAAACAACTACGTCCTCGAGCTGTAAAACAAGCAAGGAACTAGCTGCGTCTTCATCTGGAAAGAAACAAGGCCCTCTTCAGCTTGTTTCTAAAACAAATAAAGCGACGCCAGGAGGAGACAGATCGGAAGATGAAAATTCTTCTTACGATGATGATTTTGAACCGGATGCTGTGATGGACGACGAAGACCACCATAGCAATGTTGAAAAACCAATGTTGACGGGAGGGAAAGTTAAGGATAAAAATTTATAGGAATATATTATAGCTGTATTCATGCAGCTATTTTGGCAATACTTACACAGCTATCTCTCCGGCATCCTGCACTGTGCATTCACCTGGGGACTCAAGATCATCAGGATAAAAGGCAGCACAGATCAATTAGTTGTGCGTTCTACTCTAAGAAACAACGAAACAACAAGACTGACAACAAAACCAGCGACTCATCCAGTGTGACTACTGTCGAAGCGAGGCAAGACGGTGGTGATGAAACTGCAGTCCATGTAGGAGAAGACAAAGTGGTCAATCGTGATTCTTATGGTCGTTTGTTTTGTGATGTGGACGATAAGGATATTCAGTACTAAGAGTGTGTCTTTTAGTACGAGCATCATCTGCCGAGAACAACTGTATCCATTTCCATCTCGGGGCAACAATGAAATGCGTAGCAGCTCTCCGTGAGTATTATCATGATCGGCGACTGAACCTGAAGACCCTGTGCTCTTGCTCGTATCTCTAACTCCACAATCAAGACCAAAAAGAAGATCCACGCAAGCAGCTCGCCGACCCGCCTAGCCGTGCAGATGAAGATTCAGGCTCAGACACCGAGACTTTCCTCACGAAGGAGATTGAGCCGCGTCCTTTGTTATGGATTTATTCACGATGTTCACGTTTAGTGGTCCAACGAACTGCAAGAGTCCTCCAATAAAGTGCATTTTCTACTTCTGGTCCGAACTGTCATTTCAAAAAACGAGCCTTGTGGTAAAGTGCATTTCACTGTCACTTTTACTTCTGCTGGTACAGCTCCATCTAAAATTAGCTGTGCAGCCAACTACAGCAGCAGAAGAGACGTCTACAATCAATGCGGATACGGCCAAGTGGACAGTGAGCGCTTTGTTAGAAGATTGCGGTAACATCGAAGACGTTGTCACATCGCAAGTATTATCGCAGCTGGTGAAGTATGACGAACAGGAATAAGGTTGTCGGAGTCCTACGATATGTGTATCTTGCGTTACTGGTCGTGGCCCCTTCTAGTTGTACAACAACTTCGTAAAATCATATAGGTCTATCTTCTCGTCACCCTTATTTACCATTGTCTTGTTGAGTGATGGGTTTAAGATTATGACTCCACTGCCCTCTTGTTTGTTTTCTCGTCCTTGAGAGATTTCGTTCATCAATTCAACTTTCTTACTACTATACATGTTAATAACCAACTGCGGTCTATCTTCATCTCGTCACCTACATGGTATCCTAAGTAGTAGGATCGATAAATGTTTTGTGAATAGTGTTAGTGAAAAGATTGATGTCGAACTTTGACAGTGTAAGGAAAATGCACTCGTCCACAATAAGGATAAGATAAAGTTAGAGATAAGAAAGAGAATGAACAAAACCGATTTCCTTTCTTTTTTCCGAAGTCCACGGACGTGAAAGTGATCTAAGGTTTTCTAAATTTAGTTCAAATGAATAGCTTATTCTTGCATCACACACGATGATTTTATGTCCGTCAGAAGTCTCAATTTTTATCATGATTTGCAAACATTATTGTTCCTCTCAATTGCATAGGACCTGATTCCAAAGAAAGAGCAAAAAAGTGAGACACGAGTAGTACTCTAGTGCTTTATGTTTTGTAGTTAATAATGCACACCGAGACCATCAGCGTAGTACAAAATAAAGTTTTTTCGATTGCAGAAATAGTACTCTAAGAAACAGTTTCCCACATTGCGATAGCACATTCATAACGCCGGCGTCTTCTACAGCTCTACTTCCGTAATATGAAGACTTACGAATTCATCGAGTGTCACTGTCATGATGGAGTTGCACTAAAAGGAACTACAATGCTGGATCTCTCTCCGTTACCGTGAAGATGGATTTGCAACGATATTTTCATATAGACCGACATTCAAACTCAACACTTGCATCCTCGGTAATTGTGGTGTCCGACATGGAAAGCATGATAACCAGCGCACTTTAACCTCCATTAGAGAGCAGGCATAGAATTATCCAGAACCTGGTGCGTGGTGCTATGGCCGTCTAGTACATTAGTGTTGTTTTTAGCCAGGCGATATAATTGAAATTGAAACGAAAAAATAACGACAACATGGAGTTGCAGAACCACCTTAGGACTCAAGTACATCACGACCTAGTAAGAAGGCTGATACAAGTACAAACGATAAAGAGAAGATTGGATATCCCTGACGAAGATAGAGAGAGCGATCTTCAACTCGAGTACGACTTTGACGGTGCTTCCTGTTCGAGCTTGAGGTCTTCTACTTGATAGAGATGCTTGTTTCTATGGAGCCCTCCAACACAGAAGTAGTCTCATTCCTCTAGTAGTCGTCTCCTCCACCTGTGACGATTTCCCTAATCATCTCCTAGTTCTAGATCATTGAGTTCACCTCGAAAACTGAAAAAAATGGCAGAGGGTATCAAACAGCCTGCTGCATCAGGTGCTTCAGGAGGTGTCTTTGCCTCTGACTCGAAGGGCGTTGGCGATGTACCGACTCAATCTCACACTACTTCCTCTCCTTCTTCCGACGTAGAAGCAGAGGGATCAATTAAGGCAGTTGTTCTACAACTTGTTTCTTTCTTTTAAGTAAAATAGTTCCTTGAATTCTAACGCCAATGAGATTGTTCTACTTGTGGATCTAATTGACTCATTGTGATTGTCTTCAATCGACATGAGGTGAAGGGAAACCAACATGAAGGTGTTTATGTGCGAACTCTGATTACCATTTTCACGACAACCTCCGACGAGGAACAACTTTTCGATCTTTGGGTATGCATTATATTGTTCGTGCGCTCTAATTCAAGAGAAGAGAGTAGTAGTAAAGGCGCTTCATCTCCTGGAGCATCCGCGCAAGACGATGCTGCTGCACAAGCTAGCACATCGGGGAATGCTTTATGGGTGAGGGTGAACCTGCAATTTCATAAACTGCAAATACACCTAGTGAAAGCAAGCATGAAAGCATCAATCCTTGACCCTGAGTCAAGCATAGTTTTCATCACAGTTTTTTTTTTTACTACAGTATTTCGTTCCTTCCACAGCCATACATGATGATACTAGCATGATGTTCTAAAGAAGCCGGCGGCCGCATCAGCTGCCACCGCTGCTAATGGGGCTTACTCGTTGCCAGTGAGCATGGAACCTTACACCATCCTCGAAGAAGCAACGCAGAGGATCATCAACAATACTCAACTTTGCGGTATCGGGATACGGGAATGCATGGAAAGGAGTCGAGTACTAAAATTTGATTAGAACAAAACGACACACGTCGACATCTTGATGGTAAAAAGCAAGATGTTGAAGATTGCAGCTTCTGCTTCTCGATGACTGCTTATGATTCTGTCGTCGAAAAATGTGAGTTCATTCTTTTTTCTTCCGATATTCAAGAACAGTACAACTACGACCCCTAAAACGATGAAGATCATACTTCTTCATCTAGAACAAGAAAGTACAAAGAACCCTACCCACACCAAAAAATAACAGATACAGTACACTACAGGCTCGTCCACTCACACCACATAAAAAGGTCCGCCTACAAGAGCATTTGTTACTGCGAAAACGGCAATGCGAAGATGCTGACACTGACAGCGAAGACGAAGATTTCGTGGATTATCGGAAAAACCTCAACCAATATTTGCAAGAAAAGTGGACGAAAAAAGTACCTACTTCGACTTCTTGTAGTTTTTGTAAGGTTCTAAGGTTCTTCAAGGTTCAAGGTCGTAACAAGGACTTGATGATTAATATGACTTGGTTATGTTGATTTGAAGATTTTTTCGGACTCTGTAGCTAGGATTAAGTTGTCCATGTCGTCGGTCGGTCTAATAAATATTATGGATGATTCATTGCCGTAGCTTGTTTCATCGCGTTTGCATTCTTGGTATACAACAAATTCAGGATGATAATCACGATGGTACTACTTTGTTGTGGGTTAGTAGTTTCTCGTGTAGCCTAGTAACAATGATACTTTTCTCCCACCACTCTTCATTTTCTACAGCACCAGCAAGACTTGGAGAAGGAGACGAAGCCGATTTTCGAGTTCATTGTTAAGGCTACCTTCGCTGATCCATCCCTAAGCCTAGGCACAGTAGTTGGCTTGGCATCCCTCACCGTCAAGGTCAACAAGAATGAGAATGACGGATATGATACGATAGATACAAGGACACGTCGAGATCCACAAGAACCACCGGAAAAAAACTACTTACATACATACAAGTGAAAATCCGCATCAACACTACACGGGGATCGATTAGTAGTAATTCGAGCTCTAACATCGATAGCTTCTTGACATTAGCACAACAGTTGGAGTTTGTTGCGAGTCAGATCAACGAACGAAGTGGAGAACTTGCGGAAAACGTCACGAATTGTTATGCCTCAACGCGTTATATTATTCATGTCTTCTGGGTCTGCTTACTGCTATTGTAGGTTGCCTCGTCAGAGTATCTTCTTTTCAACTTCCAGGAAAGAGCTTTCTAGGACACATTCTACTCTTCTAGCAAGTTGTTCAAAGGAAAAAAGGAAAATCTCCATCTTCGTGTACATGTTGAGAATTTCCTTTTTTTGAGGTATTGCTTTAAGACCTGTGCAGCGCAGAATTCGGATGGACGAAGCATGTTCAGACACTTCAATATCGTGGCTACGAATGCAGGCACAAACAAGCACTCGCCGTCGCAAATAACAATAGAGTCAAGTACTTCTTCTATTGTGCTTGATCATTTTTGGGTTTGGATTCGTCTAATATTTTGCATTTGATGCTTCGAGCAACATGATGTTCTACTCACTATAGATACCAAACAACAGTAGAACATACTTACACACTACGACTACTAGTGACAACAGATTTTTTATGTTTACCCATTTCATCTCTGTATTCTTCTGAGGGTGCAACTCCATGATGATGACGATGGAAAAAAATAATAATCACGACCAGGCAACAGATGCTGCTCATTGGTGAAGAGCAAAAAGCAAGTTGGTTTTCAAGACGTGGGAAGAGTCTCGAAAAACTCGCTGAGGACCAGCATCAACATCAGCAGAAGATTGCTGACTTAGTTATGACGAGCAAAAGACCGAGACATCTCTTGAAGAACCAACTGATCACCAACAGTTGTCCAAGTCCACTAAATCAAACGAGATCAACTACATCGACGAAACCAGGACACGGTCATAGAAATAGATCTTCTTCTTGTCCCCACGTCTTTGCTTGCCTTCACCTCCTTGCCGCCTCCACTTACCTGCCCCCACCCTCCTTCCTGCCCCCACCTCCCTACATTAGGTTGAAGTCGTTATCTACAAATATTGATGAAAACCGCCTCAATATCAGCTGGTGGCCGCTTCACCCTTGTTAGCGCCAGTGCTTTGTTCAACAGCATTCTCTTCATTTTTGTCCAGAAGACTAAGTGGACATGACGAGGATAGCCACAGTACCAGTAGAGACAGAATCAAGAACATCAGCAGAAGATTAAGTAGACATGACGAGGATAGCCACGGCGTGATTTTCTGTTCTCTCTCTAACATCAAAGAGCAGATGGAGACCCTCGAAGCTACGAAGAGCAAGCTTTTGCCGCAGATTCAGGAGGATCTCGATGCCAAAAAAGGAGCCATCCAGAGCTCTGTGCGGCAGCTCTCGTTACTAGGAAACTTCGTGGTAGGATACAAGACCGATCCGGAAGAATTAAAGCTCAAAGCCGCATCTGCATCTTCCGAAAAGACTGATTGTTCAAACACAGTAGATAAGATCGATGTAGTAGAATCTGAGTCGGGATCATCAACAACACAACATCGACCTCCTGGTGGTCCTTCTGGTAGTGCTGCTCTTGACAACATCAATAAAGCCTCTTCTGGTAATACCGCAACTACCGATCACGGTGCTCTTGTGCGAGAACAAGCAGTTGTCCAAAAAGAGCAACCCGATGTGATAAAGGAAGATGAGAATCTTCAACGCGACGGGGTACCCTCGTCTTCTAGTAAACAAACACTGGCGACTCCTGCTCATGTCGTAGAAGCGGCATCTTCTTCATCTTATGACTTTCGTAGATAGTGTGCGTTTTCGTTTTCGTCGTGTTGAGTCGTCCACTACTTGCACAACATTACCATTATCCTTCATCTCAGTCTCACAGATGTACATCTATTGATTCTACTCGGGATAGTCACAGTTGTGAAGATTACAATCGAATGTACTTCGAGGAGGATTTTCTGATCTGTTGACACTCTCTTTTGAAGAAAACTCCGAATCCCTTGCACCGTGTTCTTCTCCTTCTTCATGTTGCACAGGTCGCTCCAGCAATAGCTGCTCCACCGTCACAAACACAATCAGTTTCGAGTGCTAGCGGCGCAACTACGCAGCTCACATATGAGCTACCGGGAACCACAGCCACGACATCAGCCGTACCAGCTTTCACCCCACAAGCCCGAATGGTAGAAGCGTCACCTACTTTATGACCGGCAGATTCATACCATAGGAATACAGATGAAGCTAGTAGATTCATACCATAGGAATACAGATGAACTAGGATTGATTCTTGTTGGAGTAGATACAGTCAGAATCAATTTACTGTCTTTCGAATAAAGCCTTTTATTTTCTGTGATTGAGTTTTCAGAGTTTCAGACTTTCTGAAGTTCGGAGTGAACCCTCTTTGGCAGGAAAGCATACCTCTAACGACTCCTGGAGGTGAGATGTCATCTTCGGCAACCGAGGAGGAGGAGGCAGACACACTACCGGGTGGCGAGGCAACAAATTCTTCTTCCGCTAGGAGCTCATCTTCCATAATTAAAACACGTCGATGCTGGTAGATCATCATGCTGACCAGCACAAAGATAAAAATGAAGCCCATAGTAACACCAGTGTCATAGTGACCAAACTGTAATTAAAAATCGACTACATGTGAATCATTGACATTGAATGTTAGAAACTTGACGTCATAAGCAGATTTCCAAATGGGATGACTACCTCTAAAATCTTCAACGGCGCACAAGGCGGGAAGAAAAAGAGCAAAAACGCGAAGAATAAACGAAAGTTAGGACCTATGTCTAAGTCTAACTGCACCTACTCCTACAGTAGTAGCCGTTCGTAGTATTTTGGTTTCTTTTGAGAATTTTCTCGTATAATCAGGAGCATGGGCTACAAGTACGACGTCTAGCTTAACGACCTTAGTTTCGTCTAAAATATGGTAGCGGAGCAAGCGGCGCAAGCAGTTCTTCCTCAGCACGGATCCAAAACGCAGCAAAGGATCCACTCTCTTGATGGACTAAGGGAGATTGTCATCGCACGCCGAATGACGAATGGCGATGCTCGTCATGACCAAGACAGCGAGCGTGAGAATCTCTTTAATAGCAACATAGATTCTACGTAGAAGAAGTAGATGAAGGAACAACTCTCCTGTATAATATTGTAGTCTACTTGTGTTCCTCCTGTAGAAGATTCTGATTAGGTGATGAAATCTATCAAATGTTGGTGAAATCGCCATACAACTGCTTTAAAGACGAGTCTGCTTGTGTCATTGCATCAACCAGGAGGAGAAGCATTTACATTTTTGAAGATGAACAATGTAGTGCTAGTTGACAATATCAGGCGAAGATGGCTGCAAAACCTTTCAACGAAAGATGGGAAGATCACATTTAACATCTTCGTGTTGAACATGTTGATATGATGTTGAAATACATGATGAAAAATGAAACTAGCAGCACCAAGCCAAAAACTTTTAGGACGAATTAGATAGTTACACTCCCTTTTGGCATCGATTTTCATGACGTGTTCAGGTGGACCCTCACAGTGCCTAGAAACACAAAACATAGAAAGAATGAAACTGCTTAAAGATGTCAACAAGAAGAGGCAAGTGGTCGTGCACAAACAGGAATACAAACACAACAGGTGAAGCAAGTAGTAGTAATAGGGGAAGGACGAGGTGGAAAAGGAAAAGTAGAACAAAAATTTGTGAGCATGGGAGCCAGTAGAACGGAAATAAGCAAAACGGGAGTTCTCTAGAAATCCCTTGAGCTTCTTCTCTATTAAAATAAAACCCTGCCCACTCTCACGGCCCACCCTCACGTAGATTAGAAGCAGAGAGAGAGAAACGGTTAGACAAGAGCGCTGGAGCGATAACGCAGCGAAGAGCCGGATCATGGCATTTTTGTCCCTCCAGTTAAGGACTATTTCTACAGCGGCTGCTTTCTTTGATGTCATTGTGTTTTCATTCGACCTGAATGAATCTGTTTTACTTTTAACTTTGATTCCTTCTTACCTTTACCAGTGTTAGGTAACCTCCAGGTTTTGATTGCAGCCAAGTTTGATTCCTTATTTTCTGCTTATTGTTTCCTTGTTTGGTCAGTCTTCGTTTTGTGATTGTACGAGTATTCAACAAAAAATAAAGGCCCCTTGTTGCATGCTTAGTTTGATTGTTCCTTGGTCTTCGTTTTGTGCTTGCATTGAAGCAAATCTATTCTGCGTCCGCATCATCTTCAACATCCAACGCCTTTTCTTTTTTTTAATCATGAGACGGGTAATTATAGTTAGTTATACCCTCTGAGATTTTTACTTATAGTTTTGATCTTCAGGTCAATGTGAACAAAACTATTTTTGGTGTTCTCTTCTTTTATCACTTCTGTTCCGAGCTTTTTGCGCGTTGACTGATGCAGTTAAAAATAGAATAGTTCTCTTCATCCAGCTCTCATACTTTTTTATTTATTGTCTCTCAAAAATTATAGACGACGAAGGTCGTTGTTTGAAAAATTTTAGACCACGAAGGAAGGTCAACATCATTGTTTCAAGAAATGAACCCTTAGTTATTGTTAAGAACTTGAAGAACTTTTCAATCTCATCTTTTTCTTTTATTAAAACAACATACAGAACAAGAACAGCAGAACAAGAACAGCAGAACAAGAACATCAGAACAAGAACAACAGAACAAGAACATCAGAACAAGAACAACAAAACAAGAACAACAGAACATCAGCGTCATCCTTTTCTTTTATCACACCAACAGGACACACAACTACAAGAAGAACCAAGAAGATGGCTGTGTCGATACTGATGAAGTTCTGCTTGTGTAGTCTAGCAGCCTCCTTCATCTTCGTCTCCTCCTGGTTGGTCTGTATGCCACTAGTCTCAGCAACCCATCACAAGACGCAACAAGAGGGGAACGAAGAAAGTGCCAATGCATTTTTGGCCTCAGCACCTCCACCGCCACCTCGCTCTCCACATCTGAGACCATCTCCACCTCCCGCATCACTACCTCCACCTACAGAACCAGCATCATTTACGCAGATGTCGTTGTGGGATAGAGCGAGCAGCGCGCTTGGAACAACCACAACGTTAAATAGCTTCTTCGAACGCGAGGGGAGCGGGGCGGGGTGTTCAAATGACGCCTGGATTCAAGCGGCAAGAAGAGAATGGATTAACGGCGAATATAGTCGCGAAGTTCGTAACCCGGAACTAACCGGTTTCGCAGAGGGTGTTTTAAGGTTTCTGGAGGAAATCCATCCGGCTCCTATAAGGCATCTATTGGGTTAGCATTCTACAGAGGAAGGTGCAGGGAAACTGTAACCACTGTCAAGATGCTGCAAAGGACAATTAGGAGGATGAATTCCTTCCGAAACATCTAAACATGGGACTACGAATAGACGGAGGACTTGATTTGTCCCATATTATAGTTCCCTGTGATACTGATACCTCCTCACATGATCATGGTGCTTTCTTCGGTTACTCCACAAAGGGGAAATTTATTGCGACGCTGAATCGGGCTTACGATCAGGCGAGAATAGGCACAGGCGTGCGACTCGAGCTCCAGCTTATGCACGAAAATATTTTTTAAAACTCGTAGGAATTGGAAACTGGCTGCAGTAGACTACATTTCTGAATATGATATGAATACTTATTTGTATCATCACTGGATGAAGATGGAGTAAGTAAGTCGAACTTCTAATATGACGACGATGGAACGCAATGGCAAGCCGACGTATGTTGACGTCGTGGTTCCGTTGCTGTTGACGAAAAGCAGCCGGGTTCAGTGGGATCCCTTCCAGTACGTTGCTAGCGAGTTCAAGACAAGTCTGGTCGACCTCAATGTTCTCGAACACTATGATTATGAGTAGTTTGTTCTTCTTCATCATTGCGCACTGTCAACCTTCAATATCTAGCCAGGATGCCGCTTTTTCGCGCTAGGAGTTTCATTCATCAGGTAGATTGGTAATTGCTGGTGAGAAATTGAAGAACGGTCGTGCGCCCTTTTCTAATGTTTCATCGCGGGACGAGGAACAACCGCACAAGAAGAAAGGTGGACGACAGCGTTTTCCGAAAAAGACCTCCGCCGCCCGCGGGCACGGTTTATTTGGGCTTTGCGGGAGTTATGCAGGAGGATTAGCAATGAGTAGATCAATATGACTACTCATCAGGGTACGGTCAGCTCCAGACACGCTTATCTCCGTCGTGCTCTTCGGTATTTCGATGATGAGTAAGAGCACTACTTTCACTTTCTCAAGAATACTAGACTGGAGCGCCCGGTAGCACTCCTCCCACTAGGATCATCCATCCCCGGCACGCACTTCCTCAATCCCGGCGCGATTCCGCTCCCCCGGCTTCTCCCCCGCCCGCCAACCGTCTGGCGGCGTTGATCGTTGGAACGAGAGCTGGGTGGGGGACGGCGTGCGGCCATGGATAAGAAAGGCACACACCGAAGCCGTTGGCTTGTCAGTGTGCTTTTCTTTTGGTAGGTTTGGCCTTCTTCGCGTGCAAGTTGCAGCGCTCAAGCTTGCAACCTGTCGAGGTTCTTCATCTTCTCCCTGTGATACAATCAAAGACTTCGAGTGGGAATTTTCAAGCTTCGCCTTTGTCTGCCTGAAGAATATGAACTCACGCCGATCTTATTGGTTCTGCTCTCTCGGTCGAAGACCACACTACGTACACCACACTACACCACACTACACCACACTACACTACACCACACTACACCACACTACACCACACTACACCACACTACACCACACTACACCACACTACACCACACTACACCACACTACACCACACTACACCACACTACACCACACTACACCACACTACACCACACTACACCACACTACACCACACTACACCACACTACACCACACTACACCACACTACACCACACTACACCACACTACACCACACTACACCACACTACACCACACTACACCACACTACACCACACTACACCACACTACACCACACTACACCACACTACACCACACTACACCACACTACACCACACTACACCACACTACACCACACTACACCACACTACACCACACTACACCACACTACACCACACTACACCACACTACACCACACTACACCACACTACACCACACTACACCACACTACACCACACTACACCACACTACACCACACTACACCACACTACACCACACTACACCACACTACACCACACTACACCACACTACACCACACTACACCACACTACACCACACTACACCACACTACACCACACTACACCACACTACACCACACTACACCACACTACACCACACTACACCACACTACACCACACTACACCACACTACACCACACTACACCACACTACACCACACTACACCACACTACACCACACTACACCACACTACACCACACTACACCACACTACACCACACTACACCACACTACACCACACTACACCACACTACACCACACTACACCACACTACACCACACTACACCACACTACACCACACTACACCACACTACACCACACTACACCACACTACACCACACTACACCACACTACACCACACTACACCACACTACACCACACTACACCACACTACACCACACTACACCACACTACACCACACTACACCACACTACACCACACTACACCACACTACACCACACTACACCACACTACACCACACTACACCACACTACACCACACTACACCACACTACACCACACTACACCACACTACACCACACTACACCACACTACACCACACTACACCACACTACACCACACTACACCACACTACACCACACTACACCACACTACACCACACTACACCACACTACACCACACTACACCACACTACACCACACTACACCACACTACACCACACTACACCACACTACACCACACTACACCACACTACACCACACTACACCACACTACACCACACTACACCACACTACACCACACTACACCACACTACACCACACTACACCACACTACACCACACTACACCACACTACACCACACTACACCACACTACACCACACTACACCACACTACACCACACTACACCACACTACACCACACTACACCACACTACACCACACTACACCACACTACACCACACTACACCACACTACACCACACTACACCACACTACACCACACTACACCACACTACACCACACTACACCACACTACACCACACTACACCACACTACACCACACTACACCACACTACACCACACTACACCACACTACACCACACTACACCACACTACACCACACTACACCACACTACACCACACTACACCACACTACACCACACTACACCACACTACACCACACTACACCACACTACACCACACTACACCACACTACACCACACTACACCACACTACACCACACTACACCACACTACACCACACTACACCACACTACACCACACTACACCACACTACACCACACTACACCACACTACACCACACTACACCACACTACACCACACTACACCACACTACACCACACTACACCACACTACACCACACTACACCACACTACACCACACTACACCACACTACACCACACTACACCACACTACACCACACTACACCACACTACACCACACTACACCACACTACACCACACTACACCACACTACACCACACTACACCACACTACACCACACTACACCACACTACACCACACTACACCACACTACACCACACTACACCACACTACACCACACTACACCACACTACACCACACTACACCACACTACACCACACTACACCACACTACACCACACTACACCACACTACACCACACTACACCACACTACACCACACTACACCACACTACACCACACTACACCACACTACACCACACTACACCACACTACACCACACTACACCACACTACACCACACTACACCACACTACACCACACTACACCACACTACACCACACTACACCACACTACACCACACTACACCACACTACACCACACTACACCACACTACACCACACTACACCACACTACACCACACTACACCACACTACACCACACTACACCACACTACACCACACTACACCACACTACACCACACTACACCACACTACACCACACTACACCACACTACACCACACTACACCACACTACACCACACTACACCACACTACACCACACTACACCACACTACACCACACTACACCACACTACACCACACTACACCACACTACACCACACTACACCACACTACACCACACTACACCACACTACACCACACTACACCACACTACACCACACTACACCACACTACACCACACTACACCACACTACACCACACTACACCACACTACACCACACTACACCACACTACACCACACTACACCACACTACACCACACTACACCACACTACACCACACTACACCACACTACACCACACTACACCACACTACACCACACTACACCACACTACACCACACTACACCACACTACACCACACTACACCACACTACACCACACTACACCACACTACACCACACTACACCACACTACACCACACTACACCACACTACACCACACTACACCACACTACACCACACTACACCACACTACACCACACTACACCACACTACACCACACTACACCACACTACACCACACTACACCACACTACACCACACTACACCACACTACACCACACTACACCACACTACACCACACTACACCACACTACACCACACTACACCACACTACACCACACTACACCACACTACACCACACTACACCACGCACACCACGCACAATGCGCCACACTGCACCACACTGCTAGGGTTTTGGAGTTTCTTGGCCAAGATGTTTCTTGCAGATTCCATGCTATGAGTTTTCGCCTGAAGTTTATGACTCTCGGCCTTTCATTTTTTTCCAGTATAAACTTCTGACTCTTGAACCACCTAGAAGCGGCAGACTAGTCCTCTTACACACCCCAACCAACTGCACACGTCACAGATTCAGCCGATCACGGTGCGGCGTTCGTCCTCTTGTGCTTTTTTGCTACGATCGAAGGCCAACGCGCCTACGAAGCGCTGGACCGCTAGAAACTTGAAAAACGATGTCGACTACTCTGAGGCGCAGCGGGATTTCGAAGCTGATACGCAGGACGCCCTGGAATATCTGCAAAACCGGCAGCAAATACTGACCGACGTGAAGTCCATACTGCGGCAGCCTGTCTTGACGTTGAAGGAGACGCCTTTGGCACTTTTAAGATTTTCGTGCTCTGTCTTCTGATTCTTATGCCCTCCGCGATAGCCTTCTGTTGAGTTGATTCTATCGACTAGATTCTTATCGAGTATTCTTTTTCTCAATGCCGGCAGCTTGGTTTTCTATGGCGGTGGTTGAGGTCGTCAAGCAGGCGGCTGAGGCGATGGACCGCCGTATCTTCAGTGGGCAGGTTCTTTCATTTGAACCATGTGAAGAACTGTCTAACGTGGTAGCAGATGCTCGCGGTGGACGCAGATTCGACTCGCATGGGCGTGAGTGTCGAAGCGTTTAGTGTTCAAATGCTCCAGGAGTGCACTCGTTCTTGCCCGGAGGATATGCGACAGCAGAAGTGCCACGCTCTGCGGAATTTGGTCCTCAGTCAAGATAGAGCCGCGAAGCACGTCGGGCGAAGAGTAAATCTCTAGAAAGCCTCCCAGTACACTTCGAATCAGTGCAGGGGATGGAAGTTGCTAGCTGCTACGAGCATCCGGCGCGTCTGCCGCGATGCTTATCAGGCTGCCGCGGATGCTTTGTTCGTGGCGCCGAGTGTCCAAGCCGCACCTGTGAAGAAGCAAGCAGAGAGAAGAGTGGCCTCGATCTCAAGCGGCAAGTAGGCTTATCTGGGCCAGCGTTGGAGGGTGAAGATAAGGCTGCGAAGATGCGTCGCTGCAACTCATCTCATGGGGAAGCACGTCGCTGCGGGAGCAGTCGGAGCTAAATCGACTTGCGTGGCTACGGAGTGCCACTGTCGCGAAAGCAGACGAGGCAGGCTATGCTGGAATTTGAGGAGGCAGATTCAGAAGACGGGGCAACGCCTGAGGAACTGCAGACTGCTCGGGAGCAGCAGGATGCCGAACGCGGGGCGCGCCTCAGTGCGGAGATTCAGGGGGACTTCTATGACGATGTAAAGGAGTACACGCGAGCGCGATTGGGACGGTCCCAAGCGTCTGCGCGCAGGAAGTTGGACTATATCGTCTACGCGTGGAGCCGTCTGGTGTTAGCGATTGACCAGCACCAGCTCAAGCTCCAGAACGTGGCGCGCTCGCAGTTGCTTCGCAAGGTCTGCCAGTTGATTGCTGAAGGCACCCACACGCGAAGGCCATGAAACAGCAGCAAGCCGCTGAAGACTCACGTGCTGACTCAAACGCGACCGCTCGCAGCGACGTAGGCGAAGTAGAAGCTATCGACGGGGCCGAGGCTGTTTCTTTTAGAAGGAAACAAAAAATCAGCGGACAGCACAAAGGTGAAAAGGATGGCAACCTCCTCCAAGATCCAGATGAGCCTCAAGACGGTGTCGATCGAGGTGCGCCCTTGGAGACGCCGCTGCCGAACGCCACGGCCTTACTCCTTGAGCTGAAGAGAATGGACGGCGGTGCGCCTGGTTGTTTCATGCTCTTGGACTACTTGTTGTCGCCATGTTATTGGATCACCCTCAGGAAGCTAGAGCCTGGACACCAATGGGACACTGAAAATAAGCTGCACACGTCGCCAGCTGATGGGAAGGCGGTGCCTGAGGAGCAGCTTCGAGGTGAGTACGATTGTGGTGATGGTTCTAAGATCTTTGTGCTGCGCTTTGCGCTACCGGAAGATGTTGCAGATGAGACAACCTCTGTCCGGCGCCAACAACTAGATCGCAATCTTGCGCTGGAGGCGCCGAGAGCTGCCCCAAAGAAAAGCGTCAATGGTGGTGGACAACAAGCCGAGAAGCTACTTGGAGGCGTTGGCGCTCGAAGATGCTAGAGCAAATGCTGCACAGGAGCACAACAAAGCACAGGCGTCGTTCGAGAAGATCTCGGCGCGTGGCTCCAACTACGCCGCGCGTGGCGCTGAGCTCGTCGCCGCTCAGGCTGAGAAGAAGCAAGTAGCTAAAAAAGACCAGAAGCCCGACACGCGGACGCTCGAGCCACTCGCGCCAGAACAAATTCGGGATGCCGAACGAGAAAAGGCCGGGCTGCGTGATGGCCGTGCCTTGTTTATCGACATTTGTGCGATTCTGCCGGGTGGAAGTAAGTGGATGAAGCAGCTCAAAGGGGTAGGGGTTGCCTGCTTCTACTCATATTGTACGAGCAAGCAGATGAAGGAACGCGTCAAGCAGTTGCACAACATCCAAAAAGCAGACCCAGAAGGACCCGCTTGGTTAGGTAGCGAAGCGCGCTCAGCGCTCACCTTCAAAGCGCCAGCGGGTGCGTGGCGAGTTGGCGAGGCGTCCACGCTCTTTGCTGAGCTTCTATGCGGTCTCTGGGCTGTCAGGATGCGTTTTATCTGCTCCTCGGCAACCAACTACATCGAAGACAGGGGGCCCAGACGAACAACATCGAAGCGGTCTGGCAGGAGTGGGCCCGATTGCGGAAACCAGTGCGGGACTACTGTAAAAAGGCTGACAAGCCTCCGCCCAGTTTTGTCGCCCGTTTTGGTGGCCTCGCCTTGATTTCTGGCAACTTGGTGAACGTGCTGCAGCCGCCTGCTAACGTCGCGGATGACTGGCGGGATGTCTTCCTGTAAATACAGTGGAGGCTGTCTTCTTTCTAGTATTGAGATCAACAACGTGGCGCAGGGAGAGACGTTGACTACGCTGCAGACTTTCGCTGCAGTGGTGTGCTGATAGGTGTCTCCTCTAGTAGTAATAGTTCCCAGCTGGTGCTTAGATAGCAGCGCGCGCCTAGCGAGCCTGGCGAGCTTGTGTATCGTTTTGCGCTCCACCTCTACGAATCTTCGTAGGGATTCTGCGTGGTCCCGGACCAGGATACCCTGAAGGGCTGGACGAGGAACCCATCAAATCGGTGCGCGTTTTTATTTTTGCGAAGTCCATACTTTTATCTTCGAAAATAACGCAAGAAACTGGAAAAGGCTGGGGGCTTTCTGCTTGGTGTTTTGTCTGTGCAGTGCGGCGCATGTCGCTGCAGGTTTTTCAGCTGGGGCCATTTCTTAAGTTTGTTAGCGACTAGGTATGAATGTAGGCCCAGCGAGTCAACCAACTTAGGGCCAGGCATTTTCTGGGACATGCATGTCGCTGAGGGGTGCGCGCTTGCTTTCAGTCGTTCTCCGAACTTCTGCGCGCGTTAGATTAGTCTACTAGCTATCAATGACTGAATTCCTTCGCGCGCTTCCTTGTAAACTTAGCAAGGCCAAAGAATGAAAGGGAAGACACGCAACTTTCTCAGCTGATTCTCTCCTCGGCATCTTTGAAGTTTATTAATGAAGCCTGGAAGTGTGGCGCGTAGTTTCGTGAAGATTGACAAGACAGAGGAACGAGGTGCCAGCCTGCTGCAAAGCTTTAAACCACGGGCCGGCCGCTCTGTGCTTGGCTTCGTTCCTCAATCTTTTCAGCTAATGTTAGAAGTATGCAAAAAGTCAGAACTAATTAATTTAGCAAAGCGAGCAGGGAGACAATTGCGCAGCTTTCCCAGTGAGTTCTTTCTAGGAAATTGCTCCGAATTAAATGGGAGACGGTATCCCACTAGCTGCTAGCGAATGAATTAACTTAGCAAAGCGATCAAGGAGACAACTGCACAGCTTTCGCAGTTCTCTCTTGGATATTGTTCAGGAATAGACGTTCGAGGCGCGTAGTGTATTTGTCAACTCGCTGACGCTTTCGCGAAGTTCTGGACAGCGCTGGGCTTTTCTCTCTGCGCTGCTCTTTAATATAGCAGAGTGAGAAAGAAGACAACTGCACAACTTCCCTAGTTTCTTCTTGATTTTCTGGGCTTCCATTAGCGTCGGCGCGCTGCCTGGTTGAAGGCTGGCGCCATCTATGGCCAGCCGTCAGGTTCCCAGGCGGTCCGAAGTCTGTCGAGCGAGCCGGCTACTTTCGCTCGCTGGTTTAGTAGGTGAATATATATAGCGAGGAAGCAAGAAGACAACTGCGCAGCTTTCCCGATTCTTCCTTGCGCTGCACATCTCGCGAAATTCGGCCGCCTCACCTCAGGAAGGCGAGAGCAGTGACGGAATGCATGACGCAGCAGCTCCTCCTTCGAAGTCTTTCGCGCGGACGTGGGCTGGGTTCTTTCTCTTCGTGTTGATTGGTAAACTGAGCGAAGCCAAAAAGGGGACAACTGTGCAACTTTCCCAGTTCTCTCTTGTGTATCTTTCGAATTTATGAAGTTACTAGGTCACCCCAGTGGGCTCGTTCGTGAAGAGTAACAAGGCAGAGCGCGCGGGCACCAGCTTGCGCCGTGGCTGGTGCATGGATAGAAATTAGTCGCGACATATACTCGGCTAATTTAACAAAGCGAGCAGGAAGACAACTGCGCAGCTCTCCCAGTTCTCTCGTCTCTTGCGTGTCTTGTTTCGGAGTTAGTTAATAAATTTAACGGAATTGGACTCAGCTGCTAGCTATATATTAGCCAGCTCTCTGAGAGCTGTCACCCGTCTCAAGGTTCCGGATAGCGCTGGACTTTTCTGCGCTCGTTAATGTAGCAGAGTGAGAGAGAAGACAACTGCACAGCTCTCCTAGTGTCTTCTTGGTTTTCGGGATGCAATTTAAGTGATTTGCTTCGCTGAGGCCGATTGTGCTCGTTAATATAGCAGAGCGAGACAGGAGACAACTGCGCAACCTCCTTAGTTCTTTCTTGCTTTTCGGGATGTGATTCAGCTTCTTTGCTTTAGGCGCGTGCATCTTTGGCCAGCCGTAAGGCCCCCAGCCCCAGGCGGCTGGTTCGAAGTCCGTCGGACTTTCTATCTATCAGCCCCCGCGTGTTGGCGGGTTTGTCTGATTTATAAAGAAAGCGAGAAAGCAAGAGGACAATTGCACAGCCTTCCCAATTCTTCCTTGCGCATCTCGCGGAATTAGTTGGCACAGATTTAATCTGTGGGCCCTAGCTTGCTAGCGGCGTCGCGCATGGGTTGGGTCTTGTTCTTTCTCACCCGAAGTGC